ACGAGGAGACATTCTCACCCACCGCAGACATGACGAGTGTGAGAGTGATCATGTAAAAGGCGGCACAGGAGGAATTAGTGCTGCACCAAATGGATGTAAAGACAGCCTATTTGAATGCACCGATTGATTGCGAAATATACATGGAGCAGCCAGAAGGCGATGAGAATGAGTCAGCCACAGGTGAAAAGCTTGTGTGCAAATTGAACAAGTCCCTCTACGGCTTAAAACAATAAGGTCAAAACTGGAATGCAATGTTGCACACATATTTAACTGAGAATGGTTTTGTACAGAATCCAGCTGATCACTGTGTGTATTCAAGAGAGAGACATGGTGAGAAGGTGATGTTAATTGTATGGGTTGACGATCTTGTCATAGCAGCTAGCAACAATCTGGTACTCAATGATGTAAAAATGATGCTCACAAAAATCAAATCAAATCAAATCAAATCATTTACTTATCCTCATGTACTCGTCCAGACATCAGTTTTGTGGTCAGTAAGTTATCCCAGCACTTTAACGAACCAACACTTGAGCACTGGAACACAGTGAAACATGTTTTTCGATACCTCAAAAGTACAGCAGATCAGGAGCTATGCTTCAAAAGAAATGAGACAGAAAAATTGGGTCTGAGAGTGTACAGTGATGCTGACTGCGCATCAGATGTGACAGACAAGCGAAGCACATCAGGTTATTGTGCCAGCCTAAGTGAAGGTAGTTCTCTAATCTCATGGAAAACAAGAAAACAGGCAACTGTTGCCCTATCTACATGTGAGGCAGAGTACATGTCTCTGGCATCAGCCATGCAAGAATGTATCTACCTAAAGCAGCTACTCAAGGGCATTGACAAGTATGCTTATGCGCAAACAAGTGTTCAAGGACAATCAAGGCACTATTGCACTAGCCAAAAACCCAGCGAATAGGCAAAGGTGTAAACACATTGACATCAAATACCATTTCATACGGGAAATCATAAACAGTGGAAGTGTTATTTTGGAGTATTGTCCCACTGAACAAATGATTGCAGATGTGTTGACAAAGCCAGCAACCAAAATGAAGTTAAAAATATTTGCACGTGACATGTTTGGCACTTAGAAGTGCAGTGTGTTTTGTTTACAAGGTTAAAGGGAAACCAGACGATCCCTATTTGTCCTCATACTGAATTGTATTTTCTTTTCAAGGTAACCTACATTATTTGAGCTAAGTGCGAGTGGGGGTGTTAAGTGTTGTCATTTGATGGTGCCCTTACTCCATGTGTTACGGTACCTCTTATTGTGATGTTCTCAGGGTGTAAACATTACGGTACGCACAGGATGTGATGTCACCACGTTCCATCAAGCGCCTGTTCTGTACCTCATGGCGGAAGTAATGAAAACGGAGAGAATAAATATGCCGGCAGGCTAAACAATATAACGAGCATCTTTTACTTTATTCTCCACTATGCAAAGCTGTGCACTCAAATGCTTGACAAATCCGATCACCTTTTTAGCCTATTAGAGGCAGATAGGTATGATGATTTGATTCTCCATGACTCCAGAAATGATTAAAAAACTACAGAATGTTACAAAATGACATATCCGCGTGTAGCGGTCGTACTTGCGTTGTGTGATTATTTCAGTAGAGAAACCATACTTCTGTGTTGGCATCGACGTTTATTCAGTACCTGGCAGAACATTCACATGGTCAGGTCTCACACCAGACATGCAGCCTCTCTTTCACTACAAGCATAAAATAACAACATAAGTACCCTCTTAAACACAGAAATTAAAAGATAATTAAAACAAATAATCCCGGAAATCCGACATGTGGACTTACCCAGCGAGCAGCTCAGCACAACTGTTGCTGCTAGCCGGGGTTCACTTCCCAAATCCCCAGGGGTGTTGCATTTGAGGACTGCAGGGAATCTGAACATCCTTAAAAGAACCCAATGCAAGGCATGGCAAGTGAAATCACTAAATATTAATTCTAACTACGTTACACGTGCTCCTGGCTTGAAGGGTAGAAATGCACAGTCGTGCTCCCGACTTGGAAAGCTCATATGCATACATGCTGTCCCGGTTTAAATGGGATAAGTGATTGATGCTGATGACGACGAGGCCAGTGAGCCATTCCTGAGACATGGTTGACCTTAGGTACGGCTTAATCAACTTCAGTTTTGACAAGCTCCTCTCTGCTTGAGCCACCGTGACTGGCAGAGTGAGAGCAATCCTGAGAGCAGAGCTGTCCCCTGCAACCCCCTCCCCGTTTAGTCTCATACAGTCTGTCAGCCTCTGTGCGGCACCTTCGCAGCAAGCAGGGGCGCCTACAGCAGCAGGGGGGTGCCAATTTGACAACAAGAGTTGATACAAAACCACTTTACGGCATAGATTTATTATTATTATTATCTTTTATTTTATTTTTTTGGAAGTGCTCGTGCCGCCCCCCATGAGTCATGATACAAATGCCGCCCCGGGCGGCTGCCCTGTTTGCCTGTGCCTAGAACCGCTACTGCTCTTCACCCACCGAGTAAGGAAAGATAATGGACAGTTGTGACAAACCAATGATACCGCCTACCTCCTAACAAGCAAGTTCCCTCTGGAAGGTACCGGCTACCAGGAAACCCACTGTTGTCAGCACTTGCAGCGGGACTGGCACAGCAGGGTTCCCTCTGGAGTCTCTCTGTAATGCCGGGCCCAACGCATCGCAGAGGTCCAGGAGCACAGCAAGTGGCAGCCAGAACCGGTTCATGAGCCAGTCGTCATCATGAGCCAGTGGATCCTGCTAGTCTCTGAAGATCCACCCCCTCCGGAGTCTCCATTGCGCCACGTCCTCCAGCAGTGCCAGATAAGCCATTGTGCGTCCTTACGCATTGTGAGGGCGTGCCTTTTTATACCCAACCATAACCTAATTTCCTGATCAGCTACAGGTGTTGTAGCCTAATTGATCAGTAGTTTTGTGCAAGGATCATGTCATTTTGATTACAATTAATAATACACAACTTTATTTGTATGATACATTTTGGGTTACTGTCGCGTAAGGTTTGTTTCACAATGACGGAACATAATTGATTCATAAATGTGTGTAGGCACGCATGCGTGTACGTGCGTTTACTTGCGCACTCCCTGGGGCATCAATATACATTGTTCCTCCTTCCTTTTTTCAAATATATCCTTAATGTATGTGTTGTGAGTATGTAATATTTGATTATCATTTCACACAAATGTACCAATTTCACATACAGTAGGTGTCTTTAATTTCCTCCTTTCACTGTTGGGGTCGCAGTTTCTCGTTTCTCCAGATTTTGTGCATACGGCAGGGTATGGAGGTGCGCACATTCTCCCGTCAAGTTTGTTTTCTATAAATCCCAAACATTTCTTACAAGTGGAGTACGCTTTCTTTTGTGCATATGCAGCATTTATAAATGAGGCCCCAGCTCAGTAACACCACCTAGTGGTCAGCTACAACACACCTCAGGTTTAATGTTACAGCTTGATGTTTCGACACAAGAACCTCAGGATAAATTAAGTTTCTTACCTGAACTTCCCAAGGAGGACAAGAACAAAGCCGATGAAGAAGAGGACAAGAAACCAGGAAATCCCTCTGATGTTCTGTCCCTCAGTCGGCCCTGAGAGTACAAACATCTCACTAACACACTTAGAAATAAATGCAACATTTATTTTTTCCACATAACTCTTCAACTTTTTCTCCTTTGAGTTTTTAAATCTCAAATATTTTATCATTATTATTGTGGCTCTAATTCTCAGTCATATGATAACAGAAACTATAATTGAAAAAAACAAAACATTTTTTCATTTTAAGGTTTAATACTCTACAGCATGTGATGACCTTACTACACTCAGACAGCGAGGGGAGCTCCCAACATTTTGGCTTCACTTTGGAGGAGACACAATGTCAACCATCTTTTAATACTAAATATGATGTTGGACAGTGATCTTTGTTAATAAAGAAGACATCTGACTTTGTAGTGATGTGGGTTCTCTTGGAGCACTCGCCATTTTTGTTTTTGGGCTCATCTGCCTTTGCACCAGTCTGCATCCTCCCCTCAGACAACCTTTAGGCAGCTCCAGACAGTGCCTCTTATTAAAGCAACCTTGTCCATTCAGATCCCTGCTTGGACAATGAGAGACACAGTCCAAACTGTGCTAAGAAATCAACTAAAACATGTTGCAAAAAGCTTACAGTACCATTAAATGGAACCTTAGAATTCAATGCTCCTGTGACAAGTTTACAGTGCTGAAATTGACTGAAACTGATCATAATTTCGAATTTTTGACCTATTGAAGCAGAAAAAAAAAAACACGAGGACAGGATTTATTACTTTTCTGTTATTTCTATTGCCAGACAAGTTGTCAGACAATGCGGTGAACAAAAACAGCTTATTTTTCACTTTAACATTTGTATGTTTAAAAAAACGCAGGATGAGATCATTTTTGTGAGGTCACGCCATGTTCAAATGTTCAGGGCAAAATTAGTACAGAGGCAAAGACATTGCTTGATCACAAGGGGTGCCAAAGTCAACACAGCCTGAGGGGTTTTCACGGGAACTTTAATAGGTTGAAAGAGTTGAAAATTTAATTAAATGAGTCATTGAACCCATCACTTTCACCCTAAACAGAGCTAATTTGCTGGCAAGTCAGCCAATAAAGAATGACAAAGTTTCTGAAAAAGCTGTAAACAGTTTTATTGTCATGACATCAGCAGCAGAACAAATAGTCAGAATATACATTCATCAGAAACACACTGAACACCTGCTGGACAAACACCTGTCTAAAAGTCACTTAGTGTGTTAAGGTTCTGTGCTAACACTCGCTCTAATCTATTTTCAGGTGCTACGTCAAAACATGCAGAGCATGTGATTGGCTGCCAGCTATCAGGTGATCTACCAACCAGGAGAAGTGCAGTGCAGAGAAACAAACCAGGAACAGTCAAATCAGACAAATCAAAAGAAAAGAAAGTAAAAATAGTTTGAAAGTGATGGTGAGGTGGGTGTGATTGTGGGAGGGGTCACATCTCAGTCTCAGCCAATAAGCTCTCACCTAGACCTGATGTCAGCAAGACCATCTGGGGGCTGGAGTCTGTGGGGTCAAAGAATGACACGTTTAGAGCTTCACATCAAATATAAAGGAGCAGACCACCAAGTCTGACTGATTAAAATCATTAACTTTAAATGATCTAACTTCTAATTGTGTTTGTTATAGTGAAAAAAAATAATGAACTGTTTATACATTCATTTCACTAAGCTCTCACTGGCTCCACTCCTGTTTAAATTAGACAGGAAAGTACATTAGTTCTTAACTATGCATGTAAAGAAAGTGAAGCAGAAAACGAATAAATGAACCTTGTAGAGCACAGGTTTAATTGGTGACCAGAGGCGGTTGGCGAGACCAGATGAACTGGTTTTGGGCAGCTAGTCAGTTTAACCCCACACCTATCTAAGTTACCAGGATCTGACCTTTGTTGTCATACTGAGTGCTAATAGGATGATGAACACAGATGCTGACACAATGAGCTACACAGTTACACTCAGACTGCACATTGTGGACTTTGATGAATTGAAGAGGAGTCTTTATGCTGATTAACCCTTGTTTCCTTTATAGGACACTTCAAAACCAGTAGCTATTACACCTCTGCAACTGCAAACTCTGGATTATAGAGTAAGAAAAGATAAGGAGAACTTTATCTATCATCAAAGGAAAATTCAATATGCAATGTATTGAGTGTTTGCTCAGTTTTTACTGATCAAATGAGCTTTTCAAAAAGTGTACAACATTTTCATCAACCAGTAGGAAGCTGTGTGGCCCAAAATGTAGGAAGCTATCAAAGCTTTATAAAAGTTAATTAGCATCAGTTTTATTGATGTACAAACTAAAAGACAAGTGTTTTTACAGCTGGACAGGAGGCTTTCATACCAATAGGCAATGCAAACAGACCTCTATCACTTAAGTAAGGATGAATGGACCCCAGGAGAGTCGTTGCTACCTTAATTGTCGTATCATTACGAGACTCATAGCACAATTATTATCATTTCTTTCTCCAACTTATTTATGAATAATTATGAATTACTTTGATTTGCTTACCTCATTTTTCTTTCACTTCTGTCATCCCTCCACACATACACACATCATACCTGCAGCTCTTCTCTCATTTACACAACAACCCGTTTTATCCCCCCGCTGCTCCCCTTCACGGACACCATAATAACACAACTCAATACTTTGTTGTCACATCAGGTTAACACCACAAACAGAGTGGTAATTGAACCTCTAATAAAGCTAGCTTCAGAGATCAGTTACTATCCAGTGTTTAAATATTCTCTATGAGAATAACACACTCACTATACATTATCTCACATAGCTACCTACTTTTTCATAACTTTACACCAAATATTGATTTAATATGATTTTGTTAAGCTGAAGGTGTTTATGTGTGTGTGTTTATGACACTCACAGTCTGAGCAGCACCGATATTATTGGTTAAATGTGAAGCATTATTTAAATGGAGCGGTTATTACTCATGTTTAAATGAACAATGTGCTGATGATGAAGTAAAACATGGTGAGAAGCATCACTGCATGAATCAGTGCAGAACCTGATCGAGTTTTTCTGCCCTCCTACTGTCATACTGTGAATTTTCTTATTATTAGTCCTTAAACATCCTCATACCCTTTACTAAGAGTTGTCATGCACCTTGTTTTTGAGAACATGTAATTAACCCCTCCAGTTCTCACGCTGCTGTTTCCCACATTTGTGTTTTCATTTTTCTACCATAATCAAATACCTCTTTCTGCACAATGATAAAATAACAGTCCACACAAGTCTGTGATGACAGCCACATTCCTAGCAACAGTGTGGTCTGCATTGCAACGGACTGCTATCAAGCAGTAATGGATCCTTATGTTATGAATCAGAATCTACCTATTGCACCTATGTAATAAGAAAGTTACATTCAGGTGTGTAATCTGCTCTGGATCACAGAGCAACCACAGAAGAACAAATCATCAATTATTGATCGATAGAGACTGGATTATAGAATATATTCCTCATTTACTGGTTTTAGATAAGAAACCAGATTCACATTGAGACCTCTAGTATACAGAGCACAAAACATCCTACTGTAACGGAGGACACCTAGAACCAGGGAACCAGGACTGCACTGGGTCAGCTGGGACAGGACCAGCATAAACTGGGTTTATGTGGAACAGATGGGTCACACTGAGTCACATAATCAGATGTAACTAAGCCAAGTTAAACTCAACCAGCCCTAAATGTGGATCAACTGTTAGTGACTAGGCTAATACTGGGGCAGACTGGGGTCATGCTGGGCTGAACTGGGACACAGCTTAGCTAACATGAACAAACATCAGACAAAAAAACTGACACCAGAATTCAACTAGACAAGTTGAACCAGTGTGTTAAGATTTACCAGTAGAACCAATGAAAAATAGTCCCACCATGTGTTTTAAACCAGTAGAGCCAGTGTGATGGATAACACTGGCAGAATCAGTGTGTTACAAAGGAGTATTAGAACCAGCACCAGCTCTTGTACCATTGTAATAAGCATTATCAACTGAACCAGTATCATACACTGTAAAGTTAATATAGTTGACTCCTGCAGAGCTGGTTCTGGGGGCTCACTGGTCTGTTCAGTATGAACCAATCCTGCTGTCTTTGAGTTAACAGTACAGAGGAAGAGGTCAGACAGTCTATGAGACAGTTCAGGGGAGTAATCAGCCCTTACTGCTGTGCTGAAGCCAGGCGGGGGTCTGGTACTTTTCTCTGATTGGCTGATACTTGTCTCTGATTGGCATCAGGGCGCTACTTGCAGGACCAGACTGGAGGAGCGGGGCTTCTCTCTCGTCATCCTCCTCCCCTTCAGAGAGCAGGTCACAAATCTGCTGCTGCAATTCCAGACTGATGTCGTTCTCAGCCAGGACCAGGACCCGCAGACTGGTTGGGTAGTTCTCCACCATGTCTAGGAATACCTAAAGACAAAAACTTCAAACTAGACTTTATTGATACAAAGTGGCAAACGCGAAAGAGTGACTCAGCAAGATGCTGCGCCATTGTCCTAAGACCTGGTACAGCTCATAGACAACACAAGGGGATCTCAAAAACATCAGAATAGTATAAAAATACTTATTTTACATTAGTCATTTTGTAAATAAAACTGCAAACCAAAAAAAACAGCTGTTGGTCCTTCTCCATTTACCAGTTTCCATTTCATTTTGTTGGGTGGATAAAATTGGCAGCAAGATAGCTGGTTGCCTGCATATTACAAAAGTCAACCCTGAACAGTCCAGCACACCTGAAAACTAGACCAGAGTTGGTTGTTATCATATTAACACATCTCAACAAATCTCACAAATCTTCCCTTTACTGTGACGCAAACATGATTCAAATAGACCTTATGGTTACATAGTTATAAGCATTTGATTATGGGTATGATATTTTTGAGCAAAAAAGCTAAAAAGGGCGTCGGGTATAAACATTTTGCCTAACCATCACCAATTACATCACCAAGAAAAATATGCCCTCTAAAATTTGAGGGTTTTGTCTTTTGCAGTGTCATGTAAAGATTTAAATCTTATCTTGTGTCTTATAACCAGTCAAAATATCTAGATAGAGGTGACTTCAACCTGAGAAGTCCAGCAAATATCTTAGAGAGCCTAAAAGTGAAAAATGAGGTCTGAGTTGCGGAAAGTATCATTTTTCCTGTTAAGTTTGTATAAATGTGATCTCACTTAAAGAAACTTCACAAGAAAACTTTGAGAATTTGATAAGCATTATAGACCTAACTTTGGAAATACAATTTATTTATGAACTTGTGGTATAAATATCTCCTTTATTATGTGTAGCAACATGATTCATGTAGGAATGCTTTCTATAAACTTGTGGCTGTTATGGTGCTGAACATGACTGCTGCTTGGTCGATAACATGAGCTGATCATAGCTGTGTACACCTGCTCAGGTAAATCAAACTATCAACTGCAGTTTGCTTCTTGTTTTCAAATTTGCACGTCAAACTTTGGGGCCTCCAGCACTAAAATCTAGATATATCAGACATTTCTTTGGGCGTCTGCAGTAACATGTCTGTAAACAGTAAGATTAGAATTTAAAGAACAATATACAGTATAATATATAATATAAACTCACCACTTAACGTGCATTATTAACACACACATTAAGCCTTAAAAATGCATTTATAAAGAATTTACAGTCGTAATAGTTTATAGTTTAACACCTCACGGAGGCATGATTTATTATGTCTTATACTTTAAAGTAAAACTATCAACAGCATCTTTTGTATTCTTGGTTTTGTTCTTTATGAACCTACATAACTGGATAAAGTTGTGAGAGTAAAATATGTATAAAGACGCTGTTCTTAGTTTTTATATCAAGCTGTAATACATGATAAATCAAACCTTCGCTGCTTGTAACACTTCATCATCCCTGCTATAAGCTGTGATGGGTGTTTATTGTTATTGAGCCTTATAAATGCATTAACAGGGTTTTAGTGATGTGCCTATCATGCATTCAAAGTGGTTGGCTCATAGAAAGTGTCTTTTCCCTATTCTATTCAGTGCAGGTGTTGAGGGTCTGATGATACTCATGATGAACTACAGCTGAAACATCATCTATCACATTAACTCACAGCTGACACCAGTCATTTCTGCTTGTGGGTGAACAGATGCTTAAATCAGTTTATCAACAAAAAGAGGGTCAGAAACAGATGAAATGAAGCATGTTTGGTTGTTTCTGTGCTGGGGGATTTCCGGATCAATGTCTCCCTCTTCTGGACACATGGCTAAATGACTGAAAGCTGAGAGAGTCACACTGACACTGATGTGGGAGAAATTTTAAAGTAGAAGATAAGAGAGGAAGAGAGATGTTCAGTGTGACTGGTGACCTGTGCGGACTGGTTGGTCAGTCCGGTTCCTTCCAGATCCAACACCTCCAGGGTTCTGCTGGACGCTACAGCAACTGCCAACATCCCAGCAATCTGATCACCTAGAAGAAAAGGGAAACCACAACCGATATGCAGAGGTTACGCCTCACTCAGGTGGCGTAGGTTTGATTCCAGCCTGACTCCCCACTCTCTTTCCCTATTCCCTGTCTTATCCCCTGTCTTTTCTAATAAAAACACAAAGAAGCAGAAAAAATATGCATATACTTATGCAGGTTCCTCAGATACAACAGCTGGTAGCGCTTTAATGGCAACACCATTCTTATCAGCTAACCCCCCCCCCCCCCCGGAGTCACAGATCTTAACATTTTCCTGCTTTAATGTTACAAAACATATTAAACATATTAAACAAATTAAACCTCTCAGTCAGGTCTGTAATTCTGCCAAAGCTCACACCAGGTTGCATTTTGTGGTTGTTGTGTCTGTTTTCTGTAATTTGGCCAGCATCTCTTTCTGAGCTGTTTTCCCACTTACCAGCATTTGGCCACAAATCTAAAGGTTTAAATTAAGAGCAGTTTTCAAATACCCTCCATGTTGTTTACTGAGGCTGTTTAATATGTAACCTTTACTGAAAATGTTCTGTCAAATGTGAATTATAACAAAAGGCCCGCTCATGTTTTAGCATGCCTGTAGATTGGGATGTTAATTTGTTCCACAAGGGGGCTGTCAGTTGTCGTGGAGAATGTTACCAACCATGGAATCGGAGAGACTATTTCTCTTAAGATGTGTGGATAAGATATTTTCCTATCAACAAAATCACCTTTAAATCAGTGTTTTCTTCCTCACTCACAACATGTCCGAAAATACACTACAATAAAAACAGGTTTCATCCCTCAAATATAAAGCTGCACTGTAGGGTTACTTTTTAACACATGTGGACTGTATTGTACTAGCAAAAAAAATGCTGTTACCCAGTGGGTTGTAGTCCAGATTGAGCACTCGGAGTTGTGAGCTATGAGCCACAGCGATGGCGAGTCGAGCCCAGCCTTTGGAGCTGATTCCTGGGTTAGCACTCAGAGTAAGTTCCTTCAGACCTGAACACAACCACAAACACACTAAATGAGATTAATGAAAGACCGACAGTATCTTTCAGTGGACAAATACTCCATGTCTGATTTTAGATTTTTAAACCTTGACACATCTGTCCTGAAGATGGTGAGCTTTCCAAAACTTTTTAAGCCACGAAATGTGCTCATTCGATCACTTCCTGTAAAGCTTTTGAATCTGTGCTTTTTGGGCAACTCTCTCATTTTTTACATTTGAAAGCTTCTGTAAGGAACTTGGGGTTTGTATTGACTATGATGCTGCCTGTTGACAAAGTTGGACTCAGTGGAGGATGTGGTGGAGAGACCTGCACTGTGGAAGGTGGAGTCTATTCTAAAGGACATGGATCACCCACTTCATAACACCTTAATGGACCAAAGGGCCAGTGGTGGTGGACGGCTCTTCTCTCTTCGCTCCAGGACAGAAAGATTTAGAAGAGCTTTTGTACCCACAGCCATCAGACATTACAACTCTTCTATAAATAGCAGATGACTTTTTGACACATGAGACCACAGACAAATGAATTTCCCCTGAGGAATCAATAAATTTCTTCTTTTTTTCTTACAAGGTCACTGTCCCCATTCAATTATTAGAAAATAAGCAGTTAAATCCTCCTGTCTCCATCAGTGTGTGGTGTCAGTATTTGGACATCTGAGCTGATGAATTCAGGTTGTCTGAGCCTGAAATAACCCAGTCCCGTGAAACTAAATGTCCTTTATTGAATAACTACCCAATGCCCTCAGACTGAAGACGTTTCATCAGATCTGCTTCTCACTTACAGCCTCATTACTCAGATTACTGTAGGAATGGAGTTTCTTGTCCCAGCTATCATTTTATCTCTTCACTAAACACATCATTAAACTCTCATGACACTGCTGTCATCTGGCTGTTATTGCCCACTGAGGAAACATAACAGACAGGTTAGTGGGGGTGACAGGTAAACTACCAGTTAACTGCTGTCATCCCCTCATGCAGGCCACTTATTGTGTAAATAGGTTGCTATGGTGATTGTGGTAGTTGCTATGACAGCACCAGGTGGTTGATGTGCTTTCCATGAGTGTGTACCTGCTTGAATTATACATAGAGGGCCTTGTTTCCTGATCTGTTCACAACTTTAGGCTGAAGGCTTTTGAGAAAAGTTCAAGTCAGATTGATGACCTTTGTCCTGAACTGCAGGATTGTTCACATCTGTGTTCTTCAGATGATGAATGTTATGTCCTTGCACATCAGAATTTTGTGCCAGTTTTTCCTAATAAGCAAGTAAATCCCCTCTAATGCCAATAAAAGGACATGAAACTGTGAGGTCATGGGCACCAAGAACCGTGCCTTAATATGGACGACACGCCTCCATGCTCCACCAAACTGTGAAGAAATTATGCCATAAAACTTCCCCCATTGTATTTTTGTGTTTTAAGTGCAAATTGGAGTGCATGTCAAAGCCATTTCTCCATGACTGTGATGCTTTGTGTTCTTCTATGCTGGACCTCTGCATATGGGTTTGATCTGATCATACCAACATGTTCAACCGAAGGTCATAAAGCCTGCAGTCAACTGTGACTGCTGATTGGTCAAAAGGTACAGCACAATGTCCATGTGGGGAGGAATATTCTATCAGAAGCCGTGAAGCTACTGGTCTCTTTTCTGGCTGTATTGATAAACAGATCTCAGTTTACTATTTCAATGTAGTGCCAGGGCTGGAGTTTTTGAAGCAGCCATATGTTTTCAGCTTTGCAGTTTTTGTGTGCTTTTTTGTGGAGTCACAACACAGCATCCACGAGTTAGGGTGGCAGCTCTTCTCTCTTTCCCATCTCTAAATCCAGCTCGGTCTCGGCAGATGACTGTTTAACATGAGTTTGATTCTGCTTGAGGTTTCTGCCTGTCAAAGGAAGTTCTCCCTCTCCACTCTAACTTCATAAATGCTGTTAAGTGTGTCACTTATGTGGTTGAAGATGTGATGGGAGTGGGTCTGATCTTACAGGATGGAGCTCAGTCTGATCCAGTCTTTACATTAAGTCTTTGTCAATTATGTCTGGTCTTGAGCAGCTTTTTTGTTCAGTGTCTTGAGATAACACTTGTTGTGATACTTTATGAATAAAGATTGATAGGTGATTAATTGCTGCAGTCATAATGCTGTAATGCTGTACTAGATAGACGTGAACAAACCCGGACAACAACATTTCGTAGCACAGTATTTTGAATACACCTACCCCAATCTCACAAGTTTCAGTCATTAAAAATGACACCATACTAACAGTTAGTCTTGTTCATGACGGTTTTTCTTGCTTTTGGATATCATGAAAAGACATCAATATTAGTTTAGCTCTATTTCATACATGTGAAAAAACCTCTTCACTGTCGCCATTTAATGACTTGGACATTAGATGCTTCTCTACACTTGCTAGGTGCTTCTGTGTTTACAGTTCTACAAGTTGATGGTGTTTTATATGAAGTCACAACTGTATGACCATGGGGTTTTTTATACCTTTAAACAGAGATTACTGCTGTTGTTACATGTTTTGTTTTTGTTTTGTTAACAAGATGAGGCTTAGAATAGTGGAGAAGTTTTATGTTGCTATCAAGCTAGTTTCAGCCGATGATTGTAAAATGATTGCTGTGTTTTTGCTTGGTGGTTTTTGGTTTGCCTGGTGTTTTTTTAAGCATTTGTTACCTGACTTTGCTCCATCTGGAGGTAGCATCCCACAGATCAGAGCCAGCGCTTCATCTCCAAGCATGCAGTCACCTAGATCCAGACAAACCAGTGTTGGGTGGGTCGACAGGGCTGAGTTCAAGGTTACCAGACCGGCATCCAACAGCGGACTGCCATGGAGACTGAAGAGGACGAGGACAATGGCTTTCAAATAACTCCCTTCATGATCAGCACTTATATTGAAAGCAACTTAGATTCTTAACATGAATTTAGACAGGTTGTTAGAGCCCAATATGGCACAACCATAGACTGTACATATGATAGACAACATGGCTCTGCCTCCTGTCATTATATGGATTTGAAGCCAAATTGCTCTTGGTATTTCAGGGATTTTCTCATGTCCTGTGGGAGAGTCGCTGTGATGGCACTCTACTCAAACAGTGTATCCCCCGGATGAGCTACACAATATTCGTACGTGCATCGGGTGTGTCACGTGTCAATCATAGAAAACATGAACCCCCTAATAACTTTTAAAAATGGAGCTGCACAGAAAAAAAAGAGGACTTGAGCACAAACCAGTCTTTCAATAACTACTTGTCAATATCACAATCAGGGGGGAAAAAAAATGTATAAGTTTATTATTTTTTAACGTTTGTCCACAGCTCAATTCATTTTGCTGGAGGAGGCGGGGTTTATGATCTACTGCAGCCAGTCACCAGGGGGTAGAGTATTGACCCAGCGAGGGGGCAGAGGACGTCCATTGTGTAGACAGTCTATGAGCCCAATGATCTTAAATGTAACAGTGACCCGAAATGTAATAAAAAAATGTAATAAAACCTAAAACATAATAATTGACCAAAAATATAACAATCACATTACACTCACACACTGATGGTAGAAATGTAACAAAGTGTTACATTTTACAAGGTGTTACATGTAGCAAGGTGTTACATTTTGGGCAAAAAGTTATTACGTTTTGGGTTCAGCATCTTGTTACATTTGGGGTTAGTTTTTACATTTTGGGTTTATTACTTTTTTTTTCATTATTACATATCCTGCTCTAACAAGGCTGAAACAAATACTCACAAAAGGGTCTGCAGGGATCTGTTGGTCTTGAGGGCATCGGCCAGATGTCGTGTCCGGTTGATGCTGGAGACGACGCCCAGGTTGAGGTTGAGCTGAGCTAGTGAGTGCGACTCTGCGACACTCCGGCAGACCCGACCAAAGTCCCGATCAGACAGCTGGCAGCCCCGGACAGAGAGCAGTCGAACACTGTCCTCCTTCAGACTTTCACAAATATCCTGAACCTCAGCTGCAGACAGCAGCTCCCCTGTGATCTGGATGGAGGCTGGCAGCATCCTGGATGGGACTGGGAGCACTCGAACAACTGGAGACGTGAAAACAGAGAAAAAGTTTTCAGATAATAAAACAAACAAGAAAACACAAGCCACTAATGGGCAGTTACTGTTTAAAACTCTGCTGTTTTAAACCATCAGATGCCCTGACCTCTCTTCCTGTTTGGCCTGTTTTTCACCAACCTCTAGCCTCTAATTCCCAGGAGGTGCCACACAGCTTAAAACTCAAATATTACAAGTTTATTTGTTGTATTTTTACCGAAAATTGTCCAATTAGGTGTGAATTGAGTCACATTCACCTGATAATTTCAGTAAAACGGTAGATTACAGGATATTACACACCACAAATAAGACCTGAATTATGGAAGCGATTGTGACTCATATCTCAAATTCAAAAGCATTAGCAGAGATGCTTTTTCATTTCAAAGTCATGGCTGCAATATTTGACTCAAAAATAAAAATAAAAAGCAATATTCCAAAATGCATTTTCATCTTCAAGACTGCCCATTCTGTGACTAAATTTAAAAGAAAAAACAAACTCAGAAATGCTCTTCTTTTTCGTGCTCGCCCCACATAAAATGTGTCTCAGAATTCGATCTTATTCGCAATCTCAAGTGGTGCCGGAAAGTGACGTCACGGACCCCACTCGTTTTGGCCCCTTCTGGCCGATAGGGGGCAGTGAATCCGTGTATCATTGAATGAAATCAAACCGCGGCTCGCGGCTATCTGTTTCAGCGGACTAATGGACTTTATACTCCTCATTGTTCTCATCACTGATGAATGGATTTAGGATATTTTGCAAATAAAGGGCCATAAACACAGTGAGAAACAGACAAAATGGTCATAGAGATGCCTTAAAAATACATGGCACGGAGGCAGAATCACCGCAGTCTTTGTCCGTGTTAACCTGTGACTGTATGCAGATGTCAGCGGTGTGTCAGGTGTGCTGGTCCTTTTACTCACTCACTGACAGCATGGAGACGTGGACTCTCCACATTTTATCTTCAGTGGACTAACCTGTGACAACCTGTACACTTATACAGGGGTGAAAGTTGGATGAGGTTCTTACTGTACCTGTAGGCTTTGTACAAGAGGAGCATACCCAAGTTTGACAAGGTGCCGACTAAGGATCATTTGAACAAGAACAATACAGAAAGTTGCACACTCTTATCTCCTCTGCTGTTTTATTACCTTACCGTTTCAGATACTGTACCCCTGAAATAAACTTTGCAACAACATACACAAAATTCAACATCAAGGCATGCTGCTGCAGTGTTCTAGCTGTGAGCTGCACAGAAGCCAGCTAACAGCATACAGTACAGGTGCTCCTCAACAAATAAGAATAAATATATTCTCATTCATTGAGATGGGATACTTGAAATTAGAATATTTTTAGTCCACTAAAAATATTGAGTCAAATATTGCAGCCATGACTTTGAAATGAAAAAGCATTTCTGCTAATGCTTTTGAATTTTCGAATTTGACATTTCAAATTGAATTTTGTTACCTTTTTGCTGGTGAATGTTTTGAAAATTAAATGTTAAATGTGATTTGCTTTTGCTTTTTAAACGCAGTCACAGAATGGGCAGTCTTGAAGAAGATGAAATCACATTTCGGAATATTGCTTTTTATTTTTATTTTTGAGTCAAATAGTGCAGCCATGACTTTGAAATGAAAAAGCATTTCTGCTAATGCTTTTGAATTTGAGATATGAGTCACAATCGCTTCCATACTGAATTGCTTGCAATAAGTCAGAAAAATCTGCCATTGAAGTAAGAAAAATTGACAAACATGACAAATGTGCAGATTACATGCATTTCTGGTCTTACTGTTGGAGTGTAATATCTTGAAACATTTTTCTGGACTTGTCAGGTGACTGTGTCTTATAATAGGTCCTATATGACACTTTTTACTGAAAATAAGGGGTAAAAATCCCTAGGTCTGAGGGTTTTGCAGTTTAAGTGTTACTTATATGACTGTAATTTAGTAGCTTTTGTGAACCTCTTCTCGTTTAAAGTTATTTTTAAATTAGAATTTGTACTTTTTAGTATTTTTTAAGTGGAAGTTATAGTTTTAGTCACTGAGTCAAAGAATTTCTAAAAAACATACAAACTCTGCATCAACTTTATGAAAGCTAGTTTACTGAATGATGCCTACACTGCAAAATTTTCATAGCCTACCAGGTGAACTTTTTTCCAATTCTAGTCAAAATATCTCATGGCACTTTGGTTAAGCTACATTGACCAAACAGGTTAAAATTTAAGTCCTATTTCGAGCCCAAATTTTCTCGATAACTTCCTCGAAATAAGTTTTACATTTGGTGTCAAGAAACTTTGCCTGCTACACTGGTATCTGTTTTTATACTTTGCAACCAATGAAGTTCTTAATATTGGCTCATGAAAGCGTTTCATTTCATTGTATTGCATGTCACATTCACCCAATCACATTACACTCACACACTGATGGTAGACACCACTAGGTAAAGAGCCCATCAGACCACTGGTGCAGCCACTGGATTAACTTTGGGGTTTACCATTCTAACCCAGGGGAACAAACAGCTGACCTTTGATGTGGGAGATGACCCACTCTACCACTGAGCTAGATCTACCCAACAAACATATGCCACAGACTTCAACAGCTGGGGCAAACCCTACTTACATATCATTGACTGCTTTTCAGCCTTTTTAAACCTTTATCAATCAATCAAGGACATGAGAGAATTCCTACTGAGTAACATGTTACATTCACTTTTGACAAAGCAATGTGTTATTAATCTAGTTTAAAACACTGTTTACATTTACAACATACTAAATACAGTATATTTGCACAAGGCACCTTCTTCACTTAATAGCTTTATATGAACTGTCGAAAATACAGTTTACTGAGTGGTTTCTGAGACAGTTACTTAGATGATCTCTTCCTTTGAGTCTGTCTGGAGAAATCCTAGATAATGAGATTATGGACTGGCTGTTTGCTTCAGAAGCTCCTATCAGGCGTGCAACTAAACATACCACACCAATGAGCAATTTCTAGTACTTTTCCCAATTTCAACTTGATTTTTTTTTCTTGTTATCTGGGGGTAACAAAGCATGTTTTATTTTTGTGACAATTACAATTTACTGAGATCTAGAAAAGAAAAGAAAAAGTCAGACTAGAACTTGACTTAAGATACATGTAAACACATAAGTCCAACTGAAATCACATGCAAATTTCTCAGAGTTGACCAACATACCCAGACAATGTGATAGTATGGTTGGGGCTTGATTTACTCTCTTGCATGCAGACACCTCAACTGACCCGTAACCAGCCTCAGCATCCCCCACAGTTCTGGGCCTTTACCTGGAAGTCAATCAGCATAAATGTGTAGAAGGAGCCAAATAGCAGACAAAACCTCAGCTCGAGGAGAAAGGGAAGGAATCAAAATTAAGCTGACATATTGTACATCCAAAAGGTACAGAGTTGTAAAGTTTTCCATGTATTCACCATTTGGCAAACACCAGTTAGCCTCTTGCTAACCTTTTGAGAGATGGTTTTGGTATTTGATGTAACAGATCAACTAAAAGGTCCAAAAGCTTAAAATGAGGATATAAACACCTATCATAGTGGAGGGGGACAAACTTCTATCGATAGATGGATGCTGAACATCAAACTTCCAGTGGTGAGAAATGAAGCCAGTGCATGAGTGCAAAAATCTGCAGTAAACTGTCCATTTGAGACTGTCTCTGAAATCCAAGGAATCCCCATTAACACCCATGTCAAGATGATCAATTAACAGCCAAATTTAACATGTTTACAGCAGGGTTGTTGTTGTTGACGAAAATATTTTGTCATTGCCCTTTTTTTTCCACAACGAAGACGTGACGTTAACGAGCTAAACATAAGTCTTAGATGACTAAAATGTGACGAGACGAATGTGCGTTTACATTGATGAGACGAGACTAGACGAAAACTTAAGTGGTGGACGATGAACAGAGTTGCAAAATTCATGAGCATTTCCTCAGTCAAACGCTAAACATCTTGTGCTCAGTAGACTGTCACCTAGGTAAAGTTAGCATTTAGCATCCTGACACTTTAGCTGCACAGAGTGAAGAGAAGAGGAGGAGAGAGAGCTGGATTATAAACTGTTATTGACCCTGAGGAACTGTTTATATTGGTCATCTCGCTGCACCAATGTTGTTTTCGTTGATGATGACGTTGACGAAAACATTTCGTCAACGTCATCATCAACAACTGGTTTACAGCCTGGTTCATAAAGTGGTTTTGGGTCTGTGACTCATTTGTCATTGTACACTCCTCTCAGGGATTGAATCTCTTTTACGTAACACATCCACTGAGGAAAATTCAAGGTGCACGCATATACTGGTATACATTTACATAATTAAAAGGCATAGTAAATGTGACAAATAGGTGGGTGTGTTGTAGACACCTCAGCTCTCCCGGATGACCTGGGTCAGTGGTTCCAAAAGTGTGTGGCGCGCCTCCCCTGATAAGTAAATAGACATGGTAAATGGGCCATAAGGGGGACACATGTAGAGCAGAGCTATTTCCTGGTTGTTGGAAACATTTTTGATAAGTAAACCAGACATGCACTCTAACCTGCAGTTCATTCAAACACCGAGCAGATATCCGACACCCAGCCAATCCTCTCAAGACAAGTGTGGTGACAGCTAATCAACTGAAAACACCTCAAAGAAATAGGATGAAGCCTGACTTGCTCTGGGGCTCACAGTGAATGCAGAGGGAGATGTGGAGAGAGTGGCTGTGTGTGTATGTGTGTGATGTTTTGTTGGCAGCTGACCCAACAAAATAAGATGACACTGAAATGTTACACTGCAGTCATGTCAGGGTTTTACTGGGAATTTAGTGAATGCTGCCAACAGACACGTCACTTTACGAGTGCTACAACATAGAGAACTCATTGCTTCATATGAGGTTGCTGCCAGAATTGTCCCGTAGAGAAAATTATGCACTTCCTCTCAGACTGTAGCCATTTGGAAATTTGCAATAAATTTGAACTGTTCCTTTTAATGAAAATATTTCATTTGCTTTCTTTAAAGCTCATGTGAGGAGTTTTTGAAACCTTTATAAAATAATCTGAAATCCATACTGTCATCAGTTCATGAACTATTAAGTCAAACAAGACCATAAGCAACAAGATTGTCCAATTTTTATTCAGTAACTTACATGTTTCAAATTGGTGAAAGGGGGTAGGTGTCAATCAAGTAGTTACAGAAACAGCTTTTTTTTTCTTAACATTTCACCATAAACTATTCAAATAGTTTCCACATGAGACTGTGAAAATTCAGCAGTCAAAAATCCCCACTAGACCATGTAGAGAACAAGACAAGCAGAGACTGCGTCGTCGATAGGGGGTGCCAACATGGATACAAACCTCAAGTTCTTTGCAGGAGCTTTAATTTCGAAAGTCCACATAGTATTCTGATGTAGTTGTTTAGAGACAAATATCACAACAGTGTTTTATTAAAGGTAAACCAAAAGCTGTTTTTTAGTATTTTGATTTCAAATGTTAGAAAAAAAACAACAACTTTTTTAGCAATCAAGGCAGAGATGTCACAAAAAGTGTTTTGCCCATTCTAAACTTGGATGTTTCTTCTGTTGCAAAGTGAAATGGGGAGCCATTTAAAAGGTCTTTGACTTTTCCTTGGCTGATTGACCCTCATGTCTTATTATGATGGTCTGCTTTTCTCTGTACTTAGTTTAAAGGTTTTTAAGGCCATACAGAAAACTATTGTATGATAAGGAGTGTCCGAACTGGTAGTGTGCATGGCCCTTTTTTGTCACCAGTCTTGCATCTGGGAAACAATGTACAACTTTTGATTTCTTCAAAGAAACATGCAAAAAGAAGTGGAAGATCCTGAGGGACACCTCCATGAAGGACAGGAGAAAAGAGATGGAAAAGAGAGGTGGGTCAGCGGCAGGGGCAGAGGAAAACTGGAAGTTATCTGAGGTTCTGTCTTTCCTCAACTCCTTCCTCACCCCATGTGAAACCAGCAGTATTATGGAGCTGGGGGTCGAGGAAAGTAAGACCAGAGGGCACTGAAAGCCAGAACCAGGACTCAGCATGGGGAGCAGCAGCAGGCCATTCAGAAGATGAATAAAGTATTGATAATGTGCACAGCATTGGTGATTAGGAGGCTATATTATCTGACCTCCCAGCCAATTATCTGGGCCCTCTCACACTGAATGTCCGTGCATCGTTAAAGAATCTCGGCGTGACCTTTGACAGTAATTTTAAACTCGACAAGCAAGTCAACTCTATGGTCAAAAAAAGCTTTTATCAACTGAGAACTCTGTCTAAGGTAAAGGGTTACCTCTCTCGAAGAGATTTAGAGACAGTTATACATGCTTTTGTCAATTCAAGATTAGATTACTGCAATTCCCTGTATGTTGGCTTGGATCAAAATCTGCTCCATCGACTTCAGCTAGTGCAAAATGCAGCTGCCCGCCTCCTTACTGGGAAACGTAAAAGAGAACATATGACCCTGTGCTCGCTTCTCTCCACTGGCTCCCAGTCTCTTTTAGAATAAATTTTAAAACTTTATTGTTTGTTTTTAAAGCTCTTAATGGACTGGCCTCCGGGTATTTGTCCAAGCTCTTACACATTCATGCCCCCGCTAGAGCACTGAGATCTGCCAATCAGCGGCTGTTGGTCGTCCCGAAGACTCGCCTAAAGAGTAAAGGTGACCGAGCCTTTGGGGCGGCTGCTCCAAGGCTCTGGAACAGCCTGCCTCACCACATCCGTTCAGCTGAGTCGATTTAAAAACATACTTTTTCTCCCTAGCTTTTACCTAGCTCTTGATTGGTATTTTATATTTTATATTTGTTTTTTATCTACCTACGTATTTTATATTTGTTTTTATTTATGGTGTATTTGTACCTCAATTTTACTTTGCTGTATTTTAATCTTGTATTCTGTGTTTTTGATCATATTGTTTACTGTCTGTTTTATGTATTTCGCTGTGTCTTATTGACCTGTACAGCACTTTGGTCAGCTTCGGTTATTTTTAAAGTGCTCTATAAATAAAGTTTGAGTTGAGTTGAGTTGATTAAATGGGAAAAAATAGGAATAGGAAAGTGGGTTTTTTTGGGTTTTTTTGCAGATGTAATTGATAAATTTTTAATTTTAATGTCATCATTTGTGGAGAAATCGAAAGCCACATTATCATGGCCAGACCTGTATGATGTAGGATTCATATCAATGCATTTATATATTGTCACGCCAGAACATCATGAAGTCTTCAATGAGGGTCATGGCAGTGATGCTGAGAAACATCCTGCACTGCCATCACGTGCTGCTGCTCCTGCCCCCGGCCCATCCACATCCGCTGCTATCAGGCCCAGGGGGAAGGGGTGCTGGGTTGTGGGGGTAGGTGGGTCTTTCTTTGTGCATACGTAATGATTGTTATTGTTGAACGAATGTTATATATTTGTATTGTGTTCATTGCCTTTCATGTGTCATTCATATTCTTTTAATTTTCTTTTGACAACTTATACAAAAAAGTGTTTAGTTCATAAATTACATAAGTAAAATATGTTGTTTCCATTCCATACAGTGACTCAGAGGAAGAGACCTTGTCCCAGAGAGCAGCCGGCAGAGGTAGCCCTATCTCCCCCATCGGAGGATGAACTTTTTCTGAAAAGTCTGCTTCCTTCCCCGCAGAGATTGCCACCCCAAACCAAGGAGTATGTACATTTTAAAATTCACAAGATTATTTACGAAGCAAGTACAGTTTGTCTAAATTTGAAAGAAGTCAAAGAAAACAGTTTATTTTCAATTAGGACAACAATCTCTGCAGGGAACAAAACATATTCAAAATCTCTTTTCTCCTCTCCTTTGTCTCTCACTCTTCTACCTCACTCCTCCTGGCAAGCTCTTTGTTATTCCTAGATGTAATTTTTTTTTTTAATGTTTGATGCTTTTTGATTGAAAATATATGTTTTTGTGAACAAAACATTTTATTTTATGAAACAATGTTAGACTCACTTATACCACAGGTATCGCTTGGTTTTCTGAATTTCATTCATCCATCCATCCATCCATCCATCTATCTTCTACCACCTATCCAGGGTCAGGTCATGGAGGCTGCAGCCTGAGCAAAGAAGCCCAGACTTCCCTCTCCCCAGCCACTTCATCTAGCTCTTCCGGGGGGGACCCTGGGACATCTCTCAGGCCAGCTGAGAGATGTAGTCTCTCTAGCGAGTCCTGGGTCTCCTACCAGTGGGACATGCCCTGAATGCCCTGCCAGGAAGGTGTACAGGATCTATCTTGATTAGATGCCCAAGCCACTTCATCCGACTCCTCTCAATGTGGAGGAACGAATGACCGAGCTTCTCACCCTATCTCTAAAGGAGAGCCCAGCTACCCTGCAGAGTTTCCCCCACAGATATGAAGGTGCTGATTCTCATCCCAGCCGCTTCACACTCAGCTGGGAACCGATCCAGCGAGAGCTGAAGGTCACAACACAATGAAGCCAACAGGACCACGTCATCTGCAAAAAGCAGTGACCCAATCCTGAGGCCATTGAACCTGACCCTCTCAACGCCCTGGCTGGGTCTAGAAATTCTGTCCATAAAAGTTATGAACAGAATCGTTGACAAAGGGCAACCCTTACTGGAAACGAGTCCTAATTACTACTGGCTATGCAGACCAAGCTCTGGCACCGCTCATGCTTTTCTGAATTTCTGAATTATTTACATAGCAGTTCAGGTCTGTCCATCCATCCATCCATTTTCTACCGCTTATTCCCGTTCCCGGGGTCGCGGGGGGCTGGAGCCTATCCCAGCATCTTCAGGCGAAGCCAGGGGACACCCTGGACAAGTAGCCAGTTCATCGCAGGGCTGACATATAGAGATGAACGACAATCCACGCTCACATTCACACCTACAGGCAATTTGAAAGTGGCCAATTAACCTAACCCCACTTCTGTATATTTTTGTGATGTGGGAGGAAACCGGAGTACCCTGAGTAAACCCACGCAGACACAGGGAAAACATGCAAACTCCACACAGAAACACCCTGACCCGGATTCGAACCCAGGACCTTCTTGCTGTGAGGCGACAGTGCTAACCACTACAGTTCAGGTCTGTATCATGTTGAAATGATTATTGGGGCCACGGGGCAAACAAACCTATAGTCGTACTGTGGATTTTTCCTTATTCTGCTTCCGTCCCATTAACTTAAATGTAAAATCTTTGCAGCGAGTTATTCGCACCAATCAAGCAAGCTATTCTTGCGAATTCAGCAAAAAAATACCCACCAATCACGTGTTCAGATACACGCAAATTAAGTGAGTAGATGGTTTAATTCGGGCTTGGTGTGAAAACAAGGTTAGGCGTTTGAAGCGGTTAGCATGTCAGACCCAACGTGAATCATGTTGTTCTTGCAAAAAGTCTGTTCAGTTCATGCTATTTGTGAAGTCCAAGTAGGACATGCATCTAATCGTGTCCTTGCTCTGGCTTTACAAGTAATTCACTTAATGATTTTACATAATGTGGACACAAGGTAAGAGTAATAATAATAATGCATCATATTTTGTATGGGCTTCATCAGTGACCCTCAAAGTGCTTTACATTGGATACATCATTCATTCACTCACAAAGTCACATCCTGGTGGTGGTAAATTACCTTAGTAGTCACAGCTGCCCTGGGGCAGACTGACGGAAACATGGCTGCCAATACGCGCCAAAGGCCTCTCCAACCACCACCAAACACCACCAAACACCACTCACAATCATACACCAGTGGAAGACTGGGCTACCTCACCAATCACTCAGTATGTTTACATGACACTCGATAAAAAACGAATTATTCCCTTATTCCAATTAAGACCGGACAACCGAAGTGCATGTAAACACCTTAGTCCGGCTATAATCGGAGTTTGAGAACCTGGATTGGAGTTGGAGAACTCCGATTAAGACACCCAGATACTGCAATTGGAATTCTATTTTTTTTTTCTCTACCATGTAACCAGCATAGTCGGAATATGATCAGACAGTGCATGTGCGCGTGCGCCACGCCCCTGTAACTCCAGAACAAAAACACCAGAGAAGAGGAGTAGCGTGCATCTCATCTGAAGAAAAAGCAGCACATATATCATCTACGACAAAAACAATGCTGTACGATCCTCCATCTTCTTGCCTGAAAATCCCCAGTAGCAGTTGTAGCCACTGTTGTTGTTGACGACTGTTGTATGGGGTCAGAAAAGGCGCAGCTGAAAAGACCCATATCGCCCCCCAGTTGAGGGGAGGAGGGCACGTTCACATCAAGAATTCAATTTTCTCAGCTGCATGTATACACGGACAAGGAGAGAAGTCCGATTTGGCGAAAAACGCATTATGAGCTTGGTCCAATTAAGCTGTGCATGTAAACGCATTGACTTTTGTAGGGCTAATATCTGCTGTAGCTACAGGTCACTAAAAGTTAATAAATAAAAAAGTGACATTAACAAATAAACAGCTAGATAGCATTAAAATAAATTAATGAAGATAAATAAATAAAACTAAGAAAAAAGTAATACATATATTTAAAAAATTGGCACTTCATTGTGAGTCAAATGTTTAGTTTTCACTTTGTGATCAATACAGTTGGATCTGTGAATTAATTCAGACTATAAAGGAAGTTAATGGTTACTGATTGTTATCACTGCGTTTTAAACGTGGTTACAGGCTCGACTGATCGGTCAACTTGACACACCTGTGCTAATCACTGATCAATTAGTCTAAAGTAGCCTGTTTGTGGGCAGTGCAGGGATCGATCAACTCAACAGATTTATCAGCTCATCCAGACTTGGTTTTAATTTAACAAGTTAACGCACCTGATAGATGATATACGATCAGCTCACGCGGGGAGGATCGGCACTCTCACACGGTGATGTCATCATTAGCTGTGCCTCTGATCCCGCCGCAGGCCACGCGCCGGTTATGATGCACCACAGCGGACATCAAGGTCGATCGATCCCGGTTTCGATTGATCAGGTTTGATCAGATGCACTTAGGTGGGCTGCAGAGCAGAGATTGAGCGGGAGCCAAGCGGGGGGGTTGGTCTTTCAGTCCTTGAAGCTCGGTGAGTCCCGGTGTGTTTCTGCAGGTGACAGTTACTATGAGAACCAGAGAGGAGAGCATGAGAGAGAGGGCTCACTCTGATCTTTATTCATGGGACCACAAGGGGGCGAGGTGGTACGTCATCGAGGGGTGTGACTATTGACTTATTGTAGGCTTTTACAGAGTATAAGGAATATCTGTAGCCTCTTGGCATAATACAAATGAACAGAGGCAAAAGCTGAATAAGCTTTTATTTTACCTTTACATTTTTTTGTGTGTGATGAAAGAAGTGAAATGTGGGCTGGAAAAGGGGGAAAACAGGTTTGCAAATGTGTGTATGTGTTGGCACGTTAATAAGACATTTTACATAGCGTCACATAATTTGAGACCAATAATGAACCATGATGTGGCCAAGGCTTGATAACAATGTAGAATATGTAGCTTAATAGATGAAAAATAAATTAATCAGTTAATACAGAATAAATATTTGTTTTTTATTTTACTTCATTATTTTTTATCATGTTCAAAAAAAGATAAAGATATTATTGTTGACTTTTATTGTTCTGCACATATACATAGCCTATATATAAATATCAAAAAGATACGTGAATAAAAGATAATAATTCCACTGTCAAACCTTTGCAGTGTTTTTGGAAATTCCTTACTGTCATTGTTTTGTTTTATCAATCAACAAAATACATAAAATTAGGATAATACGTATACCTTTATCAATAAGTTTCTAAATTAAGAATGAAGATCTTGTATCTTGAAATGCGTTACAGAGACTGCAGAGTAATACTTGTAAAATGATACAAATAAATGAAATGAATAGGATGTTGTCACAAGTACTATTGTTTTTGTAAGAACAGCATCTGTAAAGTCCATTGACACAAAATTTAAAAGTTTAAGTATTTAGTGTTTGGTAATTTAGAATAATACATTAAATATGATCCACAAAGACCATGTGTTGTGGTCAAACCATAGACTGTGTATAATATAGACAACTTGGTTCCGTCTACCGCCTGTATACAGATTTGAAGCCAAAAAGCTCTCGGTATTTACGGGATTTTTCTTAATTTCCTGAAACCAGTGCTGCACAGTAGCGATGCGCGCATTCGGCCGCGCAGTCGCAGAGAGTCGCTGTGATGACGCTCGGCTCAAACAGCGTATCCCTCGGGTGAGTTACGCAATCCCTGAACACCCATAGGCTGTATCAGGTGTCAATCATAGAAAACATAAACCCCCTAATAACTTTTAAAAACGGAGCTTCACAGAAAAAAGAGGACTTAAGCACAAACCAGTCTTACAGTAACTACATGTCAACATCACAACCAGGGGGAAGAAAAATGTATATTTTGTGTAATAAATTTCTAAAGTTTGTCAACAGCCCCATAAGCTTTGCTGGCAGAGGCGGGATTTATGACCTTAACTGCAGCCCATCAACAGAGGTTGCTGTTCTTGGAGTGGCTTTACCCAGCAAGGAGGCAGACTCTGTCCATTCTTTTTACAGTCTATGGGTCAAACCAATGATTTTCTCTATGTTCAGGGTGATGCCTCTTGCCTTACTGACGATCTCTGCAGCTTTTGCGTCACATCTTGTTGATCCTCGTTTTGACCTCCTCCCGGTCACCGCCAACACTCTGATCACACGTGAATTATTTATAGTAATTTGATCATATATTGATGAGACACAGCGTCTGATTCAGCAGATCGTGTCCGCCCCGATCACAACAAATTTCCTAAAACAACTTCCGGTTCTTCTTTTAAAAATAAGAGCCCCCAAATAGGTTTTAAATGTACGGAAGCACACTCACTGGATTAAAAAAAAGGTAGATTATCTCGTAATTACTAGAAAAAGGAAATGTCTGTTAATCCTCTCTCAGTGGCAATGATGGCGCTACCGTAGTCAATCCGCTCTTACCCTCTGTAAGAGACAGTAGGACATACTTAAGTTTCTTAAAAATGAGGATGTTATTCATATAACTATTGTAGTAAACCTGCAGTGGACTGATGTTCTGTATTTTCTGTGTGTGTGTGTGTGTGTGTGTGTGTGTGTGTGTGTGTGTGTGTGTGTGTGTGTGTGTGTGTGTGTGTGTGTGTGTGTGAGGAGCTAATAGCTAGTAGTCAGGGAGTTAAAATCTCAAAAATGGTTTGAACCTGACATGGTCTGAAATACTTTTTACTTGTGTTTTTTTCTGTTAGCTTTGACTCTGAGAACCAACAATTGGAGGGTCTGCTCTGACGGAAACATCGCGGGAAAAAAAATTGTGGCCATTTTACTGTATCTACCCTTCATTTTTTGATAGAAAATTTAGCAAAATGAAAATTTTCCTCAAATCCTCAGTGGGTTGGGTAAGCTGTCAATAAATGCATTCTAGGTGCACAGAACACATGTGGCGACAACATCCAATGAAAAAAAAACTCTTAAAACACATTTCTATGTGGTTTTAAGCTCGTTCATCAGACAGAAATTTATCCTGCTTAAAAAAAGTGGTTGCATCTTAGTTAAATGTGTTAACTGATATGTGTGGTGCGATCTTTTTATTTACCTTTGTCCTGATAGTTGTACAACTCTCGCACAATACAGTATAAAGGACAAGAAGCGGGGAAATTTGAGGTGGTGTAAATACAGAGGATAAAAACCGTACAGTAAAGAAACAAAACGTCTTATTTGTCGGTAGTTTGCACAAGTAGTGCTGCAAGAAGAAGGACAAGACAGGCTGTCAGAGGGAGAAATCTTCTGGCTGTCCTATTGGATAATCAAAACAATGTAAGTACCCCACTTATAACATTTTTTAAAGGTTATGGCGTCAATTCGGTGCCAAATATCATAAAAACACCTACCCGCAGACAGACAGACACATAGATAGATAGATAGATAGATAGATAGATAGATAGATAGATAGATAGATAGATAGATAGATAGATAGATAGATTGATTGATTGATAGATAGATATTCGTGGTTTGCTAGCAAACAGTTGCAATAATCTTTTTTGTCACAGCTAAAAAATTTGTCTTGCATAATTCTTAAAGTTTTGAGGGGGGAAAAAAGAGATGTAGTGTATGTGGCAAATTTTTCTGACGCTATGCTCATCAATTTTGTCAGAGGATTGACAGGTGCTGAATAAAGTTGAGGTGAAAAAAAGCAACTCAGACCTCAGATGTTGGAAATCGGTATATTATTATGTGCAAAATCACAATGACAACGAGGACATCATTAATGTTACAGAAGACTTAAGCTTTCTAAAGAAGGCATGACAATCTAACCTATTTTCATAATTTCACCAGCTCAATAACAAACTTTGTGTACCATTAATTTGATTCATTTTACCTCCTCTTAAGATGATTGCCACGCAAAAATTTGTTATATTAGCAATGTGTGTGTGTGTGTGTGTGTGTGTGTGTGTGTGTGTGTGTGTGTGTGTGTGTGCGTGTGTGTAGTGCGATTTTTAACTCGTCTTGTGCCGCAGCAGCTGAAAAGTTTAGAGCCGGCTAATTTCGAGGTGTGTGACTCGTCACTAACTCCAATGACAAAATTACCAATAGACAAAAAATGTGCAAGAGGTAAGAGTGCCTCGGTGGGGATTTATCTGAATACACCGCCTAGCATTAATACTGCCTCCCCCACTGCCTCGGATTGAATCTGTCAGTGAGCACTTAAAATGACCAATCAGCAACGAATATCTATCTATCTATCTATCTATCTATCTATCTATCTATCTATCTATCTATCTGTCTGTCTGTCTGTCTGTCTGTCTGTCTATCTACCAACCAACCACAGAAATGACGTGCTGTATTCATGTTTTTGAAAAAGATGCTCCTGTACATTTATTTCAGCGGTGTTTGTGCAAAGACTGGTATTGTGACAGAAGAGGCAGTGCTGAGGTTTAACATTACTACTCTGCCTCTGATTGGCTCTGATATGGCGTCAATCGGTTCTATGTGACCAATCAGAGTGGAGAAGAGGTGCAGAGTGGCCCGCCCCCGGAGTGCCAAAACTCAACCGAGTCGAGCGCGCAGAGGGCCCTGAGAGAGAGAGGTGACCAGATGCAGCGCAAGATGGCGGACCCAAAGATAGAAAACCACATTTACAAAACGCAATAAGTTTCCGCATTACCTCCGATTGGCGGACCCAAAACAATTACTTCCGGTGGAAAGGCTTTCTCGTTGGCGGACTTCCGGCGCCGAAATACTTCAGGTAGTCGGATTTAGTCGCCGGATCCTTTTTTTTTTGCTCCGTTCATTCCATAAGAATCGAATTAAATTTATTATTGAGCTAAAAATCAAAATAAAACGTTTATGTATTAATTATGACTACTGTTTTGTTCTGATTTAATTCTGAAGTTTACAGTAATATGTATATATAGCCTGATGTCCTCATATTCTGATAATTTGTCAGAATAGGTAAATGTATGTAGAAGTTATCATCTTACTCAAATTCTTTTGTAAGAGTTTGCTACAAGTATGGACTGTTTTAACCTCTCGTTACACATCATATAACAGTGTTTTCTAACTTTTCTCTCCAATAGCTTTATTACACAGTACATCAATGTTTCTTAACTTCTCTGTGACCTTGTTTCTCCACTCCTATTAGGACCTCGTTTAATGTCAACAATGTTGCCCTGACCCTCACATATTTTCTGTTGTTCATAATTATGTTTTATGAGAGTGCTTATGTTGCTGCACAAATTTACTCCCCCCATCCTTTAGTAACATTGTGTAACCAGGGACATAATTTATGAAATGGTGTGCTTCCTGGTGAACCTCTTCAGGATTGCTTGACTGTGCAAAATCCAAGTATACAATAGTTGTAGAGACACAAGTCACATGATCTCTTTAAGGTTCAGAAGAGCCATATAGCAAAAACAATTGAATAGCGATATCATTACAGATGGTGTAAAGAAATGGGAAATTGTCATACAACTGCTTTGAAGATTTCTTTAATTTTTTCCAAACAAAATTGTGAACAGTAAAAAAATATATATATATACAAAATTCAGCACTGCCGTCGGTGTGGTGGGGGGCTTAAAACACGTTGCCACAGGCCATCATCAGCTCTGCTCTGAACCGGTTGATGCCATGCTCCTTCAGTGCTTTGATCAAAAGCTGAAAAACAGTCAAATAATGTGAACAATTGAAGTTATGCAGTATGGGTTAATTGTTGTTCTTGAGCTTTCCAAATGAATAAGAACAACCTCTTAACAATATCATCATTTTTCAAAGCAAGCTATATAGTTTGATCTACTCACCTCTGGGAGCATGACGTCAAAAACGAAATCAAGCAGATGAATCTCGCCTCTCTTTATTTTTTTAGAAATGTTTGTTGCCACCTCAATGAACCGCAGGAGCGCGAACATCTATTGAAGAAAAACACAGAAAGTAAACACCTTTCAAATGTAACACCCCTGAGAGTAAAAATACTCATGATGGATGGCATTTTTACTTACGCGCTGCTCACTCCAACTTAGTGTCCTTATCTTAAGATGCTGCTTTAGTTGGAGTGAGGTGGCGGGATTCCTCCAAAGGAACATTCTGTTGGAGCGGATCTTTCCAGACAGTAGATCATCGTGTAATGTCTGAAACCAAAGAGCAAGAGACAAAAATGTAATCATCTGAAAAAGAAACGGTGGCTTTAACAACTGATAGTGCATTCAAAAGCAACCTTGATCTGTGTCTTAGAAAAGACAGCATGAATTCCTCAACTGTCAACAGCATCCTTGATCCTGCAGAGAAATAAGAAAAGAGCAAGCCCTCATTTTTTCATCCTTTGAGCCTCGTATTTTTGACTGATACTATGTTTCCTTGATAAATTATGTTATACCGAGGATGCTCAATGGAGTCCTCGCACCCGCAGTCAAACGGCTCCATTTCAATCCCAGCACAATCCTGATGCAGCCAGCCCCTGCACGTCTTGCACTGGACCCATTTTATGACGTTTACCTCAGGGTAAAGCAATCTGATCAAATGAGAGACAAACATAATATTAAACAAACACGCTGTCCAATTGATTATACCTCTGCAGCACATTTGAATGTATAAATAATTTTCCTGCATGATTCGTGCATTTAAACTATATGTAAAAGTGGTCACTTCATGGAAAATCACTGAATAGGCCCCGATAATTGCATTTATTAAATTGAGTCTGCAACACACCTCTCTCCTGTGTTGTTCGATGTCTGGTAGACACAGAATTGCATTGAATCTGCCATGCACATTCTTTGGACATCCGATGCCGTCTGCGTCATGGTTTCCTTGACAAGTCAATTTGAAAAGTAACATCAATTACCAAATACATCGAGACAATGTTGATCCATACAACTGTGTGCATTTTGAAGGACTCCCACTGAGATAATACTGTTTTTACAAGGCAATTTTCTAACCTCTATGTCCTGCTGCTCTGCCTTCCTCTTTAGACTGAAGACCGGAGTATGCTTTCCAGCAATGAGCTCTTGACATTCTTTGGTCCAGTGGGCGAAGATTTTCCCACAACTGTAATGACAATATATCTTTAAGTACAATATATTGATTGTCTTCCAGTTAATTAGGACATCTAGTTTACTTAAACTGTCTACCTGTTCAAAGAATTGTTCTCCAGGAGCAACAGGCACCACCATCGCCGCCAAACAGGCATGTCATGCTGAAATTGTTGTTTGTATTTCATTTTAGTGCACAATACAAAATACAATCTTGAGGATGACACTGCGTGTTGAAAAGTACTTACAACTGAGTAGTCAAACTGTGACTCCATAACGATGTACATGGCAGACTTTTAAAAAAAAATTATGAGACAACATGTGAGATAACTTTAAAAAAGTCCATGTTGGAAAGTTATTCTAGATACAATATTTGTGCATTACAGCTCGTTATGACCTACCATCAACATGAATATGCCACAGTCTGAGCCGAAGTCCTGGCTGGGGAAGCCCTGATTTAACAAAAGCAAACGTTAATCATCTTGTCACATACACTTTGTAGGAGCCAGATTGGGGTTTTGCAGTTTATTGTTAGGTATTTTTTGTGCCAGCAGATGGTGCTATTGTGCCTGTCTATTTAATGGGTGGGTTGATTAGGAGAGGTGCGCACATAAAATGATGAATGAGTAAATAAATCAAAACAACAGAAAATGTGTGTGACATGTGACATTATTCCACCTGCGGGCACGCATCAACTCAAGCAAAAAGGTGTTCGCCACAAGTAACAGCATTGGAAAGCTGTTATACACTTTTCAACTGTAATATAGAGCATGCACAAATACCTCCAAATCTCTGCCCGTTTTCTCAGTCCATTGCCCAGGACATATCTTCTGCGCAATGTTCCTGTTAATTTGAGAGCGTCACTTAGATTTCCCATGTTGGAAACAATGGAATGCAGGGTTAGGGTTAGTTTGAGTGGTCGGAGGTGAGATTGAATGAATGCGGACGGCTTGCTTCTTTTCAAACTTCCTGAGAGTTCTTCTTCTTCTGTAAATTTTGCCGTCAGAAAGTGTAGGTACATACCGCCACCTACTGTTCTGGCATCGCAAAGCAGAAGTTCAAAGTTCATGTTTTGGGTCCGCCAATCGGAGGTAATGCGGAAACTTATTGCGTTTTGTAAATGTGGTTTTTTATCTTTGGGTCCGCCATCTTGGCGCTGCATCTGGGTACTCTTGCTGAGAGACAGCGCGCGTGTGTACAGACACTGCGAGCGCGCAGACAGTGAAGGCAAGCACGCGGGTAGTGATGGCGAGCGCGCAGACAGTGACGGCGAGCGCGCGGGTATGTGTTTTTATGCGCGCTATGTTTTTTTTTTTTATGCGCGCGGATATTTGGCACCGAATTGACGCCATAGGTTAGCTGGGGTTTAGTTAGGAAGCAGAGGTAAGCTAATGATCAGATATACAGATACTGTCAGTATACCAAATACATAATACTCTAACAATATGACAACCAGGTTATTTCATAACTAACTCCATCTTTGTACAAAAAGCACTTAGTTGTAAACAGTGATAACAGTGACATAATAGAAATAAAAACAACTCAAAAAAAGTTCAAACTACTCGCACATATTGACCACAAGAGGAGATTTGCAAACAAAGAGACTACCTTAATAGGTAACCTGTATACAAAATTTATATTAATTTATAACATGTTCTTAATCCTACCTGAATTCCAACTGCTGATCACTACATTTTTCTTTTACAATAGGAAGCTTTTCTATTTCCATTCTTGCGACCACAAAGGCCGCTTCCTGAACATATTTACAGGTATTTACAGTCCAGCTCACCATAATTGGCACCCCTTCATTTTTTTGCATAATCTCTACAATATCTTCAGAAAAAATGGAAATTACCAAATTTATATCATCAGGATCTTTTAATGGGAGGTCCAAAGTAATTTAACAAAAATTGGAAATTGTTTTTTTTAACTTACACATTGTAATTTCAAAGAAGAAACAGAAAACACAGCGTGTGCAGCAATAATGGCACCCCTCTTTAATATTTGGTTGCACACCCTTTGGCAGTGATGACAGCTTCCAAACATTTCTTGTAGCTGTTTATAAGCTTCTTGCACTTCTCCGCTGGTATTTTCTCCCACTCTTTCTTTGCAAATTGTTCAAGCTCTTTAATGTTTGCAGGTTTCTTATACCCAATGGCAGATTTCAGCGCATACCAAAGATTTTCAATGGGATTAAGATCAGAGGTCCGTTTCACGTAGCAGGTTTAATGGAAACTCAGAGTCTGTTAACCCTGAAATCAGGGAAACTCAGAGTTTTCCGTTTCACAAAGGAGGGTCAGTTAAACCAGAGAGAGAGGGGTAACTTTAACCTGTTTCACAAAGAGAGGTAACTCAACCTCGCGGTCAGTTACCATAGTAACAGACTCCATGAACCTAACCCGGGGCCTGCTCTACGAAGCAAGTTCAACCTAGGGAGGTAGCCTCGGAGCTACCTCGCTCAACTTAGCGCGGTAGCCAGCGGTCTCGCTAAACGGTCTTACGACGCTGGTTAACAACCTCGTAAGTTGAGCCAGCTTTGCTATGAGTGCGTGCACACATGTAAGGCGGAGCCCGCCGCATCTGACCAATCGCGAACATGGACCAGTTTGGAGCGTCAGAGCAGGCTGGAGAGCGAAGGACCGTGTACTTTACAAACGAGGAGCAGGAGACGATCATGAGAAAGTATGAAGAATTAAAATCTATCATAAACCTCAAAAGCAACACCGTCGACACTGCAAAGGCACGGAAGGAATGCTGGCAGAAAATTAATCTTTGATGCCATTATCACCCTGAAATAGCACTATTCAACATGCGCTTTCAACTAAGGTGACCAGACGTCCCCGATTTCCGGGGACAGTCCCCGAATTGGATGATCTGTCCCCGGCTAAAGCTGTCCCTGAAAATGTCCCCCGATTTAAGCGTTTCATGAATGAGAACAAAAATGTTGGATGTGGGCTAGAACAACGGTTATTACAGTGGGTAGGAAGCACAAGTAAGCAGTCCTGAACAACAGTTTTTACAGGCGTTATTACAAGGGGCGTGTGCTGCTACTAAATAGTACCGAGATGTTGTCTGTGATCACACAGCCCATGCAGCCCATGGCCATTTATTTCCAAGATGAATTCATTTATTTGTTCATTCCTATCGTGTTTACATGTTTTGTGTGATATGTAGGCCATATGAGCCTTTCATATAGGTGGTCATCCGGAAAAGAAAGTGGGTCCGTGCAGTCCCTGAAAACTCTCGCGAGCCGGAGTGCTCCTTGGACTATGCGAGCACCGAGGTCTACAGGATCCTCCGAGAACGGACAAGCCGTTTTTCAAGAGAGCTCATTGGTCAGTGGGCGGGGTTTTTATACTCAGTGAGTTCAATCTAGAACTTAACCTGCCCCGGAGCAGGTTAGCCGTTCAGTGTATGTTGCCATGGAGACTCGCCTCGCTAAGAAGTGAATCCGCGTCGTAGAACAGGAAACCCCAAACTTATCCTCGAAGTTTCCTCGCTAAGCAGTAATCCTGCTTCGTAGAACAGGCCCCAGGTCGGGACCAGGTTTTCCTAAATAAACCCAGAATTTTTCTATGTTTCCGCACTCTTTCAGCCACACACTCATGGCCGGCCCGTGCATATAGGCGAACAAGGCAGCTGATTAAAGCGGCAAATTGTAATGTGTAATTGTAATTCAGCTAATAAAACATTGGCCGCAGCGGCGCCGCCCCTAATGTCCAAAATGTGACAAATCAGTCACTGGCTGGCTGCTGGCTGCACTTGCATGTTCACCTATATGCACGGGCCGGCCATGATTCTCCTCCAGCGGCCGCAGCAGCGGCGGGCGGATGTCCTCAGACAGACAGGAGATAACAGGTTGCTTTTTAAAACACAGAAGTCATCATTCATTGGTTAATTCATGTCACATGGGCACAGACAATTTATCACAGGTGATTCTCATTTGTGATTTGCCAAGGGTGAGTCACAATGTGTTTCCATACTAATTTACAGGAAAAGGTGCCAATAGCAGTAACACAGCACACTTTAAGTTTTTCTATTTTTTCCTCCAATTGTTTATTGTTTTAAATTGTTTTTTTTTTTTTTTTTTTTTATCATTTGGTCCTTTGTATCAAACACGAGTTCTCTACAGAAAAAGTTTCACTTGATTCATTTTTTTCAGAAGATATTCCACATTATGTACTTAAACTTCATTGGTGCCAATAATGGTGAGCAGGATTGTATGTAGTTCAGTATTAAATAGAGTTAACTCTTCATGTACTTGCATACCGTGGGTAGAAAACACTGTTGGAGTTTCATAGAAAAAGGTGTTTCAGGCACCTTCAAAACCAAATTGGAGCAAATGATGTTTAGGAATCAAATGCAAAGTCATACAATATGAATAATAAAATTAGAGTAAAATACAGCCCATCCAAAAGTTGAAAAGAACTTAAGACCTGACATGCCAAGTGTTCTTAAAATTATAGTAAAGCCAGCAGTGTTTTGTGGACCAGAAAAATTTCATCTGACCTCCTGGCATGTAAGCAGACAGTGTCTGTTTTTTTTTTTTTTTAATCTTTTTGGAGGGGAGATCTCCTTTGAGTTTTATTTGTATTAGTGAACGAGGACTCTGTAGTTACCTTTCAACTGTAAACTGCGTAATTATTAGTAAAGATAGTCCATGACGGTCAGTAAGCATCAAATAACAAGTTTTGGTGTTAAACATCTTATACAGAATCTACTTTATACCATGTTCAATTAAATATTTACATCACCTTTGTCTTCAGGGCTCCCCGGCTCTGTGCATGATGCCAGCGTCCTGCGGTAGAGGTATTTACAGGTGCATGTCAATGAATTAGAATATCATGGAAAAGTTCATAAATTTTAACAGTTCAATTCAAAAAGTAAAACTAATAACCTGATAGGTCCATGGCACACAGACTGAAATATTCCATGGCTTTTTTTTTTCTTTTAACTGTAATGATTGTGGCTTACATTTAATGTAAACCCCTAATTCAGTATCTCAAAAAAATTTGAATATTGTGAAAAAGTTCAGTATTTTAACCGAATAATGCCACACTCTTATCAGCTAATAAACTCCAAACACCTGCAAAGGTTTCCCAAGCCCTTAATTGGTCTCTAGGCCTGGTTCAGTAGCTCCACTGGGGAAGACTGCTGACCTGACAGTTGCCCAGAAGATAATCACTGACACCCTTCACAAGCAGGGTAAGCCACAAAAGAAGCTGGCGGTTCACAGAGTGCTGTATCCAAGTATACTAACAGAAAGAGTGGAAGGAAAAAGTGTGGTAGAAAGAGATGCACAAGCAACAGGGATGATTGCAGCCTTGAGAGGTTTGTCAACCAAAATCGATTCAAGAACTTGGGCGAACTTAACAAACAGTGGACTGAGGCTGTAGTCAGGGCATCAAGAGCCACCACACAGAGACGAGTCAAAGAATTAGGCTTTAACTGTCGCATTCCTCTTGTCAAGCCACTCCTGGGCCAGAGACAACGTCGGGGCATTTTACCTGGGCTAAGGAGAAGAAGAACTGGACAGTGGTCAAAAGTCCTCTTTTCAGATGAAAGCAAGTTTTGCATTACATTTGGAAACCAAGGGCCCAGACTGACTCCTCCTCCTGACTGGTGAGCGTGCGCATTGCTTCATTCCCTTCCTTGCTGTTGAACTGTGTGTGTAGCGTTTTGCTCCTCCCGATAGCGTTCTTGCTGTTTGGGTTATTTTCTCTCTTCAATCTATCAATACATCTGTTTGTTTAAAAGTCTATAAGTATATCTGATAGTTTTCACCAAGCACCGTCTTTATCTCCATTCCGGGGGACCTCTCTGGTGGTTTACTTTACTAGCTCTTAGCTTCTCTTAGCTTCTCATAGCTTCACTTGCTAACGATGGCTTCCCTCCGGTCTCCTGCTTCTCCTGCTCGCTTCTGCTCAGTGTGTCAGATGTTTAGTTACTCCTCGTCCTCCTTAGACGATAACGATACCTGCTTTAAGTGTAGTTTATTCTTAGCTCTGGAGGCGAGGATTACAGAGTTGGAAAAGCGGCTCCGCACCGATGCTAGAGTAGCGGTAGCCAGCCAGGACCTTGTAGCCGGTGCGGGTCGGCCTAACTTAGCTTCCCCCCCGGCAGATCCCGAGCAGCCAGGATGTAGTAGTGGTTGGGTTACTGTGAAAGGGAAGCATAGCAGCAGGCCTAATAAGACCACCATATTCACATTTCAAAAAAATTTGCCCCTCTCAGCAACACACCTGATGAGCCCGACGCTCTTGTGAGTGGAGACTCTGTAGTCCGAAATGTGAAATTAGCAAAGTCAGCGGCCATAGTTCACTGTCTTCCGGGGGCCAGAGCGGGCAACATCGAAGGTAGTTTAAAACTGCTGGCAAAGGCTAAACGTAAATTCCGTAAGATTTTAATACATGTCGGCATTAATAACTCCCAGCGCCGCCAGTCGGAAGCCACTAAATTGAACGTGGAATCGGTGTGTGAATACGCCAAAACCATGTCGGACTCCGTAGTTTTCTCTGGTCCCCTGCCCAATCAGACAACTGATGAGATGTGTACCCGTATCTCATCATACAACTGCTGGCTGTCAAGGTGGTGTCCGCAAAACGGTGTGGGCTTCATTGAGATCAGGGAGCAGGGCTGCAGTCCTACACGCTCCTCTGTGCCTCCTTTAAAGCAGCTTCCCAGCCACTATCACTTATATTCAGAGACTATGGAGCAGAGCCGCAGTCTTATACGCACCCCTGCACTCCCTTCAGAGCAGCTTCCTAGCTACAATCAGTTTGATATAGAGATCCGGGAGCAGAGCCACAGTCTGACACACCCCTCTGTACTCCCTTCAGAGCAGCTTCCTAGCTACAATCAGTTTGATATAGAGATCAGGGAACATAGCCGCAGTTCTACACGTTCCTCTGCACTTTTGTTCGAGCAGGCTCCTAGCTACAATCACTTGAATATAGAGACTGTGTCTGTCCCTCGTCCTCGGCTCTTTAATTCTAACGGATCGATTAACAAACAAGTAAATAACCAGAACCTTACTAGAATTAGAACTGCTAACATAGCTGAACCGAGTAGTCGTAAGATAAAATGTGGTCTACTGAACATAAGGCCTTTAAGTTCCAAATCTGTGTTAATAAATGAACTAATCTCTGATCATCGCATTGATGTACTTTCCCTAACCGAAACTTGGCTGCGTCAGGATGAATATGTCCGTTTAAATGAATCCACTCCTCCTAGCCACCTAAGCTTTCACATTCCTCGGGACTCTGGCTGAGGTGGTGGAGTTGCAGCTATTTACAATTCCAGTCTTGGAATTAACCCAAGACCAAAACTGGATTATAACTCTTTTGAAAGTCTTGTTCTCAGTCTTCCGCATCCAACCTCAAAGACCACGAGACCTCTGGTATTTGCTATAGTTTATTGCCCTCCGAGCCCATACTCTGAGTTTTTGTCAGAATTCTCAGAGTTTTTATCTGATCTAGTCCTTAGTGCAGACAAAGTCATTGTCGTTGGTGACTTTAATATTCATGTGGATGTGGAAAATGATAGCCTAAGCATTTCTTTCTTGTCCTTTCTAGACTCAGTTGGGTTTACACAATGTGTACATGGACCCATGCACTGCTTTAACCACACCCTCGATCTTGTCCTGGCTTATGGCCTTGAAGCGGAAGCCTTGTCAGTCAGCTCATTAAATCCTCTTTTATCGGATCACTTTCTAGTAACCTTTGAATTTGTGCTTTCAGGCTACTCTCCTCATAACAAAACCGTGCTAACTAGAAGGTTGTCTGAAAATGCTGTGTCTAAGTTCAAGGAGGCAATTCCGTCTGCTCTTAATTCTGTTCTCGAGAAGAACTTCACTGATAGCTCATACTTGAACATCAGTCCCTTGCAACTTGATCAGTTCGGCGATGATACCTCAGGCACATTGCGATCAATTCTTGACTCAGTTGCTCTGCTTCGGCAGAAAACTCTTACACGCAAGAGGCTGGCTCTGTGGTATAATGCTGAAACCCGTGAGCTGATACAGTTATTAAGAAGACGAGAAAGGATTTGGCGTTCTTCCAAAACAGCTGAAGCTAGTTTTCTCTGGCAGGAATGTCTTGACAAATATAAGAAGGCCTTACGACGTGCTCAGACAACTTACTACTTGTCTCTTATTGAAGAAAATAAGAATAACCCCAGATAACTCTTCAGCACTGTAGCCAGGCTGACGGACTGTCAGAGCACCACTGAACCGTGTATCCCATTAGCCCTCAGCAGCGACGACTTCTTGAGCTTCTATAATGTAAAAATCTTAAAATAAGAGATAAAATTAGTAACCTCTGGTATGCGTGTGTTTTAAACTCAATTCCATCTAAACTGCTGAAGGAAACTCTTCCTTTGATCAGTACGTCCTTGCTTCACTTGATCAACACGTCTTTATTAACAGGATATGTTCCCCGGTCTTTTAAGACTGCATTTAAGACTCCTTAAAAAACCTACTCTTGACTCAGGCACCTTAGGTTGTTGCAAATCAACTTTGTGATTTTCTTCATAACAACGGTTTATTGGAGGATTTCCATTCTGGATTTAGAACCCATCACAGCACGGAGACTGCTCTGCTGAAGGTGACAAATGACCTACTCATGGCTTCGGACAGTGGTCTTCTCTCTGTTCTTGTCCTGTTGGATCTTAGTGCTGCTTTTGACACGATCGACCACCGCATCCTGCTTCAGAGACTGGAACAATCTATCGGCATAGCAGGATCCACTCTTTCCTGGTTTAAATCTTATCTAATGGATCGATCCCAGTTTGTCCGTGTTAAAAATGAATCCTCTGCGCACACCAAGGTCTGCTACGGAGTCCTGCGAGGGTCAATGCTTGGACCGATCCTCTTTACCTTCTACATGCTTCTTCTGGGTAAAATTATGAGGAAGTACTCAATTAATTTCCACTGTTATGCAGATGACACCCAGTTATACTTAACCATGAAGCCAGAAGAAACAAATCAGGTTACCAAATTAGAAGCTTGTCTCAAAGGTATAAAATCCTGGATGACCAATAACTTTCTGATGCTCAACTCAGACAAAACTGAAGTTCTTGTCCTCTGTCCTAAACACCTTAGAGAGGCATTCTCTAATAATATAGCTACACTAGATGGCATCAGTCTGGCATCCAGCCCCACTGTGCGAAATCTGGGAGTTTTATTTGATCAGGATTTGTCCTTTAGCTCCCACATTCAACAAATCTCTAGGATATTTTTTTTTACACCTGCGCAATATCTCAAAAATTAGACCCATCCAGTCTCAGAGTGATGCAGAAAAACTAGTCCATGCCTTTGTTACCTCTAGGCTGGATTACTTTTAATTCTCTCTTATCAGGCTGCTCCAATAAGTCTCTTCAGCTGGTCCAAAATGGAGCTGCTCGGGTATTGACTAGAACCAGAAGAAGGGAGCACATCTCTCCTGTCTTAGCCTATCTTCATTGGTTCCCTATTGAATCTACAAATTAGTTTAAAATCCTCCTTATGACATATAAAGCACTTAACAGCCAGGCTCCATCATATGGAGCCAGATCAGGCTCAAAAGTATTGAAAAGTAGTGTAAGTGAAAAAATAAAAAGTGAAGTGAAAAAATAAGATTTGAACCTGAAAAAAAATAAATTGGTACCTGAAAGTCTTGAATTTCGAAATTGAACTTTAAAAAATCCCAGAATGCATGAAAAAAATCTGTTCAAATGTAACTTTGATTCTGTTTTTTAATACTTTTGAATAATTACTTATTTCTATTTTTCACTTCAATGTATATTTCGATCTTGGAGTACTTTTTTTTTTTCGATTGAATTTTATTTATTTATTTCAGATTCAGATCTTATTTTTATGGATTCAAAACTTTTTTTTCGGTTTCAGATTTTTTTTTTTCAGATTCAGATCTTTTTTCGGATTCAACTTGAAAAGTTTCAGGTTGACTTTTGAGCCTGTTTTTCCGTGGGGGCGGGCCTCGACTGAGAGGGGCGCAGTCTGCCATGAGTGACAGGCCTCCCCCTCCTTCCCCACCCCATCACCCTGCGTTCAGGAAGTGGCATGAATACACATTAACTTAGCCTACAATTAGGCTGTATTGGCTGAATGAGATCGTGTTGGTTCGTTCCACTTTAGTGGTGCAATATAAACTGTGATTCATAAAAAAGCTCTATTGATAGTAAGTACTAAAAAAAAAATATCTACTCATGTCATCCAGTCGATTTTTAGTAATCAGTGTTTCGGTGTCGAACTATTTCCCTTCTGCGGCGTAGTGATACTTGCACACGCGCAATCGAATATGCAGGGGGTGAAGCGATTTTTGTCACGTGGACCAATAGGAGCCGAGTCTCGTTGCCATAGTATCAGAAATACACAAACATGGCAACGACCGCATCTCGCAGCGAGACAAGCGAAGAGGAAGAAAAGAAAAGGAACAAAAGAAAACCGCCTTCCAAAGTGCATAAAAAAAGAGCGAAACGATGCTATATGCATCTGTCATCTGTCCAGAGTGAAGACGTTCTTGACTTTACAAGGACACGTTGGGAAACTTACAGAACTAGTATTAGAAAGTGGCTTTCTCTACAGGGTGAGACAAAGGACCTTGCAGAAACTTATAAACTTTGCTTTGATATCGACTTTGACAATGTTCCTGATGACGCTGGGTTTCACATGACATGCTACAAGCGATTTATTTGCAAAAGGGGTTTGAGAAACAAGAACGTGATGCAGCCACGGGTCAGTCAAACCCTTAACGCAGCATCGCCGATGCATCTGAAACTCCGCGAAAGAAACTTCGCTCGAGGTCATAAGCTGTATTGGGACAAAGGAAAAAGTGCCTAGAAAGTGAATTTCGTTCAAATACGCTGGTGCTACTGATGCTTCAATGCATTTTTGCAAAGACAATACCATTCATTCATACCATCCGCAGCTGCATCACGTTCTTGTTTCTCAAACCCCTTTTGCAAATAAATCGCTGGTAGCATGTCATGTGAAACCCAGCGTCATCAGGAACATTGTCAAAGTCGATATCAACGCAAAGTTTATAAGTTTCTGCAAGGTCCTTTGTCACACCCTGTAGAGAAAGCCACTTTCCAAAACTAGTTCTGTAAGTTTCCCAACGTGTCCTTGTAAAGTCAAGAACGTCTTCACTCTGGACAGATGCATATAGCATCGTTTCGCTCCTTTTTTTATGCACTTTTAAAGGCTGTTTTCTTTTGTTCCTTTTCATCTCTTCCTCTTCGCTTGTCTCGCTGCGAGATGCTGTCGTCGCCATGTTTGTGTATTTCTGATACTATGGCAACGAGACTCGGCTCCTATTGGTCCACGTGACAAAAATCGCTTCACCCCCTGCATATTCGATTGCGCGTGTGCAAGTATCACTACGCCGCAGAAGGGAAATAGTTCGACACCGAAACACTGATTACTAAAAATCGACAGGATGGCATGAGTAGATATTTTTTTTTTAGTACTTACTATCACTAGAGCTTTTTTATGAATCACAGTTTATATTGCACCACTAAAGTGGAACGAACCAACACGATCTCATTCAGCCAATACAGCCTAATTGTAGGCTAAGCTAATGTGTATTCATGCCACTTCCTGAACGCAGGGTGATGGGGTGGGGAAGGAGGGGGAGGCCTGTCACTCATGGCAGACCGCGCCCCTCTCAGTCGAGGCCCGCCCCCACGGAAAAACAGGGTCAAAAGTGAACCTGAAACTTTTCAAGTTGAATCCGAAAAAAGATCTGAATCTGAAAAAAAAAAATCTGAAACCGAAAAAAAAGTTTTGAATCCATAAAAATAAGATCTGAATCTGAAATAAATAAATAAAATTCAATTGGAAAAAAAAAAGTACTCCAAGATCGAAATATACATTGAAGTGAAAAATAGAAATAAGTAATTTATTCAAAAGTATTAAAAAACAGAATCAAAGTTACATTTGAACAGATTTTTTTCATGCATTCTGGGATTTTTTAAAGTTCAATTTTGAAATTCAAGACTTTCAGGTACCATTTTATTTTTTTCAGGTTCAAATCCCTTTTTTTCACTTCACTTTTTATTTTTTCACTTACACTACTTTTCAATACTTTTGAGCCTGATCTGGCTCCATACCATCATATCTCGACGAGCTTGTTATACCTTACTTTCCGTCTAGACCGTTACGCTCACAGTCTGCAGGTCTGCTATCAAATGTCTAAAAGTAGTATTGGAGGAAAAGCTTTCATCTGCCAGGCACCGCTCCTCTGGAATCATTTACAGCTCGAGGTTCAGGGAACAGACACCCTCTCAACTTTCAAGAGTAGACTTAAAACGTTCCTCTTTGATAAAGCTTATAGTTGGGGCTGATTTGAACCAGCTCTTAGTTATGCTGCTATAGGTTTAGACTGCCGGGGTTATCTGGTACACATATCTATAGATATTGGCAATAGTTAATTACTTATTCTCATTTAAAATAAACTTCACAAAAATTCCCTCAAAATGAACAGGTGTGACAGTAGGCACGATTAATTCAGAGGCAAGATCTGCAGCAACATATGTAATTAAGCCACCACCCCTAGAACCTCTGTCAGCTCTGTATGTGACATAATTGGTAAGCCTAATTTCATTATCAGGTATCATACTATTAAGCCAGGTTTCAGAAAGTGTAATAACACTGGGTTTATGCTGTTCAACCCATGGCCGAATTAAATCAATTTTGTGCTTAAGGCTCCTTATATTCAGGTGTATTATTTTAAGCCCTTTTGAACTATCCAGGTCTTAATGTTTGAAATAACAGCACCAGTAAAACAGAGCAGATCAAAAACAAAGTGTAGAGAGAATGCAAAGAGCTCAAATGTACCTCCACGACAGACAAAAGACGAGGACAAGGACAAGACAAGGACAGGACAAGGACAAGACAAAGACAGACAAAGTACAGCATAAATAAAATGACAAAAAACAAAAACAAACCAAAAAAAAAAAAACAGAAACCACGCATCCCATATAACCCTAACCCCAGAGGCTCAAGGATTTGGGTGAGTAGTCTGACATGAACCTTAACTTCCATGCCAACAGATGAGCCAGTAGATGAGAGAGAGAGAGAGAGAATGAGAAAGAGAGAGAGAAACAATTTTAGATTATAAATGAGAATGATTAAGGAAAGAGAAAAACACAACTAAGAAAGGAGAGAGAAAAAACAAAAAAAAGTGTGTGTGTGTGTGTGTGTGTGTGTGTGTGTGTGTGTGTGTGTGTGTGTGTGTGTATATATATAAATATACAGTGTCACTGGGTACACATATAAAGCATGTGTCACATAACAGCAGTCAACAGCAGTGTCAAACTCATAGACTGTATTGTCAAACTGCACAGAGACCAGTCAAGCGTAGTCATGGCGATGAGAAACACCAGTGACATCAAATTAAAGCGTCCATGAGTGCAACAACAGCGAGAGCATGCTGCGTGACCTCATCATCACGCGTCAATATTTACAGCGTTACCACCAGTAACTAGAGCAGCCAGGCTACTCGTACACAGCAACTCCTCTTGAGCATCATGAAATACAATTTCATCTCCACTGCAGCTCAACCAGTACGTGACACGAGGACTCCTATACAGTTTGCCATCGATATAAAGCTTGTCAATGAACAGACGAGCATTCTTCTTTCTTTTTCGTGCATCAGCCACGATCGGATAGAGTAGCCGCCGTCTTCTCATGATCTCTGCTGGAAATTGATCACTCACGGAATAGACGGTATACTTGAGCTCCTTTCCCTTGGATATGATGCTGGATTTCATTTGGTGACGATGGGACGGGGCTTCTGCTGATCGCCCTTGGCTTTCCCCAGACTCTGGAGAAACAAATACCGTCAGCTTCCTCCGGCTCCATCTTCAGGTGGTTTAGAAGGAATGCCTTTAGAAGTTCCTCCGATTTCTGGTAAGTCTCGTTTTTCATCTCAGCAAGACTGTGAACAACAATATTGTCCCTCATGCTTCGGCATTGTAGATCCAGAATGTCTTTAGCCATGTCGGCATTGTCTTTTCGCAGTTCTTCTGTTAGACTTGTGAGCTTGTTGACTTGAATCCTGAATGAGGCATTTTCACCCTTGAGCGTTTCGATCAGTGCATTGTTGAATTCAGCGGACTGTTTTAGTTCAGTGACATCACTTCTCAGCTGGTCGAGAATGTCAAGTTTCTGGAGTTGATGTTTGATTGATGCTAGCGACTCACGAATGTCACAGTCCTCCAGACTGTCACAGACTGTTACTTGAAGTTCAGTGTGAAGTTTCCACAGTCAGAGGTGATTTGGGGTGCAATGTCATCTGCTGGTGTTGGTCCACTGTGTTTTCCAAAATCTAAAGTCAGCGCAATCGTTTACCAAGAGATTCAAGACCACTTCATGCTTTCCTCTGCTTAAGAGCTTTATGGAGAAGCTGATTCCTTTTTTCTGCAGGATTTGGCACCTGCCCACATTGCCAAAAGCACCAAAAGCTGTTTCATTGACCATAAGGTTACTGTGTTTGACTGGCCAGCAAACTCGCCAGACCTCAACTACATAGAGAATCTATGGGGTACTGTCAAGAGGAAGACAAACCACATTAGACTTAAGAATGCGGATGAGCTGAGGGCTGCTATCAAGGCAGCCTGGGCTTTCATTACACAGCAGCAGTGCCACAGGCTGATAGCCTCCATGCCACACCAAGTTGAGGCAGTAATTCAGGCAAAAGGAGTCCCAACCAAGTGCTGAGTACATGTAAATGGACATATTTTCCATAAGACCAACAGTTCTGAGTTCACAATCATTTTTTTTAATTGGTCTGATGGAATATCCTAATTCTTTGAGATTCTGAATTTGAGTTTTTATTAAGCATAAGCTATAACTATTACAATTAAATGGAAGAACACCATGGAATACTTCTGTCTGTGCACCATGGATCTATAAACGGTATTAGCTTCTCTTTTTGAATTGAATTGTTGAAATTAATGAACTTTTCCATGATATTCTAATTTATTGAGATGCACCTGTATGTCCACCAACTTTACCCCTTCATGGCTGGCACACCCTTGGGGATGGGGGTATCCCTGCCTTGCTGCTCCATTGAGCCTGCTGACACCCTATAGAGAGCAAGTACAAAACCCTGTCCAGGCAAGATACAACCAGCATCATTCCAGGGCCAGGTGTGTGGTGGAGAGGGCTATTGGAATGATGAAGACACAGTGGCGCAGCATCTTCCTCAAGGCCCTGGAAGTAAAAGAAAGCATTCATTTGTAAATCTTAGCATACACACATTAGACAACAGCTGAACAGCAGATAGGAAAATAAAATAAAGTAAAACAAGAGGGTACATTTTAAGATCATTTAAGAATATAAACCTTTGTGCCAGAGGTGGTGTCCACCTGTGCCTTCCTCCACAACCTCTCCATCCATAATGGGGGTTAAGTGGAGTCAGATATTGAGGAGAGAGTCATCCAAGGCAAGGTCTATGTCCAGGATGACCAAGATCCAGGGGACCATTTGAGAGAGAGGCTGGCAGCACAAATTTCTGCTTCTGGGTGGACCATTCTTGCCGTGCAGGATCATGACTATTAATAAAAGCATGTGTACATATATATATATATATATATATATATATATATATATATATATATATACACATATATACAGTATATGTACATTATATATAGCTTAACATTATGTGTAAATACATCCATATAGATATGTACAATACACTACTCCAAATATAAATATCTGTATCTATCTATCTATCTATCTATCTATCTATCTATCTATATATATATATATATATATGTATATGTTTATGTATGTGTGTGTGTATATTTATGTGTATATATATATGTGTGTATATATATATATATATATATATATATAAAAATGTAGATACTAAACTTATAATAGATAGGTCTTCCAGCCTCACAGATGGTGCAAAACGCTGCTGCCCGTGTCCTGTTTAGGACAGGGAAACATGAGCATATTACCCCAGTGCTGGTCTCTCTACTATAGCTACGCTGTCAGGTTTGAGCTGATTTTAAGGTGCTTCTGTTGACTTTTAAAATTGTTGATGAACTTGTACCTTCTTGTCAAGAAGATCACCATCTATACACCTTTCTGTATCCTCTGTTCCCAGGAGGACTGGCCTTTTGGTTGTTCCTAAGGTCAAGGAAAGGACTGTGGAGCGAGCTGTTTCCTTTCGGGCACTGAAGGTGTGGAATTATCTTTCTGTGGAAATAAGACTGGTATACTCTGTGGATGGTTTTTTTTTTGTTTGTTTGTCTTTTTTACATTTTTTTTCCAGGTGGTTTTTGCCTTTACTGATAGCACAGTGTGGAAATATAGGCAAATAAAGGTCGATAGAGGTCATGCCACAGCATCTCAATCTGCAGAAGGCGAATTTTTCTTTTTTTCCTGCAAAATGTCTTGGAAAAAGCGGGGAATTCATTTTTCCATCAATAACTGCATTTACATGGGCACAAATAATCAGAATAAATGCCATATCAAAAATGCTATATGTTGACATGTCTATCGGAAGATTATGATCCAAGTATTATGCCGATCGTTATTCCAAAACCCGTCCATGTAAACACTTATTCCGATTGTGACTCCCTAACCTGACTCAGGGGGGTTATTCCACGAAGCTGGATAAAGAAGGCTGGGCTATCACTGGTAAGCGTGGCTTGAATAAGCTGCCACTTTAATCTTAGCTGCAACTCGTTCCACTAACGAGGCTCAGCTGTTTTTTATCAGCGCTTATTCTAGCCAGACTGATCCAAGCCATGGCTATGCATATCTCCGCGGTACATAAAAAGCCCCGATGTATCGATTGTCAAAATGACGAGGTCATGGAAAAAAGGGGCAGAGCGGACCCTTTCTCAGCGGCGGAGCAAACACTCCTCATGGTGTTGTACGAAGAGTACAAGGGAAAAATTCAAAATAAGGGCAACACTGTTGCCATTGTAGAAGCCAGGGAGATGGTGTGGCAAAGTATCGCGGACCGTTTAAATTCGTTATAAGTTAGGTCAGCTCATTTTAAGTCATAGCTGACAAATATTTTACAACCGACGCATGTCTCGATGCAGTCAGCCTGCTTGGCTGTCTAATTTTATTCCTAACCTCTGCATATGAACTGTAAACACTTTTTTTTTTGAACTTTTTTTGGTCTCGTGTATGTGCAGCTCATTGAGCTACATCGCTGTACCCAAGGGTCTGTACAGATTAAGTTCATTAGTGTGGGAGAATTAGACACATTTCTCATAAAAACAGCTCTTTGGGAAATCTGGAAGGATTAATGCATCTTGATTCCATTTGCCTTATGTTGTATGATGGGTAAAGCTCTTCTTAGCCCATATTTATTATTCTCTTCTGCATCTCAACAGGAGTAATCTCAATAGCCAAAAGCGAACGGGGAAACAGGTCAAAATTAAGTACAAAAACATTCTACAAAGTGGTAAGTAGCCTTTGCTGACATGCGAATTATGAATGTAAAAATAGGAGCTTGAGCTGTTACTATGTACAATTGCAGCAGTCCTCTGAAGACATCCCCCAATTAACCCCAGCACTACTTGTTCAAGGTACACACTGCTACTTATCCTCCAGCTGGGGGTCTCTCAGGTATCTCTAACAGCTTGTCTTTGCCTTTTAGTGTGTGGGGACACAATAAATTTGCTTGACCCACCAACTCAAGATGCTGACATCATCCCTGATCCATGTGTGCGTATGTCAGATGTATCTTGAATTCTATAAGTGCAAGTCTGTCTTGTCATGCTTTAAATACTTTGATGTGCATCAATCTGCAGGGTGGAGGACCATCTGCCACAAGGGCCTGTGAGGAGGAGGAGGAGGACACCATATCAGCCCAAACTGATCTGCAAGAGGTCAGGACAAATGTGACGTTTGATGGAGGTATCTGATTTCTACAGATTATATATATATACATATATATATATAACCAAACACCTTGCTGCAGGGCGTGACCAGAACCACGGAGCAGACGGCATCAGCCAGACATGAAGTAGGTTAACAATTAATTGAATCTACCAACTATGTGGCTGGGGACTCACATACACTATCTCTTACACAGGACATTCGTTCCATGTACAAACAGCCCCTTTAGCTGACAATGGATAACCAAAGGCTGGACCAGAAGATGAAGCATCTTCAAATAAAGAAGCTGAAGTTGGAACTCATGAAACTGGAGAAGGATGCAAGAACAAGTCACACACTAGGAAGCTGTGGTTACAATTTCATTTTTTTAATTTTCTTTTTTTTTTCCTTTTTTTTTCCAGCTCAATCTGAATTAAAACATTACCAATGACTCAAAGAACTGGTTCTTTTGTCCAATCAACATGTCAAAAGGGGGGGGGGGGATAAGAAAAAGGAGACATTCAAAATGAATGCATTTGAAAGTGCTCAACTGAAATATGTAACCTTGTAAAGGTCCCTGACTCTTCGCCCATCCACAGGTTGCCTGTGGGTCTGGGTTGATGTCCTCCCATCCCTCTTCCTCCAACACAGCGGGCAGTCTCTCGCAACGAATGGTGGCAATGTTGTGCAAAACTGCACATGCAACAATGATATCACAGGCCCTGTCAGGGGCCACTCTCAGGCCTTGCAGGCACTGAAAGCGAGATTTTAATTGTCCGAAAAGCATTTCTACTCATGCCCTGGTTCTCGTGTGGGCACGGTTGTAGGCCCTCTCAGCATCTGTGGCGGGATCAGTGTATGGGGTTAAAAGATAGGGCAGGCACGGATGACCTCTGTCCCCAAGTAGGATGCCGTTAAAATCTCCTGCAGAATAAACATTCACCTTTATTGCAAATGATAACATCCATGACCATGCAATATTCATTATTTGCAAAGTAGAGCTGCTTCACATACAATTGACTTACCTTGTACAAACCTATGTGACAGTGATGACGCTCTCCATATTCTTGCGTCATGGACAGAGCCTGGCCATTTAGCCTCAATGTTCATGATCAGGCATTGTCCATTGCAGATCATCTGCCAGCATGGAGGGTAATCATCAGTGTGGTACTTCATTTGAAAGGGTATTTTTCAAAAATTGCTCAGTGAAATGAAATGACAGATGCAGCTGTGTTCAACGTGGTGTACATTAAAGCACCATTACACTTTAACATTTCTAATCTGCCTCCATGTTTCATTGCTTTATATGCTGTTTCGGTGGTGCAATGTGATTTACAGTGCATCCGGAAAGTATTCATACCGCTTCACTTTTTCCACATTTTGTTATGTTACAGCCTTATTCCAAAATGGATTCAATTCCCTTTTTCCCTCAAAGATTCTACACAAAATACCCCATAATGACAAAGCGAAAAACTTTTTTTTAGAACATTTTGCAAATTTATTAAAAATAAGAACACTCAAATGTTGCATATCCATAAGTATCCACACCCTTTACTGAATACTTGGTCGAAGCACCTTTGGCAGTGATTACAGCCTCCATTCTTCTTGTGTATGATGCAACAAGCTTGGCACACCTGGATTTGGGGAGTTTTTCCATTCTTCCTTGCACATCCTCTCAAGCTCAGTGAGGTTGGATGGACAGCGTTGGTGCACAGCTACTTTCAGGTCTTTCCAAAGATGTTCGATCGGGTTCAAGTCTGGGCTCTGGCTGGGTCACTCAAGGACATTCAGAGACTTGTCCTGAAGCCATTCCTTTGTCTTCTTGGCCGTGTGCTTAGGGTCATTGTCATGCTGGAAGATGAAGCGTTGCCCCAGTCGAAGGTCTTGAGCGCTCTGGAGCAGGTTTTCATCACCGATTTCGATGTACTTAGCTGCATTCATTTTTCCTGACAAGTCTCCCAGTTCCTGCCGCTGAAAAACAGCCCCACAGCAAGTTTCTGGAGTTGATGTTTGATTGATGCTAGCGACTCACGAATGTCACAGTCCTCCAGACTGTCACAGACTGTTACTTGAAGTTCAGTGTGAAGTTTCCACAGTCAGAGGTGATTTGGGGTGCAATGTCATCTGCTGGTGTTGGTCCACTGTGTTTTCCAAAATCTAAAGTCAGCGCAATCGTTTACCAAGAGATTCAAGACCACTTCATGCTTTCCTCTGCTTAAGAGCTTTATGGAGAAGCTGATTCCTTTTTTCTGCAGGATTTGGCACCTGCCCACATTGCCAAAAGCACCAAAAGCTGTTTCATTGACCATAAGGTTACTGTGTTTGACTGGCCAGCAAACTCGCCAGACCTCAACTACATAGAGAATCTATGGGGTACTGTCAAGAGGAAGACAAACCACATTAGACTTAAGAATGCGGATGAGCTGAGGGCTGCTATCAAGGCAGCCTGGGCTTTCATTACACAGCAGCAGTGCCACAGGCTGATAGCCTCCATGCCACACCAAGTTGAGGCAGTAATTCAGGCAAAAGGAGTCCCAACCAAGTGCTGAGTACATGTAAATGGACATATTTTCCATAAGACCAACAGTTCTGAGTTCACAATCATTTTTTTTAATTGGTCTGATGGAATATCCTAATTCTTTGAGATTCTGAATTTGAGTTTTTATTAAGCATAAGCTATAACTATTACAATTAAATGGAAGAACACCATGGAATACTTCTGTCTGTGCACCATGGATCTATAAACGGTATTAGCTTCTCTTTTTGAATTGAATTGTTGAAATTAATGAACTTTTCCATGATATTCTAATTTATTGAGATGCACCTGTATGTCCACCAACTTTACCCCTTCATGGCTGGCACACCCTTGGGGATGGGGGTATCCCTGCCTTGCTGCTCCATTGAGCCTGCTGACACCCTATAGAGAGCAAGTACAAAACCCTGTCCAGGCAAGATACAACCAGCATCATTCCAGGGCCAGGTGTGTGGTGGAGAGGGCTATTGGAATGATGAAGACACAGTGGCGCAGCATCTTCCTCAAGGCCCTGGAAGTAAAAGAAAGCATTCATTTGTAAATCTTAGCATACACACATTAGACAACAGCTGAACAGCAGATAGGAAAATAAAATAAAGTAAAACAAGAGGGTACATTTTAAGATCATTTAAGAATATAAACCTTTGTGCCAGAGGTGGTGTCCACCTGTGCCTTCCTCCACAACCTCTCCATCCATAATGGGGGTTAAGTGGAGTCAGATATTGAGGAGAGAGTCATCCAAGGCAAGGTCTATGTCCAGGATGACCAAGATCCAGGGGACCATTTGAGAGAGAGGCTGGCAGCACAAATTTCTGCTTCTGGGTGGACCATTCTTGCCGTGCAGGATCATGACTATTAATAAAAGCATGTGTACATTATATATATATATATATATATATATATATATATATATATATATATATACACATATATACAGTATATGTACATTATATATAGCTTAACATTATGTGTAAATACATCCATATAGATATGTACAATACACTACTCCAAATATAAATATCTGTATCTATCTATCTATCTATCTATCTATCTATCTATCTATCTATCTATATATATATATATATATATATGTATATGTTTATGTATGTGTGTGTGTATATTTATGTGTATATATATATGTGTGTATATATATATATATATATATATATATATAAAAATGTAGATACTAAACTTATAATAGATAGGTCTTCCAGCCTCACAGATGGTGCAAAACGCTGCTGCCCGTGTCCTGTTTAGGACAGGGAAACATGAGCATATTACCCCAGTGCTGGTCTCTCTACTATAGCTACGCTGTCAGGTTTGAGCTGATTTTAAGGTGCTTCTGTTGACTTTTAAAATTGTTGATGAACTTGTACCTTCTTGTCAAGAAGATCACCATCTATACACCTTTCTGTATCCTCTGTTCCCAGGAGGACTGGCCTTTTGGTTGTTCCTAAGGTCAAGGAAAGGACTGTGGAGCGAGCTGTTTCCTTTCGGGCACTGAAGGTGTGGAATTATCTTTCTGTGGAAATAAGACTGGTATACTCTGTGGATGTTTTTTTTTTTGTTTGTTTGTCTTTTTTACATTTTTTTTCCAGGTGGTTTTTGCCTTTACTGATAGCACAGTGTGGAAATATAGGCAAATAAAGGTCGATAGAGGTCATGCCACAGCATCTCAATCTGCAGAAGGCGAATTTTTCTTTTTTCCTGCAAAATGTCTTGGAAAAAGCGGGGAATTCATTTTTCCATCAATAACTGCATTTACATGGGCACAAATAATCAGAATAAATGCCATATCAAAAATGCTATATGTTGACATGTCTATCGGAAGATTATGATCCAAGTATTATGCCGATCGTTATTCCAAAACCCGTCCATGTAAACACTTATTCCGATTGTGACTCCCTAACCTGACTCAGGGGGGTTATTCCACGAAGCTGGATAAAGAAGGCTGGGCTATCACTGGTAAGCGTGGCTTGAATAAGCTGCCACTTTAATCTTAGCTGCAACTCGTTCCACTAACGAGGCTCAGCTGTTTTTTATCAGCGCTTATTCTAGCCAGACTGATCCAAGCCATGGCTATGCATATCTCCGCGGTACATAAAAAGCCCCGATGTATCGATTGTCAAAATGACGAGGTCATGGAAAAAAGGGGCAGAGCGGACCCTTTCTCAGCGGCGGAGCAAACACTCCTCATGGTGTTGTACGAAGAGTACAAGGGAAAAATTCAAAATAAGGGCAACACTGTTGCCATTGTAGAAGCCAGGGAGATGGTGTGGCAAAGTATCGCGGACCGTTTAAATTCGTTATAAGTTAGGTCAGCTCATTTTAAGTCATAGCTGACAAATATTTTACAACCGACGCATGTCTCGATGCAGTCAGCCTGCTTGGCTGTCTAATTTTATTCCTAACCTCTGCATATGAACTGTAAACACTTTTTTTTTTGAACTTTTTTTGGTCTCGTGTATGTGCAGCTCATTGAGCTACATCGCTGTACCCAAGGGTCTGTACAGATTAAGTTCATTAGTGTGGGAGAATTAGACACATTTCTCATAAAAACAGCTCTTTGGGAAATCTGGAAGGATTAATGCATCTTGATTCCATTTGCCTTATGTTGTATGATGGGTAAAGCTCTTCTTAGCCCATATTTATTATTCTCTTCTGCATCTCAACAGGAGTAATCTCAATAGCCAAAAGCGAACGGGGAAACAGGTCAAAATTAAGTACAAAAACATTCTACAAAGTGGTAAGTAGCCTTTGCTGACATGCGAATTATGAATGTAAAAATAGGAGCTTGAGCTGTTACTATGTACAATTGCAGCAGTCCTCTGAAGACATCCCCCAATTAACCCCAGCACTACTTGTTCAAGGTACACACTGCTACTTATCCTCCAGCTGGGGGTCTCTCAGGTATCTCTAACAGCTTGTCTTTGCCTTTTAGTGTGTGGGGACACAATAAATTTGCTTGACCCACCAACTCAAGATGCTGACATCATCCCTGATCCATGTGTGCGTATGTCAGATGTATCTTGAATTCTATAAGTGCAAGTCTGTCTTGTCATGCTTTAAATACTTTGATGTGCATCAATCTGCAGGGTGGAGGACCATCTGCCACAAGGGCCTGTGAGGAGGAGGAGGAGGACACCATATCAGCCCAAACTGATCTGCAAGAGGTCAGGACAAATGTGACGTTTGATGGAGGTATCTGATTTCTACAGATTATATATATATACATATATATATATAACCAAACACCTTGCTGCAGGGCGTGACCAGAACCACGGAGCAGACGGCATCAGCCAGACATGAAGTAGGTTAACAATTAATTGAATCTACCAACTATGTGGCTGGGGACTCACATACACTATCTCTTACACAGGACATTCGTTCCATGTACAAACAGCCCCTTTAGCTGACAATGGATAACCAAAGGCTGGACCAGAAGATGAAGCATCTTCAAATAAAGAAGCTGAAGTTGGAACTCATGAAACTGGAGAAGGATGCAAGAACAAGTCACACACTAGGAAGCTGTGGTTACAATTTCATTTTTTTAATTTTCTTTTTTTTTTCCTTTTTTTTTCCAGCTCAATCTGAATTAAAACATTACCAATGACTCAAAGAACTGGTTCTTTTGTCCAATCAACATGTCAAAAGGGGGGGGGGGGGGGGGGATAAGAAAAAAGGAGACATTCAAAATGAATGCATTTGAAAGTGCTCAACTGAAATATGTAACCTTGTAAAGGTCCCTGACTCTTCGCCCATCCACAGGTTGCCTGTGGGTCTGGGTTGATGTCCTCCCATCCCTCTTCCTCCAACACAGCGGGCAGTCTCTCGCAACGAATGGTGGCAATGTTGTGCAAAACTGCACATGCAACAATGATATCACAGGCCCTGTCAGGGGCCACTCTCAGGCCTTGCAGGCACTGAAAGCGAGATTTTAATTGTCCGAAAAGCATTTCTACTCATGCCCTGGTTCTCGTGTGGGCACGGTTGTAGGCCCTCTCAGCATCTGTGGCGGGATCAGTGTATGGGGTTAAAAGATAGGGCAGGCACGGATGACCTCTGTCCCCAAGTAGGATGCCGTTAAAATCTCCTGCAGAATAAACATTCACCTTTATTGCAAATGATAACATCCATGACCATGCAATATTCATTATTTGCAAAGTAGAGCTGCTTCACATACAATTGACTTACCTTGTACAAACCTATGTGACAGTGATGACGCTCTCCATATTCTTGCGTCATGGACAGAGCCTGGCCATTTAGCCTCAATGTTCATGATCAGGCATTGTCCATTGCAGATCATCTGCCAGCATGGAGGGTAATCATCAGTGTGGTACTTCATTTGAAAGGGTATTTTTCAAAAATTGCTCAGTGAAATGAAATGACAGATGCAGCTGTGTTCAACGTGGTGTACATTAAAGCACCATTACACTTTAACATTTCTAATCTGCCTCCATGTTTCATTGCTTTATATGCTGTTTCGGTGGTGCAATGTGATTTACAGTGCATCCGGAAAGTATTCATACCGCTTCACTTTTTCCACATTTTGTTATGTTACAGCCTTATTCCAAAATGGATTCAATTCCCTTTTTCCCTCAAAGATTCTACACAAAATACCCCATAATGACAAAGCGAAAAACTTTTTTTTAGAACATTTTGCAAATTTATTAAAAATAAGAACACTCAAATGTTGCATATCCATAAGTATCCACACCCTTTACTGAATACTTGGTCGAAGCACCTTTGGCAGTGATTACAGCCTCCATTCTTCTTGTGTATGATGCAACAAGCTTGGCACACCTGGATTTGGGGAGTTTTTCCATTCTTCCTTGCACATCCTCTCAAGCTCAGTGAGGTTGGATGGACAGCGTTGGTGCACAGCTACTTTCAGGTCTTTCCAAAGATGTTCGATCGGGTTCAAGTCTGGGCTCTGGCTGGGTCACTCAAGGACATTCAGAGACTTGTCCTGAAGCCATTCCTTTGTCTTCTTGGCCGTGTGCTTAGGGTCATTGTCATGCTGGAAGATGAAGCGTTGCCCCAGTCGAAGGTCTTGAGCGCTCTGGAGCAGGTTTTCATCACCGATTTCGATGTACTTAGCTGCATTCATTTTTCCTGACAAGTCTCCCAGTTCCTGCCGCTGAAAAACAGCCCCACAGCATGATGCTGCCACCACCATGCTTCACTGCAGGGATGGTATTGACGAGGTGGTGAGCGGTGCCTGGTTTCCTCCAGACATGATGCTTGGCATTCAGGCCAAAGAGTTCAATCTTCGTTTCATCAGACCAGAGAATTTTGTTTCTCCTGGTCTGTGAGTCCTTCAGGTGCCTTCTAGCAAAGTCCAAGCGGGCCATCATGTGCTTTTTACTGAGGAGAGGCTTCTGTCTTGCCACTCTACCACAAATGCCTGACTGGTGGAGTGCTGCAGAGATGTTGGTCCTTCTGTAGGGTTCTCCCATCTCCTCAAAAGGAACGCTTGAGCTCTGTCAGAGTGCCCATCGGGTTCTTGGTTACCTCCCTGACCAAGGCCCTTCTCCCCTGCTTGCTCATTTTGGCTGGGCGGCCAGCTCTAGGAAGAGTCCTGATGGTTCCAAACGTCTTCCATTTCTTAATGATGGAGACCACTGTGCTTTTTGGGATCTTCAATGCAGCAGATATTTTTCTGTAACCTTCCCCAGATCTGTGCGCCGATACAACCCTGTTTCAGAGGTCTACAGACAATTCTTTCGACTTCATGGCTTGGTTTGTGCTCTGACGTGCTCTGTCAGCTGTGGGATCTTATATAGACAGGTGTGGCTTTCCAAATCATGTCCAATCAATCAAAATCTCCGTTTTTTATGCAAACATGTAAACAGAGTTTTCCAAATCTCCATTATTGCTGGAGTTTTTAAAAAAGCATGGTTTTCAGAGGCGAATTCTTATTTTGCGTCTAAATGAAGGGTGCAAACGATGGTTAATGTCTCTGTTTTTAAAAATAACCAGGCATGTATAAACAGGGCCTAGGAGTCTTCTTCACCTCATTGAGCATTCTATGCTGTGCTCTTGCTCATCTTCACAGGATGATCAAACATAAGTAGAGTAGCAACAGTGCTAAATTTTCTCTATTTGTAGACAGTCTGTCTTACATTGGAGACAAGAGCATCAAGGCTTTGTGAAATGTAACACTTCCCAGATTCATGCAAGTCAACAGCTCTTGATCGTACGTCTTTTGAGAGCCCTTTTGTGGAAAGCATGGTTTACATCAGACAATACTTCAGGAGAACCGCAAACTCAAAACTGGTGTGTTTTTTTATAGGACAGGGCATCTTTATCCAACACATTCAATCTCATCACATTGATTGGACTCCAGGTTGGATGACTCCTGGCTCCAATTAGCTCTTGGAAAAGTTATTAGCCTAGGGATTCTCATACTTATCCACCCTGCACTTTGAATGTTTGAATGTAAAAATAAGTGTCAAAATTAGTACGTCATTGTTCAAGTATGTTTCTTCATATATTTTACATTTTGCGCTCGAGCTTTATGACAAACAATTACATTTATCAAAGTGCTGTACAGTGAGATAAAAAGCAAACTTAAGAAAAAAATAGGGATAAAGCACTTTTTAAAAAAAAAACTACTTGAAAGCACATAGAAAGAATGAAACAAAATCAACATGAAGTGACAGAGGCCACACAACTGTCATGCCTGGTTAAAAACCAAAGAAGAACAAAACAAACTGTTGTGGCTTTTCTTCTTGCTGTCAAAGCCACCTGAGAGCCATGAAAGGCAGGGTTTCATACAGGAATGAACGATGAGATGTATCCAGTTCAAAAGCTAAGTTTACTTCAACAAAAATGGTCAGGTATGGTTTGGAGTCTTCTTCCCATTATCCATGTGTTTTGTGGAGCTGAACTGTTGACAAGTAACACCACATCTCCTGGCTCAAGTTTCTCCTCACTTGTGACCACTTTTGGCGCTCTTGGAGTAGAGGCAGATATTCACAAGTTCATCTTGTCCAAAAGAGGTCTGCCAGATATTGCACCTGCCTCCAACGTCTTCTAGTGTACTGATCATCCTTGTCGAAAGTTCCCGGTGGCATACTGGGCTGTACTTTCATCAGCAGCAAATGATTGGGTGTTAACAGCTCAATATCACTTGGATCATCAGATGTGTTTGTGATTGGGCGATTATTTATGATGCTTTCAACCTCACACATGAGGGTTTGGAGGCTGTCATCTGTGAGAGTCTATTCTTTTACCAAAGCACCAAGAATCTTTCGTACAGTGCGTATTTGCCGCTCCCAAACTCCTCCTTGATGAGAGGCAGCATGGCTGTTGAAGATCCATTTTATTCCTTTCTTTTGCATGGTCTTTTAAATGTTTGTCTAGTCCAAGTTCTTGATCGCTTCTCTTAGTTCCTTTTCCGCACAGACAAAATTTGTGCCATTATCAGAGCGCAATATGACGACCTGGCCTCTTCTGCTTATGAATCGGCGCAAAGCGTTGATGCAGGAGCTGGTATCCAGACTGTCTTCCACCTCTATGTGCACTGCCTGATGGCGGGTGAACATTACACCATAGCGTTTGACAGTTCCCGGCCCCACTTTACGTCAAAGGGTCCAAAGTAATCGACGCCTACATTCGTGAAAGGCAGCTTGTCAGGCAAAAGGTGATCCTTCGGGAGATTTGCCATTTTTTGCTCTCCAACTTGACCTCGTAGTCTCCTACAGACTGTGCACTCTGCTACAATCTTTCTGATGGTTGTGGTTACTTGAGGGAACCAAAATTTTTGTCTTAGCTGGGATAATATGTAGTTACGCCCGCAGTGACCAATTTTTCGATGAACATCTTGCAGGATGAGAGTGGCGACTCTGGAGTGTTTTGAGAGAAAAGCTAGATATTTGGCATCCTGTGGCATGGCGGAGTAGCTAAGCCGTCCTCCTACTCTCAAAATGCTCTCTTGCAAAACAGGGTCAAGCTTGTATAGATGACTGTTTCTTTTAACAGGCAACTTATTTTTTTTACTTCTTCAGGAAACCATTGGGCTTGACTGTGTCTGATGATTTCCGATTCTGCAGCCATCAGTTCTTCCAAGGTCAATGTTTTCTTTTCCAAGACAGATTTGTACTTGTCCATGGACTGATGCACAAACACTCTTTGTTTTTCTGGATCCTTTTCTGTCTGATAAATGGAATGTTGAAACTCTTTTCTTTTCTCTTTCAGATGGATCAATGTTTCTTTGAATCTCAGAAGCCATGCAACTGCTCTTTTTAGTCTGTCCCAACTTGAATGATACTGAAGCAACCTGTTCACAGGATCAGACTTTTCTTCAGCACTGATGATGTTCGCTGTGATGTTTTTCACTTCTGGATCATTTTGCAGACTTTGAGACACATTGTCCAATTCCTCTGGCCATTCACTCTGGCTGTAACAGAAACTGAGGTCCATTTAACCATGTCTTTCTTTGGATCAAGCCTTTCACTTTCACTCCTCTCATGGCCTGGTCAGCAGGATTTTCTGATGTTCTGATGTATCGCCACTGTTGTGGTTTAGAGGCCTCTCGTATGAGATTAATCCTGTTTGCCATGAAGGTCTTGAAGTGAGCTGTCTCATTGTAGATGTATCTGAGGACCGTTGTACTGTCAGACCAGAAAAGAGATGGCTGAAGTGGAATTTGCATTTCCTCTCGCAGCATCTTGTCCACTTTAACCACAATGACTGCTGCAGTTAACTCAAGTCTTGGAATTGTGATCTGTTTAAGCGGTCCAACTCTAGACTTCCCAAACACAAAAGCACAATTAATTCTTCCTTGATGGTTCACTAGCACGAGATAAGACACTACGCCATATGCGCTTTCACTTGCATCGGCAAAGTGATGCAGCCATGCTTCTGATGTTTCTCCAAAATCCAGGGGCTTAACACATCGGTGAATACTGAGGCCTGAGAGGTGTGTGAGATCTTCCAACCACTTACACCACTAATCAACTTACTCTCCACTTATTTCTTCAGCCCATCCTTGCTTTTCTTGGCACAGATCTCTCAAAAGAAGCTTAGCAGGAAGCACCACTGGCGCCAGGAAGCCAAGACAGTCCTAGATGGAATTTACGACAGACAGAATTCCTCTTCTGGTCTTTGGCTTGTCCTGTAGCTGGATCCTGTAGGCGAATGAATCATCTTCTGTGCACCACTGTACACCAAGTGCTCTTTCAGTGGGCAAAGCGTCATGAGTGAGATCTAGATCTTTAAGCTCACTGGCTCGGTGCTCTTGAGGAATGGATGATAGAACTTTTCTGCTGTTGCTCACCCATTTTGTGAAGTTAAAACCTCCTTCTGCTCACAGGTCTCGCAGGATCTTCACCAAGGCAACAGCTTTTTCTTCTGAACTCATGGATTTTAAACAGTCGTCCATATAAAAATTATGTTGAACTGTTTCCACAACCTCTGGAGCAGCTGTGTCTTTTCTGTCTTCTGCAGTTCTACGCAAAGCGTAACAAGCAACACTAGGGGAGGAGGTAGCTCCAAACAGGTGAACCACCATCCGATACTCCTTCAGTGGTTCTTGTAGGTTGCCATCCAGCCACCACAACAGGTTGGCATCTGCAACTCTCACTTGATAAAACATTGACTCAATGTCCGCCATCATCCGCGTCTTGGTCTTACAACCTGTGGCTCCATACTTTGTAGCAGTCTGGGCGGTTTAGCTTCAGCTATAGGCATGTTAGAGGGTAAAGATGGTCTTCTTTCACTTTTTTGAACTTGAACTGCCCTGGCTACATGTGAGTGGACATAGCTGTTCATGCCATCTTCTGTTTGTTCATAATCCTTTAATACTCTTACTTTAGCTCATGCCTCTGCAATAGCTGCTTCAAAAGTCAGTCTTTCCAGCTTGGCTTTAATGCGTGCTCCCTCCATCTCAAGCTCTTGCTTCTGTTCCAAAACTGCAGCACGTTCAACAAGTCCAGCTAACTGTGCTTCTTCAGCAGCACAAGCTGATGGTGTTCTGGATGTGACAGATAAGCGTCCTAAAAGTAAATCCCTTTTTCTAGTTTTTACAGACACTTGTGATGCACTATCTTAAGGGGTAACATCATCAGTTACATCATCCTTAACTGTCACATGTTCTTGCTCTTTTTAGCTTTTACTAACATCATCCATCCGTTTTCTCACATTTTCAGCAAACTGAGTGATTATCAGCTTCTTAGGTTCAACCCAGCTGGTTTTATCTGCATTCTTCTCTTCCTCTGACAGAAGGTCCCACACTTGGAATGTTATATGTTCAAACTCCGTGACCAAAGAGCAAAAATCACTGTCCAAGCATGTTTCCACATTTTGCACATTATCTCCATCTTCATCACACATCAAAGCCTCAATTTCTTTCCTCTTACCAGTGATCTTAGCCAAAACGCCCCGTCTGGCTCCAATGAGTCTAGGCAGCTTTTCCTCCAGCGCCCTCCCAGTCAGCTTAACTGGTCTCTTACTTAATGCATTTGCAGCATTAAACTCCTTTTCCTTTTTCTTTTAACTTCTGAAACATGCACAAACTTCAATGGCTTCTTCAAAGGCAAGTTATTAAGGAGCCTCCTTAATTACCACTTCACTGTCAATTTCTTTCAGATCCGGCTTTAAACCTTGTTAACTCCTTTTGCTGAGGTTTCGTAGCATCCAACACATACCACAGCGTTGTATTGAGTCCAGTGTCCAAGCTGTGTGTCCGACTTCACGTGGAAATCCGGTTCCGAGTTAACAAGCTCCGTCGGGTTAATCTTCAAGCAGTTTTTCGACTAATGTGGCTTTCCTTGTTGCTGTCAAAGCCACCTGAGAGCCATGAAAGGCAGGGTTTCATACAGGAATGAATGACGAGATGTTAACTTCAAGAAAAATCAAAATACATCCATAACTCTGTCACTCCGTGGAAAAACTATGTGCTTCCGTACACAGCTCTCATCTAATAGGCTGTATTGGCTAAATAAACTGTGATTCATAAAATAGCTCTATTGATAGTAAGTACTAAAAAAAAATATCTACTCATGCCATCCGGTCGATTTTTAGTAATCAGTGTTTCGTGATGATTGCACACGCGCAATCATCACTACGCCGCAGAAAGGAAATAGTTTGACACCGAAATGCATGAACATGCATGAACATTGACACATTACACATCTTTTGCTTGATACAACAGCTGCTTACCCACCTCAGAAGAGAATACAAAAATCTATCCTCTGACTCCACTGTGTGTACAGTAACACCTGTACACACAATGATGTGCTCACCTCATAAAAATCTCCACCATGGTAAAACCCACTGTCTCTGTTTCCCTGGATTTAGCTTCATACAGTGGTGGATTGGGTGACCAGCTGAGGGCGCCTATCAACAGGGAACAGGCTTAACAAAAGGAACTCGATTGCTGGACAAAGAGACCAAGTAAGTGTGACAAAAAAAAATCAGGGTTTATTAAACAGTCGAATCCAGTAAGACACATGAGGTTAAATCCAAAAGGTAATGAGGGTGATGGAAAACAGGTGTGGAGACACAATCAGAAGGCAGGTGTGATCGGACGGGGGCAGGGCAAACCAGACAGGAACACATCTAAAACAGAGGCAGGAGTTAGTGATATCAAAGTAAAGCAAACAGGAAACACAAGACATGAACTAAAATGAACAAAAATAAAGATAACTTGACCATGATCATGACAGAACCACAGACTGCTAACTGATTTATAAAGCTTTCTCCTGTCGAGCAGACTCTGCCCGGTTCAATCACCTAACATGACTTTGTAAGCATGTAAAGAACTTGGTTTGTTGGTCATGACTTCTTTTGTGCTCCCGTTTCAAGATTTGTTTCAAGTATAAATTATGTTGCTTATTAAATATGAGACTATATTTAATGATAACTCTACATGGCCATCTCCATCCCACCCACTGAGGCACTGAAATAGGCCCTCTGCTGAACAGAGTGAGAAACACATCAGTCTATTTTCTGGAAATTTAGAGAGAAAACTCCGATTTTTTAGAAACTTACTTTTCCCTGCACATGCAGTGAACCTGTGAAGCTTCATAAAAAAATCCTTTTGGAATTCATATTTTCTACGTGCAGCTCCATCCCCACACTGCCACATTTGGTGGCCATGTTGCTCTGTGATCTGTAACACATGTTTTCACTTACAGACTTTTTTTTTGTTCCGCTGAGAAGGAAACATGAGGGCAGTTCCTGACTGTGAGTCATCACTGTTGCCCAGACTGCGCTCACACACTCAGAGCTGTCCGTAAAAGAGAGGACCTCTCTTCTCGCTTGTACTTTCTTTCATCTTTGGGACTGGAGGGCTTCTTTGCAGTTATTCTTGGGACATTTTCTACCATTTTTGATGGCACATCACAACTGAGTCAAATCCTTGCCTCAGGAAGCTGTCAGAGCGTGAGTTTGCATGATCACTTTTCACAGTGCCTCTTTGTTTTCAGTGAAATGAGAGGATGTTTTTGGAGTTCTGTAAAAATCAAAGCAGCATGTTTCTCTCAGATTGATTTTTTTTAAAAGTTTTTTTGTGTCTCACTTTTCTCTTTTGTCTTTCTCTCTGCAGCCTGAAGTTTGTTTACAGCAAACATAAAGAGCCCACACTTCAGTGTCTCTCTCAGTACAGACCCATCATGGCTGCTGCTGCGCTGGTAACAGAGAACTTTAAGTTTGTGTCCCTCTTTTTTAAGAGTAAAGATGTGATGATCTTTAATGGTCTGATTGCTCTGGGCACTGTGGCCAGCCAGACTGCCTATAATGTGTTTGCCTTTCACTGTCCCTGCTCCTCTGGGAGGAACTATCGCTATGGCCTGGCTGCTATCGGAGTCCCTGCTCTGGCTCTTTTCCTTGTGGGAATAATGTTGAACAAAAGCACCTGGGATGTGGTGTCTGAGTGCCGCCTCAGAAGATGTCGGAAGTTGTCTGGGGCTGCAGGCTTTGCTCTGCTGGGAACCATCTTTGGTCAAGCTCTGGTTGCCCCGCTCACCTGGGCAGTTTTCTCTTTGCTACAGGGTGAGGCATACACCTGTGCCCTCAGTGAGTTTGTTAACTCCACCTCAGTGGAGGGCTTCCCTGCAATCAAAGGGTCAGAGGTCATGGCCAGATTACCATGTAAAGGAAGTGTTCCTGAGGAGTTACAGAGCTTCTGGGCTGAAATTGAGCGACGACTGAAATATGAATCTCAGGTATTAGACTCTTCATGTTCTGTTTTGTTGTATTTGTCTTTTCTGTGCTGTCTCTTTTGTTTTATAAAATCCAACCCAGTTCTGAAATATTCAAAGGGAAGGATATGGTGGGACATATCCAAAGCTAGTTAATAAGAACGTGCAACAACAAAGAAAGGTGCACACTTAGTCCAGTCACACAAGATTTAAGAAGAACTAAGTTTCTTGTAAAAGCCTGTACACATGAGGAAAAAACTCCATCCCTTGATTTACATCTTTTCAAGTCTTCTACTTTTAACCAGCTTGATGGATTGAGGTAAGGACGTCCCCTGCATTGTGTGCAAGACCATAATAACCACATCCTGACATCTTAAATTCTTAAATGGAGTCTGGCATAAAGTAAATTGCGGACAGTACCTTTTGTATTTGGTCCATCAGATTTCATCAGCATGGGACTGTTGAATTAACTCTTAACGCAAATGTTAGTTTGAAATATGTTCCCTTTAACTTCTGTTTAATCTGGTTTTCTTCAACTTGGTCAATAATTTTTTTACTTAAACAATTTAAAACACAGTACACCAACAAGCTCTTAAAATGTGTATAAGCTCAGCTCAGCTGAGAACCTCAAGCAGGAAGTGAGAAAGTGTTTCTGTACAGACGAGCACATGGTTAGTTGGAGTTCATACCATAGCACTTGTTTACAATTAGAAAAATATATAATTGTTTATCTTACAGCAATGACAAAACTTGAATAGCCAGTATGAATTTCTGCCTCAAAAAACGTTCTATTTTGTATTGAAGTGAAGTCAGTCATGTGATGTTATGTTTGAGCATAGTTTTACAGAAGAAATGAATTGAGCATGTAAAATAAACCAGAACTGAAAATGTTACCACCTTTGTGCACATCAGGGTGTGTCTCATAGCACAATACAGCACAGCTGCAGAGCATACTGGAGCTTTTTTCGTACAGAAACCTCAAAATCACACTCTACACCTTCTAAGATAAACATGGAGTGAATGACTCTAGCATATCAGCTAAGTGTAATTTTAGCGTACCAGTGTGTGTCATTTAGACAGAAATTGCAATAGTTAAGTGTAGGACAGGTAACGGGATGCAATGGGCCAAAAATGGGGCTTTTTGAAAATGGGTAATGTAGTCATGCAGTCTAACCTTAATAAATTATGGCTTGAAAATGCTATTAAAAAAATAATGGCCACCTTAACATTTGCCTATACTGCCTGTGCCACTGGCCAGCCCTGCAGGCTACAAGACAGGGACAGAAGGTGCAGGCGTTGATATATATATATATATATATATATATATATATATATATATATATATATATATATATATATATATATATAACACACATACATATATATATATATATATATATATAAACTTTTCACACACACATACACACACGTATATATATACATATATATATATATATATATATACGTGTGTGTATGTGTGTGAAAAGTTTATGTATATATCAAGTCAAGTGAGTATCATGATAATGTAATAAACTGACTAGTTGCATTCATGTTTTAAGATGAATCTGTTGATGTGTGTTGAAGTATGTTAGACTTTGTTTGTTACCTTAGAAGCCCCTGTGATTGTCTATTTCTAGATGACCTTTATTAATTTGTAAACCCACTTGTCACCAAGTGTTTTAGGCAGTACATCTGTGCCCGACATTTCTGGCGGTTCATTTTGAGTTAGAGTATTAAGCAAGCCTAAAGGTCAAATTTCCCTGAGACATCTGTTTCGTCCACGTCCAAGTGTGAATGTTGGATAAGACAGTCAAGTGGTCAGGGTCTGGTGGGTTTAAGAATACTGTAAAAGAAGAACTAAATGAGATCCCAGACCGACAAACCAGTCTCTGTGACTTTTCCTCAAAAATTCACTACAACAAAAGTTGCAGCATCATGAACTGTGTACATGTTTAAATTCTATAGTCATGTAGATACAGACTCTGCCTGCACAGCAGTCACTTGTGTGTTCTGTGTGTTCAAGTGAGGGGCTGAATGAAAGTCATTTGAGATGTTCTTCAGAGATTCATCCTTGACAAAAAAGTGGTGTTTCGGGTCATATGACAAACATGCATGTCCTGCTGTATTTTACTCAGCTCTATTAACCCATAATTTGTGAGCTTTTTTGGTTCTGTGTTGCTAACAATTCACTCTTTCAGGATAAGTTGACATTAAACCATGACATGAACAAAAACTTGATAGATCACCACAGACGAGTTCACATATTGCATCACTAATTATATTTGGCCCCTTGACTCTCCACATGCACTGTTTTCCTGTACCCAACCAACGCTCACCAGGGACATACAGGGAATTTTAGAGAGGCCAGGGTTCAAACTAACAAAGACCAGTTTATTTCTTTATAGTTAAATAAATAATTTCTGAAATAACAACCTTCATGACACTGTAAGAGAGACATTGAAATATTATACGTATATGTGATCCATGACAGGTGATTAATAACGCTGCATTCAAATACATCTAAAACTCTCTTAGTCTCAGGAGAAGGTTAAACTGCTGGAACAGCAACAGACAAAGAGAGGCTGGTGTTGTATAGTGAACAAACTATACAGGAAAAAAAGTGGAGCTTTAAAAGCATTATGAATTTTTTGTTTTAAAAGTTAATTGAACTTCAAAGAAAAATACAAATATTTTAATTGAATATTTTAACTCAAGATTTTCACTATTTACACATTTCCTTTTCACTAAAACAGATCCCTGAAAAAAATCTCAAAAATTATGCTTGAACTTAAAATGTTTGCAAATCTGCCATTTTCTGTATTTTTTTGTTATTATTGTTATTTACTGAGTCTATCAAGTCTCGCTGTCTCATACTATCGGCATGTAAGAATTTGATTCTTCTGTAAACCTATATGTATTTAAGGCTGCTATAAGGATTTTTTTTTTAATCAGTGGAATAAACTGAAATTCATGTTGGTGCCCTTTTATGACTAACAAAAGCCATCAAGAGCATAAATGACAGAATCAACAATTTTATATCTTTATTTTTTTTTATGTCTGACATCAGTAATTGGGATATATGCCAGCTGAGCACCTACATAAAAGGCCATCTTTTCACATTTTTTAATAAAATATTAACATCAAATTTTCTCTGTCAGCAGACACTGTTTGAGCATTTCCAGGATCAGATAAGAAAGGAATCACTTTGCCAGCAGGGGGTGCCACACTTGACACAAACCTTAAGTTCCTTACAGGAGCTTTAATATAACAGATACCTCTGAGAGGCTACTGCAACAAGATTATTAATCATCACCCAAAGTAGAGATGCACTGGGAATTCGGCCACTAAAAATTTTCGGCCGAAAAGTGCCCAAAAGTGCATTCTTGGTTTTGGCAAAAATACTTTTTTCACCAAAACAACATATAGGTTGTTGTGATGACTCAAGCAAAAAACGCAACCAGCATGTGCTTCTCTGGATAAGGGCCAACATGCCTGCTGTGTGGACATATTTCAGTATATCTAAGAACCACAGATAGCAATTTGCATTGTGTGATGCTAAAATTCTAAGAGAGGGTGCATCTGCAGCTGAATACACAAACAGACACTGGGGGACACAGATATATATAGAGAAGACTATATACGCCAATGTAGTAGGCAATGTTCCCATTAAAGGCATTAGATGTGCACTACAGGCCAAGTACAAGTACAAGTTTGGAAGCAAGGCCATTACAGGCCGAACAGCTTGGGAGTAACTTCAAGTTTTTGTTCACAATGCTTTTTTAAAATCCAGCATGAGTTTTATGTATTTTGGGATGTATTTACTCCACGATCAGATGTTGCTTTCATGGAAATGCACCATTTTACTCCATTTACCTTTAGATATACATTGATGTTAACAGACCATTGCTAAATATATGTCAGCAAAGGATAATAAGGGCTTAGTTTTAGGGTTGAAAACATTTGCAAGAGTCACAACTTAAGTGCAAAAGTAAAAAAAAAAAAATCACAGTTGGATTAAATTCACTTCAATTTTTTGGCTTTTGAGAGTCTGCAGACAAAATCCTAATAAATCTCAACTGCGTTCAAACTACCACAAAAATGCCTAGAAAGAAGCAACTGAGTAAAGAAACAAAAGTACAGATTTGTACATTGAGGAAAGAAGGATACATAGAAAAAGAAATTGCAAAATGCCCAAAGGTGTTTAACAAAGGAGTCCACTACACTCTGAAGAGACTAGAGGAACCTGGAAGTTATGATGATAGAAAAAGACCTGGACGAAAGAAAGTTACTACAAAAGCAGAGGATAAACATAGCATTGTCATCAGTAAGAGAGATCGGCGAAAAACAGCACCACAAATAAGGGAGGAAATCAACATGACAAGGTCGAAACCCATATCTCTGACAACCGTGAAATGACATTTGAGAAAGGCTGGTCTGAAGGGTTGTATTTGCAAAAAAACACTACTTTGTCCACAGAACAAGAAAAAGAGATATTAGTGGGCAAAAGCTCACAAAAATTGGACTTATGATGACGAGAAACAAGTTTGCACTGTTTGGTTCAAAATGCAGAGTCTATGTCTGCAGACAAACTGGTGAACGTCTGAAAGCACCATGTGTTACACCCACAATTCAGCATGGAGGTGGTAGTTCCATAGTATGGGGATGTTTTGCAGTTGATGGAGTAGGAGATTTGTTTGAAGTAAAGGGTGTCATGAAGAAGGAACATTACCACTCCATCCTCCAGCACCATGCTGTTCCATCTGGACCATAGACTGTATATAGAATGGACACCGTCTGCCTCCTTGCTGGGTTAAGCCACTCCAAGAACAGCACCCTCTGTTGATGGGCTGCAGTATAGGTCATAAATCCCGCCTCTGCCAGCAAAGCTTATGGGACTGTGGACAAACTTTAGAAATTTATTACACAGTACATAAATGTTTCTCTCCCCTGCTTGTGATGTTGACATGTAGTTACTGTAAGACTGGTTTGTGCCCAAGTCCTCTTTTTACTGTACAGCTCCATTTTTAAAAGTTATTAGGGGGTTTATGTTTTCTATGATTGACACCTGATACAGCCTATGGGAATTCAGGGATTGCGTAGCTCACCCGGGGGATACGCTGTTTGAGCCGGGCGTCATCACAGTGACTCTCGGCGACTGCGCAGCTGAATGCGCGCATCGCTACTGCGCAGCGCTGGTTTCAGGAAATGAAGAAAAATTCCGGAAATACCGAGAGCTTTTTGGCTTCAAATCCGTATACAGGCGGGAGGCGGAACCAAGTTGTCCTCAGTATACAGGACTGTCTCAGAAAATGTGAATATTGTGATAAAGTTCTTTATTTTCTGTCATGCAATTAAAAAAACAAAAATGTCATACATTCTGGATTCATTACACATCAACTGAAATATTGTAAGCCTTTTATTATTTAAATATTGCTGATTATGGCATACAGTTTAAGAAAACTCAAAAATCCTATCTCAAAAAATTTGAATATTTCCTCAGACCAAGTAAAAAAAAAGATTTATAAGAGCAAAACAAAATCAAACATTTGAAAATGTCAATTAATGCACTCAGTACTTGGTTGGGAATCCTTTTGCACGGATTACTGCATCAATGCGGCGTGGCATGGAGGCAATCAGCCTGTGGCATTGCTGAGGTGTTATGGATGCCCAGGATGCTTCAATAGTGGCCTTGAGCTCATTTGCATTGTTGGGTCTGGTGTCTTTCAGCTTCTTCTTCACAATACCCCACAAATTCTCTATGGGGTTCAGGTCAGGGGAGTTGGCAGGCCAATCAAGGACAGTAATGCCATGGTCAGTACACCAGTTACTCGTGGTTTTGGCACTGTGGGCAGGTGCCATATCATGCTGGAAAATGAAATCATCATCTCCATAGAGCTTTTCAGCAGACGGAAGCATGTAGTGCTCTAAAATCTCTTGGTACACAGCTGCATTGACTCTGGACTTGATGAAACACAGTGGACCAACACCAGCAGCTGACATGGCTCCCCAAACCATCACTGACTGTGGGAACTTCACACTGGATTTCAAGCAACTTGGATTTTGCTCCTCTCCAGCCTTCCTCCAGACTCTGGCGCCTTGACTTCCAAATGAAATACAAAACTTGCTTTCATCTGAAAAGAGGACTTTGGACCACTCTGCAACTGTCCAGTGCTTCTTTTCCATAACCCAAGTCAGACGCTTCTTCCGTTGTCTTGAGTTCAGGAGTGGCTTGACCATGGGAATACGGCTATTGTAGCCCATTTCCCGGACACGTCTGTGAACAGTGGCTTTTGATACCTGGACTCCAGCTTCAGTCCACTGTCTTTGAAGCTCCCCCAAATTCTGGAAGCTGCTCTTCTTCACAATGCTGTTAAGGCTTCGGTCCTCTTTCTTGGTTGTGCAGCGTTTCCTGCCACATTTCCCCCTTCCAACAGACTTTTTGTGAATGTGCTTTGAAACTGCACTCTGTGAACAGCCTGCTCTTTTAGAAATTTCTTTTTGTGTCTTACCCTCCTGATGGAGGGTGTCAATGATGGTCCTCTGGACAGCAGTCAGGTCAGCAGTCTTCCCCATACTTGTGATTTAGTTTACTGAACCAAGCTGAGTGTTTTTAAAGGCTCAGGAAACCCTTGCAGGTGTTTCAAGTTAATTAGATGACTCAAGTGATTAGTTAAATAGCCTATTAGTATACTTTTTCATGATATTCTAATTTTTTGAGATAGGATATTTGAGTTTTCTTAAGCTGTATGCCATAATCAGCAATATTTAAAAAATTAAAAGGCTTGCAATATTTCAGTTGATGTGTAATGAATCCAGAATGTATGACATTTTCATGTTTTTAGTTGCATTACAGAAAATAAAGGACTTTATCACAATATTCTAATTTTCTGAGACAGTCCTGTATACAGTCTATGATCTGGACTTAGACCTGTGGCTCATAAGTTTGTTTTGCAGCGAGACAATGACCCTAAGCACTCTGCCAAGCTCTGTCAGGATTACCTAGACAAAAAAGAAGAGGAAGGTGTTCTTCAAAAGATGGTTTGGCCCCCCCAGTCTCCAGACCTTTCTCCAATTGAGCTTGTGCAGGATGGATTGGGTAGATCGGTCAGAAAAACGCATCCCACGAATCAGCAGTCTCTTTTTAATGAACGTAAGAAAGCTTAGAATGCAATCCCTGGAACATACCTTAAAAAATTTATGGAAAGTTACTCTTTACACAATAGTCATGTTTATTGTGTTGCAAATTATATATATGAAACTATGATCTTTTCTTGTACAAATCTGATCTTGCTTCCAAACTTTTGGCCTGTAGTGTACATGGAAAATCAATCTTAACTTGCTAATTTCTCGATTTATTTTCATGTGATTTTCTTTTTTTTTTTAACACCAAAACATGTGCAATTAATACAGAACATTTGATTAACATTTGTTTTGTTTTTTTTTTTAAATCAAATGTTTTGTATTAATAGCACATATTTGGTGTTGACAATAAAGTAAACTGCATGAAAATCGGAGGCGAAAACGTATCTGACGGACACTCACAATTTAATGTATGGACTCATCAATATAGAAGATGTTCACTGTTTTATTCAATATCTGTTTTTATGTCAAATCTGCTTTGATTTCTGAAAGTAACAATCATGGACTTCATTAATGAAAAAATTGAGAAAATGAAGGAGAGAGGGCTTTTGCAACTATTTACTGCTTTGTTTTTTACTGTTAGGTTTTATCAGTGGGTAAGACAACATGTGAGTTGCTGAGGTGCTATAAATCTATTCTTTCAGAGGCTGGGACACAATAACTCCACCATCCATTTTGTGTGACCAGATCACAAGATGTATTGAGTGATCATACAGGGTTGCTCTAACCAGCTAAAAGCCCATTCAATTATATGCTTCTTTTTGTGTGTAAACAAGAATTATGGCTGACAAAGAAAAGGGCATTTTGACTGATGAGGGCAAACAGGACAGGCGCTCAAGCTCCTTTTGTTGTGTATGCGTGCAGGTGCATGATGCTCGCAGAAATGCTTATGGACAATAGCTACCTACTACTCATATTTCACTCATTTATGGCTCATGATCACATGACAGGGAGCAGAAACAGCACATGCAAGACAAGTAACAATGACAGCACAGGTCATGACTGTGCAATCACAAATATTACTGAAATAATAAAGGGACATTCTTTAAAAAAGCAGTTTACAGACCACTTTAGGCCTATCTTTTCCAGTCTGAGCCAGTGTTGAAATAAGCAATGGTTTAATATGCAAGAAAGTAAATAAAAGAGTGTGAGCTATTACTAACTGTCTTTCTGATGTTTAACTTTGATGAATGAAATGTGACTTCCAGCCAGTATGTTCATATGATGCAATAGGCAGTGACATACACAGACAATGCTATAGCACCTGCCTTTTGCCCTCAGGACTAAGCAAGTGCCCTTTTGAAAGTCATTATTAGGGCCAAGGCCGACGCTGCAAGCTGCAGGCGAGAGCCCTGTTGAAATTGCAGGAATTATTATTATTATTATTATTATTAGTAGTAGTAGTAGTAGTAGTAGTAGTAGTATCATCATTATTATTAACTTTAAAACTCTTTAAACTATTACACCCCCTAGATGGGCTCAAAATGTCCTGAAATTCTGGGCGGGTCGCGCCTGGCTCAAATTCACATATATTGCTGTGCCCCTATATTCAAAAAAATAAAAATTTAAAAATTTAAAAAAAGGACTCGCACCCTACAGTCTTCAAGCTTGCAGAGTTTTTTGCATAACTTCCAGTACACTGGTTCCAGTTCAATCAGATTTTAGTCATTTGATAAGGGTCTGGCACTGAAAAATTTGGCACCAAACTTTCATCCATATGTTGTAGCGCCACCTGATGGCAGAGGGAAATGCATTTTTTGGTTAATGGCCTGTAACTCCTTGATTGATAGGATGCAGCTGAGATTTGTTCAGGACACACCTGATGGGGTACCAGATAGGCTAAAAAATCAATACCTTGTTATGTTAACCTGTGCCTAGGTGGCGCTAAGAAATGTCTAAAAAAAAAAGCAATCTGTGATATTACTATAGATCAGCACAGCCACATAAAATTTGGTACACAGAGCAGGAGGGCTTAAATATCAAAATGGAGATCCAACTAAAAACAGCCCCATAGCGCCCCCCATAAACTTTCAAAATGTAAGCCTCGCTCCTGTGTGTAACCCAAACCTTTGGAATCAAGGACACTCATGTTGGACCCCAAGATGAACAAAAAGGGGAGGCAGTCCACAGAGTAGGCAGCGCGACATAGCTAGGGCCCTGCGGGGTGTTGGTTATAATTTATATATTTTCTATGATAAAGCAGGCAGTGGTTCCACATGCTGCATAATGTGCCCTAGTTTTTAACTGAACACCCGCCTCCAAAAAATGTCTATGTGCATCTTTGGCAATAGCGATTGATTTACCTTTTTGATTTCTAGTGTATGTATAATTTTTGATATATCAGTTAATGCTTCCATTAGACTCAAACTGGCTAATGTGCTCTGTGCTCAGAATTTTCCACGCCAAGCTTTGGTTGAGACATTTAACAGCATGAGAGGCTGAGTGGGAAACAAAACCTCAACATATGAAAAAAAAAAACTAAAAAGGAAAAAACTGTTCCTCCGTACCATCAAAAGCGAAAGAGCTGTAGGCCTAAGTGTGTTATAGTTGCCGTGGCGGAGGCGGACATGTTTCTTTCAATAATTGGATTCTTGCCCGGTGCTGGCTGCAGCTAGCTGATTTAGTAAACACTTTGACTGTGTTGTGTGCAGAAAGATAAGTGCGAGGTTTGTTGTGCAGTTTATGCTGCCATTTATACACTGAATGTAAACAATAAGCACCTGTCAGTCATACAGTTAGCTCTTCATGGTGTCTCATGCAGCACGCTACAAAAGGATAGCAAGCGATATCAGCACCAGAGTTAACCAGCACGCTAATAAATGCACAAAATTGTTATGACAACAAGCCAGTCAGGACGTCTGTTATTGAGAGTACAATGAATAACAGTTCATTTAGAGTTCATTAGATGTGCATACAGACATTAATACAGAGTTTTTACACACTGTGTTGTATTCTGCAACTTACCTTGAGCATTTGTGTTGTACAATAGCAAAGCATTATGGCTACCCATGGAGAATATATCATACAACTGAGAAAGGGTGCCCTGGAGCCACACACAAAAAGCTGGATAAATCTCACACTAAAGTTCTCCTTCAGTAAAGTTCTTCTTCTTCACTAGAGTGGGTGGAATAACATACATAACATACTCTGTGACAGCTTGGGACCAGGCCAGGAGTCCAGTGAAATCGCAGAATTAAACTGTGGCTCGACTTATCTGTGCATGTAAATGTAGAGATAATATTAGAAGAATCCCCAAAATTTAGAAAGCACTTTTGTCATTACACCACTTTGCAGACAGTCTTCTAAAAGGAATATTTAAAACCGTTGACCAATTGTGTACTAAAACAATTGACAAAACGCATTAGCAAGTGGCTAATAGGTTGTCTGCACCACAACAAAATTACTGTTATTTTTACAGCAGTTTTGTCTGCATCCCACCTTCCAAGCATTGCATTTATGCTGCTTCAATTTCTGGTGCAAGCCCAGCATGCAGACACTGAGCATGTGCAAGAATTAATTCAAAATTCTGTCCAATAGAGGAGCTCATGGAGAAAACTGATCCCCAACTCTATTATCTATGTGAGTTAGTCAGAGAGTTATGCAATTTCAGTCGGACCATTGTTTTATGTGTAGTTGAAAGTCCAGTTTCAGTTAGACTGACTTTTTGGACATGTAAACATACTGACCAAGAACAGGCAAAGTTTCCAGTGCCTTCAGATTTTACCAAGGAGTTGATCTCTCACCTCTATTGTTTCAGCTCATTGGCTGGCTGCTGGTGGCAGGAATGTCTCTGGCTGTGTTCCTGATGCTGTGCATGAAGCGCTGCTCCTCCCCTCTGGGTTACCAGCAGGAGGACTACTGGTCTCAGTACCGATCTCAGGAAAAGACCCTCTTCCAGCGTACAGCTGCTGTGCATGCCCGTCTCCTGGCTGCAGAGAACATTAAGAGCTTCTTTGGTTTCGTGGCATTAGAAAAAGAAGAAAAGGAGCAGCTCGATGAGTTCCAGAGTGCAGGTCCAATCTGCAGCACAGACTGGAATAGAGTAACAGGAGTGTACCTCTACAGGGAGAGGGATGGCTTCCCTTTGTACAGCAGGCTCAACAAATGGGCCACATACAGCCTGGAGCATAATGTCGAGGCCATGGACAAAGAGATGGAGGTCCTCAGCTGACGATGACTTCGATTTGGACTCTGGTTTTTCACCAGTGGACATTCCACCAAAACTACAGTTTCTGCACGAAAGCCCTTTCATACCATCACAAGTCTTTTAACCTGATGACAAAGGTATCCAGATACTTTTGTCCTCAGGCTATTGGGAAATTTTTGATATCATAGCATCCCTTGTGTAATGGCCTAATCCCTGCTGACATTTTGAGCCCTTATACAACCTGCAGTGGTCATACTCACAAAGCTGTCTTGTCAAACAATCCATCAGTGACCAGAAACTGGAGTGGGAGGGTAGGTGTCAGATAGGTTTTTAGGTGATAATACTACAATGAACCGACAGGTTATAGATTGTCATCTTTTGTATATGCATCCGTACAGTATGGAAAACTATTTTGTATTTTTGAGTGTTTGTTCTTTACAACTTTCAGGGAGAAATCAGTTTTCAAGCATCAATGTGTCTTCTCTGGAGTAATATCCCATGCTCATGTGTATCTGTGGTTTTTGACATTCAGTGTTTTATTTAGTTTTATTGACAAGCCTCTTGTAGTATAAGAAAAACCTTTTCCCATTCTTCTTTGAAATGTTAAGAGGAAAAGATAGTTAGGGTGAAATAGCCTCCCCTCCTAACTTATCTTGGGTCTGTAGCTATTGCGATTTGTAATGTATTGTAATTTATCATACCATTGATTGATTGAAAACTCAAAGCTGAAACGTGTGACTTTGTCATGTCTACCGCTCACCACAAAATAAAATGTCACTTCTTTTTTCATGTCCCTCTGCTTCAGCTCCCTTTTTAAAAACTCTGCACTGGCTCCCTGTTGCTTTTAGAAATGATTTTAAAGTTTTCTTGTTTTCAAAGCTCCTCCATACATCACAGATCTACTTTCATTTTATTTGCCAGCCAGGTCTTTAAGTCCTTGAATGTTCCTCATGTGTCTCTCAAAGGCAGAGACAGAGCTTTGTGTAACTCTTCCTCTAGATATTAAAACAGAAACTTTGTTTTAGAAGGAAACCTGAGACCTATCTTTTAAAACTGACTTTTCATTTATGGTGACTTTTTTGGTTTTGGGATAAATTTGATGGGTTTTACAACAGATTTATTTTAGGTATTTTGTTCTGTTCAATGTTTACTTGTTTGTCTGGCTTTTACTGTGTTGATTCATAATTATCTTATTTCATTAACCTTTTTTATTTATGATCCTTTATTATTTGTAATATTGTTGTCAGTTTGTCTTTTAAACTTCCTTTTGTTGTGACACACACACAAAACCAGTCATAAAGTACAAAGACCTGAACCCTCAGAAATCCTCATACAGCCACACCAAACAGGCTCATTAAAGTTTTATGTCTGCAGAAAATATTGCGGAGACCGTTTTGATTGATGACTCAGCCTTTGTAAGGCTGTCTTTAGATTTTTATCACCTTCCTGTTTTTCAAAGATGGTACCGTAACCCTCTAATACAGAAACAAACTGTTGGTTGCTGTGCAGAAAAGGAAGTGCCACTCACACATTGGAACCTCTGAGGAAGTGTGAGGAGACTACAGTCACCTCTGACTGACTCACAGCACTGTGGTTTGCAGGCGTGACAGTCATTTCTTTCGGTTGAAGCACGGAAACACTCAAAGCTGACATTGGCTGACAGAGTTAGGTTCAAGGTTGTCTTTGTGTGCCTGTGAGGGACAATTTACCCTCATCTGGTGAATTATAAATGCTATTAAGAAGACATTACAATGAGTATAAGTCCAACAAAAAATACACCATTCATACTGCACTTTTTAGCAAAAAAAAGCAGTTCAAAGTGTTTCACAGTGGACATTAAAACATCATGATGAGGGACAGAAAAAAAAAATTTTTGAAGACAAGATTTAAAAAATCTGTGTAACAGACCTTTAAGAAGAAAACTATGACTAGCAAGAAGCCTTATTGCCAATGGACAAGAATTTAAGAAATTCAACTGGAATTTAGAGATTAAACCAGTATGTATTCACGAGACCTGGTTAATACCTGAATTTTGTAATCCCAGGGTACTCATGCCTGCGAAAAGATAGAGCTGATAGACCAGGAGGTGAATGTGCAACCTTTGTCAAATCAGGGATTCAGTATAGAATTAGGGAGCATGATTTAACTCTTACATGTTTAGTCATAGAAATATGGAGTTAACAGGGAAAAACAAATTTAGTTAATTATTATAATCCTTGTAAACCTTGTAAAATCCTTGTGTTGTCCAGATATTGAACTGTTGGCAGTTGTTCTTCGGCCATATAATGTTCCGAGAGAATTTAGTCATATCATAACAGTAGTTGTTTACATGTCACCCAAATTAACTGAAGAAATTCTGTGCGATGTTTTGCAAAATAGTGCTGCCAGGCTACAGACTCAACACCCTGAGGCACTAATAATAATATCAAGAGACTTCAACCATGTCACCCTCTCCTCTCACCTGACTGGATTCACACAGTTTGTGAACCGTCCTACCAGAGAAAACAAAAGCCTGGATCTGCTGTATGCCAACGTCAAAGAAGCCTACAGAGCCACTGCCTTACCACCACTGGGCAGGTCAGATCATAACTTAGTGTATTTGCAAACCTGTTACAGACCTTATGTACTGAGGCAGCCTGTGGCTGAAGTCAAAATCAGAAGATGGACACCTCAAGCCAGTGAAGCTCTAAGGGACTGTTTTAAATCAACAGACTGGAATGTGCTGCTGGAAACAGATGTGGATTGTATGAACATTGACAAACAGGTTGACTGCTTTACTGAATATGTCACAAGAGACATAAAAGCAATCCTTAACCAGAAAAAGAAAGGTTTTAAAGATGGTGACAAAGAACGACTCAAACAAGTGCAACAAGAGTTGAAGAGGAGACTGAAGATGGCAAAGCTGGAGTACAAAAAGAAATTCAAATTCAAATTTATTTTATTTGTATAGCACTTTTCATACATAGGAGTAGCACAAAGTGCTTTACAGAATGATAAGATAAAAATAAGAATAAAAACCCCTCCCTCCCACGCCCACACACAGATACACGATCACTTACATACACACACCCACCTACCCACACACAAGCATACACACACAGGACAGTGCTTGGTTGTTTTGTTTTGCATTTCGTCATTTCGTCATGGCTTTTTACTGAGGGTCCTGGTGAGGAAGAACGCATGAGGAGACACTGGAGCTAGGAACTAAAAGATTAAAACACATAAAATAATGTTTTAAATAAAATCAGTTAAACGCTAGGAACTAAAAGATTAAAACAAATAAAATAATATTTTTAATAAAATCAGTTAAACGCTAGGAACTAAAAGATTAAAACACATGAAATAATGTTTTAAATAAAATCAGTTAAACGCTAGGAACTAAAAGATTAAGACACATAAAATAATATTTTAAATAAAATCAGTTAAACGCTAGAAACTAAAAGATTAAAACAAATAATAATAATGTTTTAAGTAAAATCAATTAAACGCCAGACTAAAAAGGTGTGTCTTTAGCCTCTTTTTAAAAATATCAACAGTCTCTGCGGCCCTGAGGGTCTCTGGCAGGCTGTTCCACCGGTAAGGGCCATAGTGGCTGAAGGCAGCCTCACCGTGCGTCTTTGTCGCGGTTCGTGGGACAGTTAAAAGGCCGGTACCAGAGGACCTCAGGGTCCGCGAGGGCTGATATGCTAAAAGCAGGTCAGATAAATAAGACGGCCCAAGACCATTAAGACATTTATAAACCAGCAAAAGAATCTTAAAAATCGATCCTGAAGCGGAAGGGGAGCCAATGCAGTGATTTCAAAACGGGTGTAATGTGCTCCTGCCCTCTGGTCCTCGTCAGCACACGAGCGGCTGAGTTTCGTAGTAGTTGTAAGCTATTAATGCTTTTTTTGGGAAGACCAGAGAGCAGGGCATTACAATAATCTAGGCGACTCGAAATAAAAGCATGCATGAGCACCTCCATGCTGGCCTGAGATAGAAACGTGCAGACTCTGGCTATATTCTTGAGATGGTAAAAACCTATCTTTGTGATGTTCTTAATGTGGGGAATAAAAGTGAGCTCAGAGTCAAAAATAACGCCCAGGTTCTTAACACATTGTGAGGGTTTAAAATCTTGTAGTTTTGGTAAAAGTTTCTCCCTCAGGCCTTCAGGACCAATGACTAAAACCTCTGTTTTATTCTGGTTGAGTTGGAGGAAATTATCTGCCATCCATGACTTAATATCTGAAATGCAGTTAAAAAGGGCATCAACTGGCCCTGTGTCATCAGGAGACACAGCAATGTACAACTGCGTATTATCAGTGTAACTGTGGAAACTGATGCCGTGCCTCCTGATGACATCCCCCAAAGGAAGTGTGTAAAGATTAAACAGAAGTGGGCCTAAAATTGACCCTTGGGGGACCCCACACTTAATTTTATGTGTTCTGGAGGAGCATGTATCCATATTTACAAAGAAAGATCGATCCATGAGATAGGAGTGGAACCACTTAAAAACAGTACCAGAGAGGCCAACCAAATGCTTCAGTCTGTTTAATAAAATGTGATGGTCTACAGTATCAAAAGCAGCACTAAGATCCAGTAAGACCAAGACTGTTAGTTTTTTGGTATCCAAATTACATCTGGTGTCATTTAAAATCTTCAAAAGAGCCGTCTCGGTGCTGTGGTTCATCCTAAAGCCAGATTGAAATTTCTCAGAAATATTGTTTTTAGTTAAAAAATAATTTACTTGGTTAAAAACTACCTTTTCTAAGATTTTACTTAAAAATGGTAGATTAGATACAGGCCTGTAGTTGTTAAAAACATTGTGGTCTAGATTGCTCTTCTTCAGAAGGGGCTTCACCACCGCCGTTTTATAGGCAGTGGGGACGACACCCGTCTGAAGAGAGCAATTCACTATATTTAAAATCTGTTCCTCGAAGAATTCATAAAATGTCTTTAAAAGCGATGTGGGAATTGGATCTAAAAGGCAGTTTGTGGGGTTTACCTGGGAGAATACTCGACCAAGGGCCTTCGCATCAACCAGACTAAAACTCTCCAGTGTCTCCTCGGGTAAAAGCAGTGATCCAGGTGTATTAAGAACAGCATTCTGATGAGATAAAACACTGGATCTGATGGTATCAATCTTGCTTCTGAAGTGGTCTGCAAAGTCCTCACAGAGGGTCACTGTAGGTGTCATGGACACATTAGAATCGGTGCTGGTTAAAAGATTAAAAGTGGAAAAGAGAAACCTCGGGTTGTTTTTATTGTCAGTAATGAGTTTTGAAAAATGATTTCTTCTGGACAATTTCATTGCGTTATTGTAGGTTTTTAGTTGATCCCGGTATATTTCATAGTGTACTGTTAATTTGGTTTTTCTCCACCTTCTCTCTGCACTCCTGCATTGTCTCTTCAGTTGCTTGATGTTGCCATCTCTCCACAGTTGTGTTTTCTTAGTTCTTACAGTTTTAGTTAAAAGTGGAGCCACTGCATCTAGTGATGTCTTTAATTTGTTGTTAAAATCATCGACAATAAAATCACAAGGTGCAGGTAAAATTTCAGCAGGAGTGTTCTGTAAAATCTCTATAAAATTTGCAGCCACTTCAGAAGTAAGGAAGCGTTTCCTCACCGTTCTCACTGAGGCCTCTCGATGGCTAAAACTGGTGATATTAAAAAACACGCAGTAGTGGTCAGACACCGCTAGGTCAACAACAGAGGACACACCAGTGGACAGGCCATAACTTATGACCAGGTCCAGAGTGTGTCCTCTGTTGTGAGTTGGCTGGGCAACGTGTTGCTTAAAATCCATGCAATCTAAAATATTTAAAAATTCTCTGGACATTGCGTCCGAACTGTTGTCAACATGTAAGTTAAAATCACCAGCTATTAAAATCCTGTTATAGGTAGAGTGTATGACTGAGAGAAGTTCTAAAAATTCACTGATGAAAACCTTGGGATGACGAGGTGGCCTATAGATAGTAATACATAGTATAGGGGGACTGCTAAAAACAAATGCATTATATTCAAATGATGTATAACTGTTAAAAGAAACTTCACAAGAATTAAGTGATTTCAAGATAGAAGATGCAGTCCCGCCTCCCCTGCCTTCCCTGGTAGAAAATAAAAAGTTAAAATCAGGTGGACAGGCCTCAGAGAGGGAAACTCCTGCCTCAGTACCAAGCCATGTTTCTGTGAGCAATAAAATATCAAGTTTGCTGTCTATAATCAGGTCATTCATTATAAAAGTCTTGTTTAAAAGAGAGCGCACGTTTAGCATGGCCAAATTAATGACCCCACCGGATGAGCGCACCTCGCTGTTGCCGCAAGTCCGGGGCCCCGAGCAGTCCCTTAGGGCCACCCGGGGCCGTGGACCCGCAGAGGCGGGCTTGTATTGATGGGAGTGATGACGTGAGCTAATGTGTACTGGGATGGGATATTGAACAATGTGGTCGTTGATGTGAACAGTAGGTCCATAGGGGGCAGTGTTGAGTGAAGCACTACTGGGCGCTGCCACGGAAGGTGAAGGTGAAGAGGTGTGGAAGGGGGTGTGTGGGGTAAACAATAGTCAATCACGTGTGGCAGATTGCACCGAGTGCTGCAAATTAGCAGTGAGCATGGTGCTGCCTAATTTGTTTGGGTGCACTCTGTCTGGCCTTTATGCGGAGTAGCGATTCCAAAATAGATTAAAATTGTCGATAAAACCAACCTGATAGTCTCTGCAGGCGGAAAGCAGCCAGGTGTTGAGGCTGAGCAGACGGCTGAACCGCTCTGCTCCCCGGGCCAGTGTCGGGATTGAGCCGGAGATGAAGACGGCCTTCCCCGTGGTGCGCAGGAGCCTGAGCAGGTCTCTAAAATCAATTTTTAAGAGCTCGGACTGCTTGCGAGCAGTTTCATTGCATCCCACATGGACAACAACTTTGCTGACTGTACCAGGCAGGGAGAGCAAGAGCCCCGGGAGTTCGTTTAAATGGTGGAGTTTAGCTCGGAATTAACAGGCGGACCAGCGCCCAATGTGATCACTGAGTCCAAGAGCTTTTCTTCATTCCGGATCCAGTGAAGGTCGGCGATACAGTGCTCGAGTTGTGCTATGGATCGGGATTTCTCAAGGCAGCCATCGCACCTAGGTGGAGAGGTGAGTGGGAACGTTATGGTGGCGGCCATCGGTGTAGTGCTAGCTTCACGGCCCGCTAGCTTCACGCCTTAGCGCGAAGATAGAGAAGAATCTACAACACAGCAACATCTGTGAAGTGTGGAGAGGGATCAGTACCATCTCTGGACACAGCAGTAAACAGAAAAGACAGCCAGTGGTGGGTGATCTGGAAAGAGCTGATGAACTCAACCTGTTCTTCAACAGATTTGACACTGCTGTCACTCCCTCTTCCACTGCTACTTCACCTTCCTCTCTGCAACAAATCTCCACTACAACTTCTCCCCTTCCTCCTCCATCTTGTTCAAATGTCTCAGCCACTTCAACTTCCTTCCTTTCTAGAACACCAGTCCTTGTCTGTCACTGAAACAGGGGTGAGGATGGAGCTTGGAAGACTTTGTCCTGGGAAGGCAGCTGGTCCAGATGGTGTGTGTCCAAGGCTGCTTAGAGACTGTGCTGAAGAGCTTTGTCAACCTCTCCACAGGATCTTCAACCTGAGTCTACAGCTGGGGCGGGTACCTGCTCTGTGGAAAACATCCTGCATTGTGCCAGTACCAAGAACAAAATGTCCTGCTGAACTCAATGACTACAGACCAGTGGCCCTCACTTCGCACATCATGAAAACCCTGGAGCGGCTGATTCTACGCCTTCTGAGGTCTGAAGTCAAAGACAAACTGGATTTCCTGCAGTTTGCATACAAAGAACACACTGGAGTGGATGACGCTGTCCTCTACATGCTTCACCGTGCCCTGTCTCATCTGGAGGAACCTGGGGTTTATGTGAGGGCATGTTCTTTGACTTTTCAAGTGCATTCAACACCATCCAACACACCATACTCAAAGACAAGCTCACAGAGATGGGAGTGGATCCTTCCTGTGTTTCCTGGATCACAGATTACCTGACAGGAAGGCCACAGTTTGTCAGGCTGGGCAACTGTGTTTCTGGGACATTAATGAGCAGTACAGGGGCTCCACAAGGGACAGTGCTGGCGCCATTCCTGTTCACACTGTATACGTCAGACTTCAAATACAGTACTGAGTCCTGCCACATTCAGAAATATTCAGATGACACTGCTATTGTGGCATGTATCAGAAATGGACAAGAAGCTGAATACAGAGATCTGATAAGAGCCTTCAGTGACTGGAGTCACAAAAACTGCCTCCTCCTCAACACCTCAAAGACAAAGGAGATGGTAATAGACTTCCGTAGATCTAAACCCCCTCTTCAGCCAGTGAACACCTGTGAAGTGGACATCGAAGTGGTGACATCATATAAATACCTAGATTTACATCTGGATAATAAGTTGGACTGGTCTAAGAATATAGACTTCATCTACAGAAAGGAGAAGAGCTGCCTCTTTTGCCTGAGAAGACTCTGATCAATAGACATCTGTAGTAAGATGCTGCAGATGTTTTATCAGTCTGTGGTGGCAAGTGTTCTGTTCTACGCTGCAGTCTGCTGGGGAGGAAGCGTCAAACACAAAGATACGAGATGTCTGAACAAACTGGTGAAAAAGGCTGGCTCTGTGGTTGGACTCAAGCTGGACTCAGTGGAGGATGTGGTGGAGCGATCTAAACTGAGGAAGGTGGAGACTATTCTAAAGAACATGGATCACCCACTTCACAACACCTTGATGGACCAAAGGGCCAATGGTGGTGGACGGCTCCTCTCTCTTTGCTGCAGGACAGAAAGATTCAGAAGATCTTTTGTACCAACAGCCATTAGACTTTATAACTCTTGTGTAAATAGTAAATAACTTTTATAGACATATTATGTGAGACAACAGACAACTGAATTTCCCTTTGGGGATTAATAAAGTTATTCTTATTCTTAATTCCTAATCTTTGCTGACCTTAAGGAAATAGTGAAAAAAATAGAATCCCCTCCCTGGGTAGGAGATTTTAATGCCCATAATTCCCTGTGGGGAGGTCAGGAGAGAGATACAAATGGAATCATCATTGAAGATTTCTTAGAGAATAATGATTTAGTGATTATGAATGACAGCAGACCAACTGGATTTGAAATGAGTTCTTTTAAAATGTCCTTTCTTGATTTAACTTTTGCTTCTCCAGCCTTGGCTGGGATAGGGGAGTGGAATGTCCTAGATAAGCAGTCAATGGGCAGCGATCACTTTCCATTAATAAGCAAATTTGCAAGATCCTTAAGTATGGAACCTGGGAACCAAATTAAAAAGTTTGATTAAATGGGATAAATTCCAGGCAGGTATAGGAGAAAGATTGGAAGAAATCAATAGTACTGGATCTATTGATGAGCATAATGAGTCTTTATTTAAAATCCTTTTGAAAGTGGCTTTAAAGACTATACCATGTAGAGGGGCCCCCAAGGAGTGTGTGATTGTTCCTTGGTGGAATAGCGACTGTTATAAGGCAGTGACAAGCAAGCTTTCAAGATGTTATGCAGAAATCCTACTCAGGAAAATGGTATTTATTTTAAACAGTGCAGGGCAGTGGCAAGGAAGATGATAAAAGATGCTAAAAAGAGGAGCTGGGGGTCCTTTTGGCACTTTAGGGCCAGATACTCCAGTCAGAGAGGTTTGGTCCAGAATTCATAAAATGTCTGAAAAGTGGTCAGATCAATAATGCCAGTCCCGAATGATGGCTCTGTTGAGGCCACTAAGACAAAGAAAAGGCAAGTATGTGTGTTATCGTTTTTCAGGAGGTTCACAAATCTGCATTTCTTAGAGATGAAGGTTTCAGAATGAGGGAGGAGATCTTGAAGACAGAAGGATGGAAACTGAATTCTGTCAATAAAGAAAGCAATCCCTACAATCTATTCTAATCTCTGTTTGCAGATGAGAGAGAGGGGCTTATATTTATTATCTATTCTGCCAGATTTAGAGGGCGACAGATCAGACTGTCCAGTGGGCAAATAAATGGGGTTTTAGGATCTCTACTACTAAAAGTAATGTTATGATCTTTGGAAATAAGAGGAAATTTCCTACAACAGGTATATCTTTGTATCAATGTCCAATTGAAAGAGTAAATGCTTTCAAATTCCTGGAGGTATGGATAGATGGAAGGCTTACATGAATGTGTCATATAGATAAAATAATAAACAATTGTGTAAGAATGGTTATAAATATTCTTCGTAGTTTGGCTGGAAGGGACTCGGGGGCTGAAAGGAACACCTTGGTATTGATATAAAGGGCAATGATAGGGTTTGTCTTAGACTACAGATGTGTGATTTTTGGATCAGGAGCTAAATCTATATTATGTAAATTAGACCAAGTCCAGGCTGAAGCCTTAGGAGTGTGCTGTGGAGCATTTAAATGTATGCCTTTTTCTGCATTACTTATAGAAATGGGAGAACTGCCTTTGAGAATACAGAGGTGTAAATTGGGGCAGTGTACTTGTTGGAAGATTCATGGGGATTTGTTGAGAAAGAAAAAAAAATCAAACTTCTTCCATCAGATTAAGCAGCTAGCAATAAGGATAGGACTCAACTAACATAAAGTGTGTAAGAATACTTGGTCTCCTGTACCCTTCTGGCTTCTTCCTGAGTCTGAGGTTCATCTTCAGCCACTAGAAATGGGGAAGAATGTTTTGAGTAACAAGAAGTCTGAAGCAATTTAATTAATTTAATGTATTTTTTACTGATGGTTTAAAGGACCAGTAATCTAGGAGAACTGGGTTTAGGGATATACATGGTCACTGGTAGACTAAAACAGAGTGTTCATCTGTAAAATAACCTGTTAGTTTTCTCAACTGAGTTAATGGCAATTTTATGGGTGCTAGGATGGATAGAGAAAAATACATTTTAAAAAAAGTCTTATGTGCTTTAATTCTGCTGCTGCTTTGGAGGCTTTGAAGGAGGGGGCATCAAGGGGCCACCCAGATTTGATTTGGAAAATATTATGTTGTTTATTCCAGATCAATAGGTCAGGATGCCAAGTGGAATTTCTGTGGGTTCCTTGCCATTCAGGAATAGAGGGTAATGAAATTGCAGATTCTCTGGCAAAGCAAGCACTTTCAAAAGAGAACATGAACATCTTTCTGAGGAAGAGTGAAAAACTGGAGCATCAGTGGCAGGAAGAGTGGAATGTGGAATAGAGGGGCAGACATTATTTTTCTGTAAAGCCCTCTGTAAAATGTAAGAGTTGGAGGATGAGATCCAAGCGGAGGGATGATGAGGCTTTAACCAGGTTGAGACTGGAACACTGTTGTCTTGCAGAATGCCTGAATTAGTAGGGAGGCACCAAGATGGGCTGTGTGAATGTGGCAGATTGGAAACAGTGCGTCATGTTGTGCAGTCTTGCAATAAATACAAGAGAGAACGACGACAGCTGTACAAAGACCCCTCTGATTTGGGACTGAGTATTTTCGCTTAGAGCCATCTTTCGAGCTGAACAGAACACCGAAAGCATCGGAAACGCAGTTTTAAAGTTCCTGCATTCGTCTGGTCTGTATGTGAAAGTATAAAATAACATAACTCAGCCTGTGGAGGGCGGCATTACGCTCCTTGCGTACAGCCTGCCGGAAATTTATCAGAAGAAGAAGTAGAAGAACCCGTTCATATTTTTGCGCCTGCGCGCAAGTACAGGGTAGTAGTTCCTGGCGGGTTGATTCAAAAAGAAACGCAAAACAATATGGATTTACTATCAGCGCTACGGTTTCTGAGGTTAAATGAAATTCCAGCAGGTAAATTTTTTGTAAGTCTGTGTCATGTAGACCACTTTTTTCACTCAGACAGGTGACGGTGGTCAAAATTATTCGGATATTTCAGGTTGGTCGGTACGTAAAGGTAGCTCAAACTGTAACTTTCCCGGGCTTTGTACTCTGCAGTGACCGGCTCAGCAAACCCCGATGATAAACATCAGAAACTCATACGAAGTGCCTGCTTTTGGATGAATAATACTGTAAAACGGAACATTGGACGTTAGACGTAAATCGAGAGGTGAATTCGGTGATATTGTGAACTAAAACTACCTGCTGTGCTGCTCCTCAGCTGATACGTTTTGTATTAGCTTGTGGTGATAAAATAAAACTGAGAGGCTTTGTTTCTTATCATGGAAAAGAAGAATCAAATCTCTGAAGGTCCGAGCTCTATTAAAAAAGCGATGTCAAGTCAGTCTTATCTACCATGGCAGCGCTTTGCAGAGTTGAGAAAGTTACAGTGGAGAGGAACAACTTCCTTTAACAGGCAGAAACCTAGGGAAGAACCAGACTAATATTAGACAGTCATCTGCCACCACTGTTTGGAGATAGTAAAGGGGATACATTTAGACTGTGGGAGAAATACAGAGAGAACCCTCTCATGGACTTGGAGAACATGCAAAGTCCACACAAGGAGGGTCCTATTTGGCAGCTCAGGATTTGGACTGAAACCTTCCTGCTTTAAGGCAAAGGGCTAGCCACGGCTCACTGTATTGCCACTGATAGTGTTAGTATGTTATAAATATGAGAAGGATGAAAACAAAGTTCAGCAAGTCAATAATTCTTATTATAAAACGTAAATTCACAATGAAAATAATGTGTAAAGAGGTCATTTTCTGCTATGATCTGTGCAGTTCTTGAAATAAATAGAGCCTCTAAAATCTTGACAAAGATGTGCCTGTAACCTAAGGATTGATCAAATTAAAGCAATTGCTACTTTGGTTTGCTACACAATTGTTTTGGTAATTATTTGGCAATTCATTAATTATTTTGGTCACTCAAAAACAAAGCTTTCCTCCAGTAAACAAGGGTTTTTGGGGGTCATATAATACTACACGATTGAGAGAGCACACAGCAGGAACAATCAAAGTTGAGAGTGTTTTTTACAATCAAACTGCTTATACTGTCGACTAAATGTGAGCCACTTTTTTCGACAGTTTTGGGGTAGTTAAACTTAAAATGTATAAATGTCAACATTCTGAGGAGAATTAGAATTTTTCCTCAGGCTGTGAAACACTATCAGCTGTAGTATTGTGGAAACTTGGGTGATGTTATACATGTTGTGATTTTCAGCCTGGGTGGATGAAGTGTGGGACTTGGAATTCACTGAGAGAAAACAGCTTGATGACACCATCGCAGGAGAACTGGAAGTCGTTGGAGAAAAGGACTTCAGAAAACTGTACCAGTGTTTACTGACCCATGCTGCTGAGCAACAACATTCTGCAGGCATCGATGGAGCTTCACAGGTACAACAGAGCTGACATCTACACTGGACGCTCACTTGAATAGTGAGATGAAGAACTATACTGTATACTGTACTATACTGTATTTTTAGGTTGATGAATTAAGTTTTGGTTTTGTTGATGTAAGCATTTCTGAGAGTTTCTTTCATGGTATTTGACTTTTAACTATATGTTTAAATATGGATACAAGGGGATTAAGATGATATACCATATGTTACTGAAATGTACTGAAGCTAGTGGCTCTAAAAAATACAGACTGTATGTACCTCAAAAACTTCCTGTTGTCTCACATAGATTAAAAACATCATCACTGTTTTCCTGTCTAGTAGAAGCTGTTAAAATACGCTGTCTCCCACGTTTCCCTGCAGAGTGTCTGGGCCATGCTGGGGAGCAACGCTGTGTCAGTCAAGTCTCTGGTGGCAGTGCTGTCCTTCTTCATTCTGGCAGGAAAAGCAAAGATGGCCAATGGCCAAGTGAGAGTGAGCGCCCTGCATGCTGCCTCAGTTTACCTGCTGCTGTTGGGAATCCCAGGTGAGGAAATTAGAGTGAGACACAGGTTGTGAGGTCTGCAAGCAGTTTCAGTGCAGCCACCAGGTCACATTCTAATCTGCCTCAGTAAAGTTCCACGCTGAGGTATTGACATATCAAAAACTTCAGTGATTATTTCGGCAAGCGGTTACCACTCTGCACACTATTTCGATGTCGTGTCAATCAAGTTTTCTTGTTTATAGGCCTGGCTATCATTTCTGTTGGTTCTGATGTTGTATTTATCAGGTGAATTGCAGGGATCAAAGAAAAAGAGCACTTTGTTTTGAAATAACAAAAGTCAGATCAATAAACAGGAACAGCAGAAAGTTTTGATATAATCATTGATTCATTCTGGTTTCTGGTTATTAAGATATCTTTTCCTTGCCTCTGTTAATACAACTCATCAGCAGTATATCTTATAAAGTCTTCCAAATTATTAGGAGTAGACCGGTTATTGGCCCTGGCCAGTTGCTGGCTGATAATCTTTTTCAGTGTTGTATTCTACAGACCACACATAGAGTTAATTAATGAAAACTTATACCACTCTGGCTCTGTTGCTTGTGTGTCTGTCCCTCTGAGTTTGTTTTCATTCACAAATGTGTCTCACTTGAGTACCACTGACAATACTCTCTCTGATAGGCTAGAATCACTTTACTGTGAACTAACTGTGCTGTGAGTGTAAATGGTTAAGGGTTTGCTCCTGTTTATGATGTTAAATGTTTTGGTCAAATATTGGCTAAAGGAGTTTAAACAAAGTTTTGTGTTAGATTTTCTAACTACAGATTCTACATGTTTACCAAAAGATTGTCACATGCAGGAATGGGGGGTGAGACATACAACAAAGGGTCAAGGCCAGGAGTCAAACCAGCGAATGCTGTGGCAGGGTCTGTAGCCTTTACTAGATATGGGGTGCTTAGGCCACATGGCCATCAGTGCCCCTTCAACCTTTTTTTAAAAAAATATTATTATTATTTTTTTAGTTTTACAATTTAGTCATGACCACAGATGATCTGTGTGTTGGCGAGGTTTGTTGTTGGTGATGTAGCCCAAGTCCTAAACTTGAGTGCAGAGGAGCATCTGTAGTATAGCCAGCTGAGAGGATCATTAGAGTTTAAGTGCTGCAGAGAGATACAGTGAGCATGACTATAAACAACAAAATGTCTTATTGTGACACTCTAAAAGTGTTTTGTTAAACTGACATGGTTATTTATTGAAAAACACAGACTTAAGGGAAGCTTTTCAGTAATACTAATGGAGACCGGCACACAGTCCACTTAGGCAAGGTTGATTTACAGACTTCAGTTCCAGTTGACTCCTCTGTGTCGTAACGCTGCAGCACTTCCCCCATCTAAATCTAACACTAATGTACAGCAGAGTGTATCATTCACAGTTTTTGATATGAACTCCTGTTCATGTGTTTTTTGTTTCCAGGAAGTATTGTCCACAAGGTTTTCCATGAGATTTTATTGGACACATGTTTAGACTTGACCTCTCACTGCTGGCCTCAGGACTGTGGGAAGAAGCGCAAGAAAGACAGTCTGAAGAGTTTGCAGGCAGAGGGCAAACGCTCTAAACCCCAGAGGAGAGACGCTTTAGAGGTACAGTACTATTCAGACCTCCGTCAAACCTACAGGGCCATTATGGTAGATGGAGTGCAGATGGATGCAGTAAGAGCTTTTCTTATCTTCTCACCACCCAAAGTGCACAAATACCATTTACCCTTTTCCATTCTTATTAGTACAGTGATGGCAGTGAGCAGGTAGTGCATGTAGAGGGAACCTTTTTCTCCTTAAATACTTATCAGCATTAATAAGGACAAGTCCACAAGTTAATTACAACTGTAAAGACAGTACAAGGGCAACTGAGGTGAGAAGTAACTAGTATGAAGAAGCAACCAAACTGTGCTCAGTATGAAGATCATCATCATCATCAACCCGCTTCAACTTTCTGAAGAAAGTTGGAATAAAAAATCATTCATGTCATTTTCAGGAGTGCTGTGCATGTGTGGGAGGGGGCTGCCAACTGTGTTTACTAACTCAGGGTGGGAATAGATGTGCTTTCATTGATACCAATATTATTATTGATTCTGCTTATCAGTCTTATTCTCTATCTATTGCCTTGTCAATTCTTATGGATTTTCTGTGTAAAAAAATACAGTAGAGCTGTTCAGTTATGTCAAAAGCCATAATAATGATTTTTTAAATTAAAGTTGATATTGATATCACAGTTATGAACAATGATTAGAGGAATTTTTTCAACTTAAAACCTCTTAAGTTTTTGACAAACTCAATGAGTGGGGAAACAATTGTTAGGCCTACCTGTGTTTACTGAAGAATGTCTGTCTAAAATGATGATTGAAATTATTTAAAAATCAAGTGTACTACTACTGAGAGAGACCATGCATCTACAGTATATCACAAAAGTGAGTACACCCTTTAGATTTTTGCAAATATTCTGTTATATCCTTTCAGGGGATAACACTATCTTAATGAAACTTTGAAATAATGCAAAGTAGTCAGTGTGCTGCTTGAATAACAGTATAGATTTATTGTCAATTGAAAATTACTCTGTACACAGCTGTAAACGTCTAAACAGCTGGCAACAAAAATGAGTACACCCCGTAGTGAACATGTCTAAATTGTGCCCAAAGTGTCAATATTTTGTGTGACCACCATTGTTATCTAGCACTGCTTTAACCCTCCTGGGCATGGAATTCACCAGAGCTGCACAGGTTGCTTCTGGAATCTTCTTCCACTCCTCCATGGCGACATCACGGAGCTCATGGATGTTGGACACCTTGCACTCCTCCACCTGCCTCTTGAGGATGCCCCAAATGTGCTCAACTGGGTTTAGGTCTGGAGACATACTCGGCCAGTCCATCACTTTAACCTTCAGCTTCTTCAGCAAGGCTGTTGTCATCTTGGAGGTGTGTTTAGGGTCATTATCATGTTGGAAAACCGCCCTACGGCCCAGTTTCCGGAGAGAAGGGATCATGCTCTTCTGCAGGATGTCACAGTATATAGTGGAATTCATGTGTCCCTCAATGAACTGCAGCTCCCCAGTGCCGGCTGCACTCATGCAGCCCCAGACCATGATGCTGCCACCACCATGCTTGACTGTAGGCAAAACACATTTGTCTTGGTACTCCTCACCAGGGTGCCGCCACACACGCCGGACACCATCTGATCCAAACAGGTTTATTTTGGTCTCATCAGATCACAGGACATGGTTCCAGTAACTCATGTTCTTCGATTCATTGTCTTTAGCAAACTGTTTGCGGGCTTTCTTATGCAGCGGTTTCAGAAGAGGCTTCTGTCTGGGGCGACGGCCATACAAACCAATTTGATGCAGTGTGCGGCGTATGGTCTGGACACTGACAGGCTGACATCCCACTTCTGCAACCTCTGCAGCAATGCTGGAAGCACTCACACGTCTATTTTTGGAAACCAACCTCTGGATATGACGCTGAGCACGTGGACTCAACTTTTTAGGTCGACCCTGGCGAGGCCTGTTGCGAGTGGAACCTGTCCTGGAAAACCGCTGTATGATCTTAGCCACTGTGCTGCAACTCATTTTCAGGATGTTGGCAATCTTCTTATAGCCAAGGCCATCTTTGTGAAGCGCAATAATCCTTTTTTTCAGCTGCTCAGAGAGTTCCTTGCCATGAGGTGCCATGTTGTCCAGCGTTCAGAGAGAATTGTGCCCAAAACACCAAATTTAACAGCCTTGCTTATCATTTACACCTGAATCCTTTTAACACTAACGAGTCACATGACACCAGGGCGGGAAAACGACATCATTGGGCACAATTAGGACATGTTCACTGCGGGGTGTACTCACTTTTGTTGCCAGCTGTTTAGACATTAACAGCTGTGTACTGAGTAATTTTCAAAGGACAATAAATCTATACTGTTATTCAAGCAGCACACTGACTACTTTAAGTTATATCAAAGTTTCAGTAGGATAATGTTATCCCCTGAAAGGATATAACAGAATATTTGCAAAAATCTAAAGGGTGTACTCACTTTTGTGATATACTGTATGCATCTAACTTTAGGAGGGAAAATTTACTCAACGAAATGCCTGTAAATTCAGTGAATGAAACAAAACCCTCTGTGTCCTCGTTAAAATTGAAGGATTTGAGCTTTCATTACATTTGATCACAGGCTGCAGATTTAACAAATTGTTTAGTCTTTTATGTAACATCCTTTAAAAGATTAGTCCATGAGCCAACACCCCAAAATTGACCCATCGCAATAAATTGGGTGGGCAATTTCTGGTTTGTTTTTTTGAGTTGCTCCACATCCCTAGTTTATGGATTGGCATGATAACCCTTGCAGACTGGTAGCTTAGTGATTGTTATCATGCATTTAATCTATGGAGTCCTGTAGCAGAAATACCTGAATTTCGTATGGTGCTTGTTTGCTATTATGGGGCTTGTGGACTACTTGTTGACTGCTCTGCCCCCCTAAATCATTCTGATTTATTCCTAAGTCATTGGAGAACTGAAAAAAATAGTTTGATTTGTTGTCCGGATGAAATTTAAGACTTTTATAGCCCTCTTTTAAAAAAATATTCATAGGCAGAAATAGCATTTTTATTTTTCTCTTGTGTGTCTTTTCTCAGCAGAGCAATTGGGTAATATTTGCATCATTTTAGGCACTGGATTTGAAATCTGACAAGTCTTACCTTTCAGCAGGTACCAAATTTATGCCTGTAGCCCTTATAGTTTTGGAAATACACACAATTTTATATGCATGTTGTAATATGCAGAATTTTGGCTGGATTGGATCAAGACTCCAGAATAAGAATAAGAAGAACTTTATTGATCCCCAAAGGGAAATTCAATTGTCTGTTGTCTCACATAATATGTCTATAAAAGTTATCTATTATTTACATAAGAGTTATAAAGCCTGATGGCTGTTGGTACAAAAGATCTTTTGAATCTTTCTGTCCTGCAGCGAAGAGAGAGGAGCCGTCCACCACCATTGGCCCTTTGGTCCATTAAGGCGTTGTGAAGTGGGTGATCCATGTTCTTTAGAATAGACTCCACCTTCCTCAGTGTAGATCTCTCCACCACATCCTCCACTGAGTCCAGCTTGAGTCCAACCACAGAGCCAGCCTTTTTCACCAGTTTGTTAAGACATCTCACATCTTTGTGTTTGATGTTTCCTCCCCAGCAGACTGCAGCGTAGAACAGAACACTTGCCAACACAGACTGATAAAACATCTGCAGCGTCTTACTACTGATGTCTATTGATTGGAGTCTTCTCAGGCAAAAGAGGCGGCTCTGCCCCTTTCTGTAGATGAAATCTGTATTCTTAGACCAGTCCAACTTATTATCCAGATGTAAATTTAGGTATTTATATGATGTTACCACTTCGATGTCCACTCCACACGTGTTCACTGGCTGAAGAGGGGGTTTAGATCTACGGAAGTCTATGACCATCTCCTTTGTCTTTGAGGTGTTGAGGAGGAGGCAGTTTTTGTGACTTCAGTCACTGAAGGCTCTTATCAGATCTCTGTATTCAGCTTCTTGTCCATTTCTGATACATGCCACAATAGCAGTGTCATCTGAATATTTCTGAATGTGGCAGGACTCAGTACTGTATTTGAAGTCTGACGTATACAGTGTGAACAGGAATGGCGCCAGCACTGTCCCTCTGTAGTCATTGAGTTCAGCAGGACATTTTGTTCTTGGTACTGGCAAATGTTTTCCACAGAGTAGGTACCCGCCCCAGCTGTAGACTCAGGTTGAAGATCTTGTGGAGAAGTTGACACAGTCCTGTAGCACAGTCTCTAAGCAGCCTTGGACACACACCATCTGGACCAGCTGCCTTTCCAGGACAAAGTCTTCCAAGCTCCATCCTCACCCCTGTTTCTGTGACAGACAAGGGCTGGTGTTCTAGGAGGGAGGGAGTTGAAGTGGTTGAGACATTTGAACGAGATGGAGGAGGAAGGGGAGAAGTTGTAGTGGAGATTTGTTGCAGAGAAGAAGGTGAAGTAGGAGTGGAAGTGGGAGTGACAGCAGTGTCAAATCTGTTGAAGAACAGGTTGAGTTCATCAGCTCTTTCCACATCACCCACCACTGGCTGTCTTTTCTTTATACTGCTGTGTCCAGAGATGATACTGATTCCTCTCCACACTTCACAGATGTTGCTGTGTTGTAGATTCTTCTTGTTGCTTTCCAGCTTTGCCATCTTCAGTCTCCTCTTCAACTCTTGTTGCACTTGTTTGAGTCGTTCTTTATCACCATCTTTAAAAGCTTTCTTTTTCTGGTTAAGGATTGCTTTTATGTCTCTTGTGACATATTCAGTAAAGCAGTCAACCTGTTTGTCAATGTTCATACTATCCACATCTGTTTCCAGCAGCACATTCCAGTCTGTTGATTTAAAACAGTCCCTTAGAGCTTCACTGGCTTGAGGTGTCCATCTTCTGATTTTGACTTCGGCCACAGGCTGCCTCAGTACATAAGGCTGTAACAGGTTTGCAAATAGACCAAGTTATGATCTGACTTGCCCAGTGGTGGTAAGGCAGTGGCTCTGTAGGCTTCTTTGACGTTGGCATACAGCAGATCCAGGGTCTTGTTTTCTCTGGTAGGACAGTTCACAAACTGTGTGAATCCAGTCAGGTGAGAGGAGAGGGTGACATGGTTGAAGTCTCTTGATATTATTAGTGCCTCAGGGTGTTGAGTCTGTAGCCTGGCAACACTATTTTGCAAAACATCGCAACATTCCTCAGTTGATTTGGGTGGAATTTAAACAACATTTAAACAACTACTGTTATGATATGACTAAATTCTCTTGGAACATAATATGGCTGAAGAGCAACTGCCAACAGTTCAATATCTGGACAACACAACTTCTCCTTGACAGTTATGTGTGCAGGGTTACACCATCTCTGGTTGACAAATAAAGCCAGACCTCCTCCTTTCTTCTTGCCACTACCTTAAACATCTCTGTCTGACTTTATGAGAGTGAAGCCACGTAGATCCACGCTGGAGTCTGAGTTGTTTTGATTCAACCAGGTTTCAGTAAAACACAGGAAACTGCACTCACGGTATGCTTTCTCAGTCTTCACCAATATCTCCAGCTCATCGCTTTTGTTGGGCAGAGAGTTGATGTTTCCCATGATGATTGATGGGAGAAAGGGTTCATATCGCCATCTCCTGGTAGTGCAATGGATAGCACATTCTTTACCTTTTTTACCTTTTTTGTGTTGTTCACCTTCACTGGATTCAGTAGCCATGTCTTTCCTGGGCTGTCCATCAAGTTTCTGAAACACTGAGATAAAATATATTTTAAAAGGGTTGTGAGAATAATTTGCTAATTTAAATGTGCAATATGTAGCTTGCACCTTTTAAAATGTGAATAGGCCTACCAAGTTCTATACATGCTAGTACAACGTGTGTGTGTGTGTGTGTGTGTGTGTGTGTGTGTGTGTGTGTGTGTGTGTGTGTGTGTGTGTGTGTGTGTGTGTGTGTGCAGCTTTAATTTGTTTATCTTTCAGATCAACAAGCTAGCTTGCTGACTAGCATTTGCTAACACAACTATCATCCTGATCTACATTACATTTATTGGCTTTCTCCCATAACATTTATGGTACATTATTGTGACAGCAGGTTCATTGTTTTTGTGGTTTCAATTCACCAAATGCAGTTCTATCTCCTCCTCTAATGAAACAATATCAATCTCCCTCCCCATCATTTGTCTCAGCAAACCTAGCTTGCGCTGTTGGAGCAGTCACACCCCCAGTGGCATCACTTCACCAATAATAGTCATATCACAACATAACACACCCCCAAATATTTTATTTTATCACCAGATGTGTTTGATTAATGTAGGTTGAATAATTCACATGGGAAACAGAAAATCTTTCTTACCTAAGTGATTGAGAGATGAGTGTAACAGCTTGGAGATGTCAAAAACCAGAAAATCTTGTTGTGCATGTGAACATAAAAATGTATGTATTTCCAAAACTATAAGGGCTACAGGCATAAATTTGGTACCTTCTGAGAGGTGAGACTTGTCAGATTTTAAATCCAGTGTCTAAAATGATGCAAATATTACCCAATTGCTCTGCTGAGAAACGATACACAAGAGAAAAATAAAAATGCTATTTCTGCCTATGAATATTTTTTAAAAAGAGGGCTATAAAAGTCTTAAATTTCATCTGGACAACAAATCAAACTATTTTGTTTAGTTCTCCTATGACTTAGGAATAAATCAGCCCCATAATAGCAAACAAGCACCATACGAAATTCAGGTATTTCTGCTACAGGATTCCATAGATTAAATGCATGATAACTATCACTAAGCTACCAGTCTGCAAGGGTTATCATGCCAATCCATAAACTAGGGATGTGGAGCAACTCAAAAAAACAGCCCACCCGATTTTTTGCATTTAGTGGTCTGGCTCATGGACTATATTGAGACTGGTGGTATGACAGCCTCTCTCTCATTCTGCTCATTCTGTCTCTCAGCTTTTCAGACACACACAGAAAAACACTTCTGCCTCCTCTCCTCCCTCCTCCTCACTTCCTCTCCTCTCTCCTCCTTCTACTACTCCTCTCCATCTGTGGCTGCTTAATATATTGTCACCGCTGTTATAAACGGTGTCGAAAATACAGGGGCCTACCATTAATCCTTACTAGAGCCTTGACATCCTCTTGCTCCCAAACTTTTAACGTTGATCTGAGCAGCTTAGGATGAAGTGAAGGAGAGAGCTTTTTAAGGAGAGCCCACGCTCTGCTGTTAATGAACATGAGTGTGCACTTCAATGGCCATTCAAAACATAACTGGGGACATTACAGTGGGCGGCAGAATGATCGGTCAGATCAGGAATCCGAACTCACTATGTTGCTAAAATCAATGCATAAATCATCAGTAATTGCCTTAGTTTTCAAAGGACTGCATCCAGACAATGTCTGACAATACACAGAAACAGAAAGAGTCTGACTTTCTAAGCAAGAAGACTTTGCAGTTAGTTGGTATGTCATACTGCTATGTTATAAGAGCTTATATTATAATCCAAACAATACGCAAGAGGTCAACAGTAATGGCAAATGATGTTTATGGCTTTAATTAGTTGGTGCCAATTCTCTGCTGCGGACACCAAAACAGGTTATTTTTTTCCTGTTCAGTTATATTTTTGAGATGTCAGAGAGTAACTACCCATAGAGAACTTTTTGATGCCCCTCTGAGGGGAAAAAAAACACAAAGCCCTCTCACCACAACAACTTGTGAACCAGCCGCCACTTACCATAAAAATGGCCCTTTTAAACGTCTGCTCTCTGCTGAACAAGTCTTTTATTGTCAATGACCTGGTTTTAGACCACAAACTGGACTGTTTTTAACTGAAACATTACTGGGTGCGGATGCACCAGTTGTTCTCACTGAGCCCCCCCACCTAATTTTAACTTTGCATTTTCTGTTAGGTGTGGTAGAAGAGGAGGTGGCACAGCAGCTTTAACCTCAAACACCCTGGCCACCAAACCTGGTTTATTCGATAGATATACCACTTTTGAGTACAGTGCAATTGTTTTTAGCAGTACTCCTATCCTGTGTGTCACAGTATACAGACCACCCAAGAAATGCACTGCTTTTACCGGTGAATTAGCTGAATTTTTATCAACTTTACACAACTCCTACAGCATGATTGTTTTAACCAGTGATTTTAACTTGCAAATAGATAACTCCTCTGATCCGATTTCCACAAAGTTTTTAAATGATCTGAATTATATGGATTGTATTCAACATGGCACACAGCCAACTCACAACAGAGGACAAACGCTGGACTTGGTCATCACCTACGGCATGTCCACCCGTGTGTCCTCTGTTGTAGCCTTGGTTGTCTTTGACCACTACTGTGTGCTTGTAAAGTCACCGGTTTTATCCAGCGGGAGACCTCTGTGAGAACTGTGAGGAAGCACCATCTGACCCCTGAAGTGGCTGCAAATTTTATTGATGTTTTAGATAAAAGTCCTCCAACTGTTTCACCTGCCCCCTGTGATTTTATTGTAGACAATTTTAACAGAAGGCTACAGACAGCCCTTGAACCAGTCGCTCCACTGAAAACAAAAAATGTCCGACCCAAATCCATACCTCCATGGAGAAATGAGGAGCTTAAAAAGTTCAAAAGGCAATGCGGGGTGGCAGAGCGCAGATAAAGAAAACACAAAACAACAATAAATCATCAATTGTTCAATAATCAACAAAGAATCTAAAACAATGCCATAAGAACTGCAAGAAACAATTACGTCTCCAAAATAATTACTAACCACAAAAATAACACCAAAGTTCTCTTTTTAACAATTGATAGCATTTTAAACCCTGATTTTAATAATCGTCATTTTAATCCCTCTGACTCCCTCTGTGAGGAATTTGCAGACCACTTAATGGGGAAGATAGACACAATCAGATGCAACATTTTATCATGTTAAATTACTCCTTTTAATGCATCTAAGTGTTTGTCTTTACCTGAGGAAACACTGGACAGTTTTGTTCTGGTTAATGCTGAGATGCTGGATAAAGTATTCTCCTCAGTGAGGCCCACCACATGTCTTTTAGATTCTGTCCCAACCTCACTCTTTAAGTTATTTTATGATTCTTTTAGAAACGAGCTTTTAAACATGATGAATTGCTCTCTTCAGATGGGGGTATTTCCCGCTGCCTTTAAAGCGGCAGTGGTGAGACCTCTGCTGAAGAAGAGCAATTTAGATTTTAATGATTTGAACAATTATAGGCCAGTGTCTAACTTACCATTTTTAAGCAAGATTTTAGAAAAGCTTGTTTTTATCCAACTTAAAGAATTTTTAGATAATCATAATATTCTTGAAAAGTGTCAGTCTGGTTTTAGGGTGAACCACAGCACAGAGACTGCCTTGGTAAAGATTTTAAATGACATTAGATCTAATTATGATGCACAAAAGGTGACAGTGTTGGTTCTTCTGGATCTTAGTGCTGCCTTCGATACAGTAGACCACACTATTCTAAACCACCTAAAACACCTTGGCCTCTCAGGTACTGTTCACAGATGGTTCACCTCCTACTTGACAGACAGGACATTCATGGTAAGTGTAGACACGTGCTCCTCCAAAGTCTACAAAATCACATGTGGTGTACCCCAGGGTTCGATTTTAGGCCCTGTGCTTTTTAACCTGTACATGCTCCTTCTTGGTGGTGTCATCAGGAGACATGGGCTGTGTCTCATTTCAGAGACCGCATCGACCTAAGTGCCCTTCTGCACCGTCGAACGGTGCATTTGAAGTGTGCATGACGTCACGACGGTGCGAACGGTGTCCCGTTTGGCACGAGATGCTAAAAAATGCTAAGCGCGCTTAGCATGTTTTCAAGCGTGCATTTATCCACGCTTTCGTGCCGTCGGTATCCCAGAATCCTTTGCGTGCCGCTGCACAGCTGCGCATTTCAGGTGAGAGGCTGGACTCGCTTGGAGACGCAGCGCGTCTTCAAAGAAATTACAAGCAATCCAAAAACAGCAGACAGTCAGCTCAGGCTGTATGAGAGCATGATCTCTGAACTCACTAAAATCTGTTAACCAAACATTATAGATTTAGAGACGAACTGATCCGCTCTGCTTCAACAATCAAAAACATTAGAAATAAGAAAGCTGACAAAACTACAGCAGAGTATCAGGACAACATTGAGGTTTTTTTCTTTTAAGATTTAGAGATTAAAGTTGTAAATTTAGGAGAATAAAGTCATAAAGTAAATAAAGTCATAAAGCTGCTTTTGCGGAGGGGGAAATGACTGAAGCTGGTCATCTGCAGGGTTATCTGTGGATGTATCAGCGGGTCATTCAGAGAGATTTTGTGGTTTCTGAAGAAACAATCAAACTGATGATGATCAACATTTGTGATCCAGAGGGAGTCGAGCTCCGACGAGCACCACGTCTCTGACACCGGCCGTAGCCTACACCTGCAGAGACACCAACACCTTAGGTAAACCATTCAGATAGGGGAGCTGATTAGATTTTCGATCACAACTGTCAATGTCACTTTTCACTTTCAGATGGAAGTGGATGAAGCAGAGGATGAGGAAGATGAGGAGCCTCATTTCTCAAGCAAGGACTTGATGAAGATCAGGGGTGCAGTGGTTTACCTGGTACAGAGCCTCCTCAGACTCCTGCAGACGTTTTCTCTCAAGAACAGACAACAGAGCGCCAGCAACTGCACACAGGTAACTCACAAACGGGCCCTCTCCCCACCACACTGCAGTGTCGTCATGCTCTAACTGTGTCCCCTTTTCTCTGCAGATCTTCAGCAAGCTGCTTTACTTTGAGCCTGTTGTTGGACAGCCAAACTTTGCTGTAGAACAGTGAGTTCCTCTAATCCTGGCTCTTTTTACATCATTAGTTAAAGAAAAAGTTAGCTCTGCCCCCCCAATCACTCTGCTTTAGTCTAACTTCTCAGAGGCATGATGGCGGAAAAAATTGTCCTTTCGCTGTGATTATATTAGAGGTAGTAAGAGGCAAAGTGAGATGGCTGTAAAATGTTGGAACTGACAAGAGCAGCGTGTGTGTGTGCATGCGTGCGTGTGTGTGTGTGTGTGTTTTTGTGATGCTGCTGCTGTGAGTTAAGAAGTTATTTCTCTTGTGCTCCCACAACATCATCCAGTGACCATACAGACCGCTTTTTGTTTGTTGCGTCCGAGAGCTGCTCAGAGGAGAGAGGAGGGGTGAAAAGTTAAGAGAGTAGCTATCACGGAAGTCTTAAAAAGAACACGCCCCATATCAGACAACAAGGGATGCTAGCGGCCACATTGTTGTGGCACACTTGTTAAAAACTATATCCTGTGTAAATATTTTGTGTTGAAGCTGACAGGTAATGTTATTTCTTCACAGAGATATCACCAAGCTGAGGAACATTTCTGAGATGGCTTTCTATGGTCTACGGTTGCTCTGCTCTCCAAAGCACGGTGACCAGAAAGAAGTAAGATCCAGTAATCATCTTCTGTGATTGGCCAACAGTTGGTGTTCCATGAACGTTATTGAAGATATTTTTTCTGTATGTAACACTTGGACTTTAAACCATCTGTCTTTCCTTGCTGTGTCTCCTTTTTTCATGACACACAGAGACCACATGTCCTTATAGACTCACATTAGTGTAACACACAAAACAGAGGGATGGTTCCAGCTTGGAAGATCAGTTAATCACAGTTTTGTTGTTGTTGCAGTTGGAGTATTCACATTACAGGAGTCAGAATTTGTTTCAAAAATGAGACAAATTAGACAAACATTCATAAAAACATTACTTTCTCAGTCAACATGGTGATATTTTGTATTATGGTCATACTTTCACACCATTAATGCAGTCATATGAGGCTCCAGTTAGCCATCAGCTACCTTCAGACCATTGGTCTGCACATGAGCACAATCATTTTTAGCATATTCGAAAGAACTCTGACTCCATTTCTTGTCGCTCACATTTGCAGACTTACTTCAAACTTTGTCTATCTTTTTTTTTCTAAAGGGTTTGGTTTACGCTTTTTTGGATCCATACAGCAGGCTTCTCAGTGCATTGTGCATGATTTCTGAATGAGAAAATAGAAACATCCATGATCTTTTCTGATTAACTGCATATTCACGTCTATGCTAACCACATCTTGGATTTAGTGTGTGTACCTCAAGCATACCACTAGATGTTGTGTAGGATCAGCTGCTTTGCAGATAGTCACCTTCTTAAATATGTGGTCCAAGTATTGCTAGAAGAATCTCAGACTGGACCACTTTCATCCTGTAATATTCCTAAAAGCGATCAGGGACTACAAAATCATCCCAACTACATGATAACTTTTTTTGTAATGTCACATTTTTGTAATGTGAATTCTGTCATCAAAATACAAATATACTGTTAGTGCTTCAGTCTCAGTGAGCAAGGTCTCTGTGTGGGATTTTATTTTTTCCCACCCGAAGAAACAAAAACTCAGAGGTCAAACCAGTGCTGATTTTAACATGCAATCCGTGAAAAACAGCAGCCAGATAGACATCTAAACAGAATTTTCTCTTTTTTTTGTTCATCACATTTCAAACCTTTACTACAATATTGAACCACCTCACCACACGTAGAATATTTTTCTGCTCCAGTGCAGGTGTTGTCCTAACACGCTCTGCTGTCTGTCTCTCAGTCCTTGCGGGGGGTTTTTCACAGGCTCCTCTACGTGATCCTGATGATGAACAAAGGCACCAGAGGGAAGCCCTCCCTCCTTGTACCCAATCAGGCTGTCCTTGCTACCCGCAACCAGGCCATCAGTTTTATTTGGTAAACAGCTTTGTTTAATCACACTGAGCAGAACTATAGTCATAGTTTAAAAACCCATTTACCAGGACTCTATTCAGACTGCAGTGACTCTGCTCAGCTGAATGTGTACCTTTACCCTGAAAGCATATTTTGTGTGATTAGCATAAGCCATTAGCCTGTTGATGGTAATTGGGTGAAAGTTGGTTCAAAGCTGTACAAGTTGAACTGGTTTGAATGATCAGAACTTACAGGGAGGGTTGTGTTTATTAAATTTGAAGCTGCATGAGATACTGGAGAGTGAATTACTCCCTGGGGGTCCTGTAGGTTAGCAGACCCCCTTGGTTGAGAAACTGATTGGAGAACTGGAGAGGGAGCAGGGTCCGAAAGCCAGTTCCTCCACATGCAGCACACTGAGCTGATCAATTTTATGATATCGAGTCAACTTGACACTTATATGATATATTTGTTAATACCTTGTTAATTAGTGTCTGACTTCTGTTTGTTTGTTTGACAGTCATCTTATGGGTGAGCTGAAAGAGCTGGCGCTGCCTTTCCTCCAAATCCTTCTCCAGCATATCTGCTATCAGGTGACGCTTTCAGCAGTGACAGAGCTGCCAAAAAAAAAACGAGAACTGTCTGTGTGAAGCTTAAGGACTGTGTTATCTGCTTTGCCTTAAAGTTATGAGGGCAGAATTATTCCAGGATTTTAACTCATGTCTTTATTTGTGGATTTTAACTGATGAATCATACAGCACTATCAGTTGATGCACTTGTTTAAATGGCATGTTTCTTTTGTGGATGTTTAGATGGTGGAAAAAAGCGAGTATCGAAGTCATGGAGCACAGGCTGTGGGTATGCTGACGTCTCAGATGGAGAATAAAGACTACGCTGACTTCATCAAGTGGCTGTTTAACTTCTCAAGATGCTCAAAGGTCACACAGCCTGATGTCAACACCTCAAATATTGATGCCCATGACTATCACTTTATTTTAATGTCTGGGATGGAAGAGAATAACACCACTGTGTCTTTGAAAGGCACAATTCAGTCATTAAAAATTAAGGCTCTCCTCACACGAGGACGGCCCCGTATTGTCTTGGCGTAGGCACCAAAACATGTATCGCTATTTACACATTGTATTGTACGTAGGCTTAGTGCATTTACATGACAACGCAAAATCCTGTAGTACATACGCCCGGCTTAAAGGTGACACTGAAATTGCCACAAAGCACCAAATACAGAGAATGCGCATACGTGTGTGTGTGTGTGTGTGTGTGTGTGAGACAACGTGGGTTGGGGGGCGGGGAGGAGGACGGTTGCTATGAGGTCACCTTCTTTTCCAGACTTATCTATTTACACCAACTACGGCATGAAGACGAATACCCAGATATCCACCAGCAGACCTGTTTTCAAAAAAGATGCGGAGTCATGGACAAATGAGCGTCTCTGTGTGTCAATATCATAGACTGTATATAGAATGGACAGAGTCTGCCTCCTTGCTGGGTGAAGCCACTCCGAGAACAGCACCCTCTGATGGTGGGCTGCAGTACAGATCATAAATCCCGCCTCCGCCAGCAAAGCTTATGGGACTGTGGACAAACTTTAGAAATTTATTACACAGAACATAAATTTTTCTCCCCCCTGCTTGTGATGTTGACATGTAGTTATTGTAAGACTGGTTTGTGCTCAGGTCCTTTTTTTCTGTACAGCTCCGTTTTTAAAAGTTATTAGGGGGTTCATGTTTTCTGTGATTGACACCTGGTACAGCCTATGGGCGTTCAGGGATTGCGTAGCTCTCCCGGGGGATACGCTGTTTGAGCCGAGCGTCATCACAGGGACTCTTGGCGACTGCGCGGCCGAATGCTCACAACACTACTGCACAGCTCTGGTTTCGAGGAAGTGGAGAAAAACCCGGAATTACCGAGAGCTTTTTGGCTTCAAATCCGTATACAGGCGGAAGGCGGAACCACGTTGTCCATCTTATATACAGTCTATGGTCAATATCACCAGATCGATAGTTTATTTTACCGGTGTCTTACAAATTCGTACTCGTCCACCTTAGACAGCTCATTTGAGAGTGTAACAATGACTAACACCAGTATCAAGTACTTTGGGTTTGAGCTTCCACTTGTGAAAAAAGGATGTAAGTGCAGTTAACTAGACTTAATTTAGTGAGCAAGCTAAACAGGAGCAGAGAAATGTGTGCCTGATTGCATCATGTTGGAAGGCTGGGGGTCCATAGGAAATCTTAGGTTTGGCATGTTATAATTTGCTACAAAAGCTGAGTTAAAGGGATATTCCGGCGTAACATTAAGAAAGAAAATGTATTCCGAATGGTTGGGGTGGTTGATGCCGATTGTTATTACCAAAAGCGTCCCTTTAAACACTTGTTCCGACTGCGACTCTCTAACCTGACTTGGTCTTCACTCTTTAGCCTTTGGCTTATTTATAGAGGTCAGTACAGGAGGTTTCATTTTTAACACTCTGGCATAAAACACAACCACAGGTGCCGTGCCTTCTCCTTTAATAACATAACAAGGCGTAAATACAGCGCAATGATGACACAGCTTCACAGTGCAACCTTTGACAGAACAGTGAAATAAGTAAGCAAGGGCGCCATTTAGTGATAACATTTAACAGGGGAAAAAATCCTGAAATGGATGAAGTGAGCCACTACCACGTTTGTTGGTTTGTTGACAGCACAGGCGTAAACACAACTCTTCTTCTACAGTTGTTTTAGCGAAATTATACAACTGCACATGTCCAAATGCTTATACTGTGAATAAAACTTGGTGTACGTATACGGTCCATGTACTTAGCGGCCAACGGATTTTTGTTTTTAAAAAAAAAAAGAAAAACGGGAGATTAGCGGTCTCCCGATGACCAGTAGGGATTGGAAAATAAAAAACGGAAAACTAATTCGTTTTGATCTTAAGGATCAGAGAACAAAAAAACAACTCATTTATTTAAATTTCTTTCCTGTGGCTTTAAATGTAAATCGAAGATCAAAATACGTGGGTGGAAATCTTGTGTTTCAAGTTTCATTCACTTATTTGTCGCAACCATAGACTGTATATACTATGGACAACTTGGTTCCGCCTCCCGCTTGTATATGGATTTGAAGCCAAATAGCTCTCGATATTTCTGTGATTTTTCTTCATTTCCTGAAACCAGCGCTGCACAGTAGCAATGCGCACATTTGGGCGCGCAGTCGCCGAGAGTCGCAGTGATGACGCTCGGCTGAAACAGCATATCCCTGGGTAAGCTACGCAATCCCTGAACGCCCATAGGCTGTATCAGGTGTCAATCATAGAAAACATGAACCCCCTAATAACTTTTAAAAACGGAGCTGTACAGATAAAAGAGGACTTGAGCAAAAAACAGTCTTACTGTAACTACATGTCAACATCACAACCAGGGGGGAGAAAAATTTATGTTCTGCGTAATAAATTTCTAAAGTTTGTCCACAGCCCCATAAGCTTTGCTGGCGGAGGTGGGATTTATGACCTATACTGCAGCCCATCAACAGAGGGTGCTGTTCTCGGAGTGGCTTCACCCAGCGAGGAGGCAGACTCTGTCCATTCTATATACAGTCTATAGTCATAAATCCCGCCTTTTTTTATTGTTTGTTTTATTCACAAACAAGTGAATAAAACTTGAAACACAAGATTTCCACGCACATATTTTGATCTTCAATTTCCGTTGAAAGCTACATCACAGAAAGTCAAATACGGATCTATTTTTTCATTCACTGATTTTTATGATCAAAATGAAAAATGGAATTCCCTACTGGAATTCTCAGATTCCCTACTGGTCATTGGGAGACAGCCCATCTCCTGATTTTTGTTTTTTCATTTGAAAACGAAAATCTGTTGGCCACCAAGTACACTGACTGTATACACACATCATGATCTATTTAATTTTGCACCCATATAAACAGTGGATTCAGACTATCCAACCCCTTTCATTGTTAAAATGAGAAAAAAAAATTGCCCTTGTAAACATGGTTTATGTTACAGGGAACAATAACATCACTCTTGCAGAACTGAAAGAAGAAAAGCAACCAACCAAACTGATAAAAAGGGCGTTATAACAGCGTTTTTACTTCTTGGGAAGATTCAGAGTCCCTTAAAGCACTTTACATTGGATACATCATTCATTCGCTCACACAGTCGCACCCTGTTGGTGGTAAACTACCTTAGTAGTCACAGCTGCCCAGGGACAAATTGACAAAAATGTGACTGCCAGTTTGCACCTACGGCCTCTCCGACCACCACCACATAACACTCACAATCATACACAAGTGGAGGACACACACAGTGGCCCTCATTTATCAATCTTGGGCAGATCTGAGCGCAGGATTCATCGTACGACAGGATTTATGAAAGGGTTCGTATCTGACCAATCCCAGCGTATGTATGATAGGGTCTTGATAAATACAGCGGCTGAAATTGATCGTCATTAACATGTTTACGCCCTTAAATATTTGTGGTTCAGAAGCCTCGCCCACTGAGGTCAAACATGAAAGAGGAGAAATATTAGAAAGATACGAAACTTTTCCAAGCTTAAAGTGGATATCCTCGCGTCTGTGGTGGAAACAACAACAAGGATTTTCTCTTTGGAAGCATCAAAACTGGTATAAAACCAGTCCAGAAAGCTCCTGTCTGGAGCAGGATTATGGTGGCGGTAAACAGCGCTGCCGCGGAATAGCGGACAGTGGCTAAAGTTTGAATGAATCATTAGTCAATAAGTTGCTCATGATGATGAATTAATATCTCATACATGCCTCATATTTGTTTATTGCCATGACATAGGGTATGTTGCTCCTATTATTGAAAGTATTTAGTTTTAATTTGTTGCATCTTTGTAATGTAGAGCAGACTGGAGAGTCTGACAGAGGCTCAACAAAAATAATTATTAACGTCACTAAATGGTGTGTTGCTGCCCCTGAGGCACATTTTTATGGATTTCTATTGGTTTTTTATTACTGATTTAATAGCAAGAGCACTTTCTAAACTTACACTTTACATGTCAGAATCCATCGATAAGGTCCTGTCTCCTCTGCACAGCACCTTTGTGGAGTCTCTCCTCGTTATTGTTCTCCGGGCATCGGGTCCTCATGTTAGACCGGCACAGCCAACGGCACTCCATTTGCCAGTGCAACATTGTGCAAAACTGTACTGGCCCAAATGATGTCCCACACCCTTTCAGGAGTGTACAACAACGTCCCCGCTGTTGGACCAAGACAGAGACACCTGCCTTTTAGGAGTCAAACGCAGCGCTCCACAGTGGTGCGTGTGCGTAATGTTGAAACGGCGCTCCTGCTCTGTGGCAGTGTTTCTGGGCAGGGTTATCAAATAGGTCTATTCACTAAGGACATGACAAATTTATTTTATTTTAATTACGTCTTAATCTTTAATGAAATCTGGCTGGCTGTGCTTAATGACCGGTTTGAGGTTTGTTTATCAATTATTTTGAGACAGACATTTGCTGCACCGCAGATCCACACTGACTCAAACTTGCGTACACGATGTCAGACCTGTCGTGAGATTTGGTCGTAGCGTACGCTCACGTGCAGATTGATAAATGCCAATCCTCACGTCAAAATTTTCGTATGCAAGGTGTACGCAAGTTTTCTGCCGTACGCAAGCTTGACAAATGAGGGCCACTGGGAGCAAAGTGGTTAAGTGTCTTGCCCAAGGACACAACGGACAGACTAGGGGGGAATCAAACCACCAACCCTCTAGTTATTGGACGACCACTCTACCTCCTGAGCTACTGCCGCCCCACTTTGGATTATTCATCTAAAAGTCAAGATTATAAAGAGCATTTCATCGCAGTCATTTGATTCCCAAATTCAGACAATGGTCAAAATGATTTTGCATAGTTTGGAAAGAAATTTTGAAACGCAAATAATAAAATATATATAAATATAATAAAACATGTCATCGAAAATGAAATTCATTTCATTTAACTTTTGAAACTGCAACTGTGACAAACAAAATGACCTCCACATATTTGACAGACTTGCTATTTTAAAGGTTTTCCAGTCAGTGTAATCCTTTGAGTTGGGTCTGTTGTGCTGGCTCCTGTAGATGGCACATCGGCTGTTCTCTGCGGACGTGGTGATGGTTTTGCTGGAGCTGCCAGAGAGGACATCTGAGGACTGTCAGGATCCTGAACTGGCAAGTTTTCTGCCTCACAAGTTTCTGATCCAGGATTTGCTGTTCCCTCGACGGATGGACGACTCCCCGACTGTCCAAGGCCACGTCTTCAACTGCTTGGCCCAGTGTTTAGAGCTGCCTTCACTCAATGTTACACGGGCTGTCCACAGCCTCTTCTCTGCCAGTGAGAAACACACACACACACACACAGAGCTGCCTAACAACAAATGAAAAGTTTGAAAAGGTGTGTCCTCTTTGGACTCATTTTGGAAATAGAACTAGGACCCATTGCAGGAAACAATGTACTGATGAGGTTAAATTGTGAAAACATGTTAAAGGAAAATCACATGAGAATGTAAGGGAAAACTTACTTCGAGCTTAAATAGCGCAATGTTTCCCTCATGAACTGTTTACATGAACACATCTCCCCTAAAGTACCCTCTCTGCTTTCTCTGTTTAGCTGGAACACACACTGAGTTGGAAAGTGAAATCACAGAAGGTAAATGTTCCCCTTGAAAATAGAGCTTGATGCATTTTAACCACAATGTCAGATATGTTTGCTGTGTCTGTCTAATGTTAGCCGAGCTACCTCCAACCTTCAGTTCTCTTTCAGGTTCGCATTCACATGTTTGTGCTAGTTTCACTCTGCTCTGTTTGAGTTAACCAGTTAGCTTCCATATAACTTCATATACATGACAGACACACAAAAATGCATTCAAATGTGCACATTTAGTCAACTCAGCAATCAAACCTTGCTTGCTGTCTGAAACGCTGATCATAAGTTGTGTCCAAGCTGTCGCTCAAGCTTATGGTGACTGCCATGATGCAAAACTGCTCTACATCCTGGATGGAAAGAAGCAGCACGGATGACAGCTGGTAGCACAATGCTCTCTGTCAGTTTTTTGATCTAGGAAATGGATATAAAGTTGAATACAGGCTATTTCTGTGTAAACTGATGTGTAACCATTTGGCTGGAGCTATGCCTAACAAAATAGAACATGAGGAAGTGAACCTGAAAAAAAGATCCTGTGTGAAGAGTAGAGTTGTACAATAGTAATAACTGTGTAAGTACTGCTTTAAATGTGGTATCTGGGTGTCTCTGTGGCCTATCTATGCCTTTCAATGCTACAGTCCAGTACCATGACCATTTAGCCTTTAAAACCACTAAACTCAGTACGATTACCCCAGTCCTATTAGTTAACCATGATTTGAAATTTTATCCTGAGACCTGGCACACTCTGTAGCAAGTGTTGGCATTAAATAGACTTGACTTTGTGTTTCAGAGACTTTGTGTTCCCAGCAGACTCAGAAAACCTACCGCTCTCTACCGTTCCAGACCGTGGAGATCACCACCACCAACAACAACAACAGCAGCTCTAGCACTTGTGGTAAGCCAAACCCACTTGAAGGTGTCAGTTGAACAGTTAAACTTGCCTGGAGTGGGTACTGGGAGGAGTTCTATCAATAGAAGTCTAAGTTTATTAACTGTGCTTCAAAGAAATTAAAACATTTATGACTTACATCCTTTTCGTGCAGCAAAAGAAAACTTGGCTCATCTTCTGGAGCAAGTGAAAGACCCAATGATGAATGTGAGGAAATCGGCCCTTCAGGTATATTTTTCCTTTATTTAGAAGGGACAGCGCATATTAATGAACATAAAAATGTAAATATGCCAGAATTAGCCAAAGGCTACTTTTCATCTGTAGTCCCTGGCAGGTCAAAAGAATAACATTAATAACGATACAAGGAGAAAATTAAACTGACACACATCAATGCACCAATGACAAAAAAAAAAAAAAAAAAAGACACACTAAGAAAGCTTAAAGCTTGATTTGATTTAAAGATTAGTGCTGACAGATCTGCTTGCTTTTCAGCCACTTCTTTAGATTAACTTTAAAAGTGTTAAAGGTGGAACAGCCTCTTATTGGAGATGGAATCTCGTTCCAGACCTCCATACCTCTGACTCCTGCTTACTGAAGGTTGTTTGTCTGTGTGGTACTCCGCACTTACCTCTAGTGGAGGCTCTGGTTGTTCTCCCACTGGTGCTGGACCTGAACATGATGAATTCACCCAGAGGTGGTGGAGCAAGTCCATGCAAGATCTTATATATGGAGCAAGTTTTTGCAGAATAGGGCAGTGATGGGTGAAAAATGGTTTCCTATCCAATACTTTTACAGTTTTTTTGAAGAGAGATTCTATTGGTTTTAGTGTGCTTGGGCTTGTCAGTGACCAGTTGGTGATGCAGTATTCTAAGTGGGAGAAAATCATACAGTGCAGAAACATTTTTGCAGCCCTCTCTGTGAGTGACGATCTGAAATTGTTGAGACTGAAATTCACCATTTTACATAATTCTTTTGGGTTTTTTTAAAAGTTAAGTTTGAGTCAAGGGTGTCACCAAGATATTTAAATTCATGTACAAGCAGGAGCTCCTCACCTTTTACAAATATATTTGAACTAAACCGCACTTTTGGACGCTTTGAGAATACCATACAGACAGTTTTTTGGGGAATTTAGAAGAAGACATGAATTGGTGAGCCACTTGTCCACTGAGTTTATTGCAGATGTCAATTTTCCTGATACTTCTTCATCCGACGTTGCTTTTGTGAACAGCATCATCTGCATAGAGCTGTGTGTCGACATTTTGGCAGATATTTGGCAAATCATTAATATATAAGGAAAATAAAATAGGCCCAAGTATGGAACCTTGAGGAACTCCAACATACATGTGGTTTACCTCTGTTCTTGGTTGCTTTTAATCCACAGGCATTATCGGGTCTCCTTAAACATGGTGTGATCCCAACCAGCTCGGAAAACTTGACTACACTGTCTGAACGCTGCAGAGACCCGGCTGTGTCCGTTAAGAAGAAGGCCCTGCAGTGTTTGGGAGAGCTGCTAGCTGTGAGTGTCAAAAAGCAGCTCAGTGTGGCAGGAACCAGAACATAGAAACTGTTATATTTAGGTGTACAAGAATCTCTGTGTCAGCATTTTATTGACAACAATAATCAACATCAGAAGTCATGTTTTCATACTTTTGATCTCCTGCTGCATAAACAAATGTACATGACTTTGGCAAACAATGTAAAGCCAGCTTTATCTCTGCCTGTCAAAAGAACGTAAACACTGGCTACACATAGTGCACTCTGACTTTTCAAAGATGTTCGATAATATATCCTTTTGGTCTCCAGGCCAAGCCAGAGTGCAGTGTGGTGCAGAAGACATGGCTGCAAGGTGTGCTGCCAGCAGTGATGGATTCTGAGAGCTCGGTGCAGGAAAAGGCTTTAGGGGCTCTGGACCAAATGCTGCTCGGTCAGGTCAAACCTTACTCTGCCGGCCGCCACATTGACCCCAGTCAGAAGATGACCTGGGCCCTGCTGGACCTGCTCTGTCACGAATGCCAAAACCTCAGGTTGGACAAAATACTTTCAGTACAAAATCTGTGAGGATTTAAATTGTAACTCAGCTTGAACACAACCTGCTGATTGAAACCAAAACAGCTGTGTTCTGACCTAGCATACAGTGGATATAAAAAGTCTACACACCCCTGTTCAACTGCCAGGTTTTCGTGATGCAAGAAAATGACAGCAAAATTAATATTTTCACAACTTTTTCCACCTTTGATGTGACCTGTAACCTGTACCTATAACTGAAACCTTTTAAGGGGAAAAATATAAAAACTAATACTTTGTTGCAGCACCTTTGGCTTTTATTACAGCACTCAGTCTTTTTGGGTAGGAGTCTATCAGCGTGGCACATCTTGATGTGGCAATATTTGCCCACACTTCTTTGCAAAACCGCTCCAACTCGGACAGGTTGCCAGGGCATCTCCTGTGCACAGCCCTCTTCAGATCACCCCACAAATGTTTGATGGGATTCAGGTCTGGGCTCTGGCTGGGCCATTCCAAAGTCTCAATCTTATTCCGGTGAAGCCATTCTTTTGTTGATTTATATGTGTGCTTTGCGTCATTGTCGAACTTCATCTTCAGCTTCCTAGCAGAAGGCCGAAGATTTTGTGTTAACTTAACGGTGACTGGTATTTGGAACTGTTCATAATTCCCTCCACCCTTACTAAGGCACCAGTTCCAGCTAAAGAAAAACTGCCTCAAAGCATGATGCTGCCACGACCATGCTTCACTGTGGGTATGGTGTTCTTTTGGTGATGAGCAGTGTTGTTTTTGTGCCAAATATACCTTTTGCAATGATGCCCAAAAAGTTCAACTTTGGTTTCATCAGCCCCTAACACATATTTCCACATATGTTTGGGAGATTTCAGATGTCTTTCTGAAAAGCTGGGCTTTGATGTTTTTCTTCGTAAGATAAGGCTTCCGTCATGCCAGCCCAGACATATGAAGACAGCGGGAGATTGTTGTCACATGTTCTACATAGCCAATACTTGCCAGAAATTCCTGCAGTTCCTTCAGTGTTGCTGTAGGCCTCTTGGTAGCCTCCCTGACCAGTTTTCTTCCTGTTTTATCTAGGGATGTGCCGATGTACGATTTAATCGCGATTTAAAGACGAGCTGCAGCGTCACTCAGCGGAGGTGTGCGAAGCCGAGTACTAGTGGAGCGGACAAATGCATAATATAGCCCGAATCGTTCACTTTGTTAAACAAGCATGGAATTTGGTACATATACTCTTCAAACCCCACTCTTTTCAAAAAATAACGTTAGCCACGCAAAATTCCAAGATGTCCGCCCCAAAAATGTGGTTTTTCCTTTATAACTCAAAATGACTTGATTTTAAGCCCCATATATATATTGAAGTTGAATATAAAGTTGGGTATTGCGGATATTTTGGTGGTGGATGGTGTCCAAGATGGCTGCCATTGCCTTGAAGTAATCCGATCTTAGTGACTATGAAACATTAACTTTTGGCATGCACATATTTTTGGTCTCTGCATCCAATGGGGCCATTGCAGTACAGAATTTAGATGTTTATACAGTACAAGCTTGCAGATGTAATAGAGTGAATATCGGCACACAACCAGGGCACACTGGTGATATCACTGCTGTGTAACTCAGCATGACCTCCAGGAGTTCTTTCAGCATGAGAACCAGTCCTTCCCTGTTGCATTGAGCAAGGGTGGAAAATTGTACACTTGCCAGAAGTCTCAGCTGACCCCTATCCTTGAGAATTATGTCCCACCAGTTGACAAGGAACCTGAGGCAGACATTCTCATTGACACATCTGGTGTTTGATGTGTAAAACCCATCGAGCCTTAAAGCTGAGACCAGGTCCAAACGTGGCCAGGGGGGAAGATGCAAGGTAACAAATAAGAACACCATGCTATCTAACTGGCATAACTTCCTGAGGCACAATGACAACAAAACAGAGTTGTCCCACCCTTGCTGACAAGGTTGCACAAATGTTTGCCCTAAATACCATCATCGTCACAAAGGGACCTGCTGTCCTCAGCACTAGTGCAACTGGTCTTGATGGACTGGATAAATGCTCTCACGAGGAAGCGGACAGCCGCAACTTTGTGCACGCCAAACATGCAACTGGTAGCCAATCCATCATGATCAAGGCAAATGACACAGATGTTCTGATCTTAGCTATAAGTGTATTCAGCGGTCTCCAAGAGGCTGGCCTACAGCATATGTGGCTTGCATTTGGGCAAGGTCAGACTCTGCGCTGGATCAGTGTGCATGACATATTTCAGCATGTTAGCCGGGAGAAGGTCAAAAGCATGCTCTTCTTCCATGCCTTTACAGGATGTGACACTGTGTCTGCCTTCTGCAACAAAGGCAAGAAAATGGCTTGGCATACATGGGACATATCTCCAAAATCCTTGCCTGTATTCGCCAAACTGGGTATTTACCTTCCCACAGCGGAGGACTGCGACATAGAGGTGCTTGAGAAGTTTGTCATTCTCATGTATGACAGATCCAGCACAGCTGCTACTGTGGATGAGGCCAGGCTTGTCTTGTTTGCCAGAAAGCAGAGGCCCTATGAGTCTATCCCACCGACCAGAGCAGCTCTACTCCAACACACCAGGCGTGCTGCCTATCAGGCTGGTTGTGTGTGGGCCCAGGCAACCCAGTGTCAGCCAGAAGCAGAGGACCCTGCAGACTGGGGATGTCAAAAGGTTGGTGAGGAATGGCAGGTCTTCTGGACAGCCAACTCTCCAATAGCCAAGTCATGTGAACAGCTCACCAAATGTGGCTGTAAATCTGGCTGTTGTGGCAGGTGCAAGTGCTACAAATTGGGTCTCATGTTTACAACTCTGTGCAGTTGCAACTGTGAGGTGTAACTCACAGTGAGTATCCTGTATCTTACAAACTGTAATAGATGCACATGGTACTAAAATACCTGCTTTTATCAACGTCTAAATTCTGTACTTAGCTTAGATGGGATCAGGAAAAATTTGGGAATTTTGTAAACTTCAGAATTTTAGTATAGCGTTAGGTATGGGTATAAGGTTTTTAAAAAATACCGCAAACGAGTTGAGTGCATCCCCTAGTGGCTGGTTTGCATGGTATCCAATGTTAGATAGTTTAGTATATGGTTGAAACCCAAAGTGATAGAAGAGATTTTATTAAAAAAAGCCACAAAAAAAAGGAGGGGGGGGGGGGGGGGGACAGCCTCCACGTGGCCTCCCCCGCAAGTAGCCAGAGAGTAGTTGCCCTTTAAGTGAAAAAAATGTCTTCGAAATGTCCAACAACATTAACATCAACATCATTGTCATTTTGAGTTATAAAGGAAAAACCACATTTTGGGGCGGACATCTTGGATTTTGGGGCCGCCATCTTGGAATTTTGCATGGCTAACGTTATTTTTGAAAAGAGTGGGGTTTGAAGAGTATATGTACCAAATTTCATGCTTGTATAACAAAATGAACGATTATTTCCTTATCTGCTCAGCTATACTTACCAGCCTAACCCGCTTGTAGTCTTACCCATGGTGTCAAAGCCTCGGTAGCAAAATTTACAAACAAACCACCAAAAAAGTAGTCCCAAATCCCAAAAAAACTCTCGAATTAAGTACATTAATGCCAGCCTAACAAAAATTGGAACATTAAAAGAGAAAATGAAGACATTTTACAACAAAATGCGTGTCCACCCACAATGCATTGTGGCCACTCAAAGCACTGTTGGAGCGTGTCCACAATGCACACCATCCTCCGCTCATTAGCTTCTTAAAGTGGAGGAGATATGATCTGATATTTTAAAAAACACGAGTATAAGGAGGTTTTCACTTGACGTCACTTCCGTGTTATGCGGCAGGCACGCAATACAGATGGAGGGCAGGAAGTGTGTTGCTGCTATAGAGACCAGCAACATGCCGATGTTTTGCTACATTTATGGCTGCTCGAATCGATCGAACAGGAAAAAAAGCAAGAGCTTTTATCGTGTGCCCAAAGTAGTGTTACACAAAGGGGAAACATATAAGAAGCTGACTGAAAAACGCCAGTCTCAAGTCCAGTCCTCGAGCCCCCCCGTCCTGCATGTTTTAGATGTTTCCCTGCTTCAACACACCTGATTCAAATGATCAGCTCCTTATTAAGCCATTTCAGAGCTTGATAACAAGCGTGGTTGGAGGTGTGTTGGAGCAGAGGAACATCCAAAACATGCAGGACGGGGGGGGCTCGGGGACTGGATTTGAGAACCACTGGCCAACGGTCTGGAGGAGCTGCGTCGGATAATGCCCGTGTGTGCAGTGACCACTTTGTCAAAGGTAATGCCTCATTTTTAGCCCGTAGTTAATTTCTTTCATTTCAAAGTTGAGTCGTGTCAAACTGTGTAAGGGGGGGGGTGCAGAGCGGCCGGATGCGCCGGGAGCGCCTCAGAGCTCCGGAGGGGGTGGACAGGGGAAAAGGGGGTCCTTTCGGCCCCTACCCCCTTGCCCCCCATCCTCCGACTATGACCTCAGATCAGACGAGACGACTTGCTGAATTTAAGCATATTACTAAGCGGAGGAAAAGAAACTAACCAGGATTCCCTCAGTAACTGGAGCAAAGAGGGAAGAGCCCAGCGCTGAATCCCGTGGACGTTGTGAGGCCGGTAGCGGCCCCTGTCGCACCAGGGTATGGTCTTCTCAGAGTCGGGTTGTTTGGGAATGCACCCCAAAGTGGGTGGTAAACTCCATCTAAGGCTAAATACCAGCACGCATCTAAACCGGCGCAAAGATGATCCTATTGGATCATGACAACATGTCAAATGGAGCAGCAAACTTTCGTTCTGTTTTTATGTGTCCCAAAAATGCACATATAGAGATGTATTTGGGTACATAAACTGATGCGGCTTCCAAACAAACCTTTTAGCCGCTGAGAAAGTATGAGTTTGGGTCCTAAAGTTCGCAACTATGTGACGCGCTGCGGGAGGCTATGATAATTGATAGGCTGAGATCCAGAGATGCTTTTGATCCTTTTACTCAACAAACAGCACAGATTTATCACAGCGCAGCAAAAATGGATGAATGGAAATGTGAAGATCAGCGGATTAAACAGATAAAAAGGTGATGAATGAATGAGTGGGTAGCGGCAGCGAAGCACTCACAAGCGTGGCAAAGCGGCTGCGTGGCGGTCAACAAAAATTACAGCTGCTACCCATCCCTGACTCTCTCATCTGTGTCACAGGCAAGTGCACACTTTTCAACACACACTTCCGCACGTGCCCCGCCCACTCCCACGTGAATCACTGCCTCCGCAATACACACACACACACACACACACTCAAGTACCCCGTGCTCCTCATTTTAGACTTATGTGTCCCCTACATAAACTGTACAGTAAGCTGTCAAGGTAGAGAGCATTATATTTTCGGGACAGCAAATATTCAGAATCAGAGGGCTGTTGTTTTCGGCTTATGTGAATAGTCTGAACGAAATCATTAAAGGCACACGCTTTAGAATCCATCCAACAGTAAGAAAACCTGGATTATTTCGCCTTGTTATGTACTTTCAGCTGCGCTCCCGTCAGGGGTACATTCAAAGGCAGGGGTGCATTCTACAGCATAACACCGACCCAAGAACAGTCGGAGACTGAGAATGACGAAACGCCTCGGCTGTATCCTCCTATTAAAAAGGTTTCGTCGGCAGTATGGATGTTTTGCGGCTTCACAAAACAGACGGAGCAGGTAAACCTGACACCAATCTGCAGGTTATGCAGTAAGGAAGTTGCAGCGCCGTTGTCTAACACTTCAAACCTATGTCCCCACATCCGTGAACACCATCCAGCATCGTTCGGTAAAAACAACATGACCGCGACAAGTTTGGTCTACTCTACTGCTTATTATTGACAACGTTAGTGACGTTTCTGCTAACTTTAGCTCCAAAAAGCTAATGCTCCCAACGTCGCGTTAGCTGCCTCTTGCTCATATTGTTTGTTCATGTCCTGCTGTGCACAGAGAAGTGATTTCCCAGTTTTTTGCCATTTTTAAAGGGGACCTGCCATCAAAATTTCATACCCATTTTTAACATTTTTTCATAATCCTTGATGTCCTCTGATCATTTTTGCAACATAATTTTAGCTGAAAAGTTATTTGATGGTTTGTTTTAGCATGCCTAAAAAACCTTACAGGAAAACCAACTGATTTTGACTCATTAACATTTATTGTAATGAGCTGTGCTCTGATTGGATCGCTGCTGTGAAGCCTGCTGTGCTCTGATTGGCTCAGCAGTGGAGGTTCGGATTTCGGTTTATCCATTTTGCTAATGTGTGCTAAAGTAAGGTGCCCAGATATCTGTAATGATATCCGGGGATATTCGGTGCGGCGGCGGCGGGGAGGGTGCAGGGGCTGCAGAGGCTGTGTGATCACAGACAAAATCTCGGTACTATTTAGTAGCAGCACATGCCCCTTGTAATAACCCCCTTAAACAGTGTTGTTCAGGACTGCTTACTTGTGCTTCCTACCTATTCGGCTACTGTAATAACCATTGTTCGAGCCCACACGCAACATTTTTGCTCTCATTCATGAAACGCTTAAATCGGGGACATTTTCGGGAACAGCTTTTGCAGTCCCCGTATTGGATGACCTGTCCCCGGAAATCGCGGACGTCTGGTCACCTTATGCTAAAGGCTAAAAATGGCAGGTATTAAACCTTATATTTTAGACCCCGAGTCCGAAGAGGAGGTGGAAGTTGAAGAAGCCAGAGATCTCCAGCGGTGTTTTCTCATTTATTCTGCCCAGCTTTAATTTCATTTTCCCTGCAGTGAACCCAAGGAAACACCGGTCATTTGGAAGAGACCCATAGCGGATACAGTGGTAGCTGGGTCTCGCTCTGGAGAGTGATGTTGACTGTGAATGAGTAAGAGAACGAGAGAGTGGGCGCGGCTCACCGAGGACGCGCTCGTGAATAATAATGAGCAAGGTCAGCGCTACGTCAGAGGGACCTGCTTTTTCAATTGGCCTGGTTTACCCGTCTCTTTATTTTAAACCTTTACAGAATGCAAACGACGTAACGGTTTGTTTTCACATTTACAACATAAGACGAACATAATATGGACCTTATCTGACACAAAAAACACACAAAATTACATTTTGATGGCAGGTCCCCTTTAATAAAGTTAAAAGCAATGCGCTAATATCGTGAATCGTGATATTTTGGACCACCAGTATCGTGATATCAAATTTTTCATATCGGTCTAGTATCTAGTCTTATCATCAATTTTGGACAGACGTCCTGTTCTTGGTAATGTCACCGTTGTGCCATATTTCCTCCACCTGATGATGACGGTCTTTACTGTGTTCCATGGTATATTTAATTCCTTGGAAATTCTTTTGTAGCCCTCACCTTACTGATATCTTTGAATAATGAGATCCCTCTGATGCTTTGGAAGTTCTCTGCAGACCATGGCTTGTGCTGTAAGATGTGGCTACAAAAATATCAGGAAAAGCCTACTAGAACAGCTGAACTTTATTTGGGGTTGATCAGAGGCACTTTAATTGGTGACAGGTTTGTGCTGACTCCAATTTAACCTGAGTTTGAAAGTAATTGGTTAAATCTGAACACAGCCACATCCCCAGTTTTTAAAGGGTGTGCACACTTATGCAACCACATGATCTCAGTTGTTTAGTTTTACTTCATCCTCCCGAAAGATTTCTGTTTGTTTTTCAATTGTGTTTTACAGGTTATAGGTCACATTAATGGTGGAAAAAGTTGTGAAATTATTTATCTTGATTAAATTTTTTTACATGACAAAAACCTGGCAGTTGAACAGGGGAGTGTAGATTTTTTATATCCACTGTATCAGTTAAATGATAACAACACAGAGATGATGAAGTGGAAGTGTGTTGCACATGGACGAGGTCCACACTAGGGCTGACAAAGTTGGGCAAAAAGGACATTTGAATAATCTCTTTAAAAAACACAAAGATTCAAGCATATGCTGTTATTGGACTTGAATTAATTGTTTGATTCTGTGCTGAGTGACCTTACTGCCAACCAGCTTCACTGACAGAGACAGTAGGGGAGAGAGAAATGCCCTCATTTACTAGTGTTTCCACACACTATAGTGATCCTCCTTTTTACTGTACACCTATTTACTGTTGTTATGCCTATGTCATAGAATGCTGTAAAGCTTTGTTTCCTGTAAGTGACGGAGGAATGTGTTTGTATTTTTCAGTGCTGCCGTTAAATGGTTCATTTCTATCTATAAAGCCAGAACAGGCAGAGCAGAGCCATCCTGTGAGATCGCTGTAGTGCACATTACTGTCTGTGAATTTATAAAGAACACGTGAAAAATACTTGATCAAAGATGTCATTCAAGACCCATCTTTGTGGAGTGTCAAAACCCAGATATGATCCCAAGATCACATGAAAACATTATTCTTAAGCTCATTGTTGAATTATAACAAACAGACAACCAATAACAGCAGGGCTACAGGATCAAATAATAGAGAAGTACAGTTCTTCCTACAGAAAACACACACACACAAAAAAAAGTCCAAAGTCCACCCTACATTTCCAGCACATTACTAAATGCAAATAGTGACCTTCCAGCCATGAAAACATAATGTTATGAATATAACTTATGTTCCCTGAAGGAGAGGAACGAGGTACAACACATATAGTATGGGATATCACGCCCCCGCGTGGCCTGACTGAAGACACCTTTATTCACACATTTGTGGCAGATGACCTGTGGTGACGTCTGGGAGGCTCTGCCTGCACATATATACATGTAACACCACAGTCATCTTTCAGTTTGATAGCCACTCTTCACCGAGCCTAGCTGCGCAGTGGGGCAACCCAGTGTTTTAACTTGTTCCTCTCCTTCAGGTAACAGAAGTTATATTCATAACATTTTATTTAGACAGTGCCTTGCCCTTGGCTGGATTAGCAAAACAGACAAACAACTGGTCACATAAACAAACACTCTAAGTGCAGTCTATGTAAGTGCGTAGTGCACGCACAGGGCGCAAGGAATGCAACCTCCTCTGCTCCTCAGATGCAAATGGAGGAGGGCAGAAGCTCAGTAGTTCAAAACTCATAGAGCTATAGGCTGTGGGGATAATCTAAGGCAAATACGCCCCGTTTGGGCGCAATGTAACCTTAGATCCATCCAGAGTGAACTGGGTACAACAGGGGTGCACAGACAAAGCATGAAGGTTGCCCACTCGCTTTGCAGACGTCAAAGCAAGTAGCAGTGCAGTTTTGTATGACAGAAATTTCATGTCTGCTGACTCAACAGGCTCAAATGGGGGTCCACAGAGACCCTAAAGCACCAGCCCTAAATCCCATGAGGGAACGCTGGGTTTAAGCACAGGTCTTAGCCTGCGGATTCCTTTTAGGAGGCGCATAGCAAGAGGGTGAGCTCCTGACGTCACAGCATCAAAGCCAACCTGGCATGCAGATATAGCTGCCAAATAGACTTTAATTGTTGAGAAAGAGAGACCCCTATCCAGCAGCTCCTGAAGGAATGTTAAAACATCCACAATAGAACTCTGAAATGGGAGTACATTTCGGTCCTGATACCACTGCTCAAACGCCCACCATTTACAGGCACATAGGCCCCTAGTAGATGATGCCCTTGCACCCTGGATTGTTGCCACCACATTTGGGGGCAGACCCTGAGCTATTAAGCTGGACCTTTCAGCAGGTAGGCATGTAGTCGCTACAGTTCTGGGCACGGGTGAATCACCTCTCCTCCTGGCTGGGAGAGGAGGTCCCTGCAAAGAGGGAGCTGCCAGGGCCTCGCTGCCAGCAGACTGAATATCTCGGCGTACCACGACTTCGCCGGCCAGTGAGGAGCCACCAGGATCAGGGAGAGCCCCTGCTGGCGCACCCTCTCCAGAACAGACAGAATCATTTCCACTGGGGGAAATGCATATAGCAGTGTGTTTGGCCATGAGTGAGCTAGCGCATCCATTCCCAGGGGAGCATTGCAGTCTGTTATGGAAAAGAACAGGGGGCAATGAGTATTTGCTCTGGAGGCAAAAAGATCTACTTCTGCCCTGCCGAAGCGGTCCCATATCTGAGCCACCACTAGTGGGTGCAATCTCCACTCTCTGACAAGAGGACCCCCCCTGGAGAGAAGGTCTGGCCCAAGGTTTAATTGACCCGGAATATGTGTGGCTCTGAGAGACAGAAAATGAAAACTGCACCATAGCAACAGAAAGCGAGACAGTTTTAACAGGGGAGGAGAGCGTGTCCCTCCCTGCTTGTTTATGTAGGAAACCATGGTTGTGATTTCCGTCCTGATCAGAACATGATGGCCTGTGCATTGGGCTGGCGTCCACACCCCTCTCACTGCTGCGCCCTTGCACAGAGCCCTCCAACCCCTCAGGGATGCATCTGTGGACACCACCTTGTGAAAAGACACCCTTCCTATAATCAAATCAAATCAAACTTTATTTATATAGCACTTTTCAGGCAAAAAGAAGTGCAGCACAAAGTGCTTTACAATTTAAAACAATGAGCCCCCCCCATATCCAGCCCGCCACCCCACCCCCCAACCCTCACCGAGAGCCCACCCCAACACACACACACACACACACACACACAGATAATGCAATCATAAAAGCGTGTGGCTGAGTACAGAGGAGCCAAGTCAGGAAACGTCAGGAGGCCCAGGGCCAGGACACCTCCACCCGGGTGTGCATCCCGCTACAAGCCAGTAAGGGGCCCACAGCAGCAAGCACTGCTGCAGACCACCATCTGGCCAAGCTGAGCGCACACCACGAGGCAGAGAAACCCTAGACAGAGCCAGTCACAGCCTCCAGTGCAGGTGGTCCCCCTACTGAGGAAACACTGGAGAATTGCAATAAAAACATTAACTAAATCAGCTAAAAGCATCAAACTAGATAAAATTATAAGATACTGATAAATAGCTAAAATACCATTTAAAAAGTAATAAACATAACATGTAAAATGAGGACTAAAATATATAAATGAACTAAAATAAGATAAAAATAGGATAAAAATATTGATTAAAAATAAGACATTAGTTAAAAGCCAAATTAAATAGGTGAGTCTTGAGCCTGCTCTTAAAATTATGAACATTCTCTGCGGCCCTAAGGTCCTCCGGCAGGCTATTCCAAAGACGGGGGCCATAGTGCTGGAAAGATGCCTCACCGTAAGTTCGTGTTCTCACTTTGGGGACTATTAAAAGGCCAGTGCCAGAGGATTCTAGGGATCTGCGAGGGTTCATATTTTAAAAGCAATTCTGAAAGATAAGAAGGTCCAAGACCCCTAAGACATTTAAAAATCATTAAAAGGACCTTAAAATCAATCCTAAAGCACACAGGGAGCCAATGCAGTGATTTTAAAACCGGTGTAATGTGTGCCCGCCTTCTGGTCTTTGTCAGCACACGTGCTGCTGAGTTTTGCAACAGTTGTAAACTCGCAATGTTTCTTTTTGGAAGACCAGAAAGCAGGACGTTACAATAGTCAAGACGACTGCAGATAAAAGCATGCATTAGCGTCTCTGTGTTAGCCCGGGAGAGAAAGGGGCGGACTCTGGCTATATTCTTTAAATGATAAAACCCTGTTTTCGTTATATTTTTAATATGTGGAATAAAAGTCAGCTCAGAGTCAAAGATGACGCCCAGATTCTTTACCTGATTTGATGGAATTAAAGACAGGGTTTTCAGTTTTGTTAAAAGTTTCTCTCCCTGAGCCTTAGGATCGATAATTAAAACCTCAGTTTTGTCCTGGTTGAGCTGTAGGAAGTTTTCTGCCATCCAGGATTTAATGTCTAGGATACAGCTAAAAAGGGCATCAATTGGCCCTGTGTCATCAGGAGACATGGACATGTAGAGCTGTGTGTCATCAGCATAGCTGTGAAAAGTGATACCATGCCTCCTGATGACATCTCCCAGTGGGAGCATATATAAATTAAAAAGTATGGGGCCTAAAATTGAGCCTTGGGGCACACCACATTTAATGCTATGAATCCTTGAAGAGCATGTGTCCAAACTTACAAGAAACTTTCGATCTGTGAGATAGGAGTTAAACCATTTAAAGGCAGTACCAGAGAGGCCTACAAGGTGCCTTAGTCTATTTAAAAGAATTGTGTGATCTACTGTATCAAAAGCAGCGCTTAGATCCAGTAGCACAAGGACTGTAAGCTTGTGTTAGTCCAAGTTGCACCTAAGATCATTAAAAATTTTCAGTAGTGCAGTCTCGGTACTGTGGTTCGTCCTAAATCCAGATCGAAATTTCTCAAGGATGGAATGGTTATTTAAAAAATCATTCAACTGAATAAAAACAAGTTTTTCTAAAACTTTGCTTAAAAATGGTAAGTTGGACACTGGTCTGTAGTTATTAAGAACATTAGGATCCAAACTGTTCTTCTTCAGAAGGGGTCTCACTACTGCCGTTTTAAGGGCAGCAGGGAAAGAGCCTGTCTGAAGAGAAAAATTTTCTATATTTAAAAGGTCGCCTTCAAAGTGATGTGGGAATTGGGTCTAAAAGGCAGGTTGTTGGTTTTACTTGGGAGAAAACTCTACCAAGCATCTCAGCATCAACCAGGACAAAACTGTCCAGTGTTTCCTCAGGTAAAAACAAGCTTTCCACTGTATTAGAAACAGTGTTTTGAAAAGATAAAATAGAGGATCGTATAAAATCAATTTTACCCCTGAAATGGTCTGCAAAACCTTCACAAAGTGTGTCTGAAGGAGTGATTTGATATCTGTTAAAAACCGGGTTTATTAAAAGATCAATTGTAGCAAAGAGGATTTTTGGGTTATTCTTATGATCTGTGATTATGTTGGTAAAATAGGTGGATCTTGTGTGTCTGAGAGCTTTATTGTAGATTTTCAGTTGCTCACAGTATATTTGATGATTAATTGTAATTTTATTTTTCTTCCATCTCCACTCAGCTACCTTGCAATTTCTTTTTAGTTTTTTGATTTCCTCATTTCTCCATGGCGGTGTGCGCTTAGGCAGTACCTTTTTTGTTTTCAGTGGAGCTACAAGGTCGAGGGTGGTTTCAAGTTTGTTAATAAAATGTTGAACAATAAAATCACAGGATGCAGGTAGAGTAGCTGAGGGATGCTTGCTCATGATCTCGATAAAATTTGCAGCCACTTCTGAGGTAAAATAGCGTTTCCTGACAGTTTGCACCGAGGTCTCCCGCTGAATAAAACTGGTGATATTAAAAAACACACAATAATGGTCCGACACAGCCAGGTCAACAACAGAGGACACACTGGCTGACAGGCCATAGCTGAGGACTAGATCCAAGGTGTGTCCTCTGTTGTGAGTAGGCTGTGTGACGTGTTGTGTAAAATCCAAGCAATTAAGTAGATTTAAAAACTCTTTTGCCATTGAGTCAGATGGGTTGTGTATGTGTAAATTAAAATCACCAGATATAATAATAAAATTGTAAGTGGCATGGATTATTGCTAAAAATTCAGAAAATTCACTGATAAAAGCAACATCATGTTTTGGTGGTCTGTAAACAGTTATACAAAGAATTGAGGGACTGTTAAAAACAACCGCATGATGTTCAAAGGTGGTGTACTGATCAAATTGTATTTCTTTTGTGCTTAGTGAGTTGTTGATTATTGATGCGGTACCACCACCTTTCCTGCCACTTCTAAAATAGAACATAAAGTTAAAATTAGGTGGGGAGGCCTCAGTGAGAATAACTGGCGCGTCTGTACCCAGCCATGTTTCAGTTAAACAGACAATCAACCTTGTTGTCTAAAATCAGGTCATGGACAATAAAAGATTTGTTTAAAAGAGAGCGACGGGTGATTTACAGACTGTGTGGTTCGATTGTTGATGTTCTGGGAGAGGTCTGAGGTTATTGAAGTTCACAGAGTGTACATGATGGAGTCTGGCTGTCTCTCGCTGAGTGATGATGACAGGAATGGGTGAATGGTTAATGAAAACAGAGGGTCCAAGTCCAGGGGTCTATAGGAGACCCCTGTTGTAGAAAACCAGGTTTTCTACAGCCATCATAGATGCCATCATGCCTGTCAGCTGTAAAATCGTCCAGAAACACAGTTTGCGTCCCAACTGAAATTGTGCAAGCCACCCTGCATTCTGACAGACGTGCTCGGCTTGAAACGGATCATATTTCCAGCCAGAGAAATGATATCTGTTGACTCAGAGTCAGTAAACTTTTCTGTAAATTTACCATAAAGCCCAGTATTTGGATGTGCGAGAGTGTCAATGACAACCATCAATTTAGCTTCAGTAGATTTAGAGGATTGAAAACTGATGCAGTAGGCTCCAACTGACTGCTTTGCACATAATGGCCCTCATTTATCAAGCTTGCGCAGATCTGAGCGCAGGATTCATCGTACGATAGGATGCGCGTGAGATTTATGAAAGGGTTCGTATCTGACCAATCCCAGCAAACATATGATGGGGTCTTGATAAATGCAGAGGCTGAAATCGATCGTCATTAACATGTTTACGCCCTCAAATATTCGTGGTTCAGAAACCTCGCCCACTGAGGTCAAACATGAAAGAGGAGAAATATTAGAAAGATGCGAAACTTTTCCGAGCTGAAAGTGGATATCCTCGCATCTGTGGTGGAAACTAACAAGGATTTTCTCTTTGAAGGCATCAAAACTGGTGTAAAAGCAGTCCAGAAAACTCCTGTCTGGAGCAGGATTATGGTGGTGCTGAACAGCGCTGCCACAGAATAGCGGACAGTGGCTGAAGTTTGAATAAATCATTAGTCAATAAGTTGCTTTTGATGATAAATTAATATCTCATACATGCCTCATATTTTTTTATTGCCATGACATGGGGTACCCTGCTCCTATTATTGAAAGTATTCCGTTTTAATTTGTTGCGTCTTTGTAATGTAAAAAAGACTGGAGAGTCTGAAAGAGGCTGAACAAAAATAGTCATTAACGTCACCAAACGGTGTGTTGCTGCCCCTGAGGCACATTTTTATGGATTTCTATTGGATTTTATCACTGATTAAATTGCAAGGGCATTTTCTAAACTTATATTTTACATCAGAATCCATGGATAAGGTCATGTCTCCTCTGTACAGCACCTTTGTGGAGTCTCTCCCCGTTATTGTTCTCCGGGCATTGGGTCCTCACGTTGCACCGGCACAGCCAACGGCACTCTGTTCACCAGTGCAACATTGTGCAAAACTGTACCGGTGCAAAGGATGTCCCACATCCTTTCAGGAGTGTACAACAACACCCCCGCTGCTGGGCCAAGACAGAGCTACCTGCCTTTAGGAGTCAAATGTAGCACTCCACAGTGGCCCGTGTGCGTAATGTTGAAACGGCGCTCCTGCTCTGTGGCAGTGTTTCTGGGCAGAGTTATCAAATAGGTCTATTCACTCAGGATATAACAAATGTATTTTGTTAGATTTTATTGTGTGTCTTAATCTTTAATGAAATCTGGCTGATTGTGCTTAATGACAGGTTTGAGGTTTGTTTATCAATTATCTTGAGACAGACATTTTCTGCACCGCAGATCCACACTGACTCAAACTTGTGTACACAATGTCAGACCTGTCGTGAGATTTGGTCGTAGCGTACGATCACGTGCAGGTTGATAAATGCCGATCCTCACATCAAAATTTTCGTACGCAAGGTGTACACAAGTTTTCTGCCGTACACAAGCTTGATAAATGAGGGCCAATGAAACTAAATGTTTGCACCTATCTGAGAAAAAAATGATATATTTACTTGGGGTGCAAAGGTACATGTAATCCACAGAACGGTCTGTACCTCGGTTTTTGGGCCATGGTTTTGGTTCAGTTTCAGTACGTGTTTTGTGCACAAAGAGTGCTTCCTTTTCAAGTCTTTCGACCGTCCTGTGTTCAGGAAGTGTGATATCAGAATGGTACATCAGATGCTTGGTCACGTTGCTCGTGTTTCCTTTTAAGTAAGGGACAAGAATCAAGCATTGTTTTCAGACAGTAAAATTTCTGTCAACAGTTTTCACTCCCTCATCGTTGTACTCAATGGCAAAACTGAAGTTTACAACAGAGATTTGAAGGAGGCCAATGCTTCTTGAGACTTTTGTTTCTCAACTCCTCTGCTCGTGCTCGTAGACATGCCTCTCTGTTATCTTTTCTCCTTCTTCTGTGTGTATGGGCAGCACTCAGTGTGTTGCCCCATGTGTTCTGTAAAATAAGCACCGATTTCTATATATTTTGAGTGGGCAAGGCCTGATTGATAGGAGCATGTTTCCAGTCTCTTCTGGGTTACGGAGCAGGACAAGTCCAAAACAACGGCTGCACTTTTGGAACAACCCCAAAAAATGCAACTTACAACTGCCAAAATCTTCAAGTGATTTTTCAAAATAAGAAGCCCAAAGTAGCTGACGATAAGATGACATGGCAACTATGGTTGCCCTTTGAGAGTGTAAGTGGAGGCACAGATTTGAGTGGACAAACTGAAAACCTGTGGTCCGCTAGGGCGTTTGTCCTGTGCAGAATGGACTGAAGGGTTCAATATTTTGCCACGTACCCTAATGAAATCCCTAATATTTACTGTTCATTTGTGGTTTAAAATAAAGAATCAATAACCATCAGAACTGAATACTGGAAAGACAAAGATTGGTGAAGGAAAATTCAGCAAATGTTGGAAATAAAGTTTTAATTCTCCAAAATTTGTCTGGAGAGGACCTCCTGAGCCCCTCACGAGCTGCATGTTCTATGTACTGATTGGCTTTGTGACTAAACACAGCAACAAGATTTGTGCTTTCTATAAGTGTTAAGTCAAATATTTGATTTGTACTGCACTCCTATTATGTGCTTTTTCATGTTCCTGTTCCTTTCCCCTTTTCCAATCACATCCCTGTTAATAGTCCAACTCAGCAAATGTTCTGCCTGATCCAAACCCAATCAGCACCAGATAATGAGTAACAGCAGCCATTTAAAACCATGCAAATGACTTTTATGAAGCCTTCTTCTTTATACTCGTTCATCTCATTCCTGCAGTTTCTGATGGTGTTTTTGTCTCTTTTCTCCAGACAATATTTCAGCAGAGCCCTCACCATCTGGTCCAAACAGAACATGTTCACACCAACATTCATTTCCAACCTGATCTCTCACACTGAGGCAGATCATGCTGAGGCAGCCTGGCTGCTGCTCTCTAAGGCGGTAGCTTTGTCTCCAACACTTCCCTGCGGAAAAATCCTGGATGCCTGGGACAACATGATCAGGTAAGACGATGATAATGTACCCGATTTATTCATGTTTCTAAATAGCATTTACTCTAAGCTCATGATTGACTATCTGTTGATTAAATGCTATGCAGGTGATTTGGCACAACTTTTGTTCCACTTTTTGTTCCTAGTTCCAAAGATTTACCCACTACCACCTGCTGTCACATCCTGTGTGTGATGGGAGACATGGCAGCACATCTGAACATGGACACCAAAGACAGGATAGTCGGTAAGTGATGGTCTTACAGGATGGACGAGTCGGCGTCATTTCAGCCCCCTGTCTCTGTCCTGTTGGTACATTATCTGTCTGTGAGTGCACTTTGGTTTATCACTTTTCTTTTTCTTTGCCTTAAGTTTTGGCAGGGCTCTAAAGTGTAACTGCCACATGATCACTGTGTGGTGTTTGTGCTGCAAAAGGATTATAGGTACATTAGGGATTAGAGAACTTCACAATGAAGATGTAATTTTGATGTAAGTTAAGTCATGAGGGGAAAAAAATCAAGTTTATTTATGAGAGTAAACTCTTAAATTTATTTCAGTGCTCCTGCTCCACAGATATTGTTTTTTCATGGGCTGATGCTGATAATAAGAGTGCAGGCTGGCTTATGGCCAATACAGGCTAACATAAACAGTGTACCACATTGTTATTGTTGTTGTTGTTGTTGTTGTTGATATTTTTGTATCTGAACAAACAATTTTATATTTACTACACTCATTCCTCCAGACACATGACAGTCTCATTTTAATGCCTTTTTTTTTCGCCAGTCACATGTTGAAGATGGATTTTAATGAATTTATGATGTAGGAGAATACTGTAGGTTATACTCTAGAGTCCTGAACATGACTGATATCTAAACTGCATTATACTAGACATAATCACATAGCTGAATGAAGCTCAGCTTTGTATGAATTGCTTGAGGTTTGATATGCTTACATTAAGGATGGAGAAGAAGACCTGTTAGCATTGAGGGGGATGTAAACAGCAGCCAGCCATACTGATGAGGCTTCCTGCAGTGACTACAGACACAGTTTGATGAACCCTCCTTGCAAGTGCTGGTTTTGTCTGCTGACTGTGTCCTGTCAAGAAAAGAGACAAGGAAATCAAGTTGTAAAAGTTCAAAGTTTGAATTAGATTAGATACAACTGAATTTATCCTTTTCGAAAGGTTCCCTTAAGGAAATTGAAAATTCCAGTAGCATCATGTACACATTAGACAAAAAAAATGATCAAATATACATTATATATAAAGAATAAAGATAAACGGTAATAAAAACTTCAGATAATTGAAGTATTTATGTATAAAAAGTAAGATTTAAATCTCTGGACATTTGCATATTACTGTTACAACAAATACCACCAATTAGCTTTGGAGGAACTTCACAGAGCCCTGGTATTAAAATTAACACCAGGCATTTGACAAAAAGAGATCTTCATCAGACACCGTCATTATCCCACATCACTTGAACAGTATCTTGCATGTCAACAATTCTTTTTATCCTGTCTTGTTTGTTCAAGTGTCCAAAAACATCTGACATCAAATGTTCTGAAATAATGACCAACGCAGTCCCAGTCCCAGTCCCAGTCCCAGTCCCATTTTTACACACCTCAAGTCAACAAACAGTCAAACAATAAAATGTAGGGCCAACTTCATGAATCATTTCCTCAGTATGACAAAGAAAAAACAGTGAGCCAGCCCAACATCTGCTTATCATGGAGTTTGGAGCTTGGATGCAGTTGTAGCGTTGCATAAGCAAAACTCATGATACTCATGATAGAAAGGCAAAGAGCAGCAGGTCAGGTCACCAATGTCAACCTCATGAAGTTTCTGTCTTTCTGTCTAGCTGATCTGATGTCCTGGTTAAAGACCTTCACTTTGTCTCTGGAGGTGATCAGTGCTGCTGTGGAGACTCTTTTTCAGCTCGGCCACAGCCAAGACTTCAAACAGACTCAGGTTAAACTTATTTCTGTCTCACTCTCACTCGCTGCTGATAAGTAGTAAAGCTAAAGCCACACCAACATCCTGGGTTTTTCCAACAAGGGATGAAACACGCCATGAGCTCTATGAATGTTTTTGTACTGAGTTGTATGTACAGTGGATATAAAAAGTCTACACACCCCTGTTCAACTGCCAGGTTTTCGTGATGTAAGAAAATGACAGCAAAATAAATATTTTCACAACTTTTTTCCACCATTTAATGTGACCTATAACCTGTACAATGCAATTGAAAAACAAACTGAAACCTTTAATGGGAAAAATAGAAAAGTTAAAATAACCTGGTTGCATAAATATGCAATAAAGATCTCTGTATTCAGCTTTTTGTCCATTTCTGATACATGCCACGATATCAGTGTCATCTGAGTATTTCTGAATGTGGCAGGACTCAGTACTGTATTTGAAGTCTGATGTATACAGTGTGAACAGGAATGGCACCAGCACTGTCTCTTGTGGAGCCCCTGTACTGCTCATTAATGTCCCAGAAACACAGTTCCCCAGCCTGACAAACTGTGGCCTTCCTGTCAGGTAATCTGCGATCCAGGAAACACAGGAAGGATCCACTCCCATCTCTGTGAGCTTGTCTTTGAGTATGGTGGGTTGGATGGTGTTGAATGCACTTGAAAAGTTGAAGAGCATGATCCTCACATAAACCCCAGGTTCCTCCAGATGAGACAGGGCACGGTGAAGCATTTAGAGGACAGCATCATCCACTTCAATGTGTTCTTTGTATGCAAACTGTAGGGAATCCAGTTTGTCTTTGACCTCAGACCTCAGAAGGCATGGAATCAGCCGCTCCAGGGTTTTAATGATGTGTGAAGTGAGGGCCACTGGTCTGGAGTCATTGATTTCAGCAGGACATTTTGTTGTGTGTGCGGACTCCAATTTAACCTGAGTTTGAATGTTATTGGTTAAATCTGAACTCAGCCACATCCCCAGTTATTAAAGGGTGTGCACACTTATGCAACCACATGATCTCAGTTGTTTAATTTGACTTCACCTCCCTGAAAGATTTCTGTTTGTTTTTCAGTTGTGTTGTACAGGTTGTAGGTCACATCAAGGGTGGAAGAAGTTGTGAAATTATTTATCTTGATTAAATTTTTTTACATGAAAAAAACCTGGCAGTTGAACAGGGGTGTGTAGACTTTTAATATCCACTGTAGATAGATGTCATGGTCTTAGTTTTGATTTCAAAGCAGGTGAAATATACAGCTGTTTGGTTAAAACTACAGTTTGGCTCAGCCTGAAGGATTAGTCTGACTGTAAACACCATATTTATCCAAATGATTGCTCACTGATAGACTTTGATAAGATTGAACACTTTCCAAAACGTTGATGGTTTGTCCATTTGAAATGTTTTACAGCATGTGACTGTGAAATTCACAGATCATCCGCAAGTATTTAACATAAAAATCTTTGGTTCAGGCTTTTTTGAACCAACACTGTGGGGAGCTGGTGTCTGTCAGTGAGGCTTATTTGGCAGAAATCATCCTGAGTGGAAAAGGAACCCAAAACCTCAACGTGGAGCTCATGGTAAGAACAAACCCACAGCAACACTCTGTACTGTTAAGTCAGAAATCAGCTTCAGATCTGGGCTCGTGTTACAGAAAACATCTGCCTGGGAAATTTCCCACCATGTGCTATCTAACATCTCTTTTTGTCAACTTTGCTCAATCTTTGAGCCCATGAAACAGAGCTAAACCATGATAACAATAAGACTTTTCTAAAGCCTAACCTAGTGGATGCTCTGGACTCAACGTAGGAGGCCAAACCTTTGAAGTGTCACTAAAAGCTCCGAGTTCCTGTAAGATTAGAGATGCTGACAAAATGGACTGGAGGAGCACAGATTGGTACTGATGTCAATGCAAAGGAGCCTGTAAACATTAAGGACTGACGATAATCGTTATTTAAATGTCTGAAACTTCTGCTGGGATGGCTGTGTCTGGCTAAATGATTAGCTTCAGGTAACTGAAACTGCCTTAATTTATGTCCTGCAGGAGTTTCCATGAGTAATACATCAAAGTGTTCAAATACAGCAGGATAAGTTTTTTTTTTTTTTTTTTTTTTTTTTTTTAAATTAAGAACCAGGAGTGCACCAGATTTTAGGCATTGTAATGGTATTGGCAGATGAGAATTTCTGCCCAAATATTATTGGCTGAAAATTTGTCATGAGAAAAACAATAAGTGAATCATTAAATATGTTCATGCATGGACAGCTTACACATGCAAACAGGTGTGAACAGAATACTTCCCTACGTGACTGTGGGGAAGTATTTAGAAACAGACACATCAGTGATTAACAGAGAAGAGATTCCTAGGAAAATCAGTTGTTGTTTGCCTTGTTTTATGTCTATTTCTGTTACAAATGGACTGTCACTTTGGGAATATCAGGTCAATTCTATTATCAGAGGGCTTTGTGTTACTAACAATAAAAAAAAACCTGTCTATACATTGGGTTCAATATCAGTCGGGGCAATAATGCGTTTGAAAATATTGGCCTTTTGGATAGCAGCAAAAAATGAAAACAAAATAACAAAATCAGGCTGTTTTTAGCAGCTGGTCTGATTTTCCATATTACTCTTAAACTTGTCCAAATTCTTGAACTAGCCCAATCCCTGCTTTGCTGTTTTTTTTATGTTTGGCTGAAGATGTCCTCTCTTCCAGATTAAACATCTCCACACCCTGGGTGCAACATCACTCCACTGTCCTGCAAAGATCAGCAAAAGAACAGTGCTTCTTGTGGAGTCGGTGCTCACAGTGCAGGCAGACAGAGTGGCAGGTAGGAGAGAAGCACACCTGCTGTGTTCAAGGACCTGAAAAAAGTCAGTGAGATAATCCTTATGTTAACGAGTGGTTGACTGATATACTTTAAGGGCTGATACCAGTGCCAATGATTACAGAGCCCACCAGCTAGTGGCCAATATATAATGTCGATACCACATTGCTGTTAATTTTTTTGTTCGACAAAATATCATCAGTCAAACACAGTAATAGTTCATAGTTCATGTACAGTAAAGTCTGAAATATTTGTTGGTCTTAACCGGTGACATGTTTGGATTTTAGGGTAATTCATAAAATAAAAACATACATATTATTGTCAGATGGAATATTAAACTCTGTTATTCTCTACATCATGGCAGAATATATGTGAAGCACATGACAGTAACTGTTAGATTTGATCTGCTGTCATTTAGGATGAGGGAAATCTGTTTTTATTGAAGAAGCTGTTGATGATGCGACAGTGATGAGACTGCCTGCAGTGTCTGCAAGCATAGGTTGTTGATTGTTGAAGTTGTCATAAGCCTGAATATCAGCTGATGCCAATTATTCCAAATGCCATTGATGGTTGTGTCTCTTATGGTAATTTTGTAGAAACAATAGTCTTCAGATAGATCAGCTTTTAATTGCTTTAACCCTTGTACCTTATTAAGGTTTCTGGAGGGGTAAGGCCTTGTCTTTGATGCTATAACTTTTTTTCTATTAATGCCCTTGCAAAGAAATTCCTAGAAAATGTGTATTTTGTGATGAGGCATGATATACCTGAAATTGAAGAAAAAAAACCCTATGGTTATGTTTTTTTCTTCAAATATGCTTAATCTTGCATTAGCGCCACACAAGTGCCCCATGCATTCCAATGGGAAACCACTTGTCTTTTACATATACCCATATCAGTGGGAAAAAATGAATTTCAGCAAAGACTGTTTTCCCCCTTTTCTGAAGACATTAAAGATGCACTGTGCACTTTCAGCCACAAGGTGCACCTTTTTTTTCATGAATAATAGAGGCTGATCTAGCCAGGTGGTCAAAACCCCATTATTCCTTATGGGAATTTGGCAAAAATTACAATATTCAAAAATTAGAAAATGCACATCATTTTATTACTAATAAAATTAAGCATTTTTTTATCTTATTTTTACCATTTTACTTTATTTGGGCATGAATCTGTCTCAAATTTGTTATTCTGGTGTTTTTTTATTTTTTTTACCATTTTGGTCAGTTTGACACACCCGTAAACCACAGCCTATGATAGATGCAGTCTTTTGGAAGGAAAATCTGCTACCTGTTTGTAATATACTGCCACAAGAGTTCAAATCAGATTTTTCCCCCCATTTTTTTGCATTTTATCTTGAGTCTATTTCCAATCAAACTTTTTCAAATTATGAATGCTGAAATTTCATTTGTTTTCATATTCGTTATTGACCTTCAGTGAGAGGCCATTTTTTGCAAAAAAACAAAAGTGGACTGTAGAAGTGAATAAATCAGGTGTGCATGTATTTTTTTTTATGTGTTAGTGTTTTCCGTGTGTGCATGGTCGTGTGTGTTCGTGTGCAAATGTTTGTGCACGCGCATGATCTTGCGCGCGCTCGTCACAGCCAGCGATTGCGTTCATGGCACATGCGCCCCAAGCGTCCGAGGTTGCCCCGGGTACAGCCGCCCCGTTACCCGTGATCAGATAGCCTTAGGCCCGCGTCAGCAAAGGCGGGGAGCCGCTGGCTGCTCTGGAGGTGGTAACCTCACCTCACCACTCGAAAACGGGGGTGTCGGATGGTTGTCGCCGGCGAATTTTACGCGCTTCGCGGCGGGGACACACACACACACACACACACACACACACACACACACACACACACACACACAAAGCTCATCCCCATCGCGGGTCAGTCCCGACCAGAGCAGTGTTTAATCCACAGTGTTTAATCCACTGCTCTGGTCCCGACCTCTTCTTCTTCTTCCGGGTAACGGGGTTTTGCATCCGGCAGTCCGACGTAACTCGTAGGCTAATTGCTGTGCCGCGCCACCTGATCTGGAGGTACCGCCCCTCAGCTCCACAGATCGTAAGCACACACACACAGACACACACACGCACACACACACTCGCACGCCGGCACACACAAACACTCGCTCGCAGGTACACGCGCGCGCGCGCACGCACGCACGAAGGTACACACAAACACCCACACACGCACATACATGTTTCAAACTAAAATTAAAAGGATTAAAAGTTTGAAAATAGTTGATTTTTTCTTTTGAGTGGTTAGAGCAGAAGTCAATGATGACAGCCATGATAAAAAAAGGGCAACTTTTCATTTGTAGATGACTTTATAGGCCACAAAGACAGTGGCAGTTCCGTGCCACTAATGCAAGATTAGTCGTTTTTTTTTTATTTTAGGCTGTGACGCAAAAACTGAAACTGCAACTAAAACTAATTTCACACATATTCATACCACTCATAGGTTCTGATAATCTTGCACAAAGAAATTTGATTTTGCATTACTCTTATAATTTTTAGCCCTTTTTTTAAATTTTGGGCATTTTTTACGGTGTGTTTACACTAAAGTTAAAAAGGTTAAAAGTTTGAAAGTGGGTGATTTTTTATTTCGAGTGGTTAGAGCAGAAGTCAATGATGACAGCCATAATAAAAAAAGGGCAACTTTTCATTTGTAGATGATTTTATAGGCCACTAAGTGACAGTGGCAGTTCCGTGCCACTAATGCAAGATTAGTCGTTTTTTTTTAATTTTAGGCTGTCACGCAAAAACTGAAACTGCAACTAAAACTAATTTTACACATACTCATACCACTCATAGGTTCTGATAATCTTGCACAAAGAAATTTGATTTTGCATTACTCTTATTATTTTTAGCCCTTTTTTTTAAATTTGGGCATTTTTTACAATGTGTTTACACTAAAATTAAAAGGGTTAAAAGTTTGAAGCTGGGTGATTTTTTCTTATGAGTGGTTAGAGCAGAAGTCAATGATGACAGCCATGAAAAAAAAGGGCAACTTTTCATTTATAGATGATTTTATAGGCCACTAAGTGACAGTGGCAGTTCCTTGCCACTAATGCAAGATTAGGGATTCTATGTTAATAAGGTAGCAGGGTTAAATAAACAGTCCTTGTGTTGTTTGATTGTGACTGAGTTACACACTTAACACATTTTACAGTGTAAAAAACAACTTCAAACACATTTTGTTTCTTACAGACTTGACATCTTTCATTTCAAATGATCTTTCTTATGACCAGCCTTCTCTGCAGTATCAGTGTATCTCATTTTCAGCATGTATTGTCCTGAGCAGTTAACCACTGAGCTCTTGTATCATAGTAGTGCAAGAGTTAAAAAACAGTCAAGTTTTATTCCCGTCAATTTTTGCTGCTCAATTTCTTCCAAATATGATGAAAGTTGTGTTGTTTTGACATATTTTCCCAGAGTTGTGTGATCATATTTAACATAACTTCTTGACTCCAGATTGAAAATGGGGTAGCATCCAAACTCTTTAAAGTAGGAGTTGTGAAATCGGTCAGAAAAGTGGATAAAGCTGACATGATGCTGTATACATAATTAAATATTCCTCTGACAGAGTTACAGAAGGAGCTGCCAGCCTCTCAGCCTTTGTCTCAGTTTAGAGCAAACTCTCTGCCCACCAGAATCAGAGCCCATGGAGTCATCACCTTAGGTAAGCTGTTCTTCTCCAAGCTTTTGAGCTCTCACAGTTTTTAACGTTTCTGCCCTGTCATCATAGTATTACACTACAAACACATGATGTAGCTGGCTTTGGTTGAAGCCATAAAGACCTTTTTCATGTCTCTCCCTCCCTCCTGTCTGCTGGTCCAGGTAAACTGTGTCTGCAGCATGAGAATCTGGTCCAGAAGTACCTGCCGGTGTTTGCCAGAGAGCTGGAGGTCGGGACAGAAATTGCTGTGCGTAACAATGTCTTGGTGATCATGTTTGACCTGTGTGTGCGATACACCAACATTGTGGATCACTACATCCCCAACATCTCTGCCTGTCTGCGAGACAATGAAGCTGTCATCAGGGAGCATACCCTCATCATGCTGACCAACCTGCTTCAGGTGAACTGCCTCACACACTGCTCCGAATTAGATTGGAAACGAGGTTGCATTCACCAAGAAAAACAAAATTTCATTGTCCTTCTCGTTCACACGTATCTCAGGGAGGAATAGCGAAAATAACAAAGCACTCTTATAAATCAAATAGCTTACCTGCCTTTACAAAGGAAATAGATACAAACCTAAACTAGCTCCCTAAAGTAAAAACAGGAGGAAAGGATCATTGTCAAGCTATTCTTTTTCTGTATCATTTATTGATGTTATTGATTCTGTTTCAGTTATTTCACAATCTTGTAATTACAAGATCAGGATCTCGTAATTACAAGATTATGTGTCTGATTTTTTTGTTATCCAGTGAATGCAATGTGCTTTTGTAGCATACTATCTCCATTGCATAATCTTCCATTTTTCACATGATGAATATGTGCTAACCTGTTGTTGACATACCTCACTGGGTTATCTCTGTGATGATCTGTTATTGTGATGTGAACATTTGCTAGAGTTGTTTTCAACTCGCGTTGAAAGCGAGGCGTTTGAAGCGAGAAGCACGTTGAACGTGACACAAATTCACAAAAATAGGCTGCTCATTTTGTGCTATTTGTGCCGACCAATTCGCATCATACATAATGCCCGAGTAGAACGCCCTTCTAATCGCATCTTTGTATTGACTTAACATGTAATTTACTCGGGCATATTTTTTTACTGAAGCTTGGTGTGAACACAAGGTGAGACTGTCTTTGTGTTGACCATCTTTGCAGTGCACAGTGGCCCTCATTCATCAATCTTGCGCAGATCTGAGTGCAGATCTGAGCGCAGGATTCATCATAGGATAGGACGCACGTGAGATTTATGAAAGGGTTCGTATCTGACCAATCCCAGCGTACGTATGATGGGGTCTTGATAAATGCAGCAGCTGAAATCGATTGTCATTAACATGTTACGCCCTTAAATATTTGTGGTTCAGTAGCCTTGCCCACTGAGGTCAGACATGAAAGAGGAAAAATATTAGAAAGATTTGAAACTTTTCCGACATTAAGGTGGATATCCTCACATCTGTGGTGGAAACTAACAAGGATTTTCTCTTTGGAAACATCAAAACTGGTACAAAAGCAGTCCAGAAATCTCCTGTCTGGAGCAGGACTATGGAGGTGGTGAACAGCGCCGGAATAGTGGACAGTGGCTGAAGTTTGAATGAATCATTGGTCAATAAGTTGCTCGTGATGATACATTAGTATCTCATACATGCCTCATATTTTCTTTTATTGCCATGACATAGGGTACGCTGCTCCTGTTATTGAAAGTATTCAGTTTTAATTTGTTTCATCTTTGTAATGTGGAGCAGACTGGAGAGTCTTGACAGAGGCTGAACAAAAATAATTATTAACGTCACCAAATGGTGTGTTGCTGCCCCTGAGGCACATTTTTATGGATTTCTATTGGATTTTTATCACTGATTAAACAGTAAGAGCACTTTCTAAACTTATACTTCACATGTCATGTCAGATAAGGTCATGTCTCCTCTGTACAGCACCTTTGTGGAGTCTGTCCTCATTATTGTTCTCCGGGCATCGGGTCCGCATGTTGCACCGGCACAGCAAACGGCACTCCATTCGCCAGTGCAACATTGTGCATAACTGAAAAAATCTTCAGGAGTGTACAACAACATCCCCGCTGCTGGGCCAAAACAGAGACACCTGCCTTTTAGGAGTCAAACAGTGCTCCACAGTGGCGCGTGTGCGTGTGTGCGTAATGTTGAAACAGTGCTCCTGCTCTGTGGTAGTGAGAGTTATTGAATAGGCCTATTCACTAAGGACATAAAAAATTTATTTTATTTTATTTACGTCTTAATGTTTAATTAAATCTGGCTGATTGTGCTTCATGACAGGTTTGAGGTTTGTTTATCAATTATTTTGAGACAGATATTTGCTGCACCGCAGATCCACACTGACTCAAACTTATGTACACGATGTCAGACCTGTCGTGAGATTTGGTCGTAGCGTACGCTTACATGCAGATTGATAAATGCTGATCCTCACGTCAAAATTTTCTTACACAAGGTGTACGCAAGTTTTCTGCCGTACGCAAGCTTGATAAATGAGGGCCACTGTGTTTATAGACAGTCTGCTGCCTGGAGTGTACGCCACTTTCCACAAACAGGAACACTTTAAAAATGTAGGCTTTGTATTTTCTCCTTTAGCATACATGACCCAATATTGCCATGAATTCACTCTATATGTTTGCAGGACTTTTAGCTGTCAAGTTTCTCTTAAAAATTTTTTTTTTTTTCTTCTTCTTTTTTATTTTAGGAGGAATTTGTGAAATGGAAGGGCGCCCTCTTCTTCCGTTTTATGGTGGCCTTGGTTGACCCAGTGCCTGCCATTGCCAGGTAACTGCATGATGAATGGTTTTATAAACTAATATGTGGCTAAGGGGTGTAGTATCACTATGATAAACATTTAGCAACCATGACATGACAACAAGAGGTGAACTTTAGTATTAAGTGTAGGTGACATTTCTACTAGGACATGTTAGCATACACCTAAATCTTTATAACACCACTTAAAGTCAAACATGAGAAACACAGTTTGCCTGGAAAAAAAAATCATGAAGAGCATTAGAAGCTTCCAACAATCTCCAGTCCAGTCATATCAAATCTGACTGTATTCTGTTTGTTATCCCAGTCTGTGTGAATATTGCCTCCTCAACGTGCTGCTGAAGAAGAACCCAGAAATGTTCAGCCAGCATTTCATTGAGGGCATCTTCCACTTCAACTCCTACGACAAACACAAGACCTACAACAAGTTTCCTCAGAGTGAGAGGTAGATAAATGGATAGTTTTGTTTTATCTGTAGAAAAAGACAACTCAAGGATGCATCAACACTTCAAAATTCCTCCAACTGTCACAGCTTTAACAGCAGGATGGCTGGGATTCTGAGTAACGTGAATTGTTTTTATATATTGATGGACTTATTTCTTAAACCCATGCAGAGAAAGAGTCAAGTTCTCTCTGAAAGGAGCTCAAAACTGTGAGAAGCGTTTCCGGATCTACTGCTTTCTGTTGGAACACTTCACAGACGCACAGCGCTTCAACATCGTCAACAAAATCAACCAGTCTGTCTTGGGTGAGCACATGAGTATACTAAGAATGCAAACTAAGCTATAAATCAACCAGACATAGATCAATAGTTAATGTTCTGTCTCTTTCTGACATAAATGATCAATTCTACACAATATCATGCTCTACAAATAATAGACATCTTTGAGTATCTCAACACAATGTTGTTTGATATTGGCTGTTGCCAAGAATCAGTGTTAACCTGAAGCTATTCAATATATCAACTCTTTGTGCCCAGCATGTTTTGCAGATGAGGAGCTGCCTCTGGATGCAGATGGAGCTGAAATCCTGTCCGAGACCTTCCACATCCTGAGTCTAAAGGAGATGAAGCTGCAGGCTGTATCTCATCCAGCAGAAAGCTCTGCAGAGGAGGAAACAGGGGAGGAGAACATGGCCAAGGTTGTCCTGCAGGCTGCACAGAAGAAGATGGTGTCACAGGTGAGCTGTGCTGAAAAATGCAACTTCTCTGACGAATCAAATGTGTCTTCATGTCCACCAAACTGGCTTTTTACTTCTAATTCTTGCAAGTGAGCCTCTTTTCTTTCTAAAGCCTGGCAGAAATCTTAACATTTTTTGGTTAAATAATTTTGTCATTTACAGCACAGTGGAAGTGTTCAAATATGAGTTTAGACAGGAGCTTGATTTTCACAGGTCTAATGTGGAGAAAAGTTTGAAAAAGGACAAAAAAGAGTGGAAATTTTGCAAAAGCCTGGAATGCAGAAACAGTGTGTAAAACATGATGCATCATGGTGAGAAACTGTACACACCACAGCCAGAGCAAAATGATAGTACTGCAGGCCAAATCAAAAACTCACTGAAGTGATGTGACCCACACCACCTTTACAAAGTGCACAACAGAATCTGCACTGGTGTTTTTGTAGAGTGAAGTATAAAAGAGCCTTTTTTGACTGATGAAAAGATTTTTGTCTGCTTTTTCTCTCTCCAAACTGGAGTTAAAAAGTTGAATAAAGCTGATAAATTTGCCTTTAACCTTAACAGCACCTGCTAACAAACTGACAAACTCACACCTGAACTGTAGATGTGAAACATTGTGGTGATGTTGCATTGAGGATGTTCTTATTTACTCAGTGCAAACATTAGAAAGGAAGCCTGTTCCACATCTATTCAACATAAACATGGACTTACTTGAAGACCTTACTAGCTATTAGTACAAAGGAGATGTAGCAGAGTCCCAAGCGGTTGGACTATAGACCAATTTACAGCTTACCTCATCAAGAAGCTGTGCTGCAGTGTGGCAAGTATCAACAAAAGCAACCTACTACCACTCCCACTCACTCAAACAACCAAGCAAGCAGGACATATCGAGGATCCATCACAATGTTACACACGCGCACACAGAGCAGCAATCCGATGTAAACATCGGCATTAAACTAAAAACTAAACAATCTGTATTTTTATTTTATTTATTTTATTCAAATGATGCGCTTAAACTGAGAGGTTGCTGCAAGTCTGGCCTCTCCATATTATCTATAATTTTTGCTAGATTTTTTTTCACATTTTTGTTGTAATTTTGTTGGCTGCTGATGGATACTTCTGCTGGGCGAAGAGTTTACTCAAGAGAAGAGCTCCTTTTATTAAGGAAAAGCAAATCTGGACAACAACATACAATTCCAGAGGACATCAGGAGGTGTTATCATGGTTGCTGTGCTGGTGCAAAGGTGAAGGCAAAGCTGAATGCTAAGAGGTGGCGATATAAACCCTTTCTTTCATCAATCATCATGGGAAACGTCTAGTCTCTGCCCAACAAAAGCGATGAGCTGGAGATCTTGGTGAAGACTGAGAAAGCATACCGTGACTGCAGTTTCCTGTGTTTTACTGAAACCTGGTTGAATTAAAACAACTCAGACTCCAGTGTAGATCTACCTGGCTTCACTCTCATAAGGTCAGACAGAGATGCTCAAGCAAGTGGCAAGAAGAAAGGAGGAGGTCTGGCTTTATTTTTCAGCCGGAGATGGTGTAACCCTTCAAACATAACTGTCAAGGAGAAGTTGTGTTGTCCAGATATTGAACTGTTGGCAGTTGCTCTTTGGCCATATTATGTTCCAAGATAATTTAATTATATCATAACAGTAGTTGTTTACATTCCACCCAAATCAACTGAAGAATGCTGCAATGTTTTGCAAAATAGTGTTGCCAGGCTACAGACTCAACACCCGGAGGCACTAATAATAATATCAGGAGACTTCAACCATGTCACCCTCTCCTCTCACCTGACTGAATTCACACAGTTTGTGAACTTTCCTACCATAGAAAACAAGACCCTGGATCTGCTGTATGCCAACGTCAAAGAAGCCTACAGAGTCACTGCCTTACCACCACTGGGCAAGTCAGATCATAACTTGGTCTATCTGCAGACCTGTTACAGACCTTATGTACTGAGGCAGCCTGTGACCAAAGTCAAAATCAGAAGATGGACACCTCAAGCCAGTGAAGCTCTAAGGGACTGTTTTAAATCAACAGACTGGAATGTGCTGCTGGAAACAGATGTGGATAGTATGAACATTGATAAACAGTTTGACTGCTTTACTGATTATGTCAACTTCTGGAGAGACACAGTTATATCCACAAAACTGTTCGCTGTTTCCCCAACAACAAACCCTGGAGACATAAAAGCAATCCTTAACCAGAAAAAGAAAGCTTTTAAAGATGGTGACAAAGAACAACTCAAACAAGTGCAACAAGAGTTGAAGAGGAGACTGGAGATGGCAAAGCAGGAGTGCAAAAAGAAGATAGAGAGGATTCTACAACACAGCAACATCTGTGAAGTGTGGAGAGGGATCAGTACCATCTCTGGACACAGCAGTAAACAGAAAAGACAGCCAGTGGTGGGTGATATGGAAAGAGCTGATGAACTCAACCTGTTCTTCAACAAATTTGACACTGCTGTCACTCCCTCTTCCACTGTTACTCCACCTTCCTCTCTGCAACAAATCTCCACTATAACTTCTCCCCTTCCTCCTCCATCTTGTTCAGATGTCTCAAACACTTCAACTACCTCCCTCCTAGAACACCAGTCCTTGTCTGTCACAGAAACAGGGGTGAGGATGGAGCTTGGAAGACTTTGTCCTGGAAAGGCAGCTGGTCCAAATGGTGTGTGTCCAAGGCTGCTTAGAGACTGTGCTACAGAACTATGTTAACCTCTCCACAAGGTCTTCAACCTGAGTCTACAGCTGGGGCGGGTACCTGCTCTGTGGAAAACATCCTGCATTGTGCCAGTACCAAAAAACAAAATGTCCTGCTGAAATCAATGACTACAGACCAGTGGCCCTCACTTCACACATCATGAAAACCCTGGAGCGGCTGATTCTATGCCTTCTGAGGTCTGAGGTCAAAGACAAACTGGACTCCCTGCAGTTTGCATACAAAGAACACATTGGAGTGGATGATGCTGTCCTCTACATGCTTTGGTGTGCCCCGTCTCATCTGGAGGAACCTGGGATTTATGTGAGGATCATGCTCTTCGACTTTTCAAGTGCATTCAACACCATCCAACAAACCATACTCAAAGAAAAGCTCACAGAGATGGGAGTGGATCCCTCCTGTGTTCCTTGGATCGCAGATTACCTGACAGGAAGGCCACAGTTTGTCAGGCTGAGGAACTGTGTTTCTGGGACATTAATGAGCAGTGCAGGGGCCCCACAAGGGATAGTGCTGGCACCATTCCTGTTCACACTGTATACGTCAGACTTAAAATACAGCACTGAGTCCTGCCATATCCAGAAATACTCAGATGACACCGCTATTGTGCCATGTATCAGAAATGGACAAGAAGCTGAATACAGAGATCTGATAAGAGCCTTCAGTGACTGGAGTCACAAAAACTGCCTCCTCCTCAACACCTCAAAGACAAAGGAGATGGTCATAGACTTCCGTAGATCCAAACCCCCTCTTCAGCCAGTGAACACCTGTGGAGTGGACATCGAAGTGGTGACATCATATAGATACCGAGGTGTACATCTGGATAATAAGTTGGACTGGTGACCTAAGAATATAGACTTCATCTACAGAAAGGGGCAGAGCCGCCTCTTTTGCCTGAGAAGACTCCCATCAATAGACATCTGTAGTAAGATGCTGCAGATGTTTTATCAGTCTGTCGTGGTAAGTGTGCTGTTCTATGCTGCAGTCTTCTGGGGAGGAAGCATCAAACACAAAGATGCAAGATATCTGAACAAACTAGTGAAAAAGGCTGGCTCTGTGGTAGGACTCAAGCTGGACTCAGTGGAGGATGTGGTGGAGAGATCTACACTGAGGAAGGTGGAGTCTATTCTAAAGAACATGGATCACCCACTGCACAACACCTTGATGGACCAAAGGGCCAATGGTGGTGGACGGCTCCTCTTTCTTCGCTGCAGGACAGAAAGATTCAGAAGATCTTTTGTACCAACAGCCATAAGCCTTTTAACTCTTATGTAAATAATAGATATCTTTTATAGACATATGTGGGACAAGAGACAATTGAATTTCCCTTTGGGATCAATAAAGTTATTCTTATTCTGTATAAACTCTAACTTTATAAACTGGTCTTATACCAAATCAGACTACTTTATGTACATATTGACCTGGAAAATATCCTCTCAGGGAGGGAAGTAACTGAATGGAAAGATTCAAAGAGCAGTACAAACAATCGAAAAGAAGCAGCACTTTTTTCTTGGTTTGTTTTTCTGAAATGCTTCTGCAAGAGTGAGAAAGTCACTTTAGTAGAAAGGAGCTTTTCTACCCTTGTTTTTCAGTGGGATTGGTAGATTCCTTTCCTTTCTGCCTCCTGTTGTGATCCACAGGTCCAGAAGAAGGCATTCATTGAGAACATGGTTCCTGTCATCATCAGTCTGAAGAGTCTGCTGGAGCAGAAACGCTCTCCAGTCCTCAGAGACCTCATGTCTTACCTTCAGGTGAGAGCACAGCATGGATACGTGTACATACATGGTCAAAGATGAAGGACCACTGTTTGAACTGAATGAGATATTTTCAGGGGCCATTTATAGTCATAAAGCCATGTTCTTAGAGTCACTCACAGTCCTGCATAAAGAGCCCCTTGTAAGCTGCATCACATCCTCTGAGTAACTTTAGTCATGACTTGATTCTGTCACTTCCATCAGGTGACGATGAAAGACTACCGCAATGAGGTGAAGGAGTTTTTCTCTGGAGACGACCAGCTGGCAGCTGAGGTGGAGTTTGCTTTAAAGACAGCAGAAAGGGAGAGAGAGATGGAGGAACAAATGGACAACTGCAGCCTGAGTAGAGAGGCCAGGACACCCACTGCACAGGTGAGACCATGGCACACAACTGAACACAGATAAACACATGCTGGAGCTGAAGATTTTAAAGATTGAGATTGAGATTTGATCACTGACGAAAAACCATCAGTGTTTCTTTTAAACTTAGAAGCTCAGTATCTTTGAGTCATTGATAGTGTCCTAGTGACTCTGCTCTCTCCTCAGCATTCGGTCTATGGCTCTCCCATCAAGTCCAGACCCCTCCTCCCGTTCATCTTTGCCACTCCTCAGCCTCCACAGCCAAACCTGCTGTCAGTCAGACAGGCCTTCACTGACGGGTACGTTTTCATCATTGCAGACTGTAGTAGAATAGACGCTTCAATAAGATGTCCCAGATCTCAGTAATGATGAATGATTCGAGATGAAAATATTTGATTTCATTCTGAGATCCATTGAGAACAAAATAACTTAAGAATGATTGAGGGAAACCAAAAATCAAAGCCTTTATCACCCAAAAACTGCTGACTCACTCACCGGGCATTGTAACGCACCAGAAGAAGCCCAGGGCCCATTGCAGCAGCATTTGGTCTGACAGTGGGTCTGAGGATCTCATCTTGGTACCTAACAGCAGTCAGGGTACCTGAGGCTAGCAGGTGGAGGTCTGTGCAGCCCCCCAACCATAAGCCTCCCTGGATCATCACTGACCCACCACTGAACTGCTCAGGCTGGAGGATGTTTCAGGCAGCAGAAAGTTCTCCACAGACTCTCTCACATCTGTCTCATGAGCTCAGGGTGAACCTGCTCTCATCCATGAAGAGAACAGGACCCTGCTGTGGAGCTGTGATTCTGGTTTTCTCTGGTAAACACCAATCAGGCTGCATGGTGCGGGGCTGTGAACCTAGGCCCCACTTGTGGACGTGGTTGGGGCCCTAATGGGGTCTGTTTCTGACGGTTTGGTCGGAAACATGCGCATGAGTGGTCTGCTGGAGATCATTTTGTCAGGCTCTGGCAGTGCTCCGTCTGGTCCTCCTTGCACAAACGAGCTGATAGCAGTCCTGCTGCTGGCTTGTTGCCCTCCTGTGGCCGCCTCAACCTTTCCTGGTGTTCTTGCCTGTGTCCTGGTATCTCCTCCATGCTCTTGACTCTGTGCTAGGAGGCACAGCAAACCTGGTGTGGAGGAGCTGCATTCCCTGAGAAGCTTTTGTGGGCGGCAGATACCTCCTCATGCTTCCTCTAGTGGTGAAAAAATGCAGAAGTAGCCAAGAATCAGTCAGACAGGATGGGGAGAGGGAAATGGTCTGTGGCCTCTAGCTGTAAACCCCTTGTTCTTTGCCTCTCCTCTTTGCATGTTGTCTTTCCCATTTGCTCCTCAGCAGGTGAAACTGATTCTCAATCATTGTTGCTTCCTAACTGGGCAGGTTGACTCTAGAAGTGTGATTGACTTGGAGTTACACTGAGATGAACATGTCGTCCTTTTTTTGTACAGTCAACAATAAACCGCATCAGCTCAGCTGCTGTCTTTTTTAGCTCAAACCCTCAGCTGCTGAGGTATTCTACAAAAGCACTCTTGCATCCAGGGCATATAAAAACAATGTGATGTTTGGCATTAGGGTGACAGAAAATTAAGGCAGTCAGTGATGGGTGTGTCTGTGTTTCTTATCAGGCGTGTGAGAAGATCCAGAGAGGAAGAAGGCGCCCCAACTAAGTCCATCACTCTGGAGGGAACAGGTACGTTTTGTGGGATTTAAAAGAAATGAGCTCAAGTCCACAGTGGGGGAGTTCAGTGAGGAGGTCAGGGGTTGGGATAGATCAGTGTCCTGTGAATTTAAAGGACCACTCTTGGGATTTATACATGGGTGTGTAGCATTTTGACAAACTTCAAACAGTCATGTTAATTCTTGCTATAACAAACACAATATTTATATGTAAAAAGTGTAATGAAAGAACTGAAATGTTTGATGTCCTCTGAAAGACATTCATTTTGACATTCACCTTATTGTCATTACGGTGGTGATAAGATGACGATTTACGTGTTTTTACAGACTGTTTGAGCTGCAGAACATCATTTCAGTGGTTTAGGGAAATGATAAAGGTTCCTTTGCAGTTTCTAAATCCATTCGGATGTTAAATCAATTACAGAAATAAAAGCAGCTGTTCAAACACTTTCGTCACACATTCAAATCTGAGGAATTTTTTATTCAACACATTTCCACAATAAAAACTCCCTCCTGATTGGCTGTTGACTGTGTTTCATTATGTGACTTTGTTTCCAGTGATGCCTAAAGGGGCCATGAAAGACAGAGCTGTCAGCACACCAGTGGGTAAGAAATCATGATTCAATCAATCATCAATCTTTATTTACACAGCACTGGTTCACAACAAATGCACTCTGAAGTAGCTTTACAAAAATTGCAGGTCTAGACCAAACTCTGATTATTTACAAAGGTCTGACATCAAGACAAGGTATAATTCAACCTTAGTGCATCTTCATCTACCACAAGCAAAGGACTGTGCAGGATTTAGAGAGTAAAAAGGAAAGGTAGAACCAGACTTATGTTAGTCACTTGCTGAGACTTTTGTGACAAGTTGCAGATAGGAAGAGAAAGAGACAGACAAAGACAATACCTAAATTAGCTTATACAGACTTTTGGTGACTGATCTGGGGCCCCTTTTATAAATGCTGCGTACACACATTGGCCCTCATTTATCAAGCTTGCGTATGGCAGAAAAATTACGTACACCTTGCGTATGTAAGTTGCAATGTGAGGATCGGCATTTATCAATCTGCACGTGAGCGTACGCTACGACCAAATCTCACGACAGGTCTGACATCGCGTATTAGTGCTGGGCGATATGGAAAAAAATGTATATCACGATATGGATCATTTTATATCACGATAACGATATATATCACGATATAGCTATGGTATGCTTTCAGTTCTATGAAAAATTTAAGTGTATACAGCTGCACTAGTACAGTGCCAGTACAAGACCAGCACTTAAAACTAGAAAAATGAATAAATAAATACGTGGCTGAAGTGCGTTCATGTCTGTGCTCACCCAAAGTTATGCAACACTCACAGAAAACGCAGATAGTGTGAGCCAAAGCACTCCATGATAATAATAATAATAATAATAATAATAATAATAATAATAATAATAATAATAATAATAAATTTAATTTGTAATGCACTTTACATTTACAAAAAATCTCAAAGTGCTACAGTACACAGTAAAAAAAGGGCAGCAACAATAAAAATAGCAATAGAATGACAGTCACAGATTGGCATAAAAAAAGAATTAAAAAAAAATAAAAAATATAGAGTTGTAATGTAAGAGGCAAGGTAGTAAAAGCATAAAGCATAGAGGAAAACTAACCAAAGGCTTTATTTAAAAGGTAGGTCTTTAGGGCTCTTTTGAAGAGGTTGTTCACACTGCTAGATGTTTCTCCTCCAAAGCTGCTCTCTGCCTCCATCATTGTTTACTTTACGCTTGAAGCACGTAACAAGACCCGAGCATGAATCCGAGCGCTTTATTCGCCTATGAGGGGCAGACAGGTAAGGTGATTTGATTCGCCACGACTCCAGAAATGATTGAAAAACTACAGAATGTCACAAAATTACGTTTCATTGCTGCTGGCTTGAAGGGTAGAAATGCGCAGCCGCGCTCCCAGCTGACAGGAAGTCAAACCACTGTTGTAGTTCTTTTGTGTTGCTAGCGCGGTCAAGAGTGTTGGCTGTCACTGAGAGACGACTACAAAAATGGACGCACCTGTTCATCTGGTTGTTTAACACGGCTGAAAATGATCATCTTTTAATGTTGTCCCCGCTCCTGCACACTCCCGTTGCGTTTTTTCCCGTCCCGTCCCGATCAAAGGAATAATTAAAAAATGACTCCCATTCCGCGGGAATCACGTGACCCACGGGAATTCCCGAAAAATGTCATCCTCTACAGGGAAGGTCCCGGAGCAGATGAAACAGGTGCCGGAGCGGCTGAAATAGGTCCCGGGTCCGATCAAAAGAGGTCCCGGATCGCGCTCCGACTCGCTCCGGCACAAATTAAGCACTGCTTACAATGATCCCCTCACGTGTGTAACCCATGTAACCCACAACGGCGGGAGACGCTGGACACGAAGAGGGCACGTAAAGCGGCGTCATGTCGCAAAATCGAAAGAGAAATGCGAGCCTACATGTCAACGCATCCTTTTCTTTTTAAGAAAATATTGCTTTCTTTCCCGTTCGACACCAAATACACTTACTGAATGTGCAATTATTGTTGTTGTTGTTACTATGAATCATCTGATGGCACAAGCCCTATGGATTAAATACAGCCTATCGCCCAAAACGATAAAAATAAAAATGGCACGATAGACATTTTCTATCGTGCCCACGATATCTATCGTCCTATCGCCCAGCACTATCGCGTATGCAAGTTTGAGTCAGTGCAGATTTGCGCTGCAGCAAATGTCTGTCTCAAAGGCCTATTTGACAACTCTGCCCAGAAACACTGCCACAAAGCAGGAGCACCGTTTTAATATTGCACACATGCGCCACTGTGGAGCGCTGTGTTTGACTCCTAAAAGGCAGGTGTCTCTGTCTTGGCCCAGCAGTGGGGACGTTGTTGTACCCTCCTGAAAGGGTGTGAGACATCATTTGGGCCAGTACAGTTTTGCACAATGTTGCACTGGCGAATGGAGTGCCGTTGGCTGTGCCGGTCTAACATGAGGACCCGATGCCCGGAGAACAATAACGAGGAGAGACTCCACAAAGGTGCTGTGCAGGGGAGACAGGACCTTATCGATGGATTCTAACATGTAAAGTATAAGTTTAGAAAGTGCTCTTGCTATTAAATCAGTAATAAAAATCCAATAGAAATCCATAAAAATGTGCCTCAGGGGCAGCAACACACCGTTTAGTGACATTAATAATTATTTTTGTTCAGCCTCTGTCAGACTCTCCGGTCTGCTCTACATTACAAAGACGCAACAAATTAAAACTAAATACTTTCAATAATAAGAGCAGGGTTCCCCATGTCATGGCAATAAAAATATGAGGCATGTATGCGATATTAATTTATCATCATGAGCAACTTATTGACTAATGATTTATTCAAACTTCAGCCACTGTCCGCTATTCCGCGGCAGCGCTGTTCACCGCCACCATAATCCTGCTCCAGACAGGAGTTTTCTGGACTGCTTTTAGACCAGTTTTGATGCTTCCAAAGAGAAAATCCTTGTTAGTTTCTACCACAGATGTGAGGATATCCACTTTCAGCTCGGAAAAGTTTAGAATCTTTGTAATATTTCTTCTCTTTCATGTTTGACCTCAGTGTGCGAGGCTTCTGAACCATGAATATTTAAGGGCATAAACATGTTAATGACGATCGATTTCAGCCGCCGCATTTATCAAGACCCGATCATACGTACGCTGGGATTGGTCAGATACGAACCCTTTCATAAATCTCTTGTGTGTCCTATCGTACTATGAATCCTGAGCTCAGATCCGTGCTCAGTTCTATGCAAGATTGATAAATTAGGGCCATTGTGTAGTTGTTTTTGGGATTTATGACAAACAACCTTGACAGGAGAATGTGTGCACCTCCACAGCAGCTCTGACCCTGCCGTACGCACAAAATCTGGAGAAACGGGGAACTTTGACCCTAACAGTAGAGGGGTGAAATCAAAGACAGCTATGTGAAATGAATACATTTGTGTGAAATAATTGAATATTACACATTTCACAACACAAATCATAAATCAAGGATATATTTGCAAAAATGAAGAAAGAGGAAAGATCTACATTCATGCCCCAGAGAATGCACGAGTGTGCACGCGCTTCCATGAATATGTAGCCTATATTTTGGAATTAATTTTGTTCCGTCAATGTGAAACAAAGCGTGCTTTAATTATGAAATCCATTCACATAAACAAGGTGAGAGGTAATATATTTATTTATATTTATAATGATAATTGTTATAAAAATGACATGATTGTAGCGCAAAACTGCTGATCAATTAGGCTATAGCACCTGTTCGGGAAATGAAGTGATGGTTGGATATAAAAAGGCACACACTTACAATGCATAAAGACGCACAGTGGCTTATCTGGCACTGCTGGAGGACGTGGGACACGTGAGATTCCAGAGGGCGCCGATCTTCAGTGACCTGCAAGACCTGTTGGCCCACGATGACGAGTGGTTCCGGCTGCCACGTCCTGTGTCCACTTTTTTGATTAATTAATTAATTTTTTTTTTTTTTTTTTTTTTTTTTTTTTTACAGTCCGACCCCCTGAGGCAACATATTTTACAGCTTCAGCCACATGCTTCCATCCTTTTGCCTTTCTGGCATGAGAAATGCCCACACAACAAGACTGTTTTGCGTGTGTCCACCTCACCTATTGATATCTCGACCTCACACAATTTTATATTTTTTTTTGTTTATTTTTTTTTTTCACTCATTTTCCCTTTAGGTCTATTGAGAAATTGGTTTCATTGAATATCCTTAAAAGGCGTTTACCTCCCCTTTTCTAGGCACCTTATAGTCGGGGCTGAGTACTGTTTGCAGAAAATAAATGATAATAGACTGATCTCAATTTTGATGGCAGCTACTGTTGAAAGGGAAGTTGTGAGCCTACTTTTAAAAATGGAGAAGGGCGTTTGCCTCCTGGACCTTGGCTGCTGTAGGACTCAAAAGGAGAGGGGCCTGATAATTGAAAGTTTTACCTGCCAGACCAGTTTTCGAAACTTAAGGTAGACTAAAAAGAGGTTTGATGGCTAGTACTATGGCTAGGACCCTATATGTACTGTTGATGAAGTTTGGTGCTGTTCTGAGCATTATTTGTGGCTATAGAGTAGCGTTTTGGTTGATGTTTATGCGTGAAGACGTAGACCACTGTGTATTGCTATCCTGCGGTCGTTACTAAAGTTGGTATAACTCAGTGCTTCTCAATTATTTTCTGTTACGCCCCCCCTAGCAAGAAGAAAACTATTCGCGCCCCCCACTCCCCACCGTGACCATCTCTGCATAACATTTTATCCTTATTAACATTAAAGAAAAGAAAAAAAGAAAGACATATGGTCAAACTTACAAAGAATAACTTTATTAAATCGTGTTTTAAGTCTGCAACAGAAAAGATTTTAAGTGCATCAATGCCTGAAATTAAAAATAAATAAATCCTTGTTTAAACTGTAAACATGTTTGACCAACTAATTGCACCATTGCAAAATTAAATCAAATCAATAAATAATATTTAATAATTATAATAACTAATAAACTACAAAAACTAAAAAAGTAACTAATTTATATTCAGTTCAGCAACATTAACTCAGGAGCACAATATATAAAACACTTGAACCTACAAAACAAAAATGAATTAAACAATTTGTGCTCTTTTTTTCTTTCTTTTTTTGATCAAAATGAGGAGGAAGTCAGGTTTAATGGCTACAATGAGCACGTTTTGCAGTGCACAGCTTTTCGAAGCGAGGTTCGAAGCATGATAGTGCAACTCTCAGCTCCTGCTCAATGTTTACAAAATAGTACATACAAGCAGAGATCATTCCCACAAAATTAATTCAATGATTGTTTTGTATGAAGGAGTATGAGGGCCGTATTTAGAATTTTCTTTAAAGACTTCGAGATTTAAGTCGTGAATTTACGAGAATAAAGTCATTAATTTATGAGAATGAAGTCGTAACCTGTTATTTCAGAGGAGACTTGTTAAAATTAGGGCCATGAAGCATTTGAAGGAACTTTGCTTCAGTATAGGTTTCACAAACAAGGAGATACTTCATCCTTTGGTACATCAGCATCACATTGTCATAAGTATAAAGACTTAAAAAAAGAATGTATGAGAAATACGTCTTTTCCACGGGGAAAAAAACTGGTGTACTTGAAGGAAAATCGCTGCTTTTGTGGAGGCAGAAATGAATATGCTGATGATATATCTGTCAATGCAGCCGTAAATATCTGTGAATGACATTGAGCTTTAATTTATGATATGAATCCATATGCCGTAATAAGGTGTTGGTGTCTCTGCAGGTGTAGGCTACCGCCGGTGTCAGAGACGTGGTGCTCGTATGAGCTCGACTCCCTCTGGATCACAAATGTTGATCATCATCAGTTTGATTGTTTCTTCAGAAACCACAAAGCTGACCTGTCTGCTGTTTTTGTACTTGTACTTTCTTTTAAGACACGCTGTGTCTCCAAGCGAGTCCAGCCTCTCACCTGAAATGCGCAGCTGTGCAGCGGCACGCAAAGCATTCTGGGATACCGACGGCACGAAAGCGTGCATAAATGCACGCTTGAAAACATGCTAAGCGCGCTTAGCATTTCTTAGCATCTCGTGCCAAATGGGACACCGTTCGCGCCGTCTTGCACGCTTCAAATGCACCGTTCCACGGTGCAGAAGTGCACTTAGCTCGATGCGGTCTCTGAAATGAGACACAGCCCAAGGCAAACCTGTTGTCTTGTAAGTCGTAAAATGTTGCACTGTCGCAAATGTGACAGAAGTAACAATGAGAGCGCCACTGCCGCCTACTGTAGTGGATGCGCAATTACACTTTATACTAGTACGGCCAAAAAAAAATAGCCTGTTCCCCAGGGTCACACGCGCCCCCCCAGGTATCGCACCAAATATCGCGCCCCCTTCGGGGGGCGCGCCCCACTATTTGAGAAGCACTGGTATAACTAGAGAAGCAAGTGGTCGGCAACATTCATCTTTGGAAGCAGTGTCTATCTCTGTGTTAAGGTATGTTTGACCATAACTTAAATTTATGCTGGAATATCCCTTTAAATTGAGAAACTGATTGCTAACATCTTGTGCAGTTCATTATCCTCTCTGTCAACTTTTGGCAATAACAATCAATCTAATCCAATTTATTTGTAAAGCATTTGTAAATGCTGTTCAATAGAGGAATAAAAATATGCAATAAAATCTCCTTTAAAATAGTGCATTGACTCAAACAGTGTTAAAAGCCACATCTAATAGATGTGTTTTAAAAGGGATTTAAAAACGGGAATGGAGTTGGCTTCTCTAATATTTAATGGTAGCTCATTCCACGTTTGAGGAGCTACTACAGAAAAAGACTGATCAACGCTGAGCTTCCTCCGATACCTCGGGACAACCAAGAGCAGGTGGTCAGCTGATGGTAGGGCCCATGGTGAAGCGTAAGGCCTGAGGAGTTCTGTGAGGTACAGGGGAGCGTGGCCATAAAGGCATTTGTAGGCCAACAACAGAATCTCAACACTGGCACATGGGGAACCAGTGGTGTGATGATAAAACTGGTGTTATGTGCTCATGCTTTCTTGTACCTGTGACCAGTGAGTGGTCCAAATAGTCGTTAGTTACAATTGTGCTACAAAAGTGACAAGATGGTGTGGATAAAGACGGGCTGCAAAGAGGCTGGAATCAAAGCAGGGTCGCCAGCTTCATATCAAGGATTAAAGCATCTGTCCATGGAGAATGGGATTCAATTGCTGAGCCCAACCAGAGCCCTGAACATCAACTTTTGATCCTAAAAAATTTCAAATAAAAGTCTCTTTCTCTTACATCTTGAATGCAGCTGTTGCTCACTCTGTCTTTTGCTGAGTTTGGGGGAGGAGCCATTACTGCTATCTTCAAATCCATCTAATTCTGCTGTTGATATTCCCCCCGCCTTTGTCTCAGTGATCTGGTGTACTTATTTGTAGTTTTTCTACCTTATTAAGAGAAACTTAAATCCTCCTCTCACACCCTCAACTTCACCTGCAATCCTCCCTGTTATCCAGGTTTTAACATCAACTGTACTTTTGACGAAGGACTCAGTGCCATCTCCAGTGACCAAGGAACGAGTAAGTTACCCAGATTCATCACTCTCTCTTATTATGTGTTCAGGGTAGCAGTCAGTTTTAACAAAAGAGAAGTTTCTGGTAATTCTTCCTGAATCACAGAAACTCCAACCAGCTGACCTGTGAGGTAAGGACTGATCTGTGTATGTGCTTTATTTTTACAGGTGGTCTGGGGGAGACCAGTGTTCTGCATGTGAGGTCAAATGAGCAGCAGTGAGTGCATTTCTTTGTCACTATTTCAGATCCTTCTTGTTTTTGAAGACTGCAGCTACACTGGTGTAGTGTAAGGTTCTGTGTCCATGGAGGAAACGTCTGCAGGGGTGGTTTGATCTGAAACCTAGCTCTCCTCTGTGTTTCAGAGCTCCTGGACAGAGGCACTGGAATGTGCAATCTCCTCTCCGCCGGAAGAGAAAACCTAAATTTTAGAGGATGGACTGCTTGATTTCTTCTCTTTGACTTTTTGGTCTCTAAAACTCTCTTACATTTGGATTCCTTTTTGCATGTTTCTCATCTCCTTTCTTTTTTCTTGTCTGTGTTTGTGTCACAGTTTGTCTCTTTTGTAATAAACTGCACATTTCAATACTTAGTGTGCTCTCAGGTGTGTTTTCATTTGCGGCAGGTCAGAATCACCCCTGAAGTGCGTTTTACAGCAGGAACTATCACCGTATCACGATCATCTTAGCCATAAAATATCACATTAACACGATTATCACAAGGAGCTGATGCATGATCACAAAACACCAAGAACTCGTAGCAAATCTATTTTCAGCTTCAGCTTCTGCAGTTGATTTATAACCTGGATTCACTGGATGTTGCAGAAGTTTGAGTCTGTGGTCTGCATCACAGCGCTCAGTCTGTGCATTCAAAATGACTGTCATAACATGAAGCCTCCTTTTAATCTGTCAATCCTGTATGATTTTGCTCTGGTGGATCTGCTGCAGCTCTGCAGTCTCCTCATGTTTGTGTGTGTCTCCTTAGGGTATTTATTGGGACCGTAGAAAACTGGATCTTGGTGTCAATCTGTGAAGTTGTTAGGTTCCACATGTTCATTTGCATGTTTCCATCAATCTGTGTGTGTGAGCTCCATGTCAACAACCTGAATGCAAAACAAGCAGCCTGAACCCAGACACAGTCAAATGAGCCTCAGAGGCAAAGTTTGCTCTGTTCTGGTTTGTTGTGTGGTAAGCATTTGAAGGCTCGATCAAATCTTTGCTCTCCCCTTTTTCATCGTCTGTGCTTGGTGTTTCCTGCTGCTCAGTCTATCATCCATTCCTAGTTAATGTTGAAAACGTTTGCCTTTTCTACCTCAGGAGTCACTTTGCTAAAAGCCATAAGGTTTGAATGTCTACTATTGTCAGTCTAAGATCATTACATAATAAGGTTCCCTTAATATTGAAAGCACAGAAACAGGTAACTAACTGCATAAAGGAGGAACGATGACAGTAGCTGGAAGTTGTATGTGCCTAAAATTCCTCACAGGAGCTTTAAAAAACTGAGGATGGTTGTGACACTTCCTTCTTCAGCACTTAAAACTCAATAAACTTTTGGACTAGAGTTTAAATGTTTTATTCAAAGTACCCACATTTGCTTGCATCAGAGGAAACCAATTCAATCCTCTGCAGGAGATGTGTCAAGAACAGGATGCTCCTTTGTTACAACCAGTGAAAGAGGTTGGAATACACACAGGGGTAAATAGTACATGTACAAACAGAGGCCACACCGTGTGATCTGCTTTTAAAGGGAGTAAAGTCAATAAAAGCAATTCAGAATGAAGCTAATCTCTCTGAGAGTGACTACAACCCAAATCTACTTTCTCATTGACTCAGACGAGTGTGTGACAGTGTTTAGGTGCTGAAACTTGTCTACATGAACAAACTTTCCTGGAGATTCATACGCAGAATGACAATCAGGATCAATACAAATGACTAGCTGACTGTCAAAGTAACAGATGTTCGTTATTGGTGTTGAATTCCACTTACAGAGGGCCCAAATGGTGTGTTAACTTAGCCACTTCATCTAAGATCAGTAAGATGGGATTGAAGTCACATGACCCAGAGATAGCGTGCATATACAGTAGTTGTAAAATGACATGATGGCACCAGGAAAGACAGTGTGAAGTTTGTATATACTGTTTGAGTATTTACAATAGGTAGTATTAGTCAATTTGCCAATATATTAGAGAGTTCTTTGACATGTTCTTTGTCATCTCCTCAAATCCTTCTTTTTAAAAAACAGTCGTAGGCTCAGCGTTGTCAGTCTTTGCCACCATAAGCTTTCTGAAAAGAATCAGTCAAATGTGATGAAGAGGTGTGAAGAGATGTGTTGCAACCCACCCCTGTCCCCCTGTGTTTATCTGGCTATAACAGTATTGTGGTTTGAAGGCAGACAGGAAATACTTCATGGGACTCCTAAATGATGGAAATGGTGTTACAACACTCATATTGCACAGGCTTCACAACAGAAATGCTCAACCCTGGTGTGTACGCTCTTTTGTTGGGCAGTCCACTTCTGATCATTAATCTGATCACCTAGCCGACAAGTTAAAACCAGGTCTGACTGACCTTGACCTCTTAGATACCAGTCTGACTTTAGAGAAGCTTACTACTAGCCAAGGACAGCTACATCTATTATTCTGCTTTGCTCTTCAGGTGGTGAATTGGTCTCTATGGTTGGTCCAGTTCAGAGCTTCACACTTCTCTCTGTCTTCAGACATCAGAGAATAAAGTCTTTCCGTCCCTGTCCTCCCAGGTGACACACGTCCTTGGTCTATACGCTGTCCTGGTTACGTTCAGTTCCGGTTTACTGTAGTACCACTTGTTCAGCAGCTGATCCATCTGCTCCTGCTTTGAGATCCCATGAAGCCTCTCCTCTTCGTCCTCCCACTCCTCCCTGGAGTTTGTGATGAAGGTCGGGTGGGGGAGTCTGATCACAGTGTCCTCCCTCATGTCCTCAAAGAACTGCACCACACATTTACGGGCAAAGTCACGGGCGTGCAGGACGCAGGTCTCATCAAAGAGCTTCTGCTCCACGTCTAGGTAGTTGCTCCAGTAGCGAGTCTGCATGATGGCGCCGTGGTCTTCAAAACAGGGTTTGATGAGGCGTCCCATAGCACCCAAAACAATGAGAAAGAGTAGGATGGACCAGCCAACTGCCTAAAAAGGGTAAGGAGAGTTAGCAGCACAAAGATATCAACAACAAGCAGTCTCCAGTCAGAAGCTTCTCATTTGTTACACTGAGTTGCACAACATCCTAATACAGATTTCTGAAGAGATCCTTGGCCTGTCAAAGGGACAGGAGAGGAAACTGGAGGACAACAGGGAAAGTTTCTGAAACAGAAAAAAACCAAAAAGGTTCAGTATGTGTGGGACCCAGATCTGCTACTGATTTTGCCTCTTACTTTTAATATTGGGCTTTTTTTTAGATCTTGAAAATCTGCTACTCGTCTTGGTGCCTGGGTATAAAAAGGAGACTCTGGAGAGGCAGAGGATTCCCAAATTAAAAACAGAAGATCTTCACCACTCTGTGAGAGAGTGTGTGAGCAAATAGTTCAACTGCTTCAGAATAATCTCTCAGTATAGAGAGGCAAAGGTTTTACCACCTACAGCCTGTAGAATGAGAATCAAGAGAAATCTCTGCACAAAAGTAAAAGGCTGATAACCAACACTTGGTAGCTGTGATCTTTAGGCCCTCAGGTGGTACTGCAGTAAAAAACAGACATGACTCTGGAGTGGGAATCATTGCACGAGCTCAAAATCCCCTCTTAAAACAATTGTCTTTGAACACAGTTTTACAATGAACCCATAAATTTAAGGTTAAAGGGGGAAACTAGAAATAAACAAGATTGAAAACCTGCCTGACTCTTCTGGGCCTGAACCTACTCATAATGGGCTGGGGCAAAGTGGGAAACTTTCCTCAGAGCTAAAAGATCAAATTCTGACAGTCTGTTTGGAAATCATGAACGCCACATCCCTGCTGTAAAAAGAGGAGGGACCCCAGCATCTATGATAGCATGGGGATGCTTCAGTTCCCAGGGCATGGGCAACTTACACTTCTGGGAAGGCAAAACGAATGCTGAGCAATCTTTTCAGACTTCAGAGCAATTTTGTTGCCACCCAGACAAGACTGCATATTTCAGCAAACCACAGTCTGCATGTTTCATAGCAGCATGGCTCTGTAGTCCAAGTGGGTCCAGGGGGTTTAACTGACCTTGCCTGCAGTCCCCGTTATTAACACACTGAAAACATTTGGTACATTATGAAGCAAAATATGACAGGAAGCCTTGAAGTGTTGAGCAGCTTAAGTCCTGTATCAGGTGAAAATGGAGCAACTTTTCACTTTGTAAAGTCCGGAGACTGGTAGTAAACAGTAGTGCAATGGTAAGGAGAGCAGAGGAATGATGAGTGAATAAAAATGTCAAATAAGCATCCTTTTTTCTCTGAACCACATTAAACAGCTCTAGTATTCCCTTTCCTTCTGAAGGTCCTTACACACCGGCGAATTTGCGGAGCGAAGCGAAATAGCGAGACGAAAACTGCGAATATTCGCCGGTCCGAAAAATCGCTTTCGCCTATACACACCGGGCGCAAAGCGAATATGCGTATATTTTTTTGCAAAGCGAATTAATAAAGTCGCTTTGCGGCACGGAGGAGAGGAGATGCGGGGTGGTCCTGTACCACAATTACCAGCCTCTCTCCCATCGTTGCTCTTGGTGCCAGTGATGGTGTGTGTCGTGTGAATGGCTGCTGATTGACATGTCTAGCATTATGAGCGAGGGAGAAAGAGGAGGCAAAGCTGTGAGAGACGCCGCAGCAGCCAGGAGAGGCGAGGGCTGAGCAGTGATCCTTCAAGTTGTCTGGGCATTCTGTTGGCCCTGTGGCTGTAGATCATCGGTATGTCAAACAGCTGAGAGGGAGAATCAGGCATGATGAGGCGGTCACCCTGTGAAGTGTGCATGACATCTGTCTCCTAAGGAAGACAAGAGAGTGTCATCTTGTGAGAAAACTACTTCATTAGTAATTAGAAAGAGTTTTGGATGCACCTCAGCTGTCTTTCTCTGCGTTTTCATAATCTCAAACTTCTCCCTCTCCTCCAGCCGTATGGGTCTGTGACGTCATCAACAACATGACTTTTGATTGGACAGAGGTCTAGCAGGTCCAGATATTCGCCTGCGAATATCCGAAAAATTCGACACAGGAGCGAAAAAATAAAAGCGGCTTTTCGCCCCGCGGAAAAATCGCCGCCGGTGTGGAAGCTTGCATTGACTTTATGCTGTTTTAAAAAAAGGCGAATTCTCGCCCGGTGTGTAAGGACCTTTAACCTTCACTCATTTTTATGAGTTTATATTTCATTGTTCTGAGGACCTTTATCCTTCATCAGGTAATACATATCACTCATTGAAGATCTTCATGGGTGTTGTGGTCGTGTTTGTACATTTACACAGTGCTGATGGAACTGCTTACTTGTGAATAGCAGCGAACATAACGAGAGACCGCTTTCGGGAAAGAGCTGTTCCTGAAGACATCGTCCTCCTTACAAGGAACTTTAGCCATGATTTTGATCACATCCAGGCCTGTGTTGTTGGGCATACCTGAAGAAACATACCACAACTGTAAAAAAAAAAAGTGCAACCTGTAACAGCACAGGCTGCAATCAGACAACTTTTTTATCAGCATGAAAGAGAGTGTATTTGCAGGTACCTGAGAAGACTGCAGGTTCCACACTGACACTGAAGGCACAGACAAAGATTTTTCCATCCAGCAGGGAGACTAAAATCCACACCATGGGGGCCAGCAGGGCCCTCTGCAGCATGGCTGAGAACAAGTACCTGCAGAGAGGCAAAGGAGCCATGTTTGAGGCATCTGTGGCTCAGCAGAACATCAGCTTATTCACATCACTCCTCCAATCTGCAACTGCTCCTGGAGACTGTGGCCACACTGGATAAATAAGTGTATGAATGCTGATTGTTAAGTATGAGAAATGCTGGGAGGGGCTGTGTGACAGTCAACTTTCATGGACTCTCATATATCACACTTAAGTCATTACTTTGAGTCAAAGCACTTTCTCTGTTAAAACTTATTGATCTAGCTGATCAGAAATGAGTATTAAATAAGTAATGTTTGGGTCTGTAAGTCAGTATTTCACTCTGAATTCTTTTACTGGTGTGGTATCCTGGTCAGAGCTGAACATTTATTAGTGCATTGCAGTATGTTTTACACTGATTCAGTATCGGCTGAGACTCCCTTCTGTCAGTAAGTGTAGTGTGGTCTTGATCAGCTTTAAGGAGATTGTAATGTCAGTCGGTGCTGTGTCTACACACTGTGAATCAGGCATGAAAATCTCTCACCTTTCGGCGAAATTCGCCGTTTTGAAATCAAAAAGGGTGACATACGTGAATCGTGTAGATCCGAGGAGAAATTTTTTTTTTGGGGGGGGGGGTCGGGGTCGGGAATTTTTTTTTGTTTTTTTATTATCATGTGATTGACTCAATACGTAAACTGAGCACTTCAGAAATCGGCCCTTTAAATGACACTTGGACGGTCAGCAAATCCTCCTGGCTCCTTCGCTGACGAGAACCAATCATAGGCCAAACTGCGTTCCATTATTCCAATCATGCGCACACTCTTCACGTGCACTTGGAGTGCTTGGAGAGCCTGTGGTAGCATTGCAAAGCTGCGAGAACGAGAAGCAGGACTTATCCACGCCGGTGTTGTGCCGTAGAATGCACCCCTGACGTAGAAAGCCCCCCTGACGGGAGCGCGGTTGAAAGTACACAACAAAGCGAAATAATCCAAGTTTTGAGCCATCTAAAATAGCGAAAGCGGGCGTCTCGCGTTTACTGCTCTGCAGGGCTCTCAAGTCTCACGCATTCAGCGTGTGACACACGCATTCCCACCCGTTCACACGCCACACATTGTATTTCTCACGCATTTATATGAACATGGTGATGTCCACAAAGTTGCACCTCTGTAACAATGTAACAGGTGGAAATCAACTGAGTTCCTCCGAGAGTTCAGAAGCTGCGTGCCACGCGCAAGCCAATCAAATTAAGGATATCTACTGAACAGCCAATCAAAAAGCAACATTGCTGTATCCGGGTAGATTTTGATATCTTGCGGTTTGACTACAGAAGAAGACAGACACTCGCCGAAATAGAGCATGTTTTTATAAGGACGAGAAAGACCCGATGATTACAGTAAGTCGGTAACCTACAAATGCAGAGACCTCAACACCTCATGGCAGATAAACTCATATGATAAACTAAAGCCCTATGCTATTGCTATTAACAGCTGTATTGATGGATTTAGCCTCTGTGCAGCCATTTCCAGCCATTTTCCCCTCCACAAAAGCAGCATTTCTCATATATTCTTTTTAAAGTTCTGACAGTGTAACACTCATGTACCAAAGGATTAAGTATCTCCATGTTTGTGAAAACTATACTAAAGTACAATTCATCTAAATGAACTTTACTTTAACGTTAACTTTCATAAATTTTACGACTTTATTCTTAGATATTAATGACTTTATTCTCCTAAATAATAACTTTTTGGTCTAAGATTTAAAAACGTTTTTTTGTCTTAATCTGGCCCTCATACTCCGTTGTATTTAAGAGTTTATTATACTATTATACTAATAATTATCTTCAATCACTCTTCAACCCCCCCCCCCTCGCAGACACTATGCTCCCATACTGACTATTAATCCGCTAGTATAGGAGTCACCTTTTTACCATCTTTCAGGGACAGAAGATCAAGTTCAGCTAGGTTTCCCCTTCGTCTTAAGAAAAATGAATGTTGTAATACTATGGTATAAAAGTGTAAAGGTTCAGAAATAATGACTGCTTTGACAGATTTCAAACACAGTTGACTCACTCAAAAACTCTGTAAAGCTCTGACTTAGTCTGTTAGTGATCTGAAAGAGTTCAGAGTCCACTCACTTCACCACAGCAGGATTTTTAGATCTGTTTCCGATGGGTCTCATCCACTCGTCCATCATGACGCCTGTATGTCGATTGACCAGGACCCCGAGAAAGAAGAGTATGATAGGCGGGACTATCATCACCCCTAGAGAATAAAGTTTGTTGTACTGTGGGAGGCAGGGGCAGTTAAAATCAAAGCTGGTATACAGCTTTACACTGACCAGGGCCAGGATGATACAGATACCATTAGAGATGGACTCCGAGTTGGACTGGAAGTACTGCAGGACCAGCTTCAGGCGCTCCATAGCTCAGATAGACTGAAGGAAATGTTCAGGGTAGAGGTAAAACTGTGAAGTCTGGCTGCTACAAAGGTCTTTACATCAAAGAGTAGAAATCATTGAGGTATCATGACTCCATCAGAATAACCTGATCAAACCTTAAACAGTGCATCTTACCTCTAATTCTCTCTAAGGAAAAGATTATAATCCAGCTTTTATAGATTTACTCCCAGCTTTGGGCAGCAGAAACAGAGAGTCCTGCAGTGATCCAGCGTCCGTGAATCAAAATCACACCTGACCAGGTGAGCAGGCTGTGCAGCCACACCCTGCCCACTGTCAAAGCAGCATTCACATGAAAGGTTAGCAGAGAGAAAAGGAGAAAGGCAGGGCTGAGACTGAATCCAACTTTATAGCTTTTATGTGATAAGCTTTGGTTTCTCCTGCCTATGATCTGATGGTTCAGTGTGCTTTGATGAGAAGTCTAAGGCTTTAATTGGGAGGTCAGACAAAAGGTGAGAGCAGCAAAAAGTAGCAAATATGGGGTAATGCACAAAGACACTAAGTGCAGTGATTACAGAAAGTCAAACATGGATCACAGATGTTCATGTTTGTCTTGGGTAAATGTGGTTTATGTTTTGTCTTTAAACAAAAAAAAAAATCACAGCTCTGTAACGTAATCCTGTGCTGATTACCCTCATGCAGGAAAAAGAAAGAGCCTAAGAAATCATATCAATCAACTCTGATTTGCTAATTTTTTGGAAGATTTTGAAGGAAAGTCCAATGATTCAGACTAACCACCAAAACAATATTGGTAATGATCTGCCACGATCGCACACTGAAACATCTGAATGCACACTAACTGAGGAGCAGCCAGTGTTGTTCTCATAAACTCTCAGGGGCTGGATGTCAAAGCAGACAGCTAACCAGAAGAGGGCGACACTTCCATATAGAAAAGAGTCAAACAGGGAGAAAAAGGTTCAACAATAACACCTACTATAGTTATTATTATTCATTAGTCAATAAATCCTAGGTTTACACCTTTTTTTTTCCTTTTTATGTTACTGGCATTTATATTTTAACCCCGAGGACTGACCCATTATCATCACTGTCAGTGACCACAGTTCATGGATTGCTTTATTTTCTCATCCATTCCAGTACATCCTCTAAGCTGGAGAGCTCTGTTGCTCTTTTGTTCTTCCTCTCTTATACAGAAGACTTATAAACTCCCTGTTATTATCCTTGTCTCTGTGTAGGTCAGCAGTTTTGTGAACATGTTTGAGAGTTTTGATATACCACCCAACTGTAGTCGGGGGAGGTGGCTGTGGGATTTTTCTAAAATCAGTGGCCATGTCCTTGGTTTTTGTTAAATGTAACTTGAGGTAGATGTGAGCACAGGTGGCTCCACATGCGCCTCTGACAGCACCATGGTGCAGGCTACAGGGTCATCAGCTGGGAGCCACCATTCTCAGATGTATCGCCCCATTGTTCCCAGAACATCTCTGGGAACAATGGGGCAGAGGTAGGGACGTCTCCCTACCGCTCCGTGTAGCCTGCTTAGGATCTGTCCTTTCCCCACACCTTGTTCTTCCTCCAGAGCCAAAAGCTCCCTTGCTCTGCCTCCTTAGCCATAGCCTGCTTCCTTTTGTGGCCTGTTACTCCGAGAGTTTTGAGGAGTCGATGTGTGGATGCTCCAAAGAAGCCCCTGCACCCAGCTTCCACTGGGAAAGTGAAGGCTCTCCACCAAGCTACAGAGCACATAGCTGACAATTCTGCGTACCTCTCCTTTCTCTCGTGTGCTGCCTCTACCTCTTCTTCCCATGGGACAGTGAGCTCTACCATGATGACTGTTCTGGTGGGAACAGACCAGAGCATGATGTCTGGGCGTAGAGATGTCATGGTGATCTCTTGAGGGACTTTAAACTGGCGGACAAGGTCGGCTGCTAACTGCCACCTGCCTTCCAGTGCAAGGAGGGAACGCTCCATCCTGGTGTAGCGCGGTGCTTCTGTCCCTTGCCTAATGAACTGGATCCACTTCTGGGCTGTAGGTATTCTAGGAAATGGCTATCGAAGCACTCCACAAAATCTGTTAGGAGTGATGTAACCTATCCCTGTCATTAGCTGAACTCATTTGGCAACAACATCAATGAAGCTGTCCAGGTTATTCATGTTTTTGGATTTAATCACTGCTTGGGGTTCAAATGCACCACCTCATTCTAACTTAAATTAAAGTGGTTCATCAGGCCTGCTGCATTTGTATTATCATGATGGCATAGCTGCAGGTGGGACTGACACACACACACACACACAGCTTTTTTTTAAGCCTGTTTTTTCTTGAAGGTCCTTACACACCAGCGAATTTGCGGAGCGAAGCGAAAAAGCGAGACGAAAATGCGAAAATATTCGCCGGTCCGAAAAAATCGCTTTCGCCTATACACACCGGGCGCAAAGCGAATATGCGTATACATTTCGCAAAGCGAATTAATAAAGTCGCTTTGCGGCACGGAGGAGAGGAGATGCGGGGTGGTCCTGTACCACAATTACCAGCCTCTCTCCCATCGTTGCTCTTGGTGCCAGTGGTGGTGTGTGTCGTGTGAATGGCTGCTGATTGACATGTCTAGCATTATGAGCGAGGGAGAAAAAGGAGGAAAAGCTGTGAGAGACGCCGCAGCAGCCAGGAGAGGCGAGGGCTGAGCAGTGATCCTTCAAGTTGTCTGGGCATTCTGTTGGCCCTGTAGCTGCAGATCATCGGTATGTCAAACAGCTAAAAGGGAGAATCAGGCATGATGAGGCGATCACCCTGTGAAGTGTGCATGACATCTGTCTCCTAAGGAAGACAAGAGAGTGTCATCTTGTGAGAAAACTACTTCATTAGTAATTAGAAAGAGTTTTGGATGCACCTCAGCTGTCTTTCTCTGCGTTTTCATAATCTCAAACTTCTCCCTCTCCTCCAGCCGTATGGGTCTGTGACGTCATCAACAACATGACTTTTGATTGGACAGAGGTCTAGCAGGTCCAGATATTCGCCTGCGAATATCCGAAAAATTCGACACGAGAGCGAAAAAATAAAAGCGGCTTTTCGCCCCGCGGAAAAATCGCCGCCAGTGTGGAAGCTTGCATTGACTTTAAGCTGTTTTTAAAAAAGGTGAATAATTCGCTTGGCGAATTCGCGCCTGGTGTGTAAGGACCATAAACTGTTGCTGCGTCTGAATTGCCCGCTCGGATACTACATGCTACTGCTACATACTACTGCTAGATCCTACTCCTACATACTAAACACGTTGGCCCAATTCGGACACACTAGACGAGCGGTGGGGAAAGACGACCCCCGCAGGCAGAGAGTAGGTACTGCGCCCGTTTTAGACTGAATGGTAATTGTGCAAGTGATGGATGCTGCTGTATTATATTCCTACACTGCTTTAGAAATTCACAAAGTAGCTTTTCCATGACTTTTAGCCTTCATTCACTCACGTGGTGATCGTTTGTTCAATGAGATCTGCCTGATTACTGCAGCTGTGCAGTTTAATGATGGAATAAGTGAGCTTTACCTCCATGATGTCGCCACATATTTGCTCATAAAATGATCACTTGGGCAAATATGACACCATGACATGACAAAGAGATACAACCGCACATTGTTTTAGGACAGTGTGTGAAGTTACATTAAAATTACATCTGCTGCTGCTGCTCCGCCATGGTGCGCGCTGCTGTGGCCAGCCGGCGTTCGCGACACATTTAAATAGGCAGAGCAGCTCGTGGCGCTAGCATCACATGCGCTTCTACAACTTTTTAGAGGACGAAGAAGAAGCCCGCGGTGCATTTTGGGTCAGTAGCATGCCCGTAGGATGCACCGCGACCAACCTACAATGTGGGCGTGTCTAGTATCTGAAGTAGTATCTGAAGTAGCATGCTACTCGCTCCGGTGGCCAATTCGGACACGCTAGATACTACTTCGACTACTACTTCGACTACTACTTGGCAATTCGGACGCAGCTTGTATATAAGATGGACATCGTGGTTCCGCCTTCCGCCTGTATACGGATTTGAAGCCAAAAAGCTCTCGGTAATTCCGGGTTTTTCTCCACTTCCTTGAAACCAGAGCTGTGCAGTAGCGTTGTGCGCATTCGGCCGCGCAGTCGCTGAGAGTCCCTGTGATGACGCTCGGCTCAAACAGCGTATTCCCCCGGAAGAGCTACGCAATCCCTGAACGCCCATAGGCTGTACCAGGTGTCAATCATAGAAAACATGAATCCCCTAATAACTTTTAAAAACGGAGCTGTACAGAAAAAAAAGGACTTGGGCTCTAACCAGTCTTACAATAACTACATGTCAACATCACAACCAGGGGGGAGAAAAAATTATGTTCTGTGTAATAAATTTCTAAAGTTTGTCCACAGTCCCATGAGCTTTGCTGGCGGAGGCGGGATTTATGCGCTGTACTGCAGCCCACCATCAGAGGGTGCTGTTCTCGGAGTGGCTTCACCCAGCGAGGAGGCAGACTCTGTCCATCTTATATACAGTCTATGGTAAGGACCTTGACTCAAGAGGCAGTGAGATCCCTCATGAGAGTGAGATTTGCTCTTGTGTCGAATTTTCGCATTTTCGTCTCGCTTTTTCGCTTCGCTCCACAAATTCGCTGGTGCGAATTCGCCAGGCAAATTATTCGCCTTTATTCGGCTTTTTTTAAAACACCATAAAGTCAACGCAAGCTTCCACACTGGCGGCGATTTTTCCGTGGGGCGAAAAAGGGTCTTTTATTTTTTTGCTCTTGTGTCGAATTTTTCAGAGATTCACAGGCGAATATCTGGACCTGCTAGACTTCTGGCCAATCAAAAGTCATGTTGTTGATGATATTCATTTATCAAGCACGCTATGGCAAACCCATCCAGCTCCTCTCGGAGACGAGTGAGCTATAGATGAGCTATCATGTGCTTATATACATTATAACGGGGCTGGGGGCCTGGAGCTTTCAAAAAAATGGGACTTTGTCTCATTCATAGAATATTGCCTTTTATTTTAATCTTACCTCAGACATGTGGCTAGCCGCTCCTCTGGACCAATTGGCTCTCTGTAGTTGGTTGTCTGCTTTTCCAGCCATGGGGTCAGCTGCTGGAGGAGATCGTTAAATTGCCTGAGGAACATTCTAAAATACTGGAGGAATTTTGGGGGGTAGAATTTCGCTTTGCAAAATTTATACGCATATTCGCTTCGCGCCCGGTGTGTATAGGCAAAAGCGATTTTTCGGACCGGCGAATATTTTTGCATTTTCGTCTTACTTTTTCGCTTCGCTCCACAAATTCACTGGTGTGTAAGGACCTTAAGGGCATGACATGCTTTCTAAAACAAACAACCCACCTGCAGTAGTCACTGATGATTATTTTTAGTTACTGGTATGATTTACTGGACTCTTTATATATGGTCCATAAATCTATAATTTATCAAACAGTTTATAATGTCACTTATACTTAATATGATGACACTGACATCAGGAGTCTAATTTTCCTAGAGTGCGGGTTCAACAGCCAATTATACTCTTATTCGACATGTAACAAAATTCAAAATAAAATAAGCAAAAGAAAAGATCCAAGTTCTTTCATTTCACTTGTGCAATCAAATATCTAGACTTCAAGCTAAAGAAAATTTTAAAAAAAGAGTCATTATTCTTCTACTTGGCTGATTGTCAAACCTCTTGTTGTAGTGCAGCTTGTGCAGGTTGTGCAGCTTTTGTCCGCAGACCTTGGATACATGTCAGAATAAACTGTAATATTGATACACAAAAACTCATTCTGTCGCCATTTTACTGCCAAATTGATCATAAACTGTGGCTAGCTATATAGCAATATAGGGTTGTTTCTTCCAACCTTAAAAATGACAAAACAAAAATCATCAGTCTTGTTGCAGGAGGTCTTCTTTGCTTATGGATGTCATAAAAAGGAGATATTATAAATTAAAGTCAATTTGATTAGAGTGAAAAACTCTTCAGAGAAGCTTTAAATTTGCTGTTGTTTATAAATGCCACACTTGATAGTAATTTTAAATAGCCCTGCATGATCAAATCCTTCTGCATCTTTGTGTACATGTATTAACTGAGAAGAAAAAATAATAATTTATGGTTGGTTTAATAAACTATACTATTCCAGTGATCATACATTGTTACATACATCTCCTATTAAATCATATTAAAACATTTAAATACATATACAGTTTAAGACGTCAGTTTGATACATGTTTTGATGACAGCTAACAAATTAGTAATTATTTTGTCAAGATAACAGATAACAGTAATAAATTGTGCATTTTTTATTGAAGCTTAAACAACATAATTCATATTTTGAAATATTTTTAATTAATCAATATCTTGACAAGACTAAAATCATCGGTAATTGGTACAGTAGAGGTACAAATACAAAATTATTATTGGCTAGCCCCTTAAGATGTACCATCTAGTTTTCAAGGGGGTTCAACATGAAACATCCAATACAATACAGTACAATACAATACAACCCAATACAATACAATATTATACAATACAACACAGTCACAAAAAACACAGTTGCAAACAACATACATTGGCTCTAAGTTAGCACCTAACGCCACATCATTCTTACAAGCCCACACAAAGCACATAGTATAGCACTAAACCATTACTACAGCAAAAGCACTAACAGTCAATAAAACATAATAATCTGTTAACAATAAAACTAATAAGGCAACCACAATAGATACAGTAATACATGCAACATACCATACATTACAAGCAGTTACAAGATGATTTGAGAATATGAAAATTAATTGATTGAATGTATATTATGTGATAGAAAATTCCAGTCTGATGGAGCTTTATATTTGAAAGCATGTCTACCAAATTCTTAAATAGTTTTGGGAACCAAGAAAAACGGTTGCTGAGTGTGTCTGAGAGGGTATGGTGATGTGAATTGGGTTAAATATTGTTTTAAATAACATGGATAATTGAAGTGAATGCAATTAAAAATAAATCGGACCATTGTCAGGGAGAGTGTTCACACATTAAATTTTGGTTCAGATCAAACTGAAAAGTCTTAAAGTCCGGACCAAACGAGACTAGTGTGAAAGCGACTAAGACTAAGACTAATCTGTTAATGGTGATCAAGTAAGTCGTACTTCTGCCCACTCCTTTTAAAATAAACAAAACCATCAAGCGTTCCTTTTTAAACATTTGCTGGTTTTTCTTTTACTTCTTTTTCTATGCATTTTATTTGTCTGTCGGCAGTTGGTACACATTTGTTTGGGCTTCGTGTTCCAAATTTGAAAAATTAATTTTCAATAGGCTATTATTCGATTTCCGAGCAGACTTTAAATGCATCACCATTCCCTTACCTCTGTGTGAAAGGGGGTCTGGTTAGTCAAGAGCGCCGCTGCGTAGCGCTTTGTTTCACATAACTGTGGAGGCACTCTGTCTGATTTTTGACCTGTTATCGGTGAGGTCAGAGGCGGTTAGATTACCCCGGTACTTTTGGCACCACGGGAGACGTGAAGGCTTCAAAAATGAGCACCCTGCAGGCGTGTAAAGAACCATTTGGTGAGTCAAATATTAAAGTTGGCTATGTAGTAGACTGCGTCGATATTGAAGATTGTTCTCGTGGTTACCTGTGCAAACAAGCCTGCAGTTATTGTCATGGTATATGACGTGTTGGTTTAAAGTTTATTTATTTTATAGCTTCATGTTAATATTTCAGACAGATTAGGGTATTTTTCAAGAGTGTAATACTTGTTTTTATTATCGTTTATTTCGTGGAGCACCAGGTGCTTCCTGGTTAACCGTCCAAAACCACGAAAACAGTGTTTCACCCATTTAAAATCCCTGACATAGTGGAAACCCCCATCACGCATTTCCCATTAATATAAATAAGCAACTTGATATGACTTAAGATGAGTCACATTTAAAACTGATCCCACGAGACTGATTGGAAACGAAGAAGCTGTTCAAGTAAGCCAGTGCCCTGATACTGAGTTAATAATAACTGGAGATAGAATAAAACATACTTTACTGTGATTTTCATCCAATGTAAGAGTCATTTGATATAGTTTGTGTTTTTATGTGGTCAAGTTAATGCAGTATTCAAGTTAATGCTGGTCTGTTTTATAAGGGCTTTTCTTTCCCCTTGAAGAAAATAATTAACAGGAGTAGGATTTGGTTTGAGTAAAGATTTTATGGTGCATAACAGGAACAAAATGTGGGTAAGGGGTTGTTGGAAAAAAAAACTTTAGAGGGTGATTATCCTTCCCCATCATATCATTTCATGTTTCAAAGTAACAAAATTTACCTTAAAGCCATAAATCTCTTCAACTGTGTTTTATTTGGAGGGAGAAATTCTCTTAATTCAAAATTATACTGAAAACTTGACACTTTGGTTGTGCAGTCTTTAAAGGGCACAAAAGAGGCGACTGATGCTGTTTTCTTGTTAAAGAATAAAAAGGGAGAGAAACCATCCAGGAAACAACAAGTTTATGTCACTTCTATTTCATATCTAATAATAAACTCACAGCTTTACTTGATGAGTCAAAAGCAGAAACAGTATGAAGTGACCTGCTGCTCATGCTGCATCAAGGTGACCGAAAATTCAAGCCTTATGACAGTAAGCATAAATGTTAGATTTCACTGTCATCCACTCAGTTTTCCTACAGACAATGGTTTATGATAAACCATGCATGCCTTTTAAAATCATTGAAGATAGTGAATGTACCAACTTTATTACCAACGTTATTAAGAGCTCTGACTAAACTTTAACCTCAGATCTGTAAAGTGTTAAATAGGGATGCACGATATTTATCGGACCGATAGAATATCGGCCGATTTGGGGGAAAATTACGTCATTTTTTATCGGTCCGATAGGTGCATTTTTCCGATAGAAAGAGCCGATATATTAATGAAATTACGAGTAACGTTTGCAGGAGGAGTAGCCGCCAGTCGCGCCTTACTCGCAGGTCCCAAGCCTGAACCCTGTCACTACCTGACTGATAATAAAATGTCTTCACCAGCATGGTCGTTTTTCTCAGTGGCAGAAGATGACAACAGCTGTTATATGCAAAACCTGTTCAGCGAGGATTCCGAGAGGCGGAATGAAGACGTCAAGTTTTAACACAACGAATCTGATAGCTCATCTGAAAAGTCGCCATTGCGGCGAAGCGGTATTAAAAGACTATGAGGCAGCCGCCGAAGCTGCTAGCGGTACTAAAGCTAAGACAACAACACTACGGAGGATCGATGTCCCTATTCAGCAGGCGTTTGAAAACTGCAAAAGCTTCTCAAGAGACAGCGAAAAGGCTAAAGCCATTAACGACAAAGTGATGGAATTCATAGCGGTCGACGAACATCCTTTTTCCGTCGTTGAGAACCCGGGTTTTCGTAAGTTCATAGCACACTTGGAGCCACGTTACACTCTCCCAAGCCGCCGCTTCTTCTCGGATATGTCCCTTCCTGCACTCTATGATATTGTCGCCACATACATTCACAACCTGATTGACAAGAACGGACTACACGTGAGTTTTACCACAGACATATGGACGTCAGATGTTAGTCCGGTCAGCATGCTAATCCTAACGTCTCATAATAGCTCCTTTACAGTCTACAGTTCTGTTGAACAGTTCAGGGGATGCACTGTTTTGGTCAAATGAAGTTCTGCTTTTTGCTCTGTTATTGTTATTTATAGCTAATGAACACATATTTTTGTGATGACATGGAAAAAATAAACATTTGAAGAGCCAAAAACTTTAGTTTGTTGTTCTAGATAGGCCAGAGCAACAAAAATATCAGTTTTCAATCACTGCATCCTGCACAAACTGCAGATTATATGAAGATTATAATAAATGTAAAAATATGAATTTATCGGTTATCGGTATCGGCCATGAGAAGAAGAAAATTATCGGTTATCGGTATCGGTTGAAATTTTTCATATCGTGCATCACTAGTGTTAAATCTTAAACCTGGTAGTATCCATGTATGCACATGACTGCTTCAGCCTCTCCATCATCATACTGAACTCCATCTCTTGGCTTTTAAGATACACAAACAGATATGCACATCTACCTCCACCTAGTGCTTGGTAATAAACCGTGCGCTGTCATGCTTGATGTGTCTTTTTTCAGAAAACAGCAGCACCGTGTTTTATCAGGTGTTGGCACCCTACTACCCGTCATAGTGCATAATTCATTCCATATACTCGGAGCACCAGCCCGGCAGGTCATGGTGACTTAGCACCTTTATCAAGTACATGACCTCCTAACTCGTGGTTATAGTGATTGTTAAGTAACAAGAAAGACTATTCAGACCATATTTCATTTACTAATGAGAAAATCAGTGCCACACAACCAACTGAGAGACAAAATATTTGCAAAACGAATAATTTGTAACATTAAATCCATTACAAGATCACATGGCTGAAATGCACTCTGGGAATAAGAGTGCTCAAAGAAGCACGTAATGTCATGATCTTGATGCGTTGTGGACTGTAGTTGTCTTTTTCAGGCAACAGTGTTTAAGTAAGGTATGGCACTAGATAAGTTTAACAGCTCGGAAAGACTCAGGTATTGTTTTTTGGGATCCACCAGATTTTTTAGCAAAATAACTACAAGGACAAAGGAAAGCACAACGTTGATGCTAAAACTGCGAGCTAACTGCTCAAAGTGAACGTGTGAGACATGGGATGCCAGGCAGATGATGTGGCAGTCACTGTGGTGTTTGCTACGCTAACCGTGTGGTATCTGCATGCCCCCCCCCCAAATAATGGTCCAAAGAAAAGGTGATAAACCTTGCCCCACCACGATCTTAAAGAGGATATCTACTTTTTGACAAACCGTCCAGCACCACCTCCACCTGTGACTGCCTGATGGTTTAAAAGGTGAAAGCTTTTTACGGATTGTTGATGTAGGCATTTTACTAAGTGGCAGCCCCTTTGTTGATCCATGAAGCCATTACAAAAATGCAAAATTGCTGCTGGTCCTTGAGTGTCCTCTTGGGGCTGGCACTAAATTAGGTGACAGCAGAGCTTAATATGTTAACAGCCTGCCTCAAAAAACAGTCTGGGCATGTAGCTAATCTCTTTATTGGTTCTCATTGTTAGAGGGGATCTTCTACAAGATTATGTAGAGGGCATAGTGAGGTGATGGAGTTGATGTAGCTGTTAGCAAGGGGGCTGATTGTGGCCTCAACTGCACCTCCTTTACCAGTCACGATCAACAGATAGTAGTTGAGTAGGTTGAGTTGGCATTTTCATTATGATGACTGTCAAAGTTTGGCTTCATGAGGGCCTAGACAGCAATGAGTGACACTGCTGAGACTCTTATTGTGTAAAACAGTGTATGGAGTTCATATAACTTAGTGACAGTGCATAAGCCAGGTTGTGTGGGCATTTATTCTGTCACACCATCTTGTGCAGATATTTTTCACTACTTCTCACTGCATGCATGACATCAGATTCTCTCATTGCCTAAAGCATGTCCTTCACTAACTCTGCTTGTCCTGCTTGTTGGTGCTAAACCACTCTCACTCTCCCTACAAACTCACACACACACTTAGGACAATGAAGATGTGTCTAGTCATGCTGCAGGTTAATGGCTGTTTTTGTTAAATTCTACCTGATCTGCTAGCTACCGTGGTTCCCTTCACCTATCACTAAACTTTAATTTGACAGATTTAAAGCGCATCATTAACTAAGACCAGAATGTGGATTTTTAGTGTAGTTTTAAGTGTTGGCCTACAGAGTCAGTACCTCATTCATCTAAGCACATTAAAAAATCAAACATAGCAGTACAAGGAGTTTCATCGGTTTCAATGTGGAATTAATAAAACAGTTGGCCGCGTCACTCCCAAACCTTTTTTTTTTTTTTTTTAATTGCAAAAAACTAAGGTCGCAGTTCCTTTCCGAAAATATATTGCAATATAAACTATACTTTGATATATACAGTATATATATATATATATAAAACTTTTCTCTCTTGGATTGTTAGGTGCATCTTCTGATTTCAAATTAAATCCTCTTCCTACTTTCATCAAACCATGTCCGAGACAGGAAGAGGAGAGAGCCGGGTAGAGTAACACGTTTTTTTGGGAAGTGTAGGCAAAGTCATTAATGCAGAGTCATTAATAACTCCTGTCACTGTTTGGACTTATTTTTGTTCTGCACCACATGTGATGAAACAAAAACCGTCTGTCTTCTGCTTACGATTTTTACATTACTACAATGTGCTTCAAGTAAACACTCTAAGGTCCTGTTAGATTAATGGTCTTCACCAGGGTTGAAAATTATCCCCAGTCAAATGCAGGAATTTCTGCACAGTGTTGGCTGAATTTGCTAAACTTACAAGCCAAGCAGAGAGGGAAAATAAAGAAGTACTGAGGAACAATTTGTGATAAATAGCAACATATGCAGACTTCAGTGCTGGCTAACTAGAGCATTGTCTCCTCTTCAGCTTCAAGCTGATGTCACGGTTTACAAAAGCATCATAGCTCAGTCATTTGATCAGATTTCCTCCTATCCTCGCAAAGTTTGATGTCATCTAAGAACAGCACTGTCAATTGCATATGCTCATTTTTTTTTAACAGTGACTATGTGCTAGGAAGAGGCAACTTGGTTTGATTTAAGGCCAGCACAGCAGGAATTAATGTCCTAAAAATGGTCCACCTGCTGAAGAATGTGTTTTAAATGACCTGATGATTGAATGGCACTCTTGACCCAGTAAATTTCTCCCTGCCATTGCTCTTTATGCTAAACAAAGAAAGATAGTCCTGACTCAGCCCTTACAGACTGGACTTGAGTCAAAGCTGTCATTTGACCTCAATAAAGAAATTTCAAAAATGAATATCTCAAATGTCCTTCAGATGTGTTTACAGAACTTTGTGGGAGCACTTTAAAATAGGCCTGCATGACATATCGTTTGAGCATCGTCATCGCGATGTACGTGTGTGCGATAGTCACATCGCAGAGCCTTCGATGTTGGAGGTGCATGAACTCAGTTAATTTCAAGGGTAGCTGACTGAGATACACTGCATGTGACTCTGCATGTGCTGTACAGCGATCCACCAATCAACTTCGTCCTTTACTCAGTTGCCAATCAGACTCAGTTCTCAGTTGCCAATCAGTCTACCCTGCCAGCTGTCAATCAAAATCAGAGCGGATGGAACCCACCCCTGCAGATGTTCTGCACATGGAGGGAGTCGCTGGCTACCGGAGTTGTGCCGAGAAACGCGTGTCCGCAGAGAATTACTTTCGGAACATTCTTCATCACTGTTTAGCCCAACAAATAAGAACTGTATGGGTTTTAAATTATACATTTCCGTGGACCACTCTATTATAAGCAGTGCGCGTTTTGTGAGGTGCATGCAATTCTCGGAGGACAGGCATTTCTCAGCACAACCCCGTTAACAACAACAACAATGATCGCAAACTGAGCAACAAACAGAGAAAACCACCAAAGATGAAGACTTGTTGCCAAAAAGAAAAGGAAAGTCAGTTCTCTGGAATTATTTCGGTTACAAGATGGATGATGTCGACCAAAACACTTGTTCTGTGTTCATCTGTTTCCACAATAACGTCCCAGCACAATAAAAGCTAAAAATATCTCTGAGACAGACAGAAGCCATTCTACAAACATTCACAAAAAGAGGTAAGATCAGAGCAGGTTAACTGTCCTCAAGATTTTAGCAGTGCAGCATAACATTAAGTGCTATTTAGGTCATATGATGAAAATTCCTGTATTTTTTAATATCGCAATATATACCGCAGGGTTCAAAAAAATCGCAATGTTAGTTTTCTCCAATATCATGCAGCCTTACTTTAAAAGATGTTCTACCATAATTTACACCTTCTTTAAAGAAGGTGTTAAAAAGTCTGTCAGGTGTATGCTGAGTATTCGAATGTCACATTTACCACTCACTCTCAGCGTGTGTTCAATGTGGCAGACAGTTTGCCACACTGTGACTTCACTGTGGTCTGGGTCAGGTAATAGCATGTCACTTACCTCCACTCACGAGTGGAAACAAGCTCATGTTAAAGCAAACTGGCCACTGCACATGCTGCTCAGAAACTCTTTTCTATCCTCTAGGAAACATGGGTGGTCAAAGTGTAGAGAAGGTGGGTTTACCTGTGTGGAATTATGGCCCCAAGCAAAGTATTATGATGTGGTTTATATTTCTTCCCTTGAATTTTATCCAGAGCAGGCAGCTACATGCCTCTGCATTCCCAGAGAGAGAAAAACAATGCTCAACTGATCCACGGTTCAACTTACACCTGATAATTATGTGACTTTCTGTAAGTCCTCACTCTCCATGCACCATATAAAGAGGGGAATACCACCCAAAGTTGTTGCAGAGTCAGTGACTTCATTTATGCATTTCTTTAAATGCATTACAAGTAATCAATCAGTTTGGATTGGTGGGATCCTGATCCTGGACATGGTTTGCTCTTGTCTGAATTAGGTGATCATCAGTCCAAGTGTGCACAATTTTTCCTGCTCTCAACCTTGATGTGGCCTCTCCAACCAGGGGTCCTTAATATCTGACATGTTTGATCTTTTCATTTCCAGGTTGGGCTACCTCTAATGAGAGACCCACAATAACCAATAAACAGAGCAGCCAAGGGCTGTAACTTTAAAAAAATAAGTTTGAACAAATACCAAACATGAAATGCCGATGTTCAGATCTATTCAAACCCACCACACTGGGTTTTCTGCACAGACATTGTAACTGTAGCATAACGGGAAGAAAATACTTCAACTGCCACCTTTTAAAAAATATATATATATATATATATATGTACTGCATTCATTTTATGAGGATAAAAGTACTGATGTGCCTGATGCACCGATAAACTGTATGTGATGACTTTGATCAGCCTATTACAGTTCCATCACAAATTTTCCCCACCAAGTCTGTGGAATTGCCACAGTGTAATCTTTACCACAGACAACGGGTGGGCTTGTGATCTTTGAATTGTCTAGTGTATACTGAGAGGAGTGCAATGTTGAAAAAAAACTAAGGCTGCACGATATTGGAAAAAAATAATATTGCGATTTTTTCAACCCTGCGATATATATTGCGATATTAAAAATACAGTATTTTCACCAGATGACCTGAATAGCACTTAATGTTATGCTGCACTGCTGAAATCTTGAGGACAGTTAATCTGCTCTGATCTTACCTCTTTTTGTGAATGTTAGAATGGCTTCTGTCTGTCTCAGAGATATTTTTAGCTTTTATTGTGCTGGGACGTTATTGTGGCAACAGATGAACACAGAAGACGTGTTTTGGTCGACATCATCCTTCTTTTAACCGAAATAATTCCAGATAACTGACTTTCCTTTTCTTTTTGGCAACAAATCTTCATTTTCGGTGGTTTTCGCTTGTTCGTTGTTCATTTTGCGATCGTTGTTGTTGTTGTTAGCGGTGTTGTGCTGAGAAACGCATGTCCTCCGAGAATTGCATGCACCTCGCAAAACGCGCACTGCTTATAGTAGAGTGGTCCACGGAAATGTACGATTTAAAACCCATACAGTTCTTATTTGTTGGGCTTAATAGTCATGAGTAAAGTTCCGAAAGTAATTCTCAGCGGACACACGTCTCCCTCCATGTGCAGAACATGTGCAGGGGTGGGTTTTCTCCTCCCTGATTTTGATTGACAGCTGGCAGGGTAGTCTGATTGGCAACTGAGAAGTGAGTCTGATTGGCAACTGAGTTAAGGACGAAGGCGATTGGTGGATCGCTGCACAGCACATGCAGAGTCACATGGAGTGTATCTCAGTCGGTTACCCTTGAAATTAAATGAGTTCATTCACCTCCAATATCGCAGGCTCTGCGATGTGACTATCGCACACACGTACATCGCGATGACGATAGTCAAACGATATATCGTTCAGGCCTAAAAAAAACACTCTTCAATGGTGTGGTTCCCCATCAATTTTTCAATTACTGAAGAGCTAAAAGTTGTCTAGTGTGTGGCCCAGCCTGCGGTCATTAAGAGGTCTTAATTTGTCAAGGACAGTCTCCTATGCTGAGAAGAAGCATAATCTGACATAAGATTAGAAACAAAGTAGTCCTTTGACTGTATGTGGGAATGACCAGTGGTTTACTCAGGCTGGGACAATCAGAAGGCTTCTTGATGGATCATAGTCATGCATTTGATACCCATGTTGTTTTGTCTGTCACCTGTGTGCATTTATCAAAAAGACTCTTAGTAAAGCCGTTGATGTGGCTCCAGCCTTACCAATGATGTGGCTTACATAAATCAACTAATCAACTCTCAGGAAAGTAGTTGCAATGTCCTATTTAAGTTAACATACGTGCCTCAGAATCACTTAAGGAGGGGTTGCTTTTTGAGTAAGGTTTCAGTCTATGCTACCTGGGCAGAGGTGAAAAAGGGGCCCCAGCCAAATGCATAAAAGGACCAACAGACAGGAGGTTGTGATCAATCAAGTATAAAAGCAGCACTTAAAAGTTTGAATTCTCTGAAGTGCTCTTCCTCTCTTTTGCTGTCAGTACTGATGAGGGTAGTTGCACAAAAGGCTTAGTTTTAGTTGGTCAATAAAGAGAGAGCCGGTAAGAACCGTGGGCTGTTTATTTAAGCAGAACATCCAAAAAATGGATTGAAAGCTCTGCTGTCTTTGAGTTGTGGGATTTATGTCATCAGCTGTTTGCTGCTATTGCAGGACAGTCATCCTCCTCTGTTGTGGTAATCGCACACTGGTGTTAGGCAGTTTGAAGCCAGATGGATAGAAACTTATTACGTCAGAGTTTAGGTGGAGATTTTGTTTTCTCAGCGATATAACAGATATAAAATCATACCATTATATTAATACCAATGCTCTTCTTGATTCTGCTTTTTGCTTCCATTTGTAACCTTTCATTATCAATTCCTGTGGATTTTCTTCAAGGTGAAGTAGGCCTATCTAGGTTTTCTGTGTAAACACAAGCTTTTTCAGGTTCTGGATCTAGCTTCTGTATTGACCCTGACAAGTCAGCTGATCTGAGATATAGCATCTGATTGGTCGACAGACCAAATCAAAGATGGCAGCCTCTACCTAGCCTTGTCAGCTAACAAGGGAGCGACACTATTTCACTAAAATGAGTACATAAATCATCCCATAAGACCTTTTTTATGAGGGATTAGATATTGGCAGTCCCTGAAAATAAACTGATCATCTCTGTAGGATAGAAAAGATTCACGCAAAGTCAACACCTGTTAAAACAGGTGTGAGCAGGGTGCTTCCTTATTCTTCTAACACTTAATGCCTTGGAGTGCAAGTGGGATCATTTTTTCATCATGAAGGGGGTCTACCTGGGGATTCTTGCTGCTCTCTGGTCTCAGATATGCCGACTCACAAGCGGGCACTTAGGTGGTGGAGATGCCCCTGCTGTAAAGATCACCTACAGCCAGGAGTTACTACTTGCTCGTCTACCAGCAACAGAAGCTGACTTTTCACATACTTCCTGTTCATTATGGAGAACTTTTAAAAGCCACAGTGAGCGAATCACTTTTGAGGAAACGTCAGAAAAAAAGAGGAAAGAGAGGCGGCATTCAGCGCAGACTGGGGAGATCCAGGCTGAGTGACAGACGCCGGCTTCCGCCTCTCCCAACAGTCCTTCTCTCCATCGTTCAGTCCATTTGGAGCAAAATGAATAAGCTTGAGATTTATGCCAGATACAATTGCGATTTCAGAGAGACTTGTCGCCTCAGTTTCACCGAGACATAGTTGGGGGAACAGGACAGGAACGAGGATCTCCCTAACTGGCTTCAGCCCCCCTACCTATCCATCTCAACCGTTCTCCTCTCATCACAAACAAATCAAAGGGAGGTGGAGTATGCTTTTATATAAATGAGAGATATCGTAAGACTGTCATGGTGCAGGAGAGAACCTGATGTTAAACTCTTGTGCATTTCACTTCGTCCCATCTACCTGTCAAGGGAGTTCCCCTAGCTGTTCTTTTGTCAGTTTACACCCAAGAGCTGACGTAATGGCAGCCTGTCAGCTGATAGAAGATATGAACGACAGTCTGAACACGCTCTCTCCTGATGCTCCTAAATTTGTTTTGGGGAATTTTAATCACTGTCAAATTGATAAAACACTGAGAACATATGACCAGTATCTCACCTGTGCCACAACCATGAGGAACTCCACGATTGACCTGTGCTATGACTCAGTAGCCAATGCTTACATGTCCATTCGCAGGCCTTGCTTTGGAGTGTCCTACTACTGCTAATTTACAGGCCAGTCTGTGAACGACTTGAGCGGATGATAAAGACAGTGAAATGCTGGTCAGAGGACAGTATTGACAATTTGAAAGCTTGCTTTCAATGTACCGCTTGGGACGTTTCTTATGATTAATGTTCTGACAGGGATGAACTGACACAGACCATTTCCTCCTATACAGCTTTCTGTTTTGACACCAATATCCCCAAGAAGAACAGTATTGTTCACCCCAACAACAAACCGTGGGTCACTAAAGATTTAAAAAAAAAAAAAAAATCATAAATAAGAGACAAAAAAAAATAAATCTACAGGGAGCAACCAAGAAAGAAACTTTAATAAAGAGGTTAAGAATGAAATTTGGAAAGCCAAAAAAGCTTATAAGAACAAGGTAGAACACAAGTACGGTAGTTGTGATCTGCGGGCAGCCTGGTGAGGCATTAAATCCATGTCCTCAGTCACTAGCATCCTAGATGTAAACAACAGAAAAATCAATTAGAATAGAGGGAAGCAATGAAGATCTGCCAAATGATTCTCAGCATTTCTATTCATGGTTTGAAAACCATGATGACCTCTCAGACAATCTATCCCTTCTTAAGCAGGGTATCTCCTCTGATAATAACTGTAATATGGTCATCAGCCAAGAGTGTGTAAATAACCTCCTGAAAAGAGTGAATGTGCAGATTAAAGTATTGTGCTGACCAATTGAGCAGTGTGCTTCACCGCATCTTTCAGATTTCACTCAACTGCAGTGAAGTACCTCTGACTTATGGAAATCCTCCATCATAATCCCTGTTCCAAAAAACTCCTCCCCCAAACAACTCAATAACTTTAGACCAGTAGCACTTACATCAATATGTATAAAGGTCTTTGAGAAAATCATGAAGGGCATGATCATTTCACAAATGGAAGGGAGAATCGACCCACTCCATTTTGCCTATCAGGCAGGGAAAGGCGTGGCAGATGCTTTTTATTCGTAACTGCCTTTATAGACACTTGAAAAAGCCTCAAGCCCACGCTCGGCTCTTATTTGCTGACGTCTCCTCATCTTTTAACTTGGTGCAGCCGCATCCCTTACTTTGGAGGCTAATAAGTGATTTTAATCTGCCCCACCCAGTTGTTTTATGGCTATTAGACTTTTTAACAACAGATAGAAGAGGGTTTCTGTAAATAGCTGTGTCTCAGACTCCTTAGCCCTTTCTACCAGCTCAACACAAGAGTCCGTTCTCTCCCCTTTACTCTTCATCTTATATACTGATGAATGCAGGAGTGCCAGGGAAGGCAGCTGCTTAGTTCAATTCTCTGATGACACTGTGCTGTTGTCTCTTCTTCAGGGGTCTGAATCAGGACATGGTGAAGGTTTTTGTTGATTTTGTTTCATGGTGCGACAAAAATCACTCAGACTTGAATTTTGTCACAGTCTACTCCAGCCTTTCCCCATGGACTCAGTAATTTCCCACTGCCCTGCTCACACCACATCCACTCCCTGATTACCACTCTCACTCTCAGTCACTGATCACACACCTGCCTTCACTCAGTAATCACACACCTGCCCTCACTCACTAATCAGCTCCCCTGCCTTCTGCTCAGTATATATTCTACAGCCTCACACTCACTCAGTGCCAAATTGTTCTTTGCCATGCGAGACTTTCCAGTGTTCTTCTGTCTGTCTTCCCGGTGCCGACCCTGCCTGTCTAAGACCTGCCTGCTTCGTCTGCCTTCTGGTAAATTACCTCAGCCTTTTGTTCCTGACTACGAGCTCTGCCTGCCCCCCTTTGGATTGTCTGCCCGGTCTGCTTGCCTCCCGGTTTCTGAACTTGTGCCTGCCCTGACCAAGCCACCTGCCCAGCCACTGAATTGTCTGTGTGCCAGATTCCTGATAATAAATCTATTGACTGAACATCGATTCTGTGCCTTGTTTGTACTGCATTTGGGTTCATACAATACCTGTTACAGTACAATCTGGCCAGTCATGGACCCAGCAGAACCAACAACGCCACCGAATCGGTTTGAAAGAATCGAGAGTGTTAATGTTTCATGAGCAGCGGATGGAGGAGGCTGCTGCCCATGCCAGACAAGCTGTGGAAGCCCAATCCAGGGCCATCACCGCCCTCACGGCTCAACTGCAACAGCTGACCTCCACTAGTTCCTCTCCAGAGGCCACAGTCTCTGCACCTCCACCTCCTACTCCTACTCCAGCTCTACCAAGGATGATTTCGGAACCCTGACTGGGGGCCCTGGAGCGTTACAATGGGGATCCCAAGCTCTGCTTTCCTTTCCTGACTGCCTGTTCGTTGCTCTTCAGTCTGCAGCCATACACGTTTGCCACTGAGGGAGCTAAGGTGGCATATGTCATCAGCAACCTGACGGATAAAGCTCTCCTCTGGGGAACAGCAGAGTGGGAGAGGCAGACTCCCTCCTGTACTTCATTCCAGGCCTTCTCGGAGGAGCTGAGCCAGGTCTTTGGGCTGGGAGCTACGGTTCCAGATGGCACTTCCGGCTTTTCTCCATACGGCAGGGTAATCAGTCTGTGGCAGATTACTCCATCGACTTCTGGACCAAGGCCCATCAGAGTGACTGGAACACTGCTGCACTCCGGGATGCGTTTCTGCATGGTCTAGCAGAATATATCAAAGATGAACTGGTTTCCTATCCTCTACCCTCCTTATTGGATTAACTTATTGAGCTCAGCAACCGACTGGACCCCCATATCCGAGCCCAGAGAAGAGAGAGGAGACAGAACCCTGTACTTTCCACTGCAGCTCATCGCCTGAACTCTCCATCCGCTTCTGCCCTGCCCTCACCTGCAACACCTATCCCTGCAGACCCAGAACCAATGCAGCTGGGTCGCACCAGACTCACGCCAGAGGAGCGACAGCGTCGCCGGATGGGGAACCTCTGTATGTACTGTGGACAAGCTGGACATTTTATCTCTCTCTGTCTGTTAAAAGGCAGAGCTCCCCAGTGAATGAGGAAGTCCTGGTGAGTCATGTTGCAGTGAAATCTTCCTCTCAGAGTAAACGTCCCCTGTTTCAAGTCAAGCTTCTCCTCACTGATGACTCACACACCCTGGCCACCTTCATTGACTCTGGTTCCGATGGCAATATTATCAATCAATCAATCAACTTTATTTCTATAGCACATTTAAAAGAACCACAAGGGTAGCCAAAGTGCTGTACAATGACACATAAAAACAAATAAAACAATCAAAGAACAAGATAAAGCGAGCAGAAATACATCAATGCAAAAGAATAAATAAATGTATAAATAAGGAGGCTCACAGCAAGTGCTAAGATGATAAAAAAAAACAAATTAACACTAAAATGTATCAAAAGCCAATGAATAAACGTGTGTTTTTAAAAGGGATTTAAAAACAGGAAATGAGGAGGCCTGTCTAATTTTCAAAGGCAACTATGCAACTCGGGCTAGAGAGGATTCGCCTCAACCCACCAATTCCTGCCAGGGCCTTGGATGGTCATCTTCTGGGAACTGTTACCCACCAGACTTCCCCTGTTCACATACTGATTTCTGGTAACCATCATGAAACCATCCAGTTTCATCTCCTGCCCTCATCCAACATCCCTCTGATCCTGGGTTTCCTATGGCTCCGCAAACACAACCCACACATCGACTGGACCACAGCCACCATCCTCAGCTGGAACAGCTTTTGCCACCAGGTCTGCCTTCAGGATGCATCGGTGCCACGCCAGACTACGCTCCCCAGCACCTGCCCGGACCTGGCCAGAGTCCCTGCTGAATACCACGACCTTCCGGGAGGTGTTCAGTAAGGCCAAAGCAACCTCACTGACCCCTCATCGCCCTTATGACTGTTGTATTGATCTGAAGCCTGGCACATCACCTCCTAAGGGGCGGCTATACTCTCTGTCTGGTCCAGAACGGGAAGCCACGGAGAACTATATTAATGACTCTCTGGCTGCCGGAATCATCCGCCCATCGTCTTCTCCTGCAAGGGCAGGATTCTTTTTTTTGGACAAGAAGGACAAGTCCCTGCACCCTTGCATCAATTACCGGGGACTCAACGACATCACTGTTAAGAACCAGTACCCTCTCCCACTCATCTCCTCCGCCTATGAGTTACTTCAAGGGGCCAAGATATTCACCAAGCTCGACCTTCGCAATGCTTACCACCTCGTCTTCATCAGGGAGGGGGACGAGTGGAAGACGGCTTTCAACACCCCCACCAGACATTATGAATATTTGGTGATGCCTTTTGGCCTAACCAATGCCCCAGCTGTCTTTCAAGCCTTGGTGAATAATGTCCTTCGGGACATGATCAACAAGTATGTGTTTGTCTACTTAGACGACATTCTTATCTTTTCCATTTGCCTTGAGGATCACATCCACCATGTAAGGACTGTGCTGCAGCGCCTCCTGGAGAACTCACTGTTTGTTAAGGCTGAGAAATGCGAGTTCCACACTCAGTCAGTAGCCTTCCTTGGTTACATCATGGCCCAGGGTCATCTGGAGATGGATCCTGCTAAGGTGGAGGCAGTGAAGTCCTGGCCAGTTCCTGAGACCCGTAAGCAACTGCAGCGTTTTTGCAACTGCTGGGTTGTGCAAATTTTTATTGACGCTTCATCCGGCACTATAGCTCCATTGCTGCTCCCCTTACCATGATGACCTCTCCCAAGAGCCCCTTTCGCTGGGCCCCCTGCTGCAGATACTACCTTCCAGACTCTGAAGAACCGTTTCAGCTTGGCACCCGTCCTCCAGGTCCCGGACATTGAATGGCAGTTTGTTGTGGAAGTAGATGCTTCTGATGTTGGAGTGGGTGCTGTTCTGTCCCAGCGAGCAGCAGGTGACCAGAAACTCCATCCATGTGCCTTTTTCTCTCGGCGTCTCTCACCTGCCAAGAGAAATTATGACATTGGCAATCGGAAGCTTCTGGCTGTCAAGCTAGCCCTGGAGGAGTGGCAACACTGGCTTGAAGGGACAAAGCAGCCCTTCATGGTTTTGGACAGATCATAAGAGCAGCAGGTGACCAGGAACTCCATCCATGTGCCTTTTTCTCTCGGCGTCTCTCACCTGCCGAGAGAAATTATGACATTGGTAAATGGGAGCTTGTGGCTGTCAAGCTAGCCCTGGAGGAGTGGCGACACTGGCGTGAAGGGACAAAGTAACCCTTCATTGTTTGGACAGATCATAAGAACCTGAAGTACATCCAAACCGCCAAGAGACTCAACTCTTGACAGGCACGATGGGCCCTCTTCTTCACCAGGTTCGATTTCTCCCTCTCCTACAGACCCGGCTCCCGCAACATCAAACCAGACGCATTGTCATGCCAGTTTCAGAAGGGAGGAGGGAGATGAATTCATTGCAACAGACACCATCCTGCCGTCTCCTTGTGTTGTGACCTCTCTGACTTGGGAGATTGAGGAGAGGGTGAGAACCTCTACAGAGGGGAAGGCTGGTCCCAGTGCTTGCCCCCCAGGTCGCCTGTATGTGCCTGCAGCCCTGAGTTCTGATGTACTCCAGTGGGCTCATTCTTCCAAGTTTTCCTGTCATCTGGGATCCAGAGAACCCGTGACGCCCTCCAGCAATGTTTCTGGTGGTCCACGTTAGAGGAGGAGACCCGGGAATATGTCAATGCCTGCTCTACCTGCAACCAGAACAAGTCTTCATGCCAGGCCCCGCACGGTCTTCTACAGCCACTTCCTGTGCCACATCGTCCCTGGTCACACATTTCTATAGACTTTGTCACTGGTCTGCCGCCATCTGAGGGGAAGACAGTCATACTTACTATTGTGGACTGCTTCTCTAAAATGGCCGACTTTGTTCCCTGGGGTCCCCAGTTCTCTTCCGTGTTCTGGCGGGAGTTCTGCAGATTGCTGGGAGCCACGCCCAGTCTGTCATCAGGGTTCCATCCTCAATCCAACGGCCAGACTGAGAGAATGAACCAAGAGATGGAGACAGCCCTTCGGTGTACTGTGTCCCAGAACCCATCTTCCTGGTCCCAGCAGCTGTTGTAGGTGGAATCTGCTCACAACACCCTGACAAGCTAGGCCACAGGCCTGTCTCCTTTCCAGTGCGCCTATGGGTATCAGCCACCTCTCTCCCCAGCCCTGGAGAAGGAGGCTTCCTGTCCTTCATTTCAGTTCAAGCCTTCCTCCATTTCTGTCATCAGACCTGGGCCCGAGCTAGAGCCTCACTCCTGAAAGCTGCTGACCATTACTCCTCTGCTGCCAACCATCGTCGCTCACAAGCTCCAGAATATCAGGTAGACCAGAAGGTCTGGCTCTCCACCTGTGACCTTCCACTGCAGGTGGAGTCCAACAAGCTGGCTCCCAAGTTCATCAGACCGGTCCCCATCGAAAGGGTCATCAATCCTGTGGCAGTCAGACTCAAGCTTCCCCGGTCCATGAGGGTTCACCCAACCTTCCACGTGTCCAACGTCAAGCCAGTTCGTGAGAGCCCTCTGGTGCCTACTGCTACTCCTCCACCTCACTTCATCGATGGGGGACTCACCTATGCTGTGCGCCGCATCATCCGCTCCCATGTACGTGGTAGAGGCCTACAGTACCTTGTCAACTGAGAGGGCTATGGCCCAGGGGACAGATCTTGGGTTCCTGCTCGACACGTTTTGGATCGACAACTCCTCCGTGACTTTCATCAGCAGCATCCTGACCAGCCCTCTCACAGTATGGTAGGGGGCTCTTCTCGTTGCGGGGCACCTGCTGTCCGTCCTGCTGCTGCTCCGGCTCCAGATCCAGAGGATGACTCCATGTCGCGGAAGGGGGATCTGCAGGTGACCTTGTCCTTCCTACAGGAATTGTAGCCCGCCTTCCAGTTCCCCTTCCTCCCGCCCTGTCATGCTGGACTTGTTTTGGGGACGTCAGGGAGCGTCCCTTTGGGGGGGGGGGGGGGGGGGGGTTCTACACAGTCTGCTGCAGCCTTTCCCCATGGACTCAGTAATTTTCCACTGCCCTGCTCACACCACATCCACTCCCTGATTACCACACTCACTCTCACTCACTGATCACACACCTGCCTTCACTCAGTAATCACACACCTGCCCTCACTCACTAATCAGCTCCCCTGCCTTCTGCTCAGTATATATTCTACAGCCTCACACTCACTCAGTGCCAGATTGTTCTTTGCCATGTGAGACTTTCCAGTGTTCTTCTGTCTGTCTTCCCGGTGCCGACCCTGCCTGTCTACGACCTGCCTGCTTCGTCTGCCTTCTGGTAAATTACCTCAGCCTTTTGCTCCTGACTACGAGCTCTGCCTGCCCCCCTTTGGATTGTCTGCCCGGTCTGCTTGCCTCCCGGTTTCTGAACTTGTGCCTGCCCTGACCAAGCCACCTGTCCAGCCACTGAACTATCTGTGTGCCAGATTCCTGATAATAAATCTATTGACTGAACACCGATTCTGTGCCTTGTTTGTGCATTTGGGTTCATACAATACCTGTTACAGAATTTTTTCAAAACTAAGGAGCACATAATAGATTTTGGAGGCAACAAAAACACTGCTGCAGACAGTATCATTCATGGAAAAATGTGGAATGGGTACTCTGATGATTATGATTTTGTTCCTTTCATCCTATACATTTCATTGGCCAGTATTCTTGGTATTTGGCGTAATCCACGTATTTACCCATTTTATTCTTGATCTTTGATTCCACTGTACTCCTCAACATTTTGCTTTTCATCCATTCTGTATAAACCTTATGTATGTTCTGTGTACTTGTGTTTCTGAAGGGTGACAGTATGCAAGCTGCTCAAATTCATTGCCCCTGGTGGGATTAATCAAGTTGTCTAAATCCAAATCTAAAACACAGGAGAACTGCTGCTGTCAGTGTAAGTACATTATATCATTAGAACCGATATTGCAAACACTGATGACACTATTTTGTTCCTTCGACTCCTCTGTTGTGTTCACAGGGGACAAAGTGGAAGGTATTGATAAGGGGACCATAGAGCAACAAAGGTAAATGATGTCGATGGCTTTCACTCATTCCAACTGGTTCTCGATTCCTCCATTTAAAATACCCCATGAACATAAGAGATGCTGTGCAAACACTCAAACTAAAAGACAATTATTCAAACCCTAATCACTCAAACATAGGTCGTTTTTCCACCAAATAGTATTGATGGTGAACTGGATGAAGACTCAGTTCATCAAGATATCTTGATTACAGTATCAGTAGCAGCACTTACCAGGATGGCATTTAATTGCAAATGTAATTCAAAAAACAGAAATCTTCAACATTGTCTCCATGAACAGGATTAAACCATGAACCATTTACACATGCTGTCAAGGTTTGTCACTGAAAGTAATGCATTCTTCAGTTCATCAGAAGTTGGAAATTTTGAGTCACCCATCAGATTCATCACGCAAAACTCCCCATTAACTCATTGCTTCCTGGATCAACTGTAAACAGCTGTACTTTTAATGGTGTTAAATAAGTCTGCAACTTAGTCTTACTTTACATCATTTAATCAACCTGTCTGGTTGTATTGTGAAAATTTCATCTTTGCACATATTGACTTGGAGTGCAAACCATCACATAGTGTGTTTTTATTGCCTGGTGTAGCTAACAATAACAACAGGGGTTGGTATACAGCTTTTTTTCTACTCATGAATGAATGAAGTCATTCTCAGCTTCAATGCTAGACCTCTGAGGTACATGAAACACACCATATGTCTGCCTCCTCCTGGATCTCCTCCATCCGGCTGTACAAAAATATAGCCAAAGGCCCATAAGGACTGGCACTGACATCTTATACATATTAAATGAGAGTCTGTGTCAGAGAATCGCTCTCAGAGCTGCAACAGTGACACCCCACTCAGCTTGACCGAAGCTCAACAGATTTATGTGACAGTTTGACACTTCAGTGACTCTTGAGTTTAAATTTATGACATTTCCTCTGCGCCATTTCCAGTGACAGATGTGTGGGCTGCTCTACAAAGGCTTTGTTGAAGGGGGGATTCACCTTTCTTTTCCCCTAAGATGAATAATTTGTCTGTCACCTCATGTCTGAAAATGTGGAGCCACTGTCAGTCATTACACTATACAAATACAAGATAAAACAATAACTAAAGCTGTGGAGGATTAACATTCTGTTTTTATTCTATGTTAACCATTAAATCACTCTTTTTTACTCTAACCCCGGGCTCTATATGAATAATCCCTTTAAGTGTTTGGGCAGTTTACTGTCTGCAACCTTTATCCTCATTTTAAAGTTAGCTGATTAACCCCAAATAATCATCACATGTACACTTTAACTGACATGTCATGTGCTTTGGTGGTTTAAAAGTTGTCCAGAAGAACAAATGCATCAAATTTGAGTCTTTTCAAAGGTTTTTTTTTTTTCTTTAAATTTGTACCTTAACTCTTTTTCTTAAACTGGATTAAAATGGGCTGAGGTGTGTTAAGAATAATAACAAAATGAACATTTGACCTGTGAAAGTATCTTTGTTGTTGCTTATCTCAGCTGATGGCCATGAAATCTTTCTTTAAAAATGCCTCCTATCAAAAGGCAGAGCAAAATCTACTTTTCTGTTGAAGATGATGATGCTCAAGCTAGTGGCAAGAAGAAAGAAGGAGGTCTGGCTTTATTTGTCAACCAGATAACTGTCAAGGAGAAGTTGTGTTGTCCAGATATTGAACTGTTGGCAGTTGCTCTTTGAAGCTGCCAAGAGAATTCAGTCATGTTATATTAATAGTTGTTTACATCCCACCCAAATCAACTGCAGAATTCCATATGATCTGTTGCATAATAGTGTTGCCAGGCTACAGACTCAACACCCTGAGGCACTAATAATAATATCAGGGGGCTGAACCATGTCACCCTCTCCTCTCACCTGACTGCATTCACACAGTTCGTGAACTGTCCTACCAGAGAAAACAAAACCCTGGATCTGCTGTATGCCAATGTCAAAGAAGCCTACAGAGCCACTGCTTTACCACCACTGGGCAAGTCAGGTCATAACTTGGTCTATCTGCAAACCTGTTACAGACCTTGTGTACTGAGGCAGCCTGTGACCAAAAAGTCAAACAAGACACTTCAAGTTAATGAAGTTCTAAGGGACTGTTTTAAATCAACAGACTGGAATGTGCTGCTGGAAACAGATGTGGATAGTATGAACATTGACAAAAAGGTTGACTGCTTCACTGAATATGTCAACTTCTGTCGATACACAGTTATACCGACAAAGACTGTTCGATGTTTCCCCAACAACAAACCCTGGATCATAAGTAACATAAAAGCAATCCTTAACCAGAAAAGAAAGCTTTTAAAGACGGTGACAAAGAACGACTCAAACAAGTGCAATAGGAGTTGAAGAGGAGACTGAAGATGGCAAAGCTGGAAAGCAACAAGAAGAAGATGGAGAGGAATCTACAACACAGCAACGTTCATGAAGTGTGGAGATGAATCAGTACCATCTCTGGACACAGCAGTAAAAAGAAAAGACAGACAGTGGTGGGTGATGTGGAAAGAGCTGATGAACTCAACCTGTTTTTCAACAGATTTGACACTGCTGTCACTCCCACTTCCACTGCTACTCCCCTTCCTGTCTGCAACAAATCTCCACTACAACTTCTCCCCTTCCTCCTCCATCTCATTCAAATGTCTCAACCACTTCAACTGCCTCCCTCCTAGAACACCAGCCCTTGTCTGTCACAGAAACAGGGGTGAGGATGGAGCTTGGAAGACTTTGCTCTTGGAAGGCAGCTGGTCCAGATGGTGTATGTCCAAGGCTGCTTAGAGACTGTGCTACAGGACTGTGTCAACCTCTCCACAGGATCTTCAACCTGAGTCTACAGCTGGGGTGGGTACCTGCTCTGTGGAAACCATCCTGTATTGTGCCAGTACCAAAAACAAAATGCCCTGCTGAACTCAATGACTACAGACCAGTGGCCCTCACTTCACACATCATGAAAACCCTGGAGCGGCTGATTCTACGCCTTCTGAAGTCTGAGGTCAAAGACAAACTGGATTCCCTGCAGTTTGCATACAAAGAACACACTGGAGTGAATGATGATGTCCTCTACATGCTTCGGCATGCTCTCTCTCATCTGGCGAAACCTTGGGTTTATGTGAGGATCATGTTTTTCAACTTTTCAAGTGCATTCAACACTATCCAACCCACCGTAGGGGAGAGTGGGGTAAGATAAGCCATTTTTCATATTTCGGTTCACGACATCAATCACAGTTTTGTCTCTAACTAGTGTATCTGCATATATTTCAAGATGTTGTGCATCCCCGCAAACCAACAGAATGAGTGTAAACATAACTGTCTTGATAATATAGCAGCCCCCCCACACACACACACACACTCTCCACCCCAGCCCTCCCTCACCTTCTCTCTCCCTAAATAAGAATAACTTTATTAATCCCCGAAAGGAGATTCAGTTGTCTGTTGCCTCACAAAATATGTCTCTAACAGTCTACTATTTACACAAGAGTTACAAAGTCTAATGGCTGTTGGTACAAAAGATTCTGAACCTTTCTGTCCTGCAGTGAAGAGAGAGGAGTCATCCACCACCATTGGTCCTTTGGTCCATCAAGGTGTTGTGAAGTGGATGATCCATGTTCTTTAGAATAGACTCCACCTTCTTCAGTGTAGATCTCTCCACCACATCCTCCACTGAGTCCAGCTTAAGTCCAACCACAGAGCCAGCCTTTTTCACCAGTTTGTTAAGACGTCTCACATCTTTGTGTTTGATGTTTCCTCCCCAGCAGACGTCAGCGTAGAACAGAACACTTGCCACCACAGACTGATGAAACATCTGCAGCATCTTACTACAGATGTCTATTGATCGGAGTCTTCTCAGGCAGCCCCTTTCTGTAGATCAAGTTTATATTCTTGGACCAATCCAACTTAGTATCCAGGTGTAAACCTAGATGTTTATATGATGTCACCACTTCGATGTCCACTCCACAGGTGTTCACTGGCTAAAGAGGGGGTTTGGATCTATGGAAGTCTATGACCATCTCCTTTGTCCTTGAGGTGTTGAGGAAGAGGCAGTTTTTGTGACTCCAGTCACTGAAGGCTCTTATCAGATCTCTGTATTCAGCTTCTTGTCCATTTCTGATACATGCCACAATAGTGGTGTCATCTGAATATTTCTGAATGTGGCAGGACTCAGTACTGTATTTGAAGTAGGGCTGCACGATATGGCCAAAAAACTATATCTCGATATTTTTAGGCTGTATCGCGATACACGATAAATATCCCGATATTCTGACATCGCCTCTAAATCACTCTATAAATATTAAATTCAACCCTTTGATGCATAAAATAACACCAGTGTAATGACTTCAGCAGACTTTTGTGTTGGATTGGAATTTGCATGCAAAAAGGGAAAATCACAATCAAGTTAAGTTCAGTGAACCTTTAATTTCAAAATGGACTGCTGCACTCACAAGTTTTAAATAAAAAATAAATAGTGGCATGGTAGGCCATTCTACTCTGGTCTCTTTATCAAGTTTAACAAAAAAAAAAGAGCTCAAAGCAACAAAAAGTGCATTAAACTATAATACCTGAGGAAGACGTTTCAAAACAATATAAATTAAAGTGCACTTTCTCTGCTTGATAATGTTTGCAAAACTGATCATTTTACAAAAGGTAAAGTAAAAAGTGCAGATCTCAGAGGAAGAAGTCCATATGATAACTTTGAAAACCTCTCTGAACAACAACAGTCACATTAAAGGGGTGGAAACGTGTTTGTGGTTATGGTTCGTTTTTGGCAACTTATTAGTAGAAACAGTTGCCTAAAGGTTTTGTGCCAAAAACACAAGCCTGTCAACAGCCTCTGGCTTGAGTGATGCCCGGTGACACGTAACAATATTCCCACTGGTACTAAATACGCGTTCTGATGGGGAACTAGTGGCGGGCACACACAGATACTTTTTTGCCAAATTTTTCAGGTTTGGGAACATTTCCTCATGGTCCTTCCACCACTGCAGGGGATCTGATTCATTGTCAGCACTAACAGACTGCAAGTAGGCAGACAACTCAGTTTTCATTAGCTCTCTGAGTGATGGTGTGGCTGTGGCAGAGGACATTGTAGCCTTTTTGAAGAAACTTCCAAGAGTTTTCTTTTTTGGTGGCTCCGGCTCTGGGACTGTTGGTGCTTCATGAGGCAGTGAGGCAGCAGACCCTGCTGTGCCCTGGTCAGACTGCAACGCCTCTGTCTCCATCTCCAATATGGCTCTGTGCTTGATTTCCTCCACCTTTTCTGCAGGGATGTATGTTGCCTTGAATCTGGGATCCACTAATGATGCCATGTCTAGAAGTGCATCAGTAGCAGGGTCTGCAAATTTCTCCCTCAGGTAATCCAGGATGGAACGTTTGATGGACTGGGTCAGTAAAGTGTCATCCTCCTGAACTGCCAAAATGCTGGAGTGGAAGAGATGAAGCACGGGCTTGACGTAGGACACAGTAACGTAGTCCTCACCCGACAGAGCATCCGTGAATTCCACAAGGGGCTTTAGAGCCTTGTGCACTGACTCGAGGACTTCCAGGTCTTGCCAGGTCAGAACAAGATGCCGTGTTTTCTTGTCTGAAGCCAAAACCTGAGAAATGGCTCACTCCTGCTTCAACACCCGCTCAATCATCTTCTGCCGGGATCCCCACCTGGTAGGAGATTCACTGATCAGCTGGTGTGCAGGGATATTTAGTTCTTTCTGCACTGTGGCCAGGTCTCTCCTCCTCTTCCAACTGAATGAGAAGCTGCTCACAATCTTCTTGCAAACAGCAGCGGCACGATCAATACAAGGGTCTTTCAAGCTTCTCTCTGAAAATAAAAATTAATATTTAAAATGTTATACTAATATGTCACAAAGAAATTCAGCAATCCAGTTACTCATCTTAATACTAGACTTAAACTTTAATTTAGATTTATATATATTTCCTATAGATATCTCGGATTTCAAATCAACTCAAAAAAAATAGTTTTCAGGCAATTACACATATATACTTTATAAAAGCATTTTACAGACACGCACTTTTTAACTGCATGAAATATTCTTAAATTTTAACTGATCGGACAAATTTATGATATACATATGTACTGTAGTTTTACTTCCTGATTTAAAAAAAAAAAACATGTTATACTATATCTGCGGAAAAATCATTAAACTACTCTCAGTTTTAAACTTAATGAAAAATAGTATATTTTCACTTAATTTTAACTGTGTGAAAATATCATGAAACACTTTTTAACTGTATGAAAAATTTCATGACACACTCAGTTTTTACTACATAAAAATGTAAACATGATTAATTATTCTGTAACTGCTGAAAAGTTAAAAATACTCTCACAATTTTAAACTTCATGAAAAAATGATGAAATAATTCACTTAGTTTTTTAATTCATGAAAAATCATGAAATATTCCTACATAGTTTTTAATACAAAAATAAAAATTAAAAATTAAAAATTTCAATTTAGGTTTTAATTGCATTAAAAAATAATGAAATACACAGATTTTACTTCATTAAAAAATAATTAAAAACATGTTAACATCTCAAAAATTATGAAGAATGCTCAGTATAAAACTCAAAATAACAAACACTATCACGCAGCTTGTAATTACATGTGACATATGAATGTTGTGTCAGTTTGTTATATTTACAATTATTGATAATAACAGTGATTGCTATTTTCCCATTAGAGGAAGGCAAGCCTTCACAAATACTCACCAATTGCAAGGTGCAGCCTATGGCCAAAACATTGCAGTCTTGTCCACTCATTCAGGCTCACAGCTTTGACTATATTATCCCCATTGTCCGTGGTGATGCACACCTGATGAGCTTCTGACAAGTTCCATGACAGGAGAGCATCTTGCAGACCCTGTGCAATGATCTCTCCTGTGTGATCATCAGGAAAAAAGCTCGTTTGCAGGCACGAACTTTTCAGTTCCCAGTTGTCAATGTAGTGTACTGTTAAGCTGAGATATGGCTCACAAGTTCTGCTTGACCAGAGATCCGTCGTTGTGGAGAAGTGGGTCGCATTTGTCAGCTGGTGGGCCACCTTTTCTCGAACTAAGATGTACAAGTCTGGCAGCGCTTTTTCTGCGAAAAAATTGCGACCAGGTAACTCATACTTTGGATCAAGTGTCTTAATAAGATTTTTGAATCCTGGCTTTTCCACCACACTGACCGGAGCCATGTCTTTGGCGATGTACTTTGTCACTGCGGTCGTGATGTCTCTCCACCTCTGACTTTTTCTGTCATACGGGACTGAATTGGCAAACGAAGAGGACAGCGTCATTTGCTTCGGTGACGGTTTATGTGGTGTAGGAGGAGACGTGGACATGCGGAGTCTGATGCATTCTTCGTTTTGTAGTGGATGGCATTTCAGGTGGTGAAATAAGTTTGTGGTACTGCTACCTTTGGTGGCTACGGTTTTGCGGCAAACTTTGCAGATAACCGTATTTTGCTCCACGTCTTCCTGGCGAAACCCGAACCACTGCCAGATGATTGAGCCAGTGCTGTGCTTTTTCGGCACCAAGTCGTCATTCTCCATCCCTCCCTCCTCTTGGTCACTCGAAAACTTGCCTCGGGTCTCAACTTTTTTCGTTCTCCCCGTGCTCGTCTCCCTCCTTTCCTTAAACAACAAGTTTAAGAGTTTCCCGGATGGGAGGGGGGGAGTGCTGCTTACAATGGGAAGAGCGGCAGGAGAGTGAGAGGATCGAAACTCCAAAGGTGACATACTGACGCCTTAAAACATAAAGCCTATGTGTCAATTTGTACTTGATGGTCGCGATGTGGTCATTTTATACATCTCACGTGGAAAAACCCGCGATATATCGAGTATATTCGATATATCCCCCACCACTAATTTGAAGTCTGACGTATACAGTGTGAACAGGACTGGCGCCAGCACTGTCCCTTGTGGAGCCCCTGTACTGCTCATTAATGTCCCAGAAACACAGTTCCCCAGCCTGACAAACTGTGGCCTTCCTGTCAGGTAATCTCCGATCCAGGAAACATAGGAAGGATCCACTCCCATCTCTGTGAGCTTGTCTTTGAGTATCGTGGGTTGGATGGTGTTGAATGCATTTGAAAAGTCAAAGAACATGATCCTCACATAAACCCAAGTTTATGAAACCCCAGTCACTTCTTCACATTCATATGTATTTTTATCTATTGTATGTTATTCAACTGGTACGTTAATTCTTTTTATTATTAGTGCATATAACTGTTGTGAGGCAGGCTTGTAGTGAGGACCCAGAAGCAGACACTGAGACAGAGCTCAACGTAAAACGATTTTAATGTCCAAAAACAGAAAGGGATAGATAAGGGAACAAAGGAAGTCCGGTTGGTTGGCTGGTAGGCTGGCTGTCGTGTGGGCTGGAGACACTGCAGGAGAAACCAGAGGAGACAGGAGTTAAAGGACATGCAAAGAGTCACAAGGAGTAAAGTTCAGAAAGTTATACCACAAGGTTTTGGCCAGGAGACGCGTCTTTACCGCTGGGCAGGGTAGACAATACTCAGGCGCTGAGACTGAGGGCTGCAGGCTTCTTAAAGTCCCTTGATTAGAGATGAGGAGCAGGTGTGTCGTCTCACTCAGCCTCAGCGCCGGGGGAGGGGAGGAAGCTCTGGAAAAGAGTACAGCCAGACCAGGCAAACAGGGAAAAAACAAGAAGTCCAGCCAAAATAACACAGGATGCGGAGGCGTCTCACCACAATAACTGCTGAAAAGCTGTTTTGTAAAATGCCGTTTTTACATGAGAATGGCTTTAAGTGATTCAGAACATTCACAGCTGTATTTTTGAAAAGTTACACATTTCAACAATCTGACCTGAAACTCTGATCCTTTCATCATACTCCTGAACTTTCTCAGTTGAGCCACTGGCTCAATTTACCCCAGAACGACTATAATGATTTAATTAGTCCTCTAAGCTAAAAGGGTGAACTTTTATGCTAGGTTTTAACCACAATTGATGTATAAAACAAATTCAAAATGATCTTTTTTGGTCTGAACATGATTCTTATAAACCTTTGACAGACTCAATTCACTTTCAAGAACTTTTTTTTAATAAATGTCTCACCCCTTCACCCATGTGCTTCTAACCTTCACAGACTCCATGAATTGATGCCCATCTCCTAAATATTTGGTCACAAATATTAGCAAAATAATAAACAAAACACTCTAATAAATCATATGTCTTACTTCTATAAAAAGAAATATATACAAACCTAAACGGTCTCCCTATGAAAAAACAGGAGGAACGCTACTCTCAGCTATTCTCCCTGAATTCTCAAAAACACTGTTACAATTCTTAATACTCCATAGACTGACAAAAGGACTACTCTGTTGGACATTGATAGGGAGGAAGGAGGGTTGGCGTCCGTGCTGCAATTGTCTCTTTTTAAAACAGACACCATTTGCTCCCAGCCAATCACTACACGACAACACTCCTCTAGTCAGCTGTTGATGCGCGCCTCCAGCTGCTTTTCAATCAGGACTCACCACACCTGCATTACAGTGGAGGAGCACAGAGGGACAGAGAGGAGAAAAACAAGAGCGCTCCTCAACACAATGCAAGCAAATAATAAATATGACCCATAGTCATAAGATCCTGAAATGAAGCTGATGCAGAACCACTTTGGTGTTCTCTTAGATTTAAGTATTAGTTGTGACAGCATTCAGTGTCTTCTTGGAGAAAGTGGTCTCATGGTGGTTTGTGGTTGAAAAAAGATTGGACAACTCTGAACCTGGAGCACCAGTTTTGTCCAAAAGGCTGCAGCTCTTGCTTGTATATCATTCACCTCTTTCTTTTCCTGGTTTTGTAGTCTATAGACCATTGTATCCTCGTAAGAAAGACATTAAAAAACATTTAAAAAAAATCTCTGAGCCTGACTCTGGCAAAAAATAAAAAAGTTCAGCATTTGATTAATTTGATTGGTTGTATTTGGTGAATTTCCCCTAGAGGGTTACATTGCGGTCATCATGGTCAGAATTTCAAATAAAGCAATCTAAAGTTAAACAGGTTGTTATATTACATGATATGATAATGTGGCTTTGGTGCCTGGATATATAGGATCCAGCATTTTACTTGTCCTGGTCTGAAAAACATGCAGAGGATGTAACTGTCTGTGACCTACTTATACAGCTGCTACCTCTTTTAGGTGAGCAGCACCTTGATTGCTGCATGTTGGAAAGGTCTTGCTAGTACTGGATCTCAATCCTCATTTTGGTTTCCTGATGCAAATTAAAGTTTCGTTGTCATCGAGTGAAACCTGAGAAAGGCCAAAGCAAGACTCTGTTTGGAGCCCTTTGGATACAATGGCTTTACAGTGACGTAGTCTGAGGAAGCACAGCATTGATCAAAGCTGCCTTTGTACTGCTTTCCAAACTAACCTGTGAATATTCCTGTTGAAAATATCCCTTTTTCAGAGCCCAAGGTTTGTGTTCCAAGGATGAATGCATACTCAGACTTCTGAGACTTTTTCATTCACTGGTAGAGGCTTCTTTGATGTACCAGGTAGCTCTGTTTGAGTTTGTAAGAATAGTGCAGCTCAAATCAAACAGAACAAAATCTTCTTGCATTGATTATATAGTTAACTGCTTTAAAATACTCATGATGCTTTATTAGTATTCAATACTGTGTAAAGGTCTAAACTACAACATAAAACAGATACAAGGGTATTCTTGTTGGCTGAAGGATACATTTTAATTTATGCGTTTTATAAACTAAGAGAATAATGTGCAGAAGTGATGGCACAAAGTCGGGATGTTTAAAACTTCTTTCTGTTTTCTCAACAGACAGAGCCAGCTCAGAGCCTGTGGAGGACACCGACACCACCAGCCTTGTGGCAGAGATTGTGAGTATCTTTTCTTTACTCTCTCCTCTGATTATGTGACGAACCATCTTATTGTCTCAACTTGTCTTCCATACAGTTTGCTTTGTGCCAATTTCTCATTGTTCCTCCTCAGAAAGTCTTTACAGTAATCTGCTAAGAAATGTACCATACCTGAGTACACTGCTGTGATTGCCAGAGGGCTCATTCAAAGAACAGGTTGCAGCAAGCTTTTCCTCATCTCTGCACACAAAAGACTCTTCCACTGCTACAGACTTGATTTTGACATCTTCTGAGTTTTATGAACAAAGTAAATGTTTTTATTTTTGAGTCAAATATTGCAGCCATGACTTTGAAATGAAAAAGCATTTCTGCTAATGCTTTTGAATTTCCGAATTTGACATTTCAAGATGAATTTTGTTACCTTTTTGCTGGTGAATGTTTTGAAAATTAAATGTTAAATGTGATTTGCGTTTGCTTTTTAATTTAGTTACAAAATGAGCAGTCTTGAAGAAGAAAATGAAAATGCATTTTCGAATATTGCTTTTTATTTTTATTTTTGAGTCAAATAGTGCAGCCATGACTTTGAAATGAAAAAGTATTTCTGCTAATGCTTTTGAATTTGAGATATGAGTCACAATCGCTTCCATAAATGTTAAGTTTTCTCATTTTGACTTTGCTTATTAAAGCTTATTATGTCTAATTTTATCTTTTGTACCCCTCTTTTTTTTCAGTCATTGGAGGCCAATTATCCAGTGCAGGTGACAGAACCACATGGTAAATATGGACAAAAATTACAATACTTCTCATTTCAAAGCATAGATATACATAGAATTTCAAACAAAATTCTGATATTTCTTCAACCCCAATTAAAGCTGCTATTTAAAGCTCCTGGAAGGAACTCAAGATTCAACATCAAAGTCGTGTTTTCTAACATCCCTCTTTGCTTTAATCTCAGCTGTGAAGATTTTAAAATAGTTTACTGTGATGTAAATGGCGTGGTCCTAAACCTGCTCCCAAAGGCAGCTTAAAACATAGAGAACAGCTCATGTTAACAGTCTGACTGTTGTTTAACAACCTGTAAAAACCTCTGAACAGCAGCTTTAAATGGATATTGTACTACTTTTGAAGTGAGGTTCCATGAGTTACATGTCATGAGTAAGTGATCAAGTAACCATGGTTGATGACTTGAAGGTTGTCCTATGACCTTAATGTCGTCCTATGAACTGAAGGTCACCCTATGGGTCAGTAAAGTACATAAAGAAAAGTCTGTAATTAAAGCTTTAACTCTCCAACAGAGCTGGTTGTCTCTGCTTAGTTTAAAGTATCTTCAAAATGTTTTGACAGCATCCCTGCAGATGATAAAAGTAACAGTGAAAGTTAGAGTACTGCTGTATACTCCTGTCTTATTTTTATCTTTATTATAATATCTTGGGTGTTGTTGCCAGCTCAGCTTAAACCTGATTCTGACTCTGTTTTGACTCTTGTATCTCCAGCTAATGCTGTGACTCTTCACTTAAGCTCAATGTGCTCTGGATACGTGAGCCCATCTTCAGGCGGAATCAGACAGGTCAGTATTTGATTAAAACTTCTGTTTGAAGGTATTTTGTTTAAAACCACTCTTCAGATTCAGTTTCTCACCTGTCCACAGACTTTCAAGCTCACCCAATCATCCCCTTTTGATGCTTCCTCTCCCTGACACATGTAGTCTAGTGACTTTTAACCCGTAACCACAGATTGTTCCATCTGCTGGGTGCCGGCTCAATGAACTTTTACTTCCATATGACAGACAGGAGCAGACTCTCTTTGTGGTAATATTGAAACAGAGAGCTTTAGTGAGAAGTTAACGCTGATTCAGTCTATCACAAAAGAAACAAAGACACTGCATGGTATTGTTTTTGTCTAGCAGTGTTCATTGGACATCTAATTTGGTCTTTAGATGAAAATGCATTTTTAGTCACAATTTGGTGGTTTCAAAGATTTTCGTCTAGTTTTACTTGATGAAAACTCATGGGGGGGGGGGGGCATCTTTTGTTACACTGCTGTATAACCCACCTTTAGGCTGTATTGGCTGGGTGAGATTGTGTTGGTTCGTTCCTCTTTACTGGGGCAACATAAACAGTGATTCATAAAATAACTCTATTGATAGTAAGTACTAAAAAAAATATCTACTCATGCCATCCAGTTGATTTTTCTTAATCAGTGTTTCGGTGTCGAACTATTTCCTTTCTGTGGTGTAGTGATACTTGCACACGCGCAATCGAATATGCAAAGGGGTGTAGCGTTTTTTTGTCACGTGGACCAATAGGAGCCGAGTCTCGTTGCCATAGTATCAGAAATACACAAACATGGCGACGAGCGCATCTAGCAGCGAGAAAAGCGAAGAGGAAGAAAAGAAAAGGAAAAAAAGAAAACAGCCTTTGAAAGTGCATAAAAAAGGAACGAAACGATTCTATATGCATCTATCATCTGTCCAGAGTGAAGACGTTCTCAACTCTACAAGGACACGTTGGGAAACTTACAGAACTAGTATTAGAAAGTGGCTTTCTCTACAGGGTGAGACAAAGGACCTTGCAGAAACTTACAAACATTGCGTTGATATCGACTTTGACAATGTTCCTGATGATGCTGGGTTTCACATGACATGCTACCAGCGATTTATTTGCAAAAGGCGTTTGAGAAACAAGAACCTGATGCAGCCGCGGGTCAGTCAAACCCTTCAGCCAGCATCGCCGATGCATCCACGTCCATGGCATCTGAAACTCTGCGAAAGAAACTTTGCTCAAGGTCATAGGCTGTATTGGGACAAAGGAAAAAGTGCCTAGAAAGTGAATTTCATTCAACTAAGCTGGTGCTACTTGTTCAATGCATTTTCGCATAGACAATACCATTCTGGACTTTGGGTTAAAATATCTGCTCAGACTATCTGTCCGACTTTTGTCACCAGCCAGAAATGTACATATACTGTATGTGAGTAACCCAAAAAAACAATTATATGGTGCTGCTGTTTTTGCTTGTAGAAACTGCTATGTTGATTCTGGCAAGACAAAATCTTTCTCAAATGTCATAAATACATCTACCTAACATCTGAAACAGTTATTGGTGCCTTAGTATACGCATAAGTGAATTCAGATTATGAAATGTAGCAAATTTCTTGAAGAAAACGTCTCAACTCAAGTGATTTGCACCCAGCACAATGAAATATATACAGTAAATTTAGCTAAAAGCTTATGTTTCATACATAAAAATGATACAACCTACTGTGTAATAAAAACAATAAAATATAAACAGCACACCATGGCCATAAATGGCTGAAAATCAATCAAATTGCTACCACGCCCCCCAAAATTGGAATAATGGAAAAAATGTAACAAGACAAAAATAAATGCACAAAAGTTCTAAATTAATTCAAAATATGGTATAAAACATTTATTCAAGTATCACAGTGTCAAAATATCTGATATTTATCAATCCCCCCAGAATATGAAAATAAAGATCAAAACACAAGCGCAGACAAATGTAGAACAAATGTAAAAATAATAAAAATCTCAAATCTCGGTGAATCCTTTAATCAATCCTTTACACAAAACAAATTGTACATGGTGACATGGTGCGTAATTTATGCATCACTATCACTTTCATCAGAGTCATCATCCCATACAGCTCTTTCTTCTGTTTCCTTTGAAGCATTCTCACATGCTTGGCACCAACATAAATCTGTACAAGATAGTCTTGCAGACATACAAGAACATCGTTCAGTCTCACATTTGGTTGTCTTGCAACTACAGTGGACTATCTGCAAAACACTATCAGGGGCAGAATTTGTGAACAAAGTGTGAAGGGGCACACATTTTACCAGTCAGAGAATGTTTCATCGCTGCTGCTTGGTAGTTTGCTCTCATGCAGTGTTGGTACAGGGCGTCACTTGTTGGGGGAATGGGCAGTTCTGGCAAAGCTGACGAGGCCATGCAGAAAGATTTGTATCTGGTATCATTTACATTTTTTGCAGATGACTGGCCATACAGGTGGCACACATAACTACTCAGCGTGTTAAAGGTGGATTGGTTAAAATTGTTGCCCAGATTTGCAAACCCAGTCAGCTATTCTTCTTTCTGACAAGCAACAGAAAATGTTTTTCTTTTGCCCTTGCCATGAAAGGCACTGGTCGAGTCACAACCTGTGAATGTATGGATGCACAATGGGTGGCACATTGAGGATGGGGAGTTGTCTCACTGCCAGATGCGCTCGTCGCCATGTTTGTGTATTTCTGATACTATGGCAACGAGACTCGGCTCCTATTGGTCCACGTGACAAAAATCGCTTCACCCCTTTGCATATTCGATTGCGCGTGTGCATGTATTACTACGCCACAGAAAGGAAATAGTTCGACACCGAAATACTGATTCCTAAAAATCGACCGGATGGCATGAGTAGATATTTTTTTTTAGTACTTACTATCAATAGAGATATTTTATGAATCACAATCTATGTTGCCCCACTAAAGTGGAACAAAATTCACTTTCTAGGCACTTTTTCCTTTGTCCAAATACAGCCTACTTGCAGGTCTTGTCTCCTCAGGTAGTGAGGGTCAAAGTCTGTCTCCAGAGCACTATCTGCAGTGTGCCACCCTCCTGACTATCCCATTCCACAGGGACCTGAACCCTGTTAATGAAGTTAACAGTTGTCCCCAACTGTTAGGGGAATAGTTGATTGAAGTAAAGATGAAAACATTGGAAAAAGTGTAAAATCGCCTTATTTTTTTTGCATTAAATTGATCCAAAATCATGTAGAAAATTCATTCATTTTGCCAAATTTTCAATCAAAAAATGAAGGGTACATATAGTAAAATGGCCAGAATTTTTCTCGGTATGTCACCGGCAGAGCAGACCCTCCCATTATTGGTTCTTGGGGTCAAAGTTAACAGAGAAAACACAAATACAAACTACAGCAGACCATGTCAGGTTCAACCCATTTTTGAGACTTTGACTCCCAACTCTTAGCTTTAACTGGATTTTATCTCTGAAAAGATTTTTAGGTTTGTCGTGCTTCATTGACAAAAGGGTCAGAGCGTCTCGTCATAGGTTTTGTCCTCATGCATTTTTTTATTACCAGGAAATAAGGTCATTTAAAAAAAAACATGATTTTGCCAGTTACTTTAACTCTGTAGTCCAGCAGTGCAGCAATATTACCAGTCACTGCAGTTAGTATCCAGATTTGATAGAAGTCTGACATTATCTGATCGATTTGTTCAAACAGGGACAAACATAATGTTCACTGGTTTCATTTGTGCACTGCATGTGTTAACACAAATGGTGTAACTTTTCACACTGACCGAATCCAGTACCTTAGTAAAGCTTTCATGATGACTCTCAGTGATGTGTTGCATTACCCATGCTCTTTTCACTAATCCACCTAACACTTTTAACACAACTGCAGCACTGGGAAGTCAAGGAGCTGTCATCATGGCGTCAGACTCAAACTTCTCCACCATCATTGATATCAAGTTAAACATTCTATCACAGCTACCACAGAGTCCTTCTACTTTCAAATCCTCTCGTCCTCTTACTGACAGGAAAAAGTCAATGTTGAGGGTTACAAGCATGAAAAAGTGAGTTATACCATACCATGAGTATGCCATACTAGTCAGAACCATTTGGTAGCAGTGGGACAACAGTAAATTCTAGTTTTTCAGCATCACAAATTCATTGTAAACTAAACCAGAAGTATCAGCCGAGACTGTGTTCTGACTGTCTGTGGGGAGTATAAGTGAGGTGTTGCTTAAATGTAGCACAAAATACTTTAAAAAATTTAACCTGATCAAGTTGTAGGAGTCATGATATTTACATGTCTAATACATAGTGATGGGAGGATTTAGTAACACCAGGGTATATACTCTGCTGCTCCTCCCTCACAACAATAGAGTTACAGCGACCTTTGAAGATAAGAAGCTCCTGCGATGTATGACAAGTCTGTTTCCTCCGTTTGTCAACAGGAACTCTTACGCACACAACACCCACTCTTTTCCTCTTCTTTGTGCACTTTTGCACAGCTGCCCGCTGAATACAAAAACATTTCAGTTTTGTTGATTCAGTTCAACTGTAGAAAAATATGGTAGTGTAGATTATGTGAATTACATGAATGAGAGAAAGGCCAGTGGCTCCATTATAAATATAACAGTGATAAACATTGATAGAGACTGGTGCTAATGAATTAACATTAGCTTTATAACAGGGATAAACATGGATAGAGGCCAATGCTAATGAATTAACATTAGCTTTATAACAGTGATAAACATGAAAACACCAATGCTGATGAACTGATATAAGCTTTATAACAGTGATAAACATGGAGAGACCAATACTGATAAATTAATATAAGCTTTATAACAGTGATAAACATGGAGAGAGTGATGCTAATAATATTACATTTGCTTTATAACATAGATAAACATAGAGCGGGACTGATGCTTATTAATTAATATAAGCTTTATAACATAGATAAACATGGAGGGACTGATGCTAAGAGCTTCAGAAAAGACTGTGGTTGGTGTCTTTTATTGGACATGATGATTCAAAGTTTAATGCTGTTTAATATACACCATACCCCATTCATATCATCCTATGTGAATAAGGGTTAAGTGTTATTCATTTGTAATCTATAATGATACCATAACCGAGACTCCTTGATGGCTTAAGTCCTTATTGATAGTGCTTATAAATTTTTTCTGTCTGTCTGCAGCAGATTTACATTCTTTAAACACTTTGTAATTGAAGTTTGATTTCATTCACACTGACTGCGATCAGTACGAGTGGTGACAGTGGACGCTTTTCCACATTAAAGGAGGAAATATTTGTAGTATATCTTCGTTAACACCAAGTGTTTCGTTTCTACTTATTTGAAGCGTGGATCAAAGTTGTGGAGACATCCACACAAACATTGAATACAAACAACAAGGTGTACAGGCTGTGTTAATTACATTGAATATCAATTGACCGAATGATACACGGATTCACTGCCCCCTATCGGCCAGAAGGGGCCAGAACGAGTGGGGTCCATGAAGTCACTTTCTGGCGCCACTTGAGATTGCAAACTCAGATTGAATTATGAGACATTTTTTGTGGGGCGAGCACGAAAAAACAATTCTGAGTTTGCTTTTGCTTTTTAATTTAGTCACAACATGAGCAGTCTTGAAGAAGAAAATGAAAATGAATTTTGGAATATTGCTTTTTATTTTTATTTTTGAGTCAAATAGTGCAGCCATGACTTTGAAATGAAAAAGCATTTCTGCTAATGCTTTTGAATTTTTGAATTTCGATGTTTCAAATTGAATTTTGTTACCTTTTTGCTGGTGAATGTTTTGAAAATTAAATGTTAAATGCGATTTGCTTTTGCTTTTTAATTTAGTCACAGAATGAGCAGTCTTGAAGAAGAAAATGAAAATGAATTTTGGAATATTGCTTTTTATTTTTATTTTTGAGTCAAATAGTGCAGCCATGACTTTGAAATGAAAAAGCATTTCTGCTAATGCTTTTGAATTTTTGAATTTGATGTTTCAAATTGAATTTTGTTACCTTTTTGCTGGTGAATGTTTTGAAAATTAAATGTTAAATGCGATTTGCTTTTGCTTTTTATTTAGTCACAGAATGAGCAGTCTTGAAGAAGAAAATGAAATTGCATTTTGTAATATTGCTTTTTATTTTTGAGTCAAATATTGCAGCCATGACTTTGAAATGAAAAAGCATTTCTGCTAATGCTTTTGAATTTGAGATATGAGTCACAATCACTTCCATAGCAAAGACGGTGCATGTCAGCTTCTATCAATCAGCTTTGAGACATTTTTGTAGCAGTCAACCTACATAAAAAGCTAGCTTTGGGAGCCAGAAGAAAATTTGCCTTCTCCAGCCTTTCTTTACTTTCACAGATGAAATGAATTCACCACTCTGGGTGTAGCTTTTTCATCTCTGTCTGGCTTAGATGTGCAGTCATGTTCAGCACTGCCCCTGTTGAGACATGTTTCGTTTGTATGCATGCAGATTTGGAGGCTCATAACCTACATAAGTGAAGAAATATGCCTGCAACACTCAAACTACTAATATAAACATTCAAGACGTGCACTACTGATAAGAAGTGAATTGAAGAATAAAGAGAAAGATTGCTGACAAACCTGAGCAGCAATGAGAGATTTCAAAGTCTTGGTGGAGAACAGGAATGAGAACAGGCTCGAAACTGCCGCAGACAGGGTCAATGTTGCCATGTAATTCAGCAAATTTTAAGAAACTCTGACCCAAACACTAATGCCGCTGCTAGGACATTTTTCCAAGCGTGACCTTGCCATCAGAGAGCCCATTTGTTTTTTCGCCATCATCAGACAGGACACGTGACTGTACTTCTGCCTACATGCTTCAGTATGTTCTCTAGCTCACCCTGCTAACAGTCAAATGTTTCATTCATTGTGAATGTCTTATGTGAAAATGTTAAAATCAGGGCAGCCTGACTGACACCTACCCCCTTCACACCAGTTTCAGGCATTGAAAAACATGATATAGCAATTATCAATCATGTAGCTAAGTCACAAGCTGCCCTCATACTCTACTGCATATTTGTCAGTATTATCAGTTAAATACAAAATAAAGTCCTCATCACAGTGGCCATTGGTTCAACTGCTATCTACAGCCCTTTGCTGCACATCTTCCTCCACTGTCTTTAGCTGTCCCTTCTAATAAAGGCAACATTACCCATGAAAACATATCAGTATTATTTATCACTCTCTCATTATCAACCTGTGTTGTTGAAATACTGATTCCTATCAACCACTTATACCTTTTATTTATGTTTCTCTGTGTTAAAGCCAGTTGAAGATGATGATTGCACCTGTCCAACTTCAGTTTCACCAGGTATGACAGGATATTAATGGCCTATGATATAACATATTCATAGCTGGATCAGTTTGTGTGATGATTGTGTTGATTTTCAATAGATTTGTTGAAAATGTGTTTAATTTGTACAGATTTCTCATTTGTTTAGTCATTTTCACACACAGTGCCAGACACTGCTAAAACCCACTGTCTCTGAGTGAGTCATGACTAGTCAATGGTTTCAAAGTGAATACAGTCTATCCTGTCAGACCACAAGGCATGCACACACACATACTCAACTGTATCTTACTCTGTCACAACTGGTGAGGGGATAATTCTTAGGCCATAGAAGAAAATGATTGAAAAAGTGAAATGAGATGTTGCATTGAATGTTGATAATCTACAATGTGCAGTGCTTGTATTTTATTGGGCTTACTCCATTTTCTCTGTCTTCCTCTGAGCTTAGACTACCCCAAAGAGCTGCAGATCCTGGAAAGCCCATGTGAAAAGTGCTGCTGCCCAGTGCCTCCTCCAAAGATCAGTGACCTCATGAATGACAAAGACCTCCTGGACTTACTACGGCTCAAACTGGATCCAAACCACTGCACCATCAAAAACTGGAAGAACTTTGCAAGTCGCTGGGGGATGAGCTACGATGAACTGACCCTGCTGGAGCACCGGACGCAGGGCTCCTTGTCCCACAGCCCCACCCAGGAGTTCCTGCTGCGCTATGACCAGAAGATGGTCACTGAGCTCACTGAACTTTGCCGTATCTATCAGCGCATGGACGTGCTGCGGCTGCTGCAGAGCTGGATAGAGAAGGTTTGGCCTTCACGCTGGCAACAGACTCACTAAACAGTTTGGCTCTTGACGTATTTATCTTGTTGCTTGTTTTTGTTTTGTCAGGGTGTTCTTGTTGGGTTTTTTATTCTTCTTCATAAACTTTAATACATTTCAGTTATTTTTAATCATTTTTCAATCATTTAAAGTATTACTGATGGTTTCAGGTAACATGGGCTCTTACAGTTTAGTGCTCACATGATTCAATACTGATGCTCAGTGGGGCTTGATGTACATGTATATACTCTGGAGTTAGTCATGTAAACCCTGTCTTCTCAGATGTTTTCAATGAGATACCCCACAACTGACAGCAAATGATGACAGAACAATGGTACAGACACAACACACCACACACAGACAAACCCCACTCACCCACAACTCTCATTACAACCAATCAAACTGAGGTAAGGAAAGACAAGGACTGTGCCATACATTACTTGCATGCATGCATTACATACATTACGGTCATCAACCGTTTCTAATAATGTTCAAATTTATGATTTATCCACATCACCAGCCCTGTGACTAGCACTTCTTTGGAGAAGACATTACCTCATAACTAATTAATTTGATATTTTGTCTGCCTTGCATTTAGGTTACTTAACCTATTATCACAATGCTTTTGTTTTGAAGTGTACCACTTCTAGTTGAAGTGACATTACCGAATCAAAACAGAAACTGCTTCAAATGTTTAGTTGATTGGTGACATGAAGAAGCAGAAGCTCTAGCCTAGGTTTTGGATCCACATTTAACTTGATTATCAGTTATAATGTGTCTGATTATCTCTCAGAAAACTGTTCAAGCTAGCTGTCCAGCAGACTGCTACTTCTTCTTCTCACTGTTTGAAGATGTGTTGCAACCAGCATGAAGGACCACTACTGTGAACTCACAGTATACTGCAACAGCCGTACCTCACGCTACAGGAAAATCTGGCACAATATTATTAACACCATCAAAATATCAGGACTGTGTTGACTTTTGTCAGATTATCTTGTATTGTGTGCTCAACTGTTTTTGAAGCCAGTCTCTCTGGTGGTTTATCTGTTGGTCCACACTGGATTAAACTATCTCAGTAACTGGTGGGAACATTCAGCCAAATTCAACCCTATCTGATCCATCTTAATCTACCATGAGTGAAACACTTTGCAGCATTAAGAAAGTGTACACACATTTATAATTATTGATCCAAATTTCTTGTAAGAATGAGTGTTAATCTGAAATTTCCTCATGTTTGACTTTCATTCGTTTTTTTTTAAAGGAAAATATCTCAACATTTATTACCTGGATTGCCAAATGATGTGGTCTGAAGTCTAATAAACTCTCTATTTCCCATTATTCTTACCTGTATGCTGTATGTTTATTTTTAATTATGAATACTCACATAGTACATCAAAATGAGGGGAAATCATCAGCATTTTGCCTGCAGAGTATTCACAGGTTAGCATTGTCATCATTCACAATTCAAAAGCATTACTTAGAGCTCAAAGAGCCTCACAGTACTGCTCACATGACCATAGGCTTGAGGGCCTATGTACACTATTCAAAACATACAACACTCACACACACAGATGCACACACAAAAGACCAGGTGAGGACTTTTCAACTTAAACCAGATGACTGAAGAAATACTAGCTTGAGTATAAAGTGAAGGTTATAGAGCATTAAAAGTTAATTAAATAAAACAGTCTCAAAATCAAACAATAAAAGAAAGTAAAATAGGGTAGAATCACATAATGCAGATTAAGAGATTAAAACAAATTTCAACTAAAAGCCAGACTAAAAAGGTAGGTCTTGAGTTTACTTAAACCCTCAGAGCATCTTCGGCACAAAAAGGGACATTTTGGGTGTGTTTTTTTGTTCTTCTCTCAGTAGCCCGGTCAGTTTAAAAGCTAGCTGTATGAAATTTTGGCACAATTTTTTTTTCATCTTTATTTCCTTAATTACAAAAGCCTGTCGATTGGAAGTGTTTAGAATGGGAGATTTGCATCACACAGGCACTTGTTAACCTCGTGACCAAATTTGCCCCATTGACTCCCATTATAACCACATATTTGTCATAAGCTACAATCCTAACATATTGTAATGCTTTTTTCTATTTATACCCAATAGATCTAAGCTTTTACCTTCAAAATTCAGGGAAAATATGTTTAAGGTGTAATGACCCCTTTTAACAACCAGAGGCCATTACATTAAGTTTGGGGGAAATTTCAGTGGAGGCCTGGGTTTCTTACCTCGCAAAATGCATAGAAATAACAAACACCATAAAATGGTCTTGGTATATTAGCACTGAAATCAAATAGTGGTTTGAATATGAATGAGGAAAAGAAAAAACATCAACAGAGCCCTTTTGACCTGGGATTCTTTGATTTTCACACAAAAACACACATAGACAGACACCTAAATGGTCCTTCTGTAAGGGAATAATTGGCCCTCCTGACTCTCATATGAATCCCCAAAATTCACCTCAGAAACATGCTCCTCATTCTTCTCAGAGTACTGCAAGACACACACACGCACACACAGTCTGTTTTTACGCACCTGCAAAAACATGCTATTTTACATATCCGACAGGAGCGTGGAGGCTTCCTTCTGCTCTAGAAAAAATTAAACTTCAAACACAACTTGGCTGGTCATTTCTCCAGAAGGCAACCATGAAGCGCCATCTAAACGTACTAAAAGTACTAATAGAAAGCTAACAATTTAGCTGTGTGTCCTGTGTAGGTGAAAGTGATATGCAATTAACCATTTCTTTTGTGTCAACAAATTATTGTCAACATGACATGATCAAGATGGTAACATTTCAAACACAGATTACCTACATGCTGAAATGACTATCTATCTATCTATCTATATACAAACTTTATTTCAGACCCAATAAGTCCACATCATACAAGATTATTATTATTATTATTATTTTGTTAGCCCACACAACAGTAGCAAAGTCACAATAAACTTTGTATCTAAACCTCAAACCTGTACTTCAGACCTGTAGTGAGGGAAATGTGATCCGCCGTAAACACGATGCATTTTATTTTGAAAATAAACCTGGTGTTTTATTTTGTATCTTGTGCATGATTTCCTGTCTGACATGATCTGCTCTGTGCAGTATTGATGCGCTTTGTTCTCTATCTGGCGGCTCTGTGACAGAGTGGAGTCGCAAGAGACAGACGGCAGACTCATCTCACACAAAAACCCATATTACAAGAAAATGAGTACGGTAGAATACCGTGGAGTTTTTGTACCACCGTTTGTTTGTTTGTTTGTTTGTTTGTTTGTTTGTATGTTTTGTTTTGTTTTTTACATCCCTAACAGGAATCTATTAATGTTATTTAAAAAAAAAAAAAAAAAAAAAAAAGAGGGCACTTTTTAATACAAGGCAAAAAGGGCAGGGGCTCAAGCACCCCTAGGGCCCTATGTGTGCACGTGCATGAGCCAGGAGAATTCAGGGGAGAAATACCTGCCAGACAAAGAGGGACAATGCAATTTGAAAAGGGGAAACAAAGAGGAGTTTGAATCTCTCATGTATCAATTATTCGCATGGTCAAGGCTGTTATATCTTTATCAAAAATATTTCATTTTGCACATAATTTTTTGGAAATATTGCATATTTTCCATTTTTTCCATTCCATTGGTTGACTAAACCTCTGGCTCTTCACGATTGGTCGATTCGGAGAACAGAGACAGAGTTTTTAATACCTTTCAAACTGACTCCATTGCTGACCATCTAAATAAACATTAACGCTTCAACCCGGATCTTCCATTTGAGATTTACCGGACCACTGACCTCCAGACCTCGGTCGTAAAACCCTGCTCGACCATACACTGATAAAGACTACATTCCTTTGGTGAAGGAATACAAATGACTGATCATGACATCTTATGCATTCAGCAATGTACTAATCTGTCTAATCATGAAATTTGTGTTAAAATGAGATGTTTCCCATTTTTCTATGTGCTCCAGGAGCCGAGTTATCACTCTGACAGAATAAATCCTTATTCTTTTGTTTCTTTAGACCAACAGCTTTTCAGACTGTTTCATAAACTTTTAAGAGTTAAATTTATTGACTATGGATCATAACTTTACTCTAAGTAAAAGAAATAGTTTAGAAATGTTTGGTTTATATTTTAGTTGTTATTTCGTATTTTTAACCATTAGGTGGTTATAATGTCATTGAATAATCTGAATGTGAGTATTTAGAATCCATTATTAATCATGATGAAGTTCATTCACATGTGTTTACTCTTTTGTTTTTCACAGTTTCCATGTGTTACTATCTGTTTCATTTCAGAGTAATTTAGCATGTTCAATGTGATACCTAAAACATAATGAGAATGTTTGATGTGATCCTACACTTCATTCATATGTGTTTAGTATCAAATTATTTATCATGAAACCAAGCATTCAATGATATTAATCATAGTGAGTGAGTATCAGATCTGACTCTTTTACCAGCCAAAAGTATAAGTTAGATCAAATAATCAGAGATCCAAGGTCCTCTCTGCTTGGAGACCACACAACCCCTCCTCTGTCTCACACACACACACACACACGCCAGAGCCACTCCCAGTGTGAGAAGATAAAACCAGTGAAGTGGGGTTGCTCACTCTCTTGTTCACTCTTGTCCATCACTTCCTTCCTCTCTTGTACCCTCTCTTCTGCCCACACCCTTCTGTGGTGCGTTTCTTTGTTTTCTCTTAGAACTTTTTCTTAGTGTTCTAAGTTTTACGCCACGTGTTGATTCACGTTGATTTTTCTTTAACATCGTCTTAGTTCAAGTTTTGAAACTTCAACTTTTTGTGCACATAGCAATTCAAGATGAAGCCTTTGATTGATTTTTCTTTAATTTCGCGAAGCCATTTTTGAAATTTTTCTCTGCTCGAGTCTCGTTTTTCTGAGTTTTCTGCGTGATTTCAAAGTCACCTCTGAACGCAACCCAGCAGGCCCAGGTCATCCTCTGTGCCAGAGTTTTTGAGTGAGACCAAAGAAGTACCCAAACGAGCATCCACAGGATCCA